TTGATGTTGGCAGGCTTTGGTCGGGGTTTGTCGGGGTACTTTTGGTGGAACTGGGCAACAAGCTCTTGACAGCGGGCAAGGTGTTCCACTGGCTCCCATGTGTTCTCCGAGCTTGGCCAACCCTGCCACTTGATGAGGTACTGAAGGTGCGTGCGTCGAATACGGGAGTCAAGAATATCTTCCACAATCCATTCCTCCTGTCCTTCGACTTCTTCTGGTGGGGTGGGTTCTGGCTCAGTTCGCTCCGGAATGGTGAAACGTGGTTCAAGAAGGGAGACATGGAAGACGTTGTGAATTTTGTAGGATGGGGGAAGCTTGAGGCGATATGTGACCGAGTTGATCTTCTCTGTGATTGTGAAGGGGCCAATCTTACGGTGATCAAGTTTCTGGGAAGGTCGGAGAGTCTTGAGATTCCGCTGTAAGAGCCAGACACTGTCCCCGGGTTTCATGTCTGGGCCAGGTGCCCTCTTAGCATCGGCAAAGCGCTTCATGCGTCCTTGGGCCTCCTTGAGCTCAGTGGCAAGCTGTTCATGGATTTCCTTGAGATGGTTGGCACGAGCTTCGGCTGCAGGATTAAGGGATTCGGTTGTGGTGGCGGAAGCCAGACTGAATCGAGGATGGAACCCATAGTTGGCGTAGAAGGGGGTTGTCTGGGTGGCGGAGTGGATGGTGTTATTGTAAGAGAACTCAGCAGAAGACAAGAGTTCCTTCCAGTTATCTTGTTGATAGTTGCAAAAGCAGCGAAGGTATTGCTCAAGAATCTGATTGGTCCGCTCGGTTTGTCCATCGCTCTGGGGATGGAACGCCGATGAGAGGTTGACCTTGGTTCCCAGGAGAGCGAAGAGACGTTTCCAGAAGTGGGAGTTGAACTGTGGGCCACGGTCAGATACAATATTGTCGGGGAGTCCATGGAGCCGGATGACATGGTGCCAGATCAGATCTGCAGTTGACTCAGCGGTGGCAGTTTTCCTGCACGGTACAAAGTGCGCCATCTTGGTGAACCGCCAGATGACAACGAGCACAGAATCAACCCCATCACTGGCGGGTAGATCCGTGATGAAGTCCATGGAAATTGACCCCCAGGGGCGGTCAGGGACCTGCAGGGGTTGGAGGAGTCCGTAGGGCTTGTGTCTGCTGGTCTTGGCTTGAGCACATACGTCGCAGGACCTGATGTAGGACTTGACAAAACGCCACTGGCTAGGCCACCAGTAGTTGCGTGAGATGAGCTCCAGGGTCTTTGACATGCCGTAGTGTCCTGCCAAACGCGTGTCATGCATGTCCCGGCAGATCTCAGCACGGAGCTTGTTGGTGGGGACGTAGACAAGGTTGTCGTACAGCAGAACCCCATTTTCCTCGGAGAATCGCTTTATCCGTTCTTGGTCTTCTTGAGATTGCTGGGCAATGGGGGTTCTAAGCTGTCGCCGGATGGTTTGCGCAAACACATCGGATGCCAGGGCAGCTTTGATTTGGTCAAGGAGCGAGGAGTCCAGTGGGGTCAGATAAGTGGCGGCCAGGCGGAGGTGGTCAGGGGTGAGGATCGTGGTTTCCTGGGAGCGGAATGCTTCTTCCCCCTCCCTTAGCTCGTATTCAGAGCGACGAGAGAGGGCGTCAGCTTGGTGTTGCTGGGTACCAGGGCGGTATGTGATGACAAAGTCGAAATCAGCAAAGAAGATTGACCAGCGGGATTGGCGGCGGTTGAGGGTACGGGTAGTCATGAAGTACTGGAGGTTCTTGTGGTCACAGTAAACGATGACCTTGTGGCGGGCTCCAATGAGGTGGTGTCGCCATTGAGCAAATGAGTCTTGGATAGCCAGGAGTTCCTTGTCGTAGATCTCATAGTTGATTTCCTCAGGAGTAAATTTGCGGGAGTGAAAGGCCACGGGGTGGAGTTGATCTGTGTCGTCGGGTTGAAGGAGGACGGCGCCAAGGGCAAAGTCGGAGGCATCGGATTCGACAATGAAGGGCTTGTCAGGGTCGGGGTGAGTCAGGATAGGTGCGGAGGTGAAGGCTTTCTTGAGGGTTTCAAAAGCTAGGTGTGCAGCGTGGGTCCATTTGAATGGCAAGTCTTTGCGAGTGAGCGTGGTCAGGGGTGCAACAATCGCAGAGTACCCTTTGATGAATCGCCGGTAGAAGTTGGCAAAACCAAGGAAGCGCTGGATGCCTTTGACATTCGTCGGGGGTTCCCATTCGGTAATGGCAGCCGTCTTCTTTGGGTCCATGGAAATGCCTTGCTGGGAGATGATAAACCCCAGGAACTCAACAGAGTCACGGTTGAATTCGCATTTTTCCGGTTTCGCATACAGCCCGTGCTGGCGGAGTCGTGAGAGCACCTCTCGGACGTGGTTGGGGTGGTCTTCTGGGTTTTTTGAGAAGATCAGAATGTCGTCAAGGTAGGCCACAACAAAAACGTCGAGAATGTCACGGAATATGTCGTTCATGAGGTGTTGGAATACTCCAGGGGCATTGGTGAGCCCAAACGGCATGACATTATACTCGAATAGGCCGTAGCGACATCGGAACGCTGTCTTCCATTCATCCCCTGGCCGGATCCGAAGAAGGTTGTAGGCTCCCCGGAGGTCAATCTTGGTGAGCCGGCGTGCCCCTCGAAGACGATCCATGATGCTGTTAATCAAGGGCAAGGGATAGCGATTCTTGATGGTGATATTGTTGAGTCCCTACTCGAATGGTGAGGATGGGCCCAAAATCCGCATGGGTGAGGGTATCTCAGATCGGAGATTGACATTGTTGGTGGTCAGGAGAAGGGTGTTGCTGGAGATGCCAGGATCGGAGCAAGGTTTTGTGGCTTCTCCCTTGGCAGTACTTGCGTGGTGAGAAGGCCCAGGACAGGTGTTGCCCAGCTGCTCGGCCTTTACTGCAGCTGGACTTAGGCAAAATCCTGGATGGGTGCAGGTTCCTTAACCGCGACATTCGCCGTGCGTATCTTGTTTGGGCAGAGTTTGGCTATGTGGCCAGGTTTACCACAATAGAGGCAAAGTTTGTTTGTGATGCGGTGTTGGCGCTCTAGCGGTGTGAGGGGTCCTCGCGGACGAGCAGCGTCAATGGCCATAGGGTCGTCTGGGCGGTTGTCGGGGCTCATGAGGGTGGGGCTAGTGGTAACTGGCACATATGGCTGTCGGTTCCTGCTTCGCTCTAGACGGCGCTCAAACAATCGGTTGTCACATTGGATGGCCTGTTCCATCACGGTGTCGATTGAGGCGGTAGGGGGCATCGTGAGCATTAAGTCCTTGACGTCTTCTTTGAGGCCGCGACGGAAGGTGGCAATCAATGCCTGGTCATTCCACGACACATCGCATTGCAGCTGTCGGAATTCAGCTACATACTCTGTTGCTGCACGGGTTTGTCGAAGGTTCTGGAGCTTGTTTTCGGACGTGCGGATCCTGTCGCTGTCTCCAAAGACTGCTTGCATTTGCTGGATGAAATCATCCAGGTTCGTAAGGGAATGATGGTCTTGTTCGACAAGGGGCGCCAGCCAGGCCTGGGCGGTGCCAGTGAGGTAGGTGCCAATAGTTCGTATCTTGGTCTGATCGTTGGGGTAGCGCCTGGGTTGGAGGGCGAACATGAGCCGGATCTGGTTGAGGAACCCACGGAACTTGCTTCGGGTGCCATCAAATTTGTCTGGGAGACTGATTTTGGGTTCGGGGGCGTGGGTGGCAGGGGCAGTGGTCTGGGTTTGCGCTAGTTCGGCTTGTAGGGTGGTATTCTGTGCTCGAAGTTCGTCAATCGCATTGCACATGGCTTGCCAGGCTTCGGCCGTGAGGGGAAGGGCGTCGGACATGGTGATTTGGCGTGGAGGCACAGCGGCTGGGGGTTGTTGAGCAGATCAAACTGTTAAGAATGGGCGGAGCCGACGGAAATAGAGGCGACTTGTGGTGCAGTTGTTGACAGGTAATGGTATTCAGACCGAAACAAGAACTAGAACAAGACTAGGAAGAACTGGTGTTGATCTGCTGGGGGATCAGGAAGTGGGGAGCTCAGGGGAGGCGGCTATTTATGCTTTTCTTTGAAGGCTGGGGAAGCGTGGGGAAGCAGAAGGGTACGGAATGAGAGGGAAGCCAAGAGAAGCGCCAAGGGTGGGGGAAGCATAGAAACAGAAGACTGGGGATGGGGTGGCTACGCTGAGGCTGTGGGCGGGTACGTGGGGAAGTATGAAGAAGGGTTTGTAAGCGCCGAGTGTTGGGAGGTGTGGCTACGTGCGGCTGCGTGGAGAAATGAAGGCAGTGGCAGGTGTGGGGTAGCGCGGCTGCGTGCGGCTGCGAGGTTTGGCAGATGTCAGGTTTTGACAGGGAATTGACATTGACTGACTGTTGGGATGCTGTCATGAGGTAAGCGCATGGTATGGACGCGTCGTCCATAACAGCGAGCCCAGGTGGTCAACACAGGCGCCCACGGCTACACAGCAGCCACTCACCTCGTCGGTGCTGAGCGTGCTCAGAGAGTGCTCTGCGTGAGTTGCCGGGCTTGAGCTGGAAGGAGGTGGGCGTTGGCCAGGGGGGTGAGGGGGCTGTCGTCCGCTGCGAGCGCTTGACGTTTCCATCCTCAGAGTGTGCTCTGCGTGAGTTGCGTGAGCTGCGAGCGCTTGACGTTTCGTGTGAGAGGAGGAGAGTGTGGTCTTGGAGATGCGGCGATCAGCAGTGGACAAGCCAAAATCAACCTCAGAAGCTACCCTAGCTGCCCAGCTAGCTGCCCTGGAAGCTACCCCATCCTTTACACGCGTGTAAAAAACCTGGGGATCCTCACTCTACTCTTCCTCACTGTTCGCGCTCCTCACGCTCTTGATTGCACCTCATCATGGCCCCCAATTACATACCAACCAATTGAGAGCAGTAAGCATCCCCGTTTTCACCTTCAACCGCCGCCAGGTAACAACCGCAATTCCTCACCGTTCTCAGCTTCATTACCACAGCACTGACGCGAGTTCTTTGACACACAGCTATCACGGCAATCACCTGCAACACCTGTCTCGGCACAGCACAGCCATCATGCCATCACACCAGGCGCTCCAGGGGCACCTGTGGTGTGGCATCTTTACTGGAGCAACCACACCACGGCGGAAGAGGAGGAAGGTTGCTCCGGCTACCCCGCGATTGCCCATACGTCTGCCAGCCACACCATTGCAACCCCCGCAATTTGAGCTCCCACCTTCTGTCCAACGCCACTTGCCCCAAGCAATTGCAGACATGGTTAACGAGAGTTCCGGCAATGAAGACGGGCAGCAGCACCAGCAGCGAGGGCTTTCACCAGTGGACAGGGGTCTGCAGCGTCCGTTGAACCTCCCCGCTCCCATCCCTTTCCTATTTCCCAGCACACCGGGTGGATCCCTGGTGCTTGAACCCCCGCCACCACCATCCGCTCAACGACCCCGGCAGACACATGCAAGCATCAAGGTTTCGCTTCACCGAATCCATAATCAAAATCAAGTTCAAAGGGAGCGCCTGACAACATTCATCGGCAACGTTCACATCCTTGCGCGCCACACCACCTTCTTTCTCAAGTACTACTACCTTGGTGAGTTTTTGAGGTACACTACACTGTATATTTCCCATGAAACAATGCCCTGACTACTATGTCTGCCCACCACAGCTGATCATCCTCTACACGACTTCCCGGACATCACTGACAAGCACATCAGTGTGATGTTTGAGCTGCTCAACAATCCACGCTACAACGGCAATCCGGTCATCGCGCAAGAGTTGCGTCCATGGGATCAAGACTACTGTAATGTTCACGGATTCGCCCCTATCCGCATGCAACATTGCCAACAGACCACAGCGTACACAGCTTCGAGCATCTTCACAAACCTCAAAGTCAACGTACAAGAGCATTTCATTCAAATGCTTCTGCGCTATGTCAATGAAAGGCTTGGTTTGAAGCAAGTCGTACTGCATCTCCGTAGAGCTTGAGTCAACCGAGCGCAGCGGCGACACTATCATCGGCGTGCCCGTCAGTTTACAAAGTATGCAACATTTGAAGAGTTTCCAACCGAAGAAGAGCTTGCGCGCCGCACACGACTTGAGCGGACCGTCCTTGACAAGTTATGGGCTCTGTTTCCTCCCCAGGATGAGCCGCTTGCGTACAGCCTTGGGGTGGACGCAATGCCATATTTAGGTGAGTTAGTATATTCCCCCCCCCCCCCCCCCGCGGTGCCCTCTTTTGTCTAATCATGGTCCGCACCTGCCGCATCACAGGTGCCTATTGTGAGCTCTCACGCCTCTATGAGCGCCGTGGAATGCGGCTGTTTTCCGCTATCCCGCTGCGCAAATCTTGAATCCAGTCATCTGTTCGCATTGACACGCTGATCCTAGCCACCCATATCCTGGGCTTGAGCCGACGTCGCATGGGGAAATTCACCGATCAACGCAAGCAGGAGCTGTGGGGGTAGTTTCTCAACGTGAATGTAAGTCTCTGTTGGAGGTTTCATACTCCCGAGTCCTTAGTTAGGGTTCCCGTAGCTTAGTCCCCGGTTAGGGTTCTAGTAGTTCATTTCCCCTTGTGACTCACCTCCCGCTTACGCCACGCTTACGCGTACGGGAGTTCACTCTTTTCTTCCCCTGCGGACCTCACGTCCGCTTGTAACTCCAGACTTCTCTGTATTACTTCATACATAACAAGAGCCCAGTCTCACCATTACATAGAGTTCGCTCAGTCATCTGCTTCCTCTGCCGACTACTGCTAAGTGTCTCTATCCTTCTGCGCTTATTTCAATCACCTCGCTGAATGACGCATTGCAGGACAAGGTCTTCAAGCATCGAAAGAAGCTTGGTCTTAAATTTGATGGATCAATCAGCACAAACAGGTATTCCGCTACCATCCACTTCAAGAAGCCAGGGCTCAAGTATGGGCATCGGGCCCGGAAGCGCAGCAAGGCCCAAATGCGGGAAGAAGTCAAGCAGCTGTATTTTGAGCACCACATCACCGAACTACGGGAGGCTCCAAACATCGTCAGCATTGATCCGGGCAAGCGTGACCTCTTGTTCTGTCGAGACATCAAGAAGGAGCGGCCATTTAGGTACGTTTCAGTTGATTACTACTGCCCTGCTGTCCCCGCTGTCCCTCCCCACTGGCCCCGCTGTCCCAGCTGTCGCCGCTGTCGCCGCTGTTGGTTACGCCATCAACTTTATGCTATCAACTTCCGCCATCGCTGATCTCAACGCTTCCTGTGCTGAGCACAACCGCCGCTTGCGGGAGGTTGACCGGCATGGGATGTGTTGTCGCTTCGCCGTCGTAGTCGTGAAGAGCGAATCGCGAGCCCGGGTCCTACTCCAAGCTGGACTCAAGCGATCGCGGAAGTTGGCAGAACGTTCAATGAGTCCAGAATGCGGAGCAATGCATGACGACTGCGACTGCGACGGCGACTGAATTCGATCTGCAGTACCTCCGCTATCCCCGCTGTCTCCGCTATCGCCGCTATCCCCGCTGTCCCCGCTCCGCTATCCCCGCTGTCGCCGCTGTCCCCGCTCCGCTATCCCCGCTGTCGCCGCTGTCCCCGCTCCGCTATCCCCGCTGTCGCCGCTGTCCCCGCTATCCCGATCAACGCCCTCCTCAACCCTGTCCCCGTCCCCATCCCCACCATCCCCCCCGTCACCATCCCCACCATCCCCTTTGTTCGACATTCCGTTGCCGCGTTCTCACAATGCACCACCCCATACCAGATACACATCCAATCAACGGGCAGTCGAGACAAAGTCTCGGTACTTTCAAAGAGACATGACAAAGCGAAAGATCAATGCCGGCATCGCTGAGATGGAATCACATATTCCGTTGCACAAGAGCATGAACATCGAGGCGTTCTCAGCGTTCATTGTGGATCACGTACATGCGGGTATGATGTATCATGCATTGTCTTCAAATTTGGTAACACGTGGGCTGACGTCTATATCCCAGATCCCGCCCTGGATGAGTTTTACCAGGATGAGATTCACGTCGCTTGCAGATTCAAGGCGTTCTCACTGCGGCAAAAGTCTGAGAGCAAGCTCATCAAAAACATGCGACGCCTGTATGGAAAGCATTTTTCGGTCATCTTGGGTGATTGGAGCGACGCTGGAAAAACCATGCGCTTTCAGGAGTCATCAAAGACCAAAGGGTGAGTGACCATCATTGTTTTTTATGTATCATTATGCTAACTCATCATGGAACAGATTCCGCACACTCTTTGCGAGAAATGGCATTCCATGCTACTTGCTGGATGAGTATCGAACGTCGTCCGTGTGCCCACACTGCCACGGGCGTGTGAGGAAAAACATCCGACGCCGGCTGTCACCTCGGCCGTGGCAAGCTCGAAAGGGAAGAATGGAATTCGTCCATGGATTGGTGGGTTGCCCCAACCCCGAATGTATCAACCAAGACTGGACGCCATTTGAGATTCCTGGAAGACGACCACTACAACTACGGATGAAAGTGCACAATCGGGACATCCTAAGCACCAAGAATTTCGTCTCGATTGTGCGTTCGGTGGTGTTTGGCGATGGCCGCAGGCCAGACGCATTCTCCCGTAACCGGTAGTCTAGAATTTTCACCCCATTCCATTTTCCGTGGTGGTTATCTGCCATCCACATCATTGTACCTCTGCCTGAGGCGTCGCCGATGATGGCAACTTGTACTCTACATGGAGCCTTGTCGATAGACACCTCGACAGGTACTATGGACATACAACACAGGCATATACCACAAACCTTTTTACCACCAGCAACCCAGGCCCGAAATTCATCCTGATTGGCAAAGAGGAAGACAATAATGCTAGCAGTGAGTTCACCAGCGGAAAAAGTATACTCGTTATCTTTTGAATATCGAAATTGATGGCTTTGAAGGGCAGACTCTTGGTCTGACTTGTTTCGTTGCAAAGCTGACGATTTTCGAAGCTCCATTTACCCTCTGACTCTTCAGAGGTTTGAAATAATTTGAACTGATCACTTTCAAACAGCAGTGTTGCATCCCGTAACCGATTTCGGTTTGCCCGTTTCATCGTGGATTTGCAGGATTAGCTGTGTCGGGCTTGACGCTGAACGGCAAGCGTCATCTTTGAACTTCCCATATGCGGTCAAATCGTCTTCGCTCCAGCCAGACTGGCCGAGCGTTAACCGATCAGAGAGTTCAACGATGTTGCTACAGAGAGAATTTTCGTCGATCATACCGGCGTCTGAGCCGTCGCTCGGATAGAGGTTAAAATCTTGCATGTTCATGGTGTAAGTGCAAGTGGTGAAAAACTGCACCGTGGTCACCTGGCTGGATTGGCCCGGGTCGAGCGTCCAGGTGTACGTGATGGTACTCTCGTTGGTGGTGCTGCTGGTCCATTCCTCGGATTTTTCGGCGTTGACGCTGCAACTGAAGAGCCCACCTTCTACTGAACTTCCTGCACTGATGCTGAGTTTCGAACCGACCTTGGTCTCCTCAGTATTGCTGACCCGTGTCTGTACTTGGTATGTGCACTGGGTAAGGCTGCAGTAGAGACCTCCCTGCGGGTCGGTGTACGTGACGTTGGCCGTGATGGCGGAGCAAGCCGAGAACGTGAAGTTGTACGTCAGGCGGATGTCCATTTGTAAAAAGCTCCTGGGTACACATACACCCACGTATCTGAATGATAGTCGGCGGGCTGGGCAAATAGAGAGGCACGGCTGGTTGCGTAGTCCACCACGGACTGGTTGAGGGGGGCAGTACTGCCGAGCCCCTGACGAGCGACTAAGACCTGACCCGCTGAGTGTTTTGAGGTCGATGCACTTGGGAAACGCACACGAGTGGACGGGTTTTCGGCCGGAAAGGGAATTGCAGCGACGAGACGAGGGATGGTGAAGAGACACGCGATGAGGGCGAGAATGCGGTACATATTCGTGGCGACAGTGGGAGGAGATGATAATAGTCGAGATATGAAGAACGTTGGAGGCTAATGTCGTTGGTTTTGGTTCGAAGAATGAAGCCCTTTCGGAGCTTTCGGCTGCGTGAAGGTTCCAACGATGATCTGGTAGCCGAGAAGGACCATCATGTGGAAGAATGCCGATGAAGAAGGTGAAACCACCACAACGCACAAACCTCCGTACGGCTAATCCGCTGCCTCTGGACTGGTTGGCCACTGGGGTCCCAGGTCAACCTTATGAGCGATCCTCAGACGGTACATGCGGCGGTGGCCCTCGTCGCGCTGAGTGCAGTGCCAGCGGGAAGGGTTTTTGTGGGACCCTGACTGTATTTAGCGGACCCTTTGGAAGCTTTGGACTCCTTGGACCCTGGGGCCTAGCCTGGACGTGACAAAAGGTAGAAAGCGCACCGGGCTGACCACGGCACGTCGTTCAATCCAATCCCACAGCGACCCATCGCGACGACCGCCCCCCTGCGGTACCCTCTTTGTTTGGAAAAGGAAAAGCTGCAGCAACGACAGCAGCGACAACGGTAGGCACCAAGCGCAGCAGCTGCAGCTCCTGCATCGCAACCCCTAGCGTCTGTATTGCACGTCTCTACACTACCACCGTCAGTCCATGACTGCACACAACGTCAGTGGAAAACCAGAAGCGCAGATGTCCGACGACGGCGACAACTATGAAGGTCGGGAGCATAGTCATAGTGTTTCTGGCTATGACAGTGAATCCAACCGCTCTGTGGACGAAAAACCAAGGTTCCCTCAGGTCTAGGCATATTTGTACTGGTGCCATAACCATATATGCGGCTACTGACACCATGCACTTCAGTCAAATTTTTTCACCGCTGAAGACTTCCAAAAACTTTACGAGGACGGCAAATTCACAAACATGTCCTTGGTGGCGGCATTCGAGTTGTTGGTCAACCAACCGGCGACAGACCCGAAGGCACTTTATACTGTGGAAGCCGAGAGTCATACGCGGGCTTTCAATGATGCGCTGTCCTATCTGTACCATTGCTATAAGGCGGCCGGAGATAGAGACAGGAAGAGAAGTGTTTTAGCTCTGAAACAGAGATGGGTGAGTTCGCATGTGGTTTCTGTACTTTCCTTAGTATGTAAAACTCGTCAGGGTGAAACCCCCAATGGTCCTTCGGACTCGTATTCGTACATCGGCGGGGGGGAGTACGTGTTCGGCCTAGTAGTCGTCTCAGAGCTCACCCTGGCGAGGCTCCCAAGGCACATTGCATGGAACCCTCAATGGTCTTTCGGACTCGTATTCGTACATCGGCGAGGGGGAGTACGTGTTCGGCCTCGTAGTCGTCTCAGAGACCATGCATATCGTCGCCTGGGGGACATACGGAACGGCAAGATGAAGGATATACCCTCACATTTAATTTAGTTGGGCGCCTTTGACACGTTCTACGAATGGTACAAAGAAGGTCAGCAGGAAGCCCTAGTGGGGGCGCGCTTTGCCAACATCGCGGCAAAGGTGAGATCATCACATTGCGAAAAGTCCCACTGCTGAACCGGTAATTAAACTTTGTTATTCCACAGAGTTATGCCAACAAGCGTCGAAGGCTGGAAAAATTCCAGACAGGCCTAACAGAGCTACCAGCAGCAAAGCGTCACAGCAATGCTTCCTCCGTGTCGCCGCAGACGGATGCCAGCGATTTCAATGCACCTGCCCTGCAATCATGTGAGCCTGAACCGCTGCCGACTCCAATGCCGACGAGCTCCCAGGGTGCGATAGGTAGAGAATGTTTTCGCCTCTGATAGTCATGAAATGTATCTGATGTCGTTCCATCATAATGCAGGACCCGCAGTGCCAATGGCCATCCTGCCCACTGAAGACGTTTTGGGAGACGCTGGTATATTTGAGACGGCACAAATATTTTCTTGGCTCTGTCTAATTTCTCGAGCAAACTACGTTGGCAGATTGGCTTACCAGATACAATATTGTGTCTGATGTCTCGATTCTGAATTTCGGTGGACTCTTTCAGCAATATGGCGACAAATTTGACAAATATGAGGCTGTCTGTATCTCATGACAGCGAACTTATATCGCAATTTCAGCTGACCGCTGCCTGTCGTTCTTTAGGAAGAGGCCAAAGTGCGCAAAGGACTCGTGAAAGCTTTCGAACGTACAAAATTTGCTGATCACTTAGCAACCATATACCCGCCTGGCAGCGGACTGTCTCCAGATGCGGAAACTGACGAATACACTATCATCACCCACGACGTTGACGAAAGAGCGACGCCAGATCCCAAGGTTGTCGATGAGAGGCTCCAAAAATTAAGCGCTGCGACTGGGGACATTGCGTCCAGATGCATCCACGATATGATATATCGAATGTGAGACTTCTGGATCTTTATGAATTTTGCAATCCAAACTCAAGTCTTGATACGCCAGCAAAGGCATATTCCTCGATCGCTTCTATTGGAATTTGCTGCTCGATCCATCAACATCTGAATTCGAATACCGCTCTTGCTTGCTAGATCATATTTTCAATGCGGCATTTGCTGGGGAGCGGTTGCTCAAGTATCGCATGTAAGTGAAAAGACCTGCTTTGCGGTTTCGATCGAATGTGTTCTTAACAGAATGGCTTTCAATTTCCAGCGAGAGGGAGAACCAAACATTAGCTTCTGCAAGGGCTATACAGAATGGCCATGAGACAGCGACTGGGGTACGCCATGACGGTTCTCTGCTGATTTTGTTACCACACTACGAAATTCTGGCCGCCGTGATTGAAGTGGTCGGTGGACCCGCCACTAATGACGGAGCCAAAAAACGTGACGATGCCCGCAAGATCTTGAAAGGTGAGCACAGGCAAAGCCCTGACTTACCCACGTGGACGGTTTCTCATCCTCCGATAGCTATGGCTCTAGAGCTTCATGTCATGGAAAAGGTTTTAACGGAACCATCTAAGGCAAACAAACTGATGGTGACAGGTGTTTTGATATACCGTGAGTATCGCGGCGCTTGCCTTCGAGACGAACCTCGACGCATTCCTCTCACATTTCTGTTCATGGCAGAGACCCACTATTACATTTGGGTGGGCAGATTTGTGGAAGACAAGATTGTTATTCGAGAAGTGCAAAATGGTCAGTTCCCCAGTACAGCGGATGACTGGCATGGATGGGAGAAAGTCATTACTGACGTCGTCGAGCTACGGGTAAGTTCAGATCACGAACTGAGCCATGCCCATGATTTTACCACCGCTTCCACAACTCAATCGGAATACAGCTACGTGCGTTATTTCTTTCAGGGGTACTGCAACTAGCACATACCACGAAATCGGTTCCAACTTTCAAGAAACGTCCGGTCGTTTTGGAAGTACCCATCACTCCATGGAAACGATCTTCTCGGGGTTCGTCAATAGGAAAGAAATCGAGGTCTAGCTCAATATCATCCCGTGGATACGACGATTGTAGATGATTATACTACGGGCATAGGTTCGAAGGGATGGGATGGGATGGAATGGCACTGGGTTGCACACACTCTTTTCTGCATGTGTAGATATTCTTTCTATTGGTTGGCTGATTGTAAATAAAAATGTTGGGTATTCCCCCCGTATTTGGACTCTTTCCCATGCATATTTATCAGGGTATAACCCTAAGTTTTGACGCTGTCACCCTTGGAAGTCACAGTCTCAATGTGACCGATCAAGCTTCTCCGTGTTCTTACTGGAACTGGTACAGCGTGCATGCCCAAACCCTGTTCCGATCCCAACTTGCGATTGCCACCAGCACCTGTGAAATACACTCCTACTCTTCGACTTCAGGATCGAGACAAAAAAAAGGGCAAACATAGAACTTCACATTGCGAGTTCTAAAAGTGTCTATCTATTAATGTTGATACCCGGCCTGCAGGGTCTCCAGGAAGAAAAAACATATATATCTACAGGTTGGTTTCTACGAACGACGAAAGAGGGATTGCCAATATACGAGGAAATCTGAGGATCCAGAACCTTGGGAAAACGTCGGCATCAGCCGGGGTAGTTCAAGCTTTGTTCGTGTGATGGCTTCCCTTTACCAGTATGCCATGTAGTCCGCAGGTCCGGATGGGAAGGTCCTGCTAAGGGTGACCACTGTCGTGAGGAAGAGGTTATCGGCGGGAACTCGCTGGATAAAGGGATATCCCGATGGTCCTGGTGCGATCTAGAATTAAGGACTTGTGCACCTCGCGGGCCCGCCGCGACTGGTGGTGGTTGTGGGCTGGAGTACCAAGGTGGCATGGGCATGCCGTTATGCCCGTAGGTAGGATCGACGTTTCGAGCAATGAAGTTGTCTGGGGGAGCCACCGTTGAAGTGATGGAGGAGGGTTCGGCAGGTTTCCTGCTTGTCTTCACCAGCTGAATATCAACGCCTGGCACTTGCGGTTTCGTAGCGGCACTGCCGTGATAGAAGACGCTCTCCGTTCTACCATTGTCAACCTTGGGCCCAAAGCTCCCGATAGGGCCCTTTTGCTTGTCGTCGGGTTTCTTGATCGCCTCCCTGAGTGCAGTCCACATAGATATATCATTCGTCTCGCCATATTTGTCATCTTCATCCACGACTATTCGATCGCCGTTGATGCCTCGGGGATGGCTTCCGTATGACTTTGGGAGAATTTCGGGCCCCGGAATTCCGCGTCGCTTTGCGAGGAATGCCTTCCACACGTCTGTGAAGTGTCTCGTGTTCTCGTACTTGTGTCGGCGATATTTCTGACGGAGCGGGAGAAGCCAGAGCATGACTCTTTCGACAATAAAGGTGGCGACGGTGAGAAGAGCTCCTGCGGCGACAAGGTTCCGTAAAAGAGCCATCAAGTTGAACTTCCCGATGATACCTATATAACAGATCCGTGCAAGTAAATAAATTGAGCGGATGGGGCTTCGTGGCTTCAACGCCCCTACCCATCAAAACCAACATGTCCAAAGAAACCGCGCCGAAGCCTACCAGTCTGAACCAATTCCAGCCGAATACCATGTCTGTTCAAGCTAAGGTAGTGCCCACCCGCCAGATCAACGCGCTCCTCAATGATTTTGTACTGTTGCAGTTCAACTTTGGAGGGGCGGTATGTATAAAACAGGTCGTTGGATACGCCGACGTTCTCGTAGTTCATCGCCACGGTGATTACCATTCCACGGGTGCGGACTGTATCCCCTGGTTTGGCTGTCAGACCCATTGATTTTCCTGTAATCAAAAGCCCAAGGGTTAATCTACGGTCCGAGGGAAGACGAACAGGAGTCAAGCAATGGAAGGACTCCTGCTCGGCACAAACCCACGAAGCATGTGGATTTGGGATACAATCACGGTAAGCGCTGCACACTTACCGTCCAGGTCAACTCCTGCCGCTTGCAACATGGTAGATACAGGAAAAACATCCCCTGGAATACCAGACGCATTGCTGGTACGTTGGTATGTAGAATCGAACTTGTATATGGGAGTATTCGTCTCCGCGTAGACGATCTCCCCAGTCATCTCTCTATTGTGAGTAGACTTTCGCAAAAGGTCGGAGCGCACAGAGTGCTCTACCATAATCTGGCAGTGTCCAGGGAAGAACGTTCAGGGAAGGCGAACATGATAGGCGTTCAACCGGTCAGCCGGAATCCCGAAATGGTGCTTACAAAACGTGAAGAACATCGAAAACTTACTGTGAATTCCTCAAGATTCGCGATGAAATAGGTCTTGGATGAGATAGGCTTTACTTGGTTGATCGAACAATTTGGACTTGTCGCTAAAATGTATGTGCAATTTGCATTGGTTCCGTCGGCGGCAATGGTAACGTCCGGGTATGTCAATATGGTAACGCGGGTGGTCAGAAACATCCCGCCTACACAAGGAGAAAATGGGGCAGAACTTTAGCGGAACTGGATATTGCCTCCACCTGACACCGGTATTCTGCCCTACCCTGATCAGGGACCGGGAACATGATTTGCGCTGGATCCCAGTACAAGCATGAGGTTCCGTCAGCTCCACAGTACGCCGGCGGAGGCTTCTGGCCATAGTCCTCCGGCGGCTCGAGGCTCATTCGGATTTCGCCTGCGATCACCGGGCCACTGGCAAGGTACAGCTTGTTCCCGATGATCTGATAGAGAATGTAGGCCGAGATGGCGACGAGGAAGCCATAGTATAGACCCCCCAGGTACTTGTCCTTGACACGGACTACTTTGAAGGTGTTGTAGCTAGACAACGAGCCGACGGCGAAAGACGAGAGTTAGCCCCACGCAATCTGCATAATGGTTCCACCTGGTGTTACCTCTTGCCTACCTGAGCAGCTCGTCCAGCACGTTGCTTCTACCCATCGCCTCTTCTTCCTCGCTTTCAGCCGCTGGTCAGATCAGGCGGGTGCTGAGGCTGGACGTCTTCCCCCTACGACATCCCTTTTAAGACAGCTGCGAGCGATGACAGTTGGATAACATTGAGAAGACATATTCGTTGGCCACGTGGGAGTGGGCGGAGGCTTGTTATTACAGGGCGGTCTACTCTCGCGCCTCACTTTTACCTAACCCTACGTAGTGAGTCCGGTCGGAGGCTCCTGTCTTCCCCATAGGGCTACAAGTTTTCCATTCCTTCCCGGTCGCAAAACTTCGCGGCGAACGGCCCGTTTTATCTAGGAACAACAATTGGATGTTAAGCTACGATTCTACGTGGAGACGCGACTTATACTTGTTGTACACACTGCGCTCTCGGCGCTCTAGCTGCGCTTTCAACACGTTTCCTCTCAGGCCCACCCTCACTTTGACAGCAACTGACACTATTACGCGTCTCGCCGTTTTCCACCCCCCCAAAAAAACACTCTTCCTCTTTTTCAACGCAGAACGCTGGACACGGAAGGGCAACGCGTGAGCGCCGTTATTGCGGGACTTCAGCGGAATTGGCAGGGCTATCAGAATCATCAAAAATATTTCAAAAAAGTTCCGAACCGGCTGAGTTACAGCAGGTTTTGTAAAGTTGTTCCAGATTTTTGGACGCTGTTTTTTGGAGTGCCGTTGTGCAGGGGACAACCTCCATTGTAGTAGTGCGCTTCGAACTGCGCATGAAATCGATAATATTCCGACGCCAATTATACGCCTAGAATCTTCGACGAGCGAACGAAATCACCTTTATACGACAACGTCAAAATACCGTCAAAACTTCCGACAATAAATCGACACACTCGCGTTCCCGACACTCCGACGATTACCAAATACAACTCCCTTTACCAAAACCTTGCTTCACAATGACATTTTGTCCTCGGATACGACTGACATGCGAAAAATGTAGGCGTAGGAGAGTGTTATGGACGACGCGCCCATACCATAAGCTTACCTACTGACAGCCGCCAATGTCAACCGCCAATGTCAAATGCCAATGTCAATGTCAATGTCAGTGTCAATGTCAGTGTCAATGTCAATGTCAATGCCACTCCCCCTCTCTCCTCTCATTTCGCCGATCCTCCCGCAATATTGCCACTCCTCTTCTCTCCTCTCATTTTGCCATTTCGCCAATCCCCCCTCGGCTTCTCAACACCCTCCACTACTTCTCCATAGCCAGCAGCTGTAGCAATGCTCTCTACGCTCGCCACGCACGCTCTAGGAGCATAGCTGGCGCCCCCCCCCCCCAGTCCCCTCTTGTTGTTGTTGTTCTCTGGCCTGCCGGGTTGCCTATCTATAAATAGCCGGCCTCTCTTCGTCCATTCCCTTCCTCCCCAGCAGATCAACACCAGTTCTTCTCATCTCCTGTTCTAGTCCTTGTTTCTTGTTTCGCCAATACAATCTCCTGTCGCCTATCACTCTCGCCTTGTCTCCTCTACTTCGCTTCCACCTCAGTCGTCGAGATCATAACAGGTGGCTATTTATAGATAAACAACCCAGCAGATCAAAGACAACAACAACAAGAGGGGACTGAGTGAGCGCCAGCTATGCCCCCTAGCCTAGAGCGAGCGTAGCAGGCGTAGAGAGCAAGCTGCAGCTGCTGGCTGTGGAGAAGTACTGGGAGGGTTGACAAATGGCCAGAGATTGGCTCACAGATGAGCGGGGTAGATGAGGAGCGGTGAATGGGGGATTGGCGGACAAGAGGAGAGCGGGGGATTGGCAAAATGAGAGGGGAAGGCATTGACATTGACATTGACACTGACATTGACATTGGCGTTTGACATTGGCGGCTGTCAGTGTGCTGTCATGAGGTAAGCTTATGGTATGGGCGCGTCGTCCATAACAAGGGTGGCCGCCGTGCTAAAGGCCTCATTGCTAGAGTCAATATCACCCCGCCCACTGTTGGGCAATCAGGACCCTCTGCCAACATTTGGAAATACCTTGAGAAGCGTTCTGGACTGAAAACTTCATGATTCTTTGTCCGTGCAAACTCAGCCAAAAACCTCCGGCAAATGGTACATCGATGCCCCCGTTGGCAAAAATACCATCTCAAAGTGGTTGAAAGAAGCGTGCGTTCAGGGTGGAATTGGGTGCAACAACTGAAAGCTTGTCCCGCACTCTGGCCGTGCCACAGCAATTACAGCACTTCTTGAAGCTGGGGTCCATCAGGATATCACCCATAAAACTTCAGGACACTGCAGCGCCGCAGGCCTTGCCTCGTACTCTCAAATGAAGGAAACTCATCGCCTTGCCGTCGCTAAAGTGCTTGATCCAACAAACGCCAAAGGAAAGGAGAATGAGCTGCCCATCATTGTTGGCACGCAAACCATCAATTCCGGGACATCTACCAAGACAAAAGTCAGCACCATGGCGCATCCCCCCAAGTCCCCTATCAAGCGGTTGAAGGTCAAGATTCCTGAGAGGCCCAAATCAGCCAATGCGGATGATGATTATGAAGCATCCAAACTTCCTGATGGAGTGGAATCAGATGCAGCCCATGTAGCCCGTAGGTTTGGTAGTTTCCTGGCCAATGCAAAGTTTGGCCACATGTTGTTGTTGTACGGTGTGTGCGATGAATACGATATAACCCTTGTCCTCTCGGGAAATTGCTCAAATCGATCCTCGGGGCCTTGTCTTGGCCTTGCAAATAGTCCCTCGGCAAGCTTCAGGCCAATTTTTAGGCCCCCAATTTACTGGGATCGACAATTAGTAAATCGAGTTGGTCTCGAGATTTGGCTCAAGTTGTGCGCACCTTATCGATAGCTGATCTCCAGCCCTTTTTTAAGGGGACCTACTTCTCAATATGCCAGTTTACTCAGCTGCATACTGGAGACCAGGGTCTTGTCAAGCTGAACTTGGCACACCTTGGGATTGGTGTCCAGAGTCGATCTCAAATGGGAGTAAATTCATGTCTGCAAGATCCACCACGTCGGTCTCCAGACCGGTCTCCAGAGTCTGAAAACCTGTTGCCAAGTCTGTCTCCAGTCGTGTCTGCCCTCATGAACGACCTCTGGACTGGTGGATTCCGTGGAGACCGGAGTAGATTCTCCGGAGACAGCTGGAGACTGGCTCATCTTGCACAGAGCAAGGTAGAGGGGGTGTGGGAAGGTCCGTTTGGTGGTGTACTGCAGGCCAATAGACACGCAGCAGTGGAGACAGCTCTGGAAGTGCGCAGACAGCCGGACACACCCGAGACGGCAGCCAGAGACGGCCGTGGACGAGCGTTTTGACCTCAAACCTGCCCAGGATGTCGTTTGGGATCGAGGGCAGTTCTTGCAAACCTGGCAGAAAAAGCTTTGCCTAAGGCTGCTGCGTAAGCTTTGATCAGCACTTTGCGCTACAGTGGAGACAGTTCCTGCCAGAATCTATCCCTGGCACTGGGAAGGACCAAGACAGCGGAATGCAACTCAAAACGCCGGTAGCGCAAGGATTTTTCGCAGCTTTTGCTTAGAGATAGCTTATCTCGGCCGCGAAAAAAACCACACTCTTTCGCAAACTCGATCCCAGTAAATTGTGGGCCTTAGGCCTCGACGCGTCCCTCCGAGCGATTTCTTGCGAAGTTCCATTGGACGCGGGCTATATCTGCTACATATTACCGACCCGATATTTTGTACCTGTACCCGTATTTCCCAACTCCGTATAAGAAGAAGAACTCCATTCAAAGCGCCTAGATATGAAGGTGGCAAGGCGACGCTCTAGCGTGAGCTATCTTCTTGTGCTATTGAGACCGGCAGCTTATTTTTCCAACACCCGATCGTACCCCCTCGTTTCGACAGACCCTCACTTCGGCCGGACACCACCCCACCGTCGCTTCCGACGCCCACGCTCCTGCCAGGTTCCGTGTTGCGGGAACTGTCGCCAATACCCCCGAGTTCGCTCAGGCATTCCAGTGCAAGGCTGGTACTCCCCTGAACCCCGCCAACAGGTGCAAGATCTGGTAGATCCGGAATCCATCGGACTTTGTGTCAACCCCTTACTTTATACCATTGACGATAGACGATATACCTCTGATACGCATAGATCACATTTATAAGATCTGTAGACAGATTGAATTGGCTCTTAGAATTAATACATGTGTCGTCGTCAGGTCCCATACGAACGGGAATTTGGGTTGAAGCCCTTTCCCCGTTGCGGCGGTCTTAAATTGCGGAAGGGAGCCATATTCGCAACTGTCCGAGTCCACCTAGCTCGTGACTTTGGGTATGTGCTGTGAATCTTTCCCCGCCAAACGTTCATCGGCAGAGCGTGTGCGGGGTTGAAATGCTCCAAGGGACAGTGATGCATCATCCCCAGCTCTGCTCCTCCCTCTATTTTACGCAGGAGGGCCAATTGCACGAAGTTTTCATTAGCACAAATGCACTTGCCTAAGACTCTCGCTTCCCGGACACGGTCTCTCTTCCACCTAAATGATCTCTCCAATCAAACTTAAAGATGAGCACGGCGCATTGATGAATCGAGAGAACTAGTTCTATCTGCCTCTCTTCTGAGGAATATTGGGATACGGATATAGCTGGGTTTGCTTTTGGATAGACGCCGCAGGTTCGACGATGGTTCGAGGCGGCATTACGGAGACCATGTACCCCGAGACATACCGCGAAAACCCTCCGCCCTGCCGTCGTTTGACATGTACGGTAAGAGCAAGGTTCCTTACTTTCACCTTGCCGCGATATTCGACATCCATCCAAATAAATCAGGAGCATGTTGATGCCTCTTGCATATTGATACTTCCTTCGTTCGTGATTCGCCGAGTCTTCCTGCACTCCGCATTTACGGCTAACCTTTCACATGCCATCCTCGAAAGGTAGGGATCACCCACTGGAAACTGGCAGAGAATTAACAAGACCGGGATCCTCGAGGTTTTTTCATGAGTACCGTCCAGCAAAACCATGCTGTACAGTAGGCTGCCAGATATCAGGTTACGACGGGTGGTTGAGCCTCCGTGTGCAACCCCAGAAGTCACCAGCCAGCTGTCAGTCCTGCCCTGGGCTAGCGGTCGTGCTGAAAGGATTTGCATGGGGGTCGGCAACTTGAGCCGGTGGCTATGCTCGGAATGATGTGTCCTTGGGCGACGTAACCTGATATCTGGCAGCCTACTGTACGCATCAAATCTGAGGGATGGCAAGGCGAAGCTTCTCAAGGCTGGATTTCAATTTGTCATTAAGCCCTAGGTGTACCGCGGTGGTCACAAGCACCGTGTCATTTCCCACGGACAAAGAGGCTCCGGCGGAATCCGGCGTCAATCCTTCGTCGGTCAACAGCCAAGTGACCATTCGAAGCCCTCGATTGAAGCTGCAATTGGTTTGGCAACAGCCGTCGGTGGATCGTAGGAGTCTTTTTGGAGATGCGTGGGGAGGATGGTGAGGCTTTTCTGTAGGTTTGGATGACGTGGCCGTGGGCTGACACGGATAGTGAACACACTCTCACAAATGCCAGTCCTTCAAGTGAGGCTTTATTTGGCTTTAGCGCACGTTGTATGTACTGTACTGTACTGTATGTCTCCCCCAACTGGGTCTCCCCAACTGGGTCACCAACTGGTCTAGTCTCCGTGAGTCCGTACCAAGCTTTTTGAACGCATATAAAATGAGGTGGGGTCCCATGTCCGTCGAGGGGCTAGAGGCACACATCGCACACCAAGTTCACCTATTCTTCCAGCCCATCAAGCCATGCTCGCCAACCATATCTCGCACCTGCTGCTCCCGCTGGTCAGCTTATTGGTCAGCAGTGTGTTCGCGTACCCGACCTCGGAGGCCAAGGGGGCGCGAACCGTTGCCCACTTTCCAAAGTCCACCTGGATCGAAAACATTGCCGTGCGAGCCAACGGCAAGCTTTTGGTGACAACCCTCCTCCCCGACGCAGCCCTGTACCAGGTCGATCCTTTTCACCCTCATCAGAAACCCGTCCTTGTCGCCAATTTCACATCGGCAACTGCATCGGGTGCGTTTGGCATTGCCGAGCTGTCGAAGGACTACTTTTTTGTCGCCACAAGCAACTGGACCAACAACGAGACCGCGCAGCCCAACACGGTGTGGAAGATTAATATGGCAAAGTTTGACGTAGCTCCCCACGGCAAAAGGCACATCGAGAAGGTGATCGACATAAGCGACGCCGGGGCGCTCATCAACGGCGTTACCGCCCTTGACAAGAGAGCCGGAACCCTACTCCTCGGCGACAGCAACCAAGGATGTGTCTATGCCCTCGATACGGTCGCACGTTCGTATAAGAAGGTGCAGGATCACGCGTCCATGAAAGCTGTACCGGACAGCGCACTGCAGATTGGCATTAACGGTATCCACGTCTGGAACGGCGCCTTATATTTCACCAACACCGATCAAACCACTTTGACCAAGGTTGCCATTGCAAAGGACGGCACCGCAGCGGGGCCGTACGAGCTCGTTGCCACCCTTCACACCATCGTCGACGATCTCGCGATCGGGCAGAACGGCGACGCGTACATCACCACCGGACCGACAAACTCCATCGAGCTCGTCCAGCCGGACGGGTCCGTTAGGAGGATCGCAGGGGGCAACGCAAACTCGACGCTTTTTGCTGGAACTACGGCGGCCCAGTTTGGCCGTATTGCCGGCGACCGAACGGTGCTGTACGTCACAACCAATGGTGGCCTCGCTGCCGGTACGTTTGACGACGGCGGACGGGTCGTGGCCGTTCAAACGCGATGAAGATTGGTGAAGGTCGGGGTGACATCATCTTGAGGGACCTATGTAGAGACGGCCGAGATAGGGAACTTTTGTGTCATTTGGGTATCTCTACAGTGAAAATTGTGCCGTAGCTTCTTCCCCTCCCTCCTATCGCAGATAGATGGCGTTTGTCGCTGGTACATCGTGCTACGCCAAGCTCCGCAGCTGCACTCACTAATAGTCTATGTTATATACATCAGTACTGTACAGTACATCCCGTCCGCGTTTTACCAAGCGTCCTCTACAACACGGTCGCAGCAACCCACTTAGGCACGACACGGGAGAGGTAATCCATAAATTTCCACATGCCCACTTTCAGTTCCATATTCCCCGCCACGTCCGTTCCCAGTTCAGGGAACGCTATGCCGACGCCGTACAGTCCAGGAGCAATGACGCTGGTTTTGTTGTCGTACGGGATCGGATTAGGGAGACCTTCGACGCTTATGGTATGGACGCGTCGTCCATAACAGCGTTGCACTTCCTGGTGCACTAGTTCTTTCATGGCGCTGTCGAATTTGTCACTTGATCCAGTCAGCATGTTGACGATTTGCTTGAAGGTTTGTATGGTGGATATGGAGAGAAGCTGTGCTCTAGGATGGGATTGGAGACTTGTGTCAGACTGGTTGTGGGTAACACAGAAAGTGAAAATCGTTGGGAAGCAGAACGGGCAACAGACTATATAGCGCGCTTGACAGCCTCTCTCCACAAACCATCTAAAACCATGCAGCCCTCGACAGGCGCAGGAAACAGCTATTCATTTTCCCACATTGGCCTTTGCCGAGCTTGATCATCATGAGCGAAAGAAGTCACATTGTTCGATCCTTGTAAATATGACACATATATAACGACACTGAACCCCGGGAGCAACGCCATATGTACGATCTCGCACATTTTTCCGATCGTGAATAGGTAGGTACTCGTGCTGAACTACATATCATATTCGATATATTCTCATCCCATGCTCTGAGGAAAGTATAACGATTACAGGGAATGGGATGCCCATCCTCCCACCGATGTCGCTTCGAGGTTTGTGACGATGGCCTAGTTGGATAATGTTGGATTCGAGCAGATTCTGCTCGGTGGCTGTGCGCACTTAGCTCTCGCAGCGCATTGTTTAGCTTTGTCGTTTGCGACGCCCGTGATGACCTTGACCCCTTACTAAAAATATTCATACGTCGTTGTTTTCGTCGGAGGGAGAGTTCCGGGGGTTGACGCTTGACGAGACTTTGACGAGGGTCGAATTTCGATGTAACGAACACGTGGCGCTGAGCACCTTAATGACTGGCCCCAAATGGTGACGCGGACGTCGCGAAGTTTTATGCTTTTGGCCGATCTCAAGCGACTTAATAAGTTAAATACAGGTGGGGGGGACACAGCCCCGTCTGAGTCATCGGGGATTCGGGGCAAACTCTAATAGCTACCGAGGAGTCGGGCACAATGAGCGCATGGCGTTGCAATGACCAGCACAGCGGTATGGGTGCTTTGGGCCCCAAACCCCCGCAATGCGTGATGGGCGTGCATTATGAAAAACGCCAGTTTATGATCAATGCCAACCACAGAACTTGGCGTGCTTGGGCATGAGGCGGTGCTTGTCGGGCTTCATCACGGCATCTGGATCCTGGACTGCCAGCCAGCAGCGGGTGGGTGGCTAACCTAGTTGAAATTATCGCCTGTTGCGCAAAAGGCAAAAGGCAAAGAAAGGCAAGCCGGGCCGTAAAAACATCCTTCAAACGCGATATAAGGTTTGAGCAAACCCCAACCCCCTCCTCAACCCTCGCGAGAAGGCAAAACCCCAACGGACTTCGAAACGGGCTTTCCTGGATTTTTCTCTCGCTCAGTCGCCCAGTCCTCATATACCTACTTAATCGGGACGTCCGGGTAAGACTGCACTTCATAGGAATCTCACAATCACCAACCCCAGGTATGTGTACTTTCGTTGCGTGACAGCAGTCCTTTATTTTCCCATGCGAGTCCCTCTAACCTCGTCAGTCAGCAGAACCCACGAGTATCATGTCGGCGCCCGACCACGTCGCCCTCAAGGTGGACGGCGGTGAACAACCCACAACCACCACCCAGAAGCCAAAACCATCTTCCAACTCCGGCGAATTCGGAATCAGCCCAGACGCCATCTACGACCTTGTCGACCCAAAGAACCCTGAAGAGTATGCCAAGTTGGGCGGGATCGAGGGGATGCTGAAGGCCTTGAAGGTTGACGGCAACAAGGGTCTCATCACAGCGGGCTCGGGACCAAGCTATGCTCAAAACTCCCTCACGGTGGAGGACCATAAGGGTGACGCCTCTGCGCATGGAGCGCAACCTGTCGACAGGGCAGCGCGAGTGGCAGTGTACGGCACAAACACCCTCCCGGAACCCATCTCCAAGTCGCTCATCGCTTTCATGATAGACGCACTGAAGGACAAAACTTTGATTGTTTTGTGTATCGCGGCGGCGGTTGAAATCGCGGTGGGTATCTACAAGCTCGTAGATAAGCACGATTCCCTTGCCATCATTGATGGTGTCGCCATTATCGTTGCTGGTGAGTTTCCGGAATTTTGTCCACTCACGTCCAACACGAATTTCCTTTAATTTTCCTCCATGATTCCAGTGCTGATTGTGGTTTTGGTGGCATCCATCAACGATTATCGCAAGCAAGCGCAATTCCGTAAGCTCAACGACTTTAGCAAATCCTTATCGGGTATCAAAGTCATTCGCGATGGAGAGAAAATTCAGATTCCCACCAAGGAGTTGCTTGTTGGGGATATCTGCACGCTCGAAGTCGGTGACGTGTTACCGGCCGACGGTGTGCTCCTCCAGGGTTTCAACGTGGAGACCGACGAGAGTTCCCTCACCGGAGAGCCCGTGAACATCCGCAAAGACATGGTCAAGGACCCTTTCCTGTTGTCCGGGACCAAAGCTGTCAGCGGAATGGGGAAATTCCTCGTTATCGCCACCGGTGTCAACTCCTTCAACGGTCGTACCATGCTTGCTCTTGAAGTCGAGGCGGAGGAAACACCGTTGCAATCCAAGCTCAGCAAGCTCGCCGATGAGATTGCAAAGTTCGGTGTCGGCGCCGCAGGTGTCATGATCGTCATCCTCCTTATCACCTATTTCGCTATCACCAAGGGTCAGCGCCCTGGTGACGAAATCGCTCAATCCCTCATCAACATCTTCATCACCGCCATCACCTTGGTTGTCGTCGCTGTTCCCGAAGGTCTCCCGCTGGCCGTCACGCTGGCTCTCGCACACGCAACGATCAAGATGTTGGCTGACAAGAACTTGGTCCGTCACTTGTCTGCTTGTGAGACCATGGGTAACGCCACTACTATTTGCTCCGACAAGACGGGAACCCTTACTCTGAACCGCATGACCGTCACCTCTTGCCTCATCGGTGACCACGAGTTCCACAAGGAAGACCTTCCCGGCAAGCTGAAAGACATGTACAACGAGCGTAAAGAGCTCCTGCAGTTCATGACCTTGGGTGTCAACATCAACTCTACCGCTTCCGAGGGCAAGAACAAGGACGGCGAGACTGTCTTCAACGGATCCAAAACCGAGATTGCGCTCCTGAACTTGACCAAAGGTCTCGGATTCCCTTACCAACCTGACCGTGACAACACAAAAGTCGTCGATCTGCAACCCTTCAGCAGTGAGCGCAAGCGTATGAGCGCCGTCATCGAGCTTGCGCACAACGCCGAGTTTGAGGCGAAGACCGGAATCACACATGGCCCTTCGGTCACCAACGGCAAGCGCTACTGGGTGCACGTCAAGGGTGCTTCCGAGATCGTGCTCAGGATCTGCGACAGCTACGTCGACGAACATGGCACCACTCAACCATTGACCGACAAGGTTCGTCAGCGTTACGAGCAGTTGATCGACTCGTACGCCAAGCAAGCCCTGCGGACCATCTGCGCTGCTTTCAAGCCCACCGCGCACTCTGGCGAGACTACCGAGAGGAAGGAGGGCGAGGGCATGGATGACGAGGAAGGTCTTACCTTGTACGCCATCTTCGGTATTCAAGACCCCGTCCGTCCCGAAGTGCCCGGCGCCGTCAAGCAGTGCATGGACGCAGGTATCCGTGTTCGCATGGTTACTGGAGATAACATCGCCACCGCAAAGGCCATCGCTACAGAGTGCAAGATCTACACTGAAGGAGGTATTGTCATGGAGGGTCCTGCCTTCCGCAAGCTGTCCGAAGAGCAGATGGACGAGATGCTACCTCGCCTGCAAGTCCTCGCACGTTCAAGCCCGCTTGACAAGCAGATCCTGGTCCGTGCGTTGAAGCGTCTGGGAGAGACTGTCGCCGTGACCGGTGACGGAACCAACGACGCCCCTGCGCTGAAAGGCTCCGACGTCGGTTTCAGTATGGGAATCACCGGAACGGAAGTCGCCAAGGAAGCCTCGGACATTGTCATTCTCGACGACAACTTTGCCTCGATCGTCAAGGCCGTCCTGTGGGGTCGGTCCGTCTTCGATTCCGTGCGCAAGTTCTTGCAGTTCCAGTTGACTGTCAACGTCTCCGCCGTGCTCATCACCATCGTCACCGCTATCGACACCACCGCTTCCAAAGAAACAGGCAAACATATCCCCGAATCCGCTTTGACCGCCGTGCAGCTGCTGTGGGTGAACTTGATCATGGACACCCTGGCCGCCTTGGCTCTCGCGACCGACCCGCCTACACCTGACCTCCTGCAACGCAAGCCATCCCGCCGTAACGAGCGGTTGGTCAACTTCCCCATGGCGCGCATGATCATCGGACAGGCTATCTACCAGATCGTGGTCTGCTTGGTGATCTACTGGATGGCGCCAATCTGGTGGCCTGTTGACCCGAGCATCCCCAAGACGGACGAGGATTACTACAATATGGACACGGGCAAGTCGCATTCGCAGAGCACCATGGTCTTCAACGTGTTTGTGTTTTGTCAGGTGTTCAATGAGATCAATGCGAGGAGCATCACGCGTGGTATGTATTTCCATTTCCCTTCCGTTACTGGCATGAGGGAAAGGAGGCCCATATGGCTGACATTCTCTGTTCTCTTCAGACCTGAACATTTTCAAGGGCATCATGGGCAATCGCATCTTCCAAGGGGTCATCCTCATCACCATCGTCCTCCAAGCCATCATTGTCGAATTCGGCGGCCCGGTCTTCAAAACCCAAGGCGGCCTCAACGGCGTCCAATGGGCCGTCTGCCTGATCGTCGGTCTCGGATCTCTGCCCGTCGGCGCCATGATCCGCCTCCTCCCCGACTGGCGCAAAAACCGCGACGAGGACGCCGACCCGCGCGAAGCCAACAAGCAGGAAATCGAGCTCGAGAATGTCGGTCGCGCTGGCAGCGGTGACGTACACGGTCAACAGGCACCAGAGGGTGGCCACTCCACCGCCGCTTTGGTGGGCGAGGAAGGCCAGGAAGGCGTCAAACCCGCCGACAAATGGAACAACGCGATCCGCATGACCCAGATGCAGCTCCAAGTCATCAAAGCCTTCAAGCCTCCTCATGGCCACCCCAGTCCCGTCCTCTCCCCGCGCCGCCCGCCGCCACCCGGTCGATCCGACACGATGCGCTCTGCGGAGCTGTGGCAGCGTGCGAGGACGGTGCGGTCGACGATTGGGGTTGTGAACGCGTTTAGGGGCGGGAGGAGACGTAATGACCCCGTGGTGACGCTGCAGATGTTGGACGCGGGGACGGCGAGGGATCACGCAAGGCCGGGGAGTAGGGCGAGTATGAGGACTAATGGGAGTTACCGGTAGTCGATGGAGTTGGAATCGACCGACGCTTTGATTCTTTAACAAGGCTTCGCAACTTTTGCCCTTTCGACCGCTCCGCGTCCATCCCTTCTCTTCGCTTTAAAAATACGGGACGCTATGACCCTTACCCTGCTTCAACAACGCATCGCAAAACCCCCTGCATCCCACATTCGTACTCATTCCCGATCCCACACTAGATAACTCCTCTCTTACCCTCCTCCCTCTTAGTCTACTCTTTTGGTCTCCGACACGCTTTGATTCATGGTTCCGTGCTTGATTCCTCTCATTATCATCATGTTATATTATTCTTCGTGTGGGGCACGTACTGTACTCTTCTTTAATTACGATTGGATTGGGTTTCTACTCTTGAAGTTGGGGGGTGATGGTTTGGCCGGGGGGGTCCTTCCGAGGACGATCCGGACATGAAGTGCGTTCAAAAGTCCAGACGTGCAACGAGCTCCACGGAAGCCCAACGGGATCAGGACAGGACATTGCACGCCTCCGTATAACCTAGCCCACGGAGCAAACATAGTTCGCACCTCCACTTTCGGATCCCTTGGTCTCAGGGTGGTGCACCACGCAACGGGCGACTGACTCCGTTCAGAACAGCACTTGGACTGGGTTTCCCGATCCCCTTTGTCCGAACGTCCATCGCTGAACCTCGACCTTCTCGCTATCCGACAAACCGAACGGAGACATCGACACTATCCTGGGTACGCAGAACGCGACTAGACCTGGGGGTTTGACGGTGTTGGGAAAAAACGACTTGGGGGAAGTGATGCTAGCGAATGGATTCCGGGGGTACGTTGCATCTCGAGAGGGGTATGCCTCGTATCGTTTTCCTGGACGAGCTAGTTGGTCTTTTTATATTATCCAGCATCAACCCACTCACCCACTCACCCCTCCCACCCGAGTGCAGCCCCACCATCGCCCGCCGAAATGGACCCTGCCTCCCCGCCACGCGCCAAAGCGACGCTAGGCAAGCAGAAACTCCCGATGCGGCTGATTGGGGACAAGACGCGGCGCGGGGTGACGTTTAGTAAGCGGAAAAATGGGTTGTTGAAGAAGGTAGGGGGCTGCGAGAGCGAGGGCGGGGGTGGTGTATGGAGGGATGGGTGAGAGGATTCATGGGTGAGGGGATTGAGCGCTGTGGTGCATGTTTTTCAATCATTTCTCGTTGCTCAAATACCCCCCCCAAAAAAAAATAACGCTAAAATCTCATATCCCGTCCCCCACAACAGGCGTACGAACTGACCCGGCTAACAGGAACCCAAGCGCTGCTGCTGATCGCCTCCGAAACGGGGCAGGTCTACACCTTCGCCACGCCTCGGTTGCAGCCCGTGCTCAACTCGGACGCCACGCGGGAGCATATACAGAGGTGTTTGAATGATGGGGATGGGGATGATGATGGGGGTCGGGGCGACGGGAGGATTGGGAAGAGGGGGAGGGGGAGGGAGGTGGAGAGCAAGGCGGGCAAGGGGGGCAAGGGGAAAGGGAGGGTGGTGAGCATACATGACAATGCGTTGTTTGAGTTGAGTACGAGGAGGGTGGAGAGTGGGGATGAGGAGCTGGGTGGTGATGAGGGTGGTGCGGCTGGTGACGGCGGTGCTGGTGGTGACGTCGAGAATACAAACGATGAGATGGAAGACGATACCGCGAATGGCAACGACGAGATGGAAGACGATTCCCCAAACGAAGACACCGAGGAGATCGAATATAAGCAAGAACAAGACGAAGAAGATGATGACCCAATATATGACGAAACGACCGAGCAGGTAGGCGACGACGACGACCCGCAACCAGACCACTCCTCCAACGCCGAAAACGACAACGAAAACAATGACAACAATGATGACGAGTACCCCCGCGACCCAACCCCCGTCATATCCGACGACCACGGAGCCGGGGATCTCAAACCCGACCCGCTCGCCTTGCCCACGATCACGGAGACGATATTGGGTGACGATGACGACGATGGCCGAGGGGGTGCCGGGTTCGCCGAGGCGTGTGAGGCGAGTCTGTCGCCCGCGGCTGGGGTCAAGGTCAAGGCGGCGGAGCGGGCGGGCATACCAGCCCACGCGGCGGCTGCCGTACGCCCGCCAGCTGGTCTGGCGCAGTTTGGTGGATACCCGCCGCCCGCGTTTGGGCCGTATCCGTTCGCGCAGATGCAACAGCCTTTCAACCCACAACACTTCACAGCCGCCGCACATCCACCACCACCACCGCCCCACCCCTTCATACCCGCCTCCCAACTGCCCTGGACCCACCCACCACCACCACCCTTCCCCCCTCCTCCCCACCCATTCCCCCACCCGTTCTACCCCCCCTTCCTCCCTCCCGCTCAACAACCGCCAACAACAACAACAACCCCACCCCTGCAATGGAAATACCAACACTACGCGAACCAGTTGGGCGTCATTGGACCCTACCGCCCCCGACAGCATGTGCTGGGACCGGAGAAGGCCCGGCCAAAGCAGAGGGTTTTGAAGCCGAAAGTGGGGATGGACGTTGAGCGGATGGTGGGGATGGGGGTTGCGGCGTTGAGGCCTGAGGGGGCGGGTGGGAGTGGGCAAAGGGAAGGTGGGCAGAGGGGGAGGAAGAGGAGGCGGGTTGAGGATGGCGAGGATGGGGATGGTGAGGAGGTGGTGGTGGTGGTGAAGAGTGAGCCGCCGGAGGATGGGTGATAGTCGTGTGGACTTGAAGAGTTTTTGGGCAAAACAGTCTTTTTTCCCTTTTTGCGCCCCTGGAGTTTGAAGAAGGGCGAGCAGATACCTCCCTCACCGGCGTAAACAGGCATTTTACGTATGTAGGGATGAGCGAATTCATATATTCGAAGCAAACAATAAGGGATGGAGAGAGTAATGACAAGAGGCAGAGTTCTCTATGTGACAAAAAGGGGCAGGGGAGCAAAAATTCCGTGTTGTGTGTACGAAGGCAGTGGGACAGACGAGGATATGTTTACAGGCGGCAGGTTTGCCCCGTTTTTTGAGCTTCTAACGCATTCCCCCTTGAGTGACCTAGTTGGGCAAAGCCGCCAAGAAGGCATTCTCATGGAATACCCGTCCCTTCAACGTCAGCTTCTCCTCTCCTATTGTCACATTCGCCGTCGCCTCCTCAAACCACTGGTACACAAACGGCGCAGTCAAGAACGTCTGAATAAACTTCCTTATGAGGTACGGCAGTTCGCCCAGGAGGTCGATTTTATCCAACAGTCTGTTCAGGGGCACCTTCATATCGATGTGGATCGCGCGGCCGTCCTTGGCGAGACCGGACCATTTGTATTCGGCGGCGGAGGGGATTTCGTAGCCGGAGAAGGGGTCGTGGGAGGTGTTTAGGATCTTTGTGAAGTTGTCGAGGGTGACGGCGATTGTTTTGTTGTTGAGCACGATGTAGCCTTCGGAGCGGACGCGGAAGTCGTAGTCGTAGCCGTCGGGCATTTCGAACTGAGAAATCAGAGTGAGAGGTTAGGAATCACTTTCGTATAATGTTTGTGAGCAACGTGGATGACATACCTGGTACATGAGCAAGGCGTCCTTCTCATTTTGGAAGTCAACGAAACTCCACCGCGCGACACACTGCGGCACCTTCTGGATCGCCTTGACAAACAATCCCGATCCAGAAATGTCATGCAGCTTTCCATCAGTAGTGATGTGTCCCGTCACCTTCGCCTTGGGAATGAACTGGGCCTGCACGTAACCCGCGGCAGGGTCAGCCGCCTTGAAAGGGTGCTTCCCACCGTTGACCTGGCTAAATCCATCGACGGCGACAAACTCAAAGTCGGCCATGAAAGCGGGCGCGGCGTGCAGGGAGACCTTGTATGCCTTTCTCTCGGCGTCGAAGGTGACTTTGATGTTCTCGCATTGCACGGAGAGTTTGTCGTCGGTGGGTTTGAAGGAGCCGCCGGAGAGGGTGGCTGTGTGGCGCTTCTTGAAGCCGTCGGCGCCGTGGTAGGCTGCTGATACTTGGACTGAGGGACTCCAACTCATCGTTGAGTATGCGATCTGGGATTTAAGAAGGAACCTTGTGAGTTCTTCGAGAGCACTTCTCGGGAACAGAGCGAGTCAAAGAAAGCGACAATGGCAAGCGATGGAAGTTGCTGATAGTCTTTGCCTCTGTGAACCTCTTGTCGCTCGCCTGAGCTAGACTCGGAGGACATGCGTTCGCGTACAGTTTCGTACAGTTTCACGCTCCCCATGCCACTTTCCCACGCTCGCCATCCCATTTTCCCACGCTCAGAGTGCACTCTCGTGGCGCCATGCATTTTGCCCAATCCACCCCGTTTCCCTCAAAATAGCCACCGTCTCTCTCCAGTCCGTCCAGTCGCTTCCGCTCGGCACAGTCCTCGCAATTTCTCTCCACGATTCTTTGCACCCATTCCGTCCCAAAATCTTCACCCCGAACGCACCTGAACGATCGCAAAAGCACCGTCGTCGGCATGAATATAGAAGGTGTTTGCCTCAGTGGCGTAGCTCGGGTCCTGGACCCACTCCAAGTCGCCGAGCGAGACGTCGGAGGTTGCGACAACGTTTGTAGCTGGGAATAAGAGGGGAAAGGGTGAGTGTCAGAGCGGGACGAACTTGACACGACATCATGCCCAGAAACGGGGGACAGTGCGAGTTGGGCAAGGTATTTGCGAGAAGGGTGAGACCTACACATTGCGGATGACTTGCTTCCGCTTTGGTTTTGGGTGGGGTTGGATTGAGTTTGCTTGTCTGGGCTTGGTTGATATGCAAGTTGTTGAAGGCGGCCACGTCAACGGCCTGTTTCTCGAGACCAGCCCGAGACGACGCTTTCCGGTTAGGCCGGCCCTTTCTGCGCGTTGAGGAGGCATGTGCGCATCACTGAATTTATGAAGCACGGGCGCTCGCCGTTACGATCGTTATTTCCCAGGTTAATCCCCCCACAGTGTTCGCGAGAGGAAAAACAATGTCGAAAAACATCTGAGCTGAGCACGTGGGGATTCTCTACAGTCACATGACTTGTTCGGGAAGAACGGGAGAACACACCCTGTGAGCCGTCAATGGAAGATGAGGCCACCCTGTCAAAAGCAATGGCCCCCTGACGCCTCCTCCCCAACCTAGTCTGGCATCCATCAACCAACTCACTCATCATTCTTGCGCCCAAACCGTCCGTCTCCTGGGCCGTTGCTTCGCCCTCCCCGCCCTCCTTGCTTTCAGGGTTCTCCGCGGCGATGCAGCAAGGTAAGCAAGCGTTCAAACCTCCAGTAGTATTCAGATGAGCTCGCGTAGGTAGATCTTGCAGATACGGCCGATAAATCCATCTCACACGAGTCCGACAACGATATCTGTTCTAACGCGGCTGAATGCATTATTGATGTGGGCGTATGTAAAAGATCTCGGCCTCCATATCCTGGGATTGCTGCTGCCCAGGGAAATCTTACTGAGGATAGCGTTAATTGTAACCGAGATTACGATACGAGGCGAGCTTCTCCCAATGCCCATCCCAGAGTGACCAGCTCACAAGACCCGTCAGTGGGATACCTCGCTTCCAATGAGCGTTTTTGGGGTCCGAACTTGGAGCCACACGCCGCAGAGAATCGATTGCAGATCCAGAAATGCACACAGCTCAGGTCATCTCCCGCTTCCAAAGATCGGATTATGGCTGCGCTCCCTCGCACCACCGCGGACGAATGAATGATGCGCGGACGGACGTGATGGATATCCACTTGTGTTCCACGTAACCACTTTCCCAAAAAAAAGACGAGTATTGTGCCATGATGGGGGGCGAGAAAAAAAAAGAAACACTGCTGTGACATACCCTTGGGATCGGTCGCTGCTACGTAGTAAACAGACTCTCGCTCTGTATGTGCGGGCTTGCATATAAGGAGTGCTGTCTAGACTCGGCCTTCACACTGTGTCGTAAGAGATCTTCCTGCCCTCGCATTTCAAGCATTCCATACGCTTCTTGAACGTGCCAATTCAACCAAGAGCACACCTCGAACCCCACGTACTGTACATACATACCTTTTCATACGTATCTAGCAACCCGTTCCGTCCTGTCTAGCCAGACCACAAGCGTCAGCTCCAAGACCACACCACTCGTTACCACCCCCTCAGTACCGTCATGCCATCCCACGGGCACACAAAAGTCCTCGCTCCCCTGCACACCGCCCTCCCCTCCAACCTCAACACCAACACCCTCTTCGACGCCTCCATCGACGAATCCCGCTCCCTCGCCGCCGACTGTCTCGCCCCCGCGCGTCGCCACTCCTCCGTGGCCGCACGCCGCGTCAACCACATCGGGCGTGCGTTCCGTTTCGGCAACAGCAAGAAAGGCGCCGCGAACACCGTGAAGCAACGGACGGTCGTGGACATCGCCGCGGACATCTACCGCCAAACCAACGACCTCGCCGCTTCCTACGACTCGTTCACCGTCAACGACGAGATCGTCCAGGCCGCTGTTCGTGAGGTAAAACACACCCCCTCCCCACTACATCACCCTCCCCACTACATAAACTCACACGCACCCCGCCCCTTTTCATCATTCAGACCCGCCTAACCCCCCGCCGCCCGGCCACCCTCCCCACCCCACACCCAACCCCCCTGCACGTGATGCACGACCTGCACCGCATCCTGCACTCGGGCCACGCCGCGGACGAGCTGGTCGAGCTCCTCCTGCGCGAGGCCCGCCGGCGGCAGTGGGAGAACGCCGCGAAGGGGAACTTCGGGTCGCTCTCCTTCTGCCTAAATCAGAATCAAAATCAGAACCAGAATCAGAATCGAGCCCCACCCACCACCACGCATGCCTCAAACGCGGCTAAATTCTCCGACGCGACGACGGCGACGCAGACGCTCATGCGCGAGATGTATGACCGGATCACGCCGGCGGGGGCTGCGGATGCCGAGGGGATGCTGGATGTGTTGTTGAGGGAGGCTAAGGCGGCTGCGGCGGCTGAGACGGGGCCGTCGGCGGAGGATAGTGCGAAGGGGAAGAAGAGGGGTGTTGGGGCCAAATTGTGAAGTGGGGGTTTGAAGTGTGAGTTGCGGGATGGGTGCAGTACATTTATCGCAGTCTGGCTGGCGCGGGTGTGAGTAAGGGAGGCTGTGCTTTGCATGGGGTTGGGAGAGAGAGTCCGATATGATCTGCACGTATTCGTTTTGTTCATGACATGTCAAGGTGGTTTTCTCCGTCCATGTGATTTTTTTTGGGGGGGGGGGGGGGGGGGGAGGGGAGAGGGGCGGGAGAGAGGGGCGGGAGAGAGGGGCGGGATACTTGCATTTTCATGTTTTCATGTTCCAAATATACCAAAAAAAAAACGCAAAAGTCAAATTTCGTATATTTGCAGCCGAGCGATACGCACAACACGTTCGCACGAACGAAACGTACATTTTACAAGATATACATAAATAGAGGGGACCTAAAGGCCCGGGCAGTGTTTTGAGGGATGCGCGGTGGGGATGTTGTGCGGAGTGTATAGTTGGGGGCGCGGGAAGAAGGGGAGGTGGCGGGGAACTGTTGTGTTGGGGAAATACGAGCTTGACGATTGCCGATACGTTGTCGTCACCGTAACCGCTTCCACAGCAAGACCCCTTCCCATACGCTCTACGTAAGGCCCGGCACAACGGTGCATGCGAGAGCAGTAGAGTTCATACGCACCACCCGCCATCCTTTCCTGCTCCCACAACCCTCCCCCCCCCCCCCCCCCCCCGCATCGCTCAACATCTCCCTTTCTCCCTCCACACCTCAATACCTGCTCGTCCTCCTTTCCCCACCCCCAGGCGACCGCGACCGTCTCCGTTCCCTATCCCTTCCATGCTCCCGGTCCCTCTCCCCACCCCCACCGCTCCCCGGCCGGTTATAATCCTCGCGTTGGTCGTATCGCCGTCCGCCACCCCGTCCATGATCCCCATACCCCCCGGGCCGGCGATCATACCCCCCATACCGTCCCTGCCCGCCCTGCGGGGGCCCGCCATACCCGCCCCTATCACCTCCGTACCCTCCACCGCCGCCGTATCCGCCCCTGGGGCCGCCACCGTACCCGCCGCGGCGCATGTCACCACCGCCTCCGTGGTGATCCCGGTTGTTGTAGTGCCCGCCGTCATGGGAGTTGTTGTTGTTGTTGTAGTTCCCCCCGTTGTTTTGATGAGAGAAGTGTCCGCCCCCGCCGCCGAACGCGCCGCCAGCGCTGAACCCGGATTTTTTCATTTCGTCGACTTGGTCGCGGATTTTGACAAAGCCCATGTGCATCTGTCATGGAGAGAGAGTGTGTGAGTATGGGAACAAAGGCAGCGGACTGAACAAGGAGGGGCGATGGAGTGATTTGGTTTACCTTCCCGCCAAAATGATCCGCCAGCCGCCTATCACTATCAAAGATGGACAGATACGCAGAGCACACCTCGCACACTCGCAGTTTCTGCTGTTGCGAGTTTCCCTCGGCGCCCGTCAACTGTTTCAATTCCCTCTGCAAAATGACACACCCGTCAATAACTCTTCCCCAACTTAAGAAGTCATTTTCTACCCCTTGGGGATGGAAAAAGCCCCTACCTCTTTGTCATCCTTCAGCTTTTGCAAATCCTCCACCTTGTTCATGAGCTCCATCGACTCGGTCACTTTTCCTTCCTCGCCCAACGTCTCCACCTGTCCCGTCAGCGTCGCGATCTCGTTCGTCAGGTCCCCGATCTCCCTGCTCTGTCGTTCATCAGAAAAACATCAAGTGCGTCAGTATGCATAAGAGAAGCAGACCATCCGGTGAAAGTCCCAAGTGGGGAGATACGCACCAACTGCACCGCCCGCGCATCCTCCGGCGTCTTATCCAGCCGTCTCTGCGCAGCATCCACCTTCCGATCGCAATCCTTGACAAACTCCGAAAGCGAGCGGAACCATTCCTCCTGGAACCCCGGGTGTCCCGCCTCGCTGACGGCGCGCTTGTATTCTTCGAGGAGTTTGGGGGAGTGGGATTTGTTGCAGGGGCCGATGTCCATCTTCGTGTTGGTGAAGAGGTCGTGGGGGCCTGGCCGGGGGTGAAGGGAGGGTGGTTAGAGAATTTGTGGAAAGTGCATCCCACGGATCAGCAGGGGTGATCACGTCGCCATACACAGCAACTGAGACATAAAAACACCCTGATATCCCCTCCGTCATCAACTCACATAATCCACAAAGGTAATCCTTGCAGACCTGCGGATCTGTAAACTTCATATTGTCAGGCACGCCGCCGAGGGCCTCTTTGCCCATCAGCTCCTCAAGGAGCTTGCGTTGCAGGGCGGCTGACATTGTCGGCTATGTAAAGGCTTGCTTTTGTGTCGACAGGTGGATGGGTGAACGGTGGTGTGGAGTGGGTGTTGTGTTGTGGAGTGATCTTCAATATTCTCACTGAGTTGTGGTTGAGGTTGGGGGGGGGGGGGGGGGGGGGGGGGGAGATCTCCGTGGAAAGGAAAGCCAGGAGAATCGGACGAGGAAGCGCGTCGGACGTCTCTTTTCTCTTCCCCACAGCACATCGACACATTGGGAGACAGACAGACAGACAGACAGACAGACAGACAGACACAGAGACCGGGCTAGATTCCCACATCCCCCTATGCCCATTGATTGATTAACTTACCCCCCCGAAAACCCCAACATGCCTATCTACATCCTACACCAAAGTCTACCTACTCCACTTCATCCCAACCAAAATGAACAGCCTTCATCCTACGCCAATAACCGAGCTACGCTAACATGGCCGCACCGACGCTCAAATGACAAACAAAGGCGTCTCAGTCCGCGTAGACGGCAAGGCGTCCAGCAGCCCAACAACTTTCGCATGCGACGCGAGTGCGGGTGCGGGTGGCGGAGCTGTTGCGTTGATCTTTTTGCGTGTTTCTGATTCAAAAAGCTGTTTTTGCATGAATAACGAGCGTGAGTGAAAAAGTACAAGTGCGAAAGGAAACGAGTCCCCAGCAGATACTTGGACAACATACCGAAGTATAAGAATGATCCAAGAAATCCTCCATATCATACATATGCTGTTTAGCGATCGGCTGCTCAAACACGCGCACTAGGCCCGAGATTGTGTGCAGGTAGTGCGTTTTGAGGGTTTGCATTTCCCAGAGTGAGCTTTCGAGGGCGCGCGATTTTGCGGGGTCCGTTTCGGTGGGGAGGTAGGGATCTGCACAGCGAGGGGAGAGATGGGGAGTCAGCGGGAGACATTGAGGAGTGTGGAGGAAAGCAGGCGGCAAGTACCTGTCATCTCCGCAGCCCCCGGTTCCTGCTCCCTATGGATAATAACCAAACACGCCGGATGCTTCTTCAACAGGTTGAACACAAACGGCACGACCGTAATAATCGCCGCCGGTGACGCATTCAGCGCCAAGCGCGTCAGTTTCTTGATGAACGCCGCAATCAGGTACGACGGTAACTGACTACTCGACAGGAACAGATCCACCAGTCTCAAAAACCTCGAGCGGTACTTGACATGCAGCAGATTCTTATCAAACAGCGCATACAGCTTCGTGTAGAAATCCGGGTAGTCGAGGTTATGTTCCGTCACGAGCGTGAACAGGCCGTTCAGGGCCAACATGCTGACGGCGCCGCCTTGGTCGTACGAGTCGACGAGGAAATCGATCAGGAGGGTCGGGCGCAGCATGTAGGGGATGAGGCGTTTGTGCATGGAGAGGAGCACGCGTTTGTGCATGTCGGCGGACATGGGTTGGCGGAGGAAGGAGAGCCAGGTGTCGCTGAAGACTTTGCGGTGCTCTTTGACGGAGGATGGGGGGTAGGTTTTCTTCTTGGAGGGGGTTGAAGTGGGGGGGAGGTTGTAGTAGTAGGTGCCGAGTTGGGAGTCGTCTGTTGCGGGGTCGCGGATGGCGGAGAGGATGCGGTAGCCGACGTTGACCACTGAGGAGAGCTTATCTGCTGGAATCGAGTATTTGCGGCGCTAGAGGGAGCGAACAGCAGTGTTCAATCCCATTCCTTCGTTGAATTCGGACTTCAAGCAGCCTTACCTTGGTGACTGATTTCACCCCTGCTCCCGTGCTAACTCCGTCAGTCAGAGAAGCCAGATATTTCCTATAACCATCTCCAATCATCAGCAACTGCATCATTCACACGCCTTCACGAGATAACGAAGAATCTACTCACCCAAAGTCCTTGTAGAAGTAATATCGCACATCATCATACTGATTCAAATCCTCCACAATCCTCTGCAACAACTGCTCGCTCATATTCCCATTCACAACCACATTCTCCACGACCGAGTTGAACGCCGCATTCTTGAATTCCTTGGACTGCACGGACATGTCCTTCACGACCTTCATCAGAGAGTCCATCGCCGCGACCTGCATCGCGGGCTCCGTGTGCGACAGGTACCGGTACGCCAGCTGGACGTACATCGTCCGGTTGTCACGCAGCCAGGTCGCTACTTTTGTTTTCACGTCCTCCTCTTTCTCCTCTTCGACCACATTCTTATTCCGTGCCAAGTCTCCTCGTTCTAAAAATCGAGAATAGACGTGTCGCATGGATGTGAACGCTGCGTAGGCGATTTCCTCGTTTTCGCTCTGTTTTTGGTTCAGTAGAGGGAGGACTTTCAGCGCTAAAGTCCAAGGCATGTCCGTGGCACAATACTGTCGTCAAGTTTGAACGTACCTCACATAGCTCCAGAAGCTGTGCTATATTGTTGAGCTTCCCCTTGCTCTCCAGGGCCTCCTTTGCAAGCTGGCGCACTTGTGCCGGTGTGATGCTCGGCCCCTCGTTCTTCGGAGGCACGTTGGGGTTCAAACGTTTGTTTAGCAAGTTCTCCACAGCTCCGCTCGTTGCAACTGGCGGAAAACGACTTTCTGTGAGACACATACCGGTTGGGTGGCCCCGCCTGCGGCTGCTGCTCTCTTCCTCTTTCCGGTGCCAGCCATTTCTGTATAGCCGTTGTTTGTGGTCGGTCGGTGGGTTCGGGCAAGGACTGTGAGAAGACAGCCAACGCCAATTATCGGAGGACAACCCGAAATCGGCTCTTGCGCGCTTACGTGCAATTAAATAGGGGCCTAGTCACGTGATGCAAAGAATCGAAATGGTCCTAACGCGAACCATGTGCTTACGTGAAGGGCTGGAAGGACTGAATGGGCGCGCGCCCAACTTTTGAAAGCGGTGTTCCCATCCGACTTGCTCAACGTCAGAACTCCCTCCCTCTGCTCACCGCCATCCAGCCAGCCGCATAGTCTTCACATTTTCGATGTTGATGCCCACTTCCGGAAGATGTGTGTTCGGGTCGTATTCCAGTCGACGTCGATATTCAATGCTTTCGCGGAGCACCTGGACTTTGAGAAGATGGGGGGTTCGGATCAAGCTCGCCCTTCACATAAAACGAGGGCGGCCGTGACGGTCTGCCGACGACTCGCTAACCGTGCAGAGTAGCCATCTGCCGTCCGTCCAAAAAGAACGCGTACAATTGTCTTCGTCATCCGCAGCTTTGTGTGAGTCCAGCCGCCGCAGAGAGTCGGCGGTTGTTTTTAGGGGCGTAGGTCTATGCGGCAAACGAGAGGGCGTCGCGTACATAGGCAGAGGGTGTAACATGTAAGGGAGCCATTGCTTTGAGAGAAATTATGAGATTATCTCTAAGAGATGCAGTTTATGTGTAAGAAAACCAATAATAAAAACGAGGATACGCTAGATCTCGATCTAGAGAAGGGATGAGAACATTGAAAAGAACGCGCCACAAGCCATGCTGGGGAATGATGACGCAGGTGGTTGTCTCCAAAACAAGCCGCGGCAGCCTCCGTCACATCTCACTGCCCCTTCAAGTCAGCCAAGTACTCCTCATGCAACTTCGCCTGACCCGCATGTTCCTTCTCCACCTTTTTCCGGCGCGACTTGCTAAGCGGTTCGCCAGCGGCATCTTTGGTCGGTATACCCTGCGCGTCCCACTCGGAATACTCCTTGCGCAGCTCGTCCGTCTTGAACATGTCCGCGGGTGCTAGCTTGCCCTTGGCGAGCTTCTCGGCGCGCTTGGCGGCGGCGGCGGCAAGGCGGTCGTCTTTTTCGCGTTGTTTTTGGAGTTCGCGCTGTCGCAGAGAGAGTGCGAGAAAGTATAGTGAGATGTGAGCGTGGGGTGCGATTGAGAGAGGGGGCTGAACAATGTCACGACAGGGGGCGGCCAAGATAGACTGCGAGACCCCTACACAAGGCTTCTACTAACCTCCTTCTTCTCCTCCCTCTGCCTTAACAACGTCGCCTTATCGATCAATTTGACAAGCGCCTTTCCATCGTCACGGTCGTCCAGAACAACTCCAAGCTCGACAAGGTCGTCGTCGCGGAGGCGGTCGCTGAGTTTGAGGAGCTCTTTGTAGTCTGGAATCGCACCAGAAGAAAGCGAAACAATGTGAGTTTCCCAATCGCGAGGCACCAGGGAAGCCAAAAAAAATAAAAGCGGAAACAACGCAAAAAGACGATACGAACCCCCCTTATTCTGCGCCAACTCCCTAACCGCATCCCTAAACCTCGCCAACACCGTCAAATACGGCATAACCGTCTCCTCCACATCCGCTCCTTTCCCTGCCCCTGCCGACACATTCCCAATAGAGGGATTAGCATCCCCAAAGACGCCAAACATACGCATCAGCTCCGTGACATATTTCGCGATCTTGGCGAGCACTTCCGCATTGGGTTGGGTGTTCTTTTGCTTGGATTGGTCAACGTAGTAGCTGTTGGAGGTAGAGATGAGGTCACGGAGTTCGGACATTGCTGTGGGGGTGTTGAAGGAGTCGGCGAGGGCGGCGTGGATGGCGGTTTTCTTTTCTTGAAATCTATTTAGGACGAGTTAGAATGATGGGATTGTCGAATTGGGGGGATGGAAAGGATTACGTACTTTGCGACCAAAGCCTTCTCAGCCTCTCCGTAGTTATGGGCGCCGGTGAAGACGTAGCTGCCGCTCTGCTCGCGAACAACGGCCTTTATCGTTGTCAAGAAGTTCTAAGACAAATGACAAGATTAGCCCTTTCCATCTCATCCCAGTCCATCAACACACAAGCCGCTTTGAGCCCCTACCAAGATGGTATTCTCAATCGCCTTAGCCTCAACCAAAGCCCCAGACGAAAAGTCCAGCACAGTGTCCCATTGATGCAAAAGGAAGAAGATGCGGATCTGTTCAGCGGTGTTATTCTCCAACGCTTGCTGTTGACAGACAGGAAGATCCACGAATGTGAGTTGATGCCATGCGAAATGAGACCGATGTGTGCCAGCATACCTGAATCGTAACAAAGTTCTTCAAACTCTTCGACATCTTCTGGCCTTCAATGTGCAAGTGGCCAGTGTGGAGGAAGTAGTTGACCCATTGTTTGCAGTCGTAGTGTGCCTACAACACATGTGCAGAAGAGCAATCACGTCAGCGAATCGTTGCACTCACACCACGTTTGTTCTTAGGCCAGTTCGCTGGTGCGTCACCTCTCCCTCCCGTAGGGCAGGTACGCCCCCAAACTCATTCGGTGAATGTGCGGGTTTTGGATTCGATCCGTAGGCAAACACTCCCGCCAACGGTCAGAGAAGTCCCACCAGGCCCCTGTGTCCTCTTACTACTCTCCCAGAAGGAGGAAACGCGCGAGAGACAAAAGGGGCCTCCGCTTTTGAAGGTGGGTATAATGTCCACGCCCACGGAGCACGACCCATTGGATCGTGCGAGCGTGGTCATGAGACTCGGGTGAGTCTTCCAGTTCCCGCCTTCGGTCGTCCGAGCCGTAAGCCTCCCAATCCCGTTGCTCTCAAGCTCTCCCTGTGCACGTGATACCCCGTTCTGGAATATCTAAACCCACCTCAGCCTGCGCAATCTCGTTATCGTGATGCGGGAACGCCAGATCGATACCACCGGTATGAATGTCGAGCTGGTCGCCCAACGCTTCGCCAGCCATGACGCTGCACTCAATGTGCCAACCCGGTCGGCCCTGGATGTGTGGTTAACGGGTTCAGCATCAATTTTGATATTCGATCCGAGACGCTTCTGGCATAGTTATGTACCTCACCCCATGGGGACGGCCATGCAGGTTCTCCAGCTTTCGACTTTTTCCACAGGGCAAAATCCGCCGGGTTCTTCTTCCCCTTCGTCTCGACCGTCAGATCACCTATCGGCGAGTGGGGTCAGGTGTCAACCGTTCTCGGGTAGCGACACGGTACAGGGACGCTCATACCCTCTCCCTCCTGCAAGAGCTTCGTGTTTCCCGCCGACCACGGCTCCAACTTTGCGTAGTCGTGGTTTGGGTGCTTCCCGAAGGCCACTGTGTTGAAGTAGACGGACCCTTCAGATTCGTAGCTGGACGACGTTTAGGGGGGGAAGGTAAGCATTATGCGGTACGTCAAGGTGAGGGTGGAAATACATACGCGAATCCGTTTTTGACGATATTTTCAACGTAGGTGACAATTTCCGGGACATATTCACTGACGCGCGTGAGGAGATCTGGCCGGCGGATCTGATGGGATAGAATGCATCAGTGAACGGCAGCAGAGGAAAGACCAAGTCGATATCCAAGCCAACAGGTCAAAACCTACATTCAGTGCATCCATGTCCTTGAAATACTCTTCTTCCCAGTACGCGGCAAAGTCACGGAAGACTTTGGGATCCGTGACACTTGCGCCCTCCTGTCAACGTGTAAGACAGCCGGATCGTGAGGGTGCGAACTGGTATGAAGAGACCGTAGTGAAACATGCACGCACCTTCACGTCAAGGAAAGCAGCAACGATGTCCCTGCTCTCATCGAGCAAAGCATGTGCGCTCTCGACGGAGCTCGATCCGCTTTTGATTTGTTCCCGCGCTACCGTTATGGCTTTTGCAGATCGTCCCTGATTCCCGAAGTGAACCATGTCAGCACCTCAATCGTCTCGACATGGCTACGGACTGAATTGAGTTCCCTCCTGCTCAAAGATCATCACGCCCTCACCGCAGTCTTGACAAACAGGTCATATTTCGCCTCCTCCTTGGCCTCTGGAATGCCTCCTCCCTCGTACTTTGCAAGAAAGGCAGCATACTCCTCAATCGACGCTGGGGCTTGCGCTTTGAACTTCGATTTGCTGTAATCCCTCCATGCTGCCTCCACCGTCTCGAGAAGAGAAGGGGAAAGAGTCTTCGTCTCGTTTCTCAGCCTGTCGAACAGGTACTTGAAGCGAGCCTCTTTGATGATCTAGGTTTCCAAATGGCGCCTATCAATTCGCTGTTCTTCTGCCTTCCCACGGGTGAATGCGAGAGATGATCACCTTATCATCGATGTCGGTAATGTTCATGACGTAAAAGACGTCATATTTGAAGTAGTCCTCCATGATCCTCCGGATGATGTCGAATGCGATGTACGTCCTATCAACAACGAAGACATCGGTGAGTCTCATGCGATTGCATATGGTAATGTCTAAAACGATAGCTGCTCGCACAAGGAGGTTCGGCTCAGTTCCCAGAGAGCATCTCCATGCGCCTTCGCATACCGGGCTCGTTTCGCTCCGTGCAAACATATTGATGCCGCTGTCGTTCAGGAGACCCTCGCTCCGCTCGGTCAATCACAGCTCCCTGTCGCTCGCCACCATCAAGTTGTCCTCCGCTTACGGCACTTCCCATGGTGACCTCCTCAACACCGTCTCCCAATAGCCCCACAAGCTCCCCAATGCCACGCACCTAGCATGCCCCATATGCGAAAAGTCATAAACAGTAGGTCCGCAGCAGTACCAGCCCACTTTGTTCCCATTTATCGGAATAAAGTCCTCCTACAAAAAACCATAATTCCGCCGTTAAGCATCGCCCAGCGTGATCTACAAACCACACTCTCAAACAATGTGCCGTACCTTGGACTTTGTCATAGAGTTGTTGACCCGCAACCGGGGCGTTTCAGAGCCCTGCGGCTTGTGCCACTGGGGCTGTTTTATTGGGTTTGAGGACATTGTGCGGGGTGTTGTCGAGTGTTGTCGGAGGGTTGGGGAGAGGTGGAATGCGGGTTGTGATGCCCAGAGACGGGAATTGCAAGCCGGGTGGAGGGAGAGGAGGCGGCGATAGAGCATGCAACGGGGACGAGTGGGACCGGTTCCTCTCTTTTGTATGTGTCTTCGAGGGCGGTAGTTGGACTTGAATTCCGGTCAATGTCCAGTTGTGTTGTTCCCAGGGGGTTGTCCGTTGAGGCTTTTTGCGAGCATGGGGGATTACAGGATTACTCGCCTGACTCATGCGGCTCAGTTCGCTCAACGGCCCCCTCTTCCCGCGCGTCGCTGGACCCATGGAGGCCTCAGACAGCCTTGACACTTTCCCAAATACTCCCGTATACATGTACATGATATCGCATTGCAGGGAACGCATCGAAGGGACAGCCTTGCGCTTGACTGGCCAAGCCGCATCCTAGGAAACCTAACCTGTCAAATGTCTCGGTCTCACACCGGTCCACCGCCTGGGAACTCTTCTTCCCTCGGCTGATACGGGTGATACTGGACGCCGTCGACTCAAGACTAACTGAAGGGAGCGTGAAGAGTGGGAGGATCCCTGCAGATCCCACAGCCGCTGTCTTTGATCATTTTGACGTTGCTGCTGTTGTTGCTGTTGTTCCTGCTGAGCGGGGGTGGGGGTTGGGCATGTGGAGGCCACGAACGACGGCGTCCTGTGACAACAGCGGAGACGGAGACTGGATGGCGCATAGTCAGGATGCAATTCCGTTACGGGTGATCTTTTTGTGATATGCTCGGATTTACAAACTGGTCCATTGAAATCTCGTGTCAACGGATTCGGTCAACCTTGCGCTCCCATGTCTGAGCTTGGCTGCCTCGCCAAACCAGATTGACTAAACCCGAGGAGGAAGGAGGATCGGGTCCGGGTGCGGGTGAGGCGACGAAGGCCCTCGTCGTCGTCTTTGTCTGTCGTTGTGTGAGGTTGGGCCGTGCGTGGAAGTAGTAATGCAACGTGTAAGAGACGACAGAACCCGGATGCATACCTGTTGAGTGCGCCTGATCCTGCCATAAGCATCCTTTTCCTAAAACGACATGTACGCGGGGTTCAGGGATAACAGTAAAGAAGCTACTGAGATGTCGACATGGAGTGAAATTGGGGGATGCGGGGACAGCGGTTCGGATGGTGCTACATGCCTACTTAGACCCCGAAAAGGAACGCAGCGGTTCCTATTCAAGAGGAACTAGAGACGGGCAAAACATCACACCCCACGAACAGACATGTGATATCCTGTCCCTCGGTAGCCATGCCCGGAGAGAACCACGCGAGTTCATCCCACTGCTTCAACTGTTTATCCCGTCTCTCGTCCCGAAAATAATCGGAAAAAAGCTCGGTCGCGTGATGCTACATGCCTACTAGACCTCGAGAGAGGAACTAGGGACGGGCAAAACATCACACCCGCAGACAGACATGTGCTATCCTGTCCCTTCGGTAGGCATGCCAGGAGATGCCCCAGTGATCCCCAACTACAGAACGTAGTTTTGCAATGCTTTTGACCAACGCAACGGACCTTGCAGGACTTACCAGCATATATTTTTTCACGGCGGCTCTGCAGGTCTTCAGCTTGAACGAGTTTTTCCGTTTCGACGAGTTAATTACGGCAATTGAGTTTGTGAGATAGGTGTGGTATTCGCTCCAAGTGTGGGTCGGGTGTTGTTTGGCATAATCTCCTGGCCCAGTTACTTCGATCTCAATGTCATCTCCGGAGTCGTTGTCAGCCGTATCAGACACATTGTCCTTCCCTTCCGTCCTAGTGTCCAGCGGCGGTAGAGTTGCTTGAGGAGTTGGGTGGGGGATGGGTGTCTTCTTCCTTCGGTGAGGAGCCTTTACGAGATAGTCGGTCGCTGGGGGGCAATAGCAGGATGGGAAGGGAGAATCAAACTGCAGCGGATAATATGAAGTTGGAAGTGGGCGGCGAAAGCAGGGAGAGACGTAGCCAGATCTGGGTGGGTTGCCGTAGAGTTGGGTGATGATATGAGCTACGGTGCGAGCGATGCTGAGGGGGCGGCGCTGTGCCCTGTATAATATAGGTCCGGTTGTCGGCGGTGAAGTCCACGGTCTCTCCTCAAACCTCCTGCGACTTCCGATTTCCCCACCTCCGACACTGCCCTTCACACACAACACAACACAAAATGTCCACTCCACGCCCACCAACCGACACCGTCGTCACCAGCGAGGAACTTCTGGCTCGTAAGGTGTGTGTTCTACATGCAGCAACCGTTGTTGAAGACAGCGTGAAGGGAACTGTCACACCTCCTGAGGATGCCGTGAAGAAGGGCCATACTGTCAACGGGAACGTACACACGGGCGGGCACATAGGCTGGGGGCCGAGCGGGAGAGCCGTCCGACTTGTACATCCGAACGGGGGAAAGCGTTGGACCCAGGACTGGGACGTGAAGAAATCGGGGATCTGATTGATTATCCTTCTCTCTCCCTCCCATCACAAAAACTCAAAACGGAAAACAGTACGACAGATGCCTAGCCAACGCCTCCGTCAAAGCCGGCCTGGGTCTCGGGATCGGGATCGGGCTTTCGTTCCTGTTCTTCAAACGTACGTCTCAAAGGGCCCTGTTCATATCCGCCCCTGTGTGCGGTAACCTACCGATCGAACGAAATGTACTGATGAAGTATTTTGGGGGCGTGCTTTGCAGGACGAGGCTGGCCCATCGCGCTGTCGACGGGGTTTGGGCTGGGTGTGGCGTATGAGCAGTGTGCGAGGTATGTTCCCCCCCCCCCCCCCCCCCCCCCCCCACACCGAGTTCGGGAAAGTGGAAGGCAGATGCTGACCTGGTGTGTTTTGTGATATGCTAGGACGTTCAGCCCGCACGCTACGCTGGTCAGAGTTCCTCGGCAGGCCGTATGAGCATGGCTTCCCTGTAGTCACCTACCCATCAACACCTGAAACACATTCATTTATTCCCGAGAGCCACATCAGTATCTGTAGTTGGGATTCGAAAAGCGGGTCCCCGCTCCGGAGTGCGTTCTCGAATACTATCCATCCCCGCCTCATGGAAGGAACCTCCGCGCCGTATGTAATGTATGTAATGTAGATATACCACAATGCATACCCGATCAACGAAAAATCAGGGAGCACATCGGAGGGTGCTGGACGTGCTGTGATGCGGGTTTGTGGATGTGCGGGCCGGGAGGACAGAGTGAGAAAACGACGGAGTGCCTACCGTAGGGAGGTTCGGAGACCCCTTAATGCCCAACCGTAAGCCGCACTTCATCCTGCGACCCAGTAGACAAACAAAAACCGATGTCACGACGCTTAGGAATGGGCGGTACCGCTGTCTTTGCAAATGATCCATATCCCACATGACATGATCGCTGCCCGCAGCTTCGACATCCGCACAATAACCGGGTGTGGGGACCCCATCGCCCGGAGGGAGAAACGACGGAGTGCCTATCGTAGGGAGGTTCGGAGACCCCTTAATGCCCAACCGTAAGCCGCAATTCATCTTGCGACCAAGTGCAAACAAAAACCGATGTCACGACGCTTAGGAATGGGCGGTACCGCTGTCTTTGCAAATGATCCATATCCCACATGACATGATCGCTGCCCGCAGCTTCGACATCCGCACAATAACCGGGTGTGCGGACCCGTGCCCGGAGCTCAACCGTGCCTATGCCATTCCCAGGCCCGCCTGGATGATCCCGCTCAGATATGGGATTCGGAGAGCCATGAAAGCCCGTCTCCCTGCGCTCTCGACGACGTGTGTCAACTTCCGTATCGTGCGGGCGGCGGTGTCAGAGACGATGGGGTGTGGACGTGCAGATGATCGTCCACCTGGGCGGGTCGGGGTATAAGATTCCAGAACCGGGAGCTCGTCCCGTCCGTATCGTAACATGCCGCAAGGCGCAGAGGGGTTGAGGTACAGTCCCAGGAGCCGCACGACCCTCAGACATCTCCTCCGCAGCATAGGATCGCTTGAAGGGTGCCCTGCGGGTGGACCTCCGACGCGAATGTGGATTTAGAGTTTCTACCTTTCGAATGTACGCCGGGTGTCTGCGGTGTCTTTGGGAACGCGTGCTTCCGTGGGAGACGACAATCGCCGCAGGAGACCGATCCACGGCGCACCCGTCTCAGGGGCACAACCGTCAAGCACACGGTGCCTTCGATGCCCCCCCGACGGAGGCAATGAGAGACGAAGAAGAGCAGATTGTGTTTTTTCATATCACGAATAGATAGGCGATATATACAGCGTCCCAAAAAGATATACAAATAAAAAAGCACAAAAGCGTCCATGTAAAGAAAAGGGTCCGAGGTAGAAAAAAGGTCTTAATGAGTGGTGGTATGCAAAAGGGTAACTGAGCGACAAACTAGTGGTATGAAGAACGTGTCCGGGGGGGTGGTATGCATAGGGGGGGGGGGGGGGGGGGGGGGGGGGGGGGGGGGGGGAAGGTGCCAGCCTTTTGATGTTGATGGGTGGTGAACATGTGGTTGTCTGTGTGGTGTGTGCGATGTGGAGGATCTCATCGACTCCCTGCAGGACTCGCCGCGGGACTCCCCGCGGGACTCCCACTCCCCGCACCGTTGACCCTCCCCGCCGCGGCCCTCGCAGCCGCCACGTTCGCCGGACTGACCCCACACGTCTTCCGCAGATGTCTCCGCAAGTTATCCGCTCTCAGGAACGGGCGGAAGCATCGTGGGCACTCGTGTGTTGTTGGGGTCGACGGTGTTGCGTGCGTGGAGGAGGAGGAGGGGTGGTTGGGGTTCTGGGTGGCGGTGGTGCTGGAGGGGTGCGAGGGGAAGGATGTGGCGTGGAGGGTGCGTTCGTGGCGGTAGAGGTCGGATTTGCGGCGGAAGGCGATGGGGCAGGCGCGGCATTTGAGTGTGGGTGCTGATCAGATCCAAAGAACATTAGACATATGTTATTATCTGGATATGTTGAGAGGTGGGGGGGCGAACTTACGTTTATGCGAAACCAAATGACTCCTCAACGCCTGCAAGCTCTTCAGCTTCTTCACGCACCCCTCCTGCGGGCACGCATACAGCAACAGCTGCTTCTCCGCATTCCCGCCCTGGTGCTGATTCACACCGCCCTGCTGGAGGCTCAGGCCGCCGACCCCACCCACAACGCTGACAACCGCGGCGGATTCCAGTGATGCGGAACGGGATCGGGTCGCCTCGGCGGTGGTGGTGGTCGTGGACGAGTTGATACTGCAGCAGGCTTCGGAGTCGGAGCCGGAGTCGGAGCCGAGGTAGGGGAGTGTCAGGGGGTATTGTTGTTGTTGTTGTTGTTGTTGTTGTTGTCCTCCCTGCTGCCCGTGCTGTTGGTGTTGATGATGATGTGCGGTGTTGGTGGGTGTCCCATGCGAGGTCAACACCACCTGATTCTGTTGATGCGGCTGCGCGAACAGGTCCCCGACCATCCCATACCCGAACGGTTGCTGAGTATTCGTATTCGCATTCGGATTCGCATTCCCGACCTGGTAATACTGCGGCGAACTGCTCGGCATCGCGTACTTCCCGCCATACCCGTGCTGACTCACAAACTCCCCCACCGGTAGATCAAAGTACCCGCCATACCCGTCGGCAGCCACCGCCGCATGTGCATGGGGTGTATATGCGCCCAGGGTGTATTCCGATCCGGGCGTGTATTCCGTTGCGGGTGTGACGACGGCGGGGGGGAGGAAGTAGGGTGTTGGTTGCAGATTAGTGCTGTCTTGTTGTTGCTGTTGGGTGGTGTAGTGGGAGGAAGGGAGGAGGATCATGTGCGGCGAGTGATGCGCGGGGTTGGGGTGGGGCGAATTCGTGAGCTGGTCAGCGAATTGAAGGAGCGGGGATCGGTTGATATGTTGTTGTTGTTGTTGCGTATTCGGATTCCCGTTATTCGATGCTGGGTGAAGACCGTGCTGCTGTTGATGTGGTTGATACCCGACGTGATGAAACACGACTTCATCGGGTTCAGGCCCGCTGGTCATGACCAGCTGCGAGAAATCGGCGTAAGCTGCGTCGAGCTGTTGTTGTTGTTGTTGTTGTTCTTGTTGTTGTTGTTGTTGAGTGGTTTGGGGGAGGTCGAGCATGGGTATCGAGAGGGACGTGACGTCGAGGCCCATTGCTTCGAGAGCAGTCATTTCCGGTGTCGGTTCGTGTTGTTGTTGGTTGGTGTATTGCGGAACGGGGCTTGAGTGCAGGACCGGCGGGGCGGAGGAGGAGGAGGAAGGGGGGTAGATCATATTTGAAGGCGGGGTATTCTGCACGACCTGGCTGCGGAGATCTGCGAGCATCCCTTGCATCCGTTCGACGTCCTGTGAGAGGGTGGAGATAGTGTTGAGGAGGGCTTCGTCCGGTTGTTGTTGCGGTTGTTGGTGTTGTTGGTGCGGTGTGAGGGTTTGTTGTTGGGGGGACGGCGTTGGCGTGTGGGAGAAGGCGAAGCCGGGGGCTCGGCTGCGGGGTAATGACATTTGGAGGCAGTCGAGGGTGTGTGTGAGAATGAAACTTTATTCTATGGAAGACGGGGCCGTGTCATCAAAGGGGGGGGGGGGGGGGGTGTGTGGGTGAGATGCGAAGGAGAGGCGTACTACGACGATGAATGAATGTAAAGGAGCAAGGAGGGGGAGGAGGAGGAGGCGCTCAGAGAGAGCAGGGATGCGTGTTATGAGCAAAGAGAGGGTGAGCCACCGATCGCCGTGGTGGAATAGTACTGTATGTAGCGAGAGAGATGTGCGCTGTCTGTGTGTTCGAACACCGTCTGGGATGTGAGAAGAAAGGAGGTTCCGCCGACTCCACCCGCGAGCCTTTTGTAACTCGCTGCGCCCAAGTGCCCGATCGGTCTGGAGCAGTCCGCTTCCGTGTGATTTCCACAACCCAAATTTTTTTGCCAGCGAAAACACTTTCAAAAATGGTTTCCTGGTAAATTGGCCCTTTGGAGCTTGAAGGCCTTGAACGGTGCTGCGCCTTGACTGCGATGCCTCCGAGCGTCCGCTCCCAGGGCACTCGACTCCTCGGTAGAAGCCACGGAGGGCCGCCGGCCACGGAGGGAAAGCGCCAACGGCATGCGCACTGCCACCTCCTCCAGCGTCCTCCTCCGAGTCCTCTCCCACGGCGCGACTGCGTAAACGCGAACTATTGCAACAATTGTAACCATTACGTTGCCTGCGCATGCTTGGGGGAGTAGCCCGAGGTGCCTGCCCCTCCTCACACAGTCTCACGTTCAACATGGAACTTCGTGAATGCCGTCTCCCGTTTCCCGTCTAGTACCAGGGCCCCAGCACCGAAATGGATCGGCTACTGTCATCCCATAATGATACAAAAACATTATGATACTAGAGGGGATGATGATGGAAAACGGCTTCCGCCTGTGCACGAGAAAGAATTTGAAGCTGCGCGAAAGACCATGGAAGTGAGTCCATGAAGTTCGTCCGTCGTGCGTGCTGCTGTCAGTCTGTCGGCGCCGTCTCCTGTCTCATGGTCTCGAGTTGATGCGCGTCAACTCAAAGTGCCCCGTCGGAGCGTGCGGAGCTCTGTTCGGTTCGTCCCCCGCGTGCTCGGTCGTGAGGGCCCGCGTCCGGGATGTCGGTAGCCTGCCTGCAATCCGCGTGAACGGGTGCACTGAGAATGGGGAAACAATGTCTCGCATCGTGAAGTTCGACAATCACCCCATTCATGGTTTCCAAACCTGCGTGTCGCCACCCCCCGCGTCCTGGTCACCGGTCCCATCGTGCAACAAAGGGATTCTCAAAACTGCATTCTCCCTGATCCCACCCACCCTCCCACGATCCCTTTCCCGACTGACGTGACGGCGGGAACGGTCAAACGGTCGTGTACCGTATACAGGAGAGCAAGCCGGTCAACGGTCAGAACGGTCGACGGAAGGAATGGCGGTCAGGACGAGAGCCGGCGTGCGGAACACCGGTCAAACGGTCATGAACGGTCAGCAACGGTCGAGAACGGTCGGGTACGACACGAACGGTCACTAACGGCCAAGCGGTCGCGGATTCGAACGGCCAACCCAGTTAGTTCCTCACAGGATTCCCGCCTTCTGCGAAATCACGTGCATCTGGGGTTAAACGCAAACAAAACACGTGAGTTGCCAGCACCCTCGATGGTCACGCCCGGTTTCGCGTCGCCCAACCGCACTCACCGCCCCGCCGTCAAGTCCACGCCAACCGCAACCTGCAGAAACGGCCAAAGAGGCTCCTTTGCATGCCGTTGCGCGGGGCAACCCCTCCATTTGCGCGGCTTCCCAACGGCCCCCTCGCCGTGGCAGTCACTCCAAACCGCAGCGGCTCGCGTCCGTCCCACCGAGCCTCATCGCGTTCTTCCACAATCCCCCCCCCCCCCACAGCCTTCCGCCGGGTCATCGCTCGGTTCTCCAGTCGCGCTTTTTCCTTGCCTGTGAGAGAAAACACCCGTTTAGGAGAATGCCCGCGAGATACCACCACCCCCACCAAAGCCCAAGTGCCTCCTCCGCTCTCCTACCTCCCGTGCCGTGCCTGCCTCGACCCTTTTGCCAATTTCCGCGGGGGGGCGACATCAAGCACCTTGGCTCTTTATACTTGGCGGTTCCGTCGATGCCGAGCTGCCCCCGGGTCCCCCTCTTGGCATCCCCATCCGAGGGCAAAAAAAAAGGGGCTTTCGCGGGTGGCGGGTGCGCCGCAAAGGCTATGCCACCTATCCCCCTTTCGTTTCCCCCGACTTGTTGCTCAGCGCGATCTTTGCTCCTCTTTCATCCCTACTGCATCGTTCTCCGATCGATTCATTCGCAATTCATTCGTCGTTCAGTTCCATTCCATTGCACCTCCCACGTACGGTCTCTTGTCTATCACGCATGATGACCATCGGCCGCCGTCGTCGGGACTCGTTGGACGGACATGCGTGACATGGCGGATGCGGCGGTGAGGTTCTATGCGGTGTGGGTTGGTGATGTTCTTTAGCGTCTTTCTTTCTCTCATGTATAGTTAACTATACAACGACACATCCGGAAGCAGTAGAATGCATGTATGGAATGGCACACACTTTCAAATCCGCATATCAAACGCGCCCGGGGGCAATGCTCCAGGGGGGCTTTTGTCGCTCGCTAAACAAGAGGGTGTGTTTGCCCACGGGGGTAGAGCGGTTCCCAGATGTCACAGCTAACAGTCGTGCGTATCTGCCACGTACCCGGGGGAGATGTGTACAGTACGCGCAAGGATGCGTACGGAACCTCATTGGGAAACCTCCAGTTGGGGGGTGAATCCTAAATCCTTCGATCGGCGGTGTGGATGTGATGCCCCCGAGAATGGGCGAAATCTCGCAAGGCCGTGCTCCATTTGTGTCCAACCTCTATCTTATACGACTACGCGTATATCCACGAACATGTCGGGGGCAAGATGGCGTCGAGCGTACATTCATCCCCCGTGTTCTGTCAGTGTATACATCAGATGGTGAACGGTGACCGTTGATGCGGCGGCAACAATCAAGTGTCCATCCCTGTCCTGCGTCCATGCACGCCTCTGTGATGGCCTGTCCGTTCGGCCCCCGGGTGAGTTACCTGGCCTTTCGCGGCAGGGTTGGCGGCTGGCTGTTTCGATCGAATCGGCCAAGGGGAGGCGGATCTTCTCGGAGTGGGGCTCCATTGTAGATGGTTTGTCGTCTGGGCCCCGCTCTGCGTCCTTGGAGGGCTGTCGGCGGATTGGGCCACTTCTCCTTCCTGCAGGATGACTTGCACAAAGCGAATGATAGCAAAATAAACCCTCAAAACGCCCCAGTTTAGACCGATTTCCTTGCGTTTTCTGTCACTGCCCGTCTAAGCACTGGCAACGGTGACTCGAATTGAAGGTGTTTGCTGCTACTGCTGCTGCTCGAGGAGCTGGTGCAAGATCTAGTCAGGACGGACGACTCGGGGGGGGCATGAAATCTCGTAAAACATGACATTCGAACGACTGCTGGTAACCCCGCCCGACGGCCGCGGATAGGGCTCTCCGTAAATGATGGTTGATTTCGAAACCGCAGAGACGGAGCGTCCGATGCAGCAAAGCAGTGAGACTGTCTTTAAGCCACCGATCATCCGATGCTGAGGGGTGCGATGCTGATGTGTCGTGGATAAGCAAATCATGGAGCGCTTTGCAGGTAGCTTAGCTACTCGAGTCCTGCCATGACGGTATTTCATAATTTCGGGGGAAAATCTAGAACGGGATGAGAGACCTGTTGAAGTCGGGCAAAGGTCGCATCGCATAAATAATAGGAGCGCGCCTCCAGCCAATGGGCGGCGTCCAGCACTTACTGTTATTATTAAGTCGCCTGATGTCACTGCTGGCCTTCCCGTTGCTCCCTGTGGCCTCTCGCTCGCTCGGTTTCGGTCGGTCCTCGTCCAACCCCTTGTCATTGTCGTTCGTCTTGGCCGGAGGGATTCCCTCTTTCTTGAGCTGTTTATCTATTACTCACGGAACTCTCCTCTCTCGGTGGGAACTACGCACTGCGGGATACCATATCCGTATCCGTCCACCCTCAACAACCTTCGACAGAAACGACCGCAGCACAGAAAAGTGACACCGCATAGCACACTCCGAAACATTCGATACACTGCATAAAAAAGGATGCGAACGCCCACTCTTTCCAGTCTGCTGACGCTCACGCTAGCCCTGCTCAGCATCAGCGTCTCCGCACTGGCCGCAACAGCATCCTCCGCACAGACCCTCCTCGACCAAGCAAAAGCGCACCTCTCCAGCGGCAACTTCAACGCCGCCCTCGACAGCTTCGACGCCGCGATCGCTTCCGACCCATCAAACTACCTTACCTACTTCCGCCGCGCCGCCGTCTACCTTAAGCTGGGCAAGTCCAGCCACGCCGTGAAGGACTTTGATAAGGTGTTAGCGCTCAAGCCTGAACATGCTCCGGCGCTCATTCAGCGGGCAAAGCTATTGGCGGGACGGGGGAGCTTACAGGCTGCGATCGCGGACCTGGAGCACTATATGAAGTCACACGGCGCAAACGCGGCGGATAGTACGGCAGCCGAGGCCGCAGAGTTGCTGCAGCAATACAAAGAGGCGGTCGTAAGCGCCGAGGAAGGCGAAAAGCTCTACAAACAGGGCAACCACGAAGCAGCGATCCAACACCTCTCCACCGCGCTCGCCAGCATGCCCTACTCCCACCACCTGCGCACCCTCCGCGCCGACGCCTACTTCAAAACCAATAGCAAAGAGATGGGAATCGCGGACCTGACCCGCCTCACCCAGCTCCCCGACTCGACCGACGCAACCACCCTCTTTGTCCGTCTCGCGAACCTGCACCTGGAGATCGGCGAACTTGCCCGCGCCCTCGCAAACACCAAGGAGTGTCTCCGGCTGGACCCGGACCATAAACAGTGCAAGAAGATATTTAGGCAGGTCAAGAAGCTGGACAAAGCGATCACGGCCGCTGAGGAGTCGTTGAATAAACGCGCGTGGAAACCGGCGGCTGCGAAATTGACGTCGGCGCCGAAACCGACCGTGTTGGAGCAGGTTGAGGCGTTGGGGAAGGAGGCCACGCCGTTGAGGAAACGGGTATACGGGATCATGTGCCGGTCCCATGGCGGGGCAAAGAACGAGAAGGAGACGATGAGCTGGTGCTCGAAGGTGCTGGAGATCGACCCGGAGAACGGGGATGCGTTCATGTACAGAGCCGAAGCGAAAATGCAGGCCGAGAATTACGAGGATGGTAGGTGGCGTCCCTCCCTATCCGATTTTTTTTTGACCACCCTTCCCCCCCCATATTAACCCTATCCTTCTCCACAGCGATGCGCGACTTCCACTCCGCCTCCCAACACGCCCCCACGGACCCGCACCGCGTCTCCTCGGGCCACACGCAATCGCAACGCCTGCACCACACCTCCTCGCAAAAAGACTACTACAAGATCCTCGGCGTCCCTCGCACCGCATCAAAACGCGACATCAAAAAAGCGTACCGCAAACTCAGCATGCAGTGGCACCCTGACAAGTACTCGGGCGATCTGAGCAAGGAGGAGGTGGAAAAGAGGATGGGCGAGATCAACGAGGCGTACACGACTCTGAGCGATGATGAGATGAGGAAGAGGGTCGATATGGGCGAGGATCCGAATGTAAGTTGGGCCAATGGATTCCCCCCGTTGACTCCCACTCCGTTTCGATTTCTGGATTTTTTAATCTCATTCTTGGGGGTCCTTTTTTTTTTTTTTTGTTTTTTTCAGAACCCGCAACAAAACGCATTCCCGGGCCACGCCGGCGGCGGCACCCCGTTCTTCTTCCAGGGCGGAGGGTTCCCGTTCCAGTTCCAGCGCGGCGGCGCGGGTGGGGGCGGCGGTGGTGGGCAGCCGTTTGAGTTCAAGTTCAATTTTAATTAGAATTTAAGCGGCGGGGGGGCGGGGTTGTTGCGACATGGCTGGGGGTTTTTTTTATTGGGTGCTGTGTTGTGTGAATAGAGGGAACACTTGGAGTGTTGAAGGATGTGTGAGGGGCCTGGTGTGTGTGTGCTTGTTGACGTGAGAGGCAGGCGAGCGGCGTGTTGAACAACCAGTTGAGATTGGGTGGGCGGACCTTCCCGTCACGAACGCGTTTTTGCTGGCTACCGTCGACTAAATCGATTCCCACCTCAGGACGCCGTGGTTTGACAGCAACTGACACTATTATGCGTCTCGCCGTTTTCTGCACCCCCAGTCAAAACTCATAGGTTCTAATACTAAAATTACGCCTCGCCCGTCGTAACGTCCATATTGCGTGCAAACCACGCCATTGTGTCCGTACTAATTTTGATGAACATACCCTGGCAGTTCCGACATATGCCCTCTGGTCCAATAAATGTCTCTGGGCACCCGCACGAGGCTACCGGCGGAAGGGCGGTCGTTGGCATGATGTTGGCCCCCAGGCCCTCCTCATGTTGAAACACCCCCACTCGCCTCCAAGCCGTCCAACATGCCCCACAAACAATTGCCTGCGTTGCTCCCTCGCCGAAGAAGAAATCCCTCCCCATTGCCTCTGCCCGAGCCAAAACCGGCCACGGCGCACGATAGAAGCGAGAAGAGCTCTTCAACCGGCAGTCAATACAACCCGCGCTGTATCGATACTGCTTCCCTTGCTTCAAAACCCTCACTGCCCCTGGCCTCACCGCTGCCCCCCTCACCGCTGCCCCCGGGCTCGGCTTCCTACTTTCTCCCCCTTCGTCCCGCTCCGGCTGCCCAAGGTCCTGTTGCAAGCCGTTTTGTCCTGGGCAAATATAAAAAGGTCGAAAGCATGCGTATCAGAACACTGTGGTGAACTCCTGGAGCTGTACGACACCCTTGTCCACCGCAATCAGGTACGCAATGCCAGCGATGCTTTACTGCTTACCTTCGTCACTAAAATCCATATTACTCAGCAGCCTGTGATTCAAATTGAGTGTTGTTTACTGGGAACCTCAAGCCTAGGAGGTCCTGAGCCCGAATATCGCCGGCGGAGGTTCTGTATGTGTATGTCTGTCGAAGCGATGGCAATGATGTTGGCAATGGCGGGTAAGGAAAAAGGCCAAAAACGGCGCCGCCGGCGTCGCGACGAACGTCCAGAAATGGGTGGCGCAGCAAGGGTCGGCCTGAGATTCCCACCCGTGCGTGACTCATCCCCGCTGCCAACCTCCATCCCGGTACGCGGACGCCCTTCCGTGCACCGAACCCCGAAGCCACGGGAGCCCGCAAGTGCGTGCTGTGGGGACTCGGCGGGAGGAAGCAAGTTGAAACTCTCTGGCCGTTCAACGGCACTTTCGCTCGCTGCAGGAAAGCCCTGTTTCCCCCAACTCCACTCGCAGCTTGCCGCCCAAAGCGAAAAGAAAGGAACCCCCTCGCTCCAACATACCTTCACCTCGGCCGGGGACACACACCCTCACACTGGGAAACCGTACCTCGCTGGGGAATTCAGAAAAACGAGAGAGGTTGGGGACACTTCCGGGGGCGACCAGACCATTTTGCAAATTGGGCTCGCAAGCGCCGAAACGCTGTATTCCGTGCGGGCTCAAGAAACAGGACACTGCACGATATTAGACCCATACAGACGCACGACAGAATGACTTACGTTAAGGGAGCGAAGGCGATTCTGCAGGTGCTGGCACTCACCGCCGTCCTCCTCACTTGGTCCTCTGTTGGTATGTAGGAAATGGTGAGCGGCGTGGAAAAGGGGAATGGAGGGTGGGAAGCTGTCCGAGAGCGATAGGGGTCGTATGCGGATGGCGGCGAGTGAGAGCGAGGGTTTTGCGGCGAGCAAGAGCAAGAAGCATGGTTGGTTGAGGCTGGTTCGCTTTGGGAGCCGAACGAGGGCGAGGGCGAGGGCGAGCGGAGTATTGCTTGTGAGCGACAGGGGACATCATCACTGTGAGCGAAAGCAAACGGTCGTTTTAAAGCACCGCACTGCCCCAACATTCTCGTCGCGAGCGGAACGGCCAGTGTATCCTTCAAGCATCTGCCGAGTTCGTGAAAGAGCAAGAAGGATGTCATCCTGTTCATCGGCCACCATCCCACTCATGTTGAACCCACTTCCCTCCCTCTCCTCCACACAGACCGAATATTCACAGCCATTACAGCACACGACAACTCCCTCCACATGTGGTTCGGCTCCCCCCGGACGCCGAAAGAGATCCACGCCGGCGAGATCTACAACGCCACTATCGAGTGGTCCTCCACCCTCGCGACCCGCAAGACCTACCTGAACGTCTCATGTGATTTTTCCCTCGTCTGCGCCGCGTCGGGAACGCCGAGCACGACTTATCGGATTGATAACTTATTGATCAAGAAGAAGGATGGTAAGAATTGAGAGCTACGGTGAGGAATCATGACTTGATCCTTTTCTAACAATGCATCCCTCACACAGGTTCAGCCTACATAGACTACCCGGTAACCCCCCTCGACGTCGACCCCGCCCTCGAAGTCGCCTCCTGCTACTTCGCCCTCGAGTACACATACTGGTCCAACGTCCCGGGTACCAAAAAATCCGCCGGCCCCTCCTTAATCCGCACAACCGACATTGCCCAATCCGCCGTCTTCAAATTTGTGCGCGCTCCCCGTCTCCTCCCGCTACCACTGGCCAACAGCACCGTGTTGTCAGCGGAAGATAGGAAGCTGAGCCTTCAGCTCCGGGTCGACGACTTCACCCCTGCCGTACCCACATCCCCCGCAACAACATCCCCACCACCCCCCCGCACAGTCCAATTCACCCCCCCTCTGACACCCCACTACTACTACACCGCCGTCTCCATCTGGCCCGAAGACGACCCCGACTGGACGCTCTACGAGCCGCACAACGTGTGGGAGCTCGGGATGTGGGGGTGGTGCGTGGTCCTGGGCGTTGTTTACTATGTGGTGAGGGTGCACCCGCGCACGGCGCATGTGATGCCGAGGGTGCGGGAGGCGGTGGGGGAGAGGATTGTGGGGTGGTGGGGGAATGACTTTGAGGTAGGGTTGGCGAATACTTGCGAGCGTCCATGCTTCTTGGGGAATTGGGAATTGACTCGTTCTTTTGTGATTTTTATAGGACCCCCTCGTCCCCCGAAAGACAGTCCGATCCCGCCGTCGCAGTATCCTGCGCGACCATATCCCGCAACACTCCCACGGCGTATGAACGTCATTCACAACACCCGGCTGTGGATGTAACGCGCATGACGTTCACGTTCGCGGCGTATAGAAACCCTGGAGATGGGGAGTTGGGATAGGGGACACCTTTTTTTGCATGTATTTCATAGATGGGTTAAGGGTATTTATTTTTGGCTGCTTTGAAGTCAGGGGTATTGAATGGACTGGGGTGCGGTATCCAGAACCCGTCTGTGTCGTTGTCGAGGTTGGTGCGGTCGTGTGATCCTACTTTGCCTCTGAGGGGGTATCGAGTAGCACTACAGTACGGGATGAATGCCCTATTGGTCTAGATCTACGCCGTTACGACGGGTCCAGTGGCACCGTGCGTAGGCGCGGATAAGAGGTTGGCAGCGGTGTGATGTCCAAGCCAGTGTCCAAGCCGTCGAAGATGTCGCACACTTCAGGTGTCCGGGAAGAAGTCGCGGATGAGAAAGCTGTTCCCAGAGCTGTTCCCACTTCCTCAACTTCTGCCGATCCCGCACCACCGGCCCGTCCCCCCACACCACACAACACCCCACACCACCTTCACACATACATACTACCCACAGGAGCGACAGAAAAGGAAAAATGTCTGAAATCACAACCCTCTCCATCCCAGCGCCCGACGATTTCCACGTGCATCTCCGTCAAGGCGCCCTCATGCGGGCCGTGACGCCGCTCATTCGGGACAGCGGGATCGCTACGGCGTATGTTATGGTGCGTTTTGCTATTCATGGGAGAGGGCTGGTTTGGTATCTCAGTATCATGGTAGAGGGTCCATATCCCAACCCAACTTACGAAATTGAACCCAGCCGAATTTGAAACCGCCAGTGACGACGACGGAGCAGGCGCTGGCGTACAAGAAGCAGCTGGAGGAGCTTGCGCCGGGGGTCAATTTCCTCATGACGCTGTACTTGTCGCCGGAGCTTACCCCGGAGGAGATCAAGAAGGCTGCTAAGGCTGGGATTGCCGGTGCGTCCAATCATATTCCTTATGTTGAAATCGAGAAGGAGGGAACTGGGGATGATTGACTGAGCCAGGATGTGAATCCCCCCCAGGTGTGAAATCCTACCCCCGCGGCGTCACAACCAACAGCGACAGCGGCATCGAATCCTACGAAACCTACTACCCCGTCTTCCGCGCCATGGAAGAATCCGACATGGTCCTCAACCTCCACGGCGAAGTCCCCAGCGACCCCAGCTCCGACATCTGCATCATGAACGCGGAAGAGAAATTCCTCACCCACCTCCGTACCCTGCACGCGGCGTTCCCCAAGCTGCGGATCGTGCTGGAACACGCCACCACGCAGGCGGCGGTCGAGACGGTGAAATCGTTGGGGGACACGGTGGCGTGCACGATCACCGTGCACCACCTCACGCTGACCGTGGACGACTGGGCGGGCCAGGCACACCATTTCTGTAAACCCGTTGCAAAGTTCCCCCATGACCGCGCGGCATTGCGCGGGGTGATCAGGGAAGCCCACCCGCGCTTCTTCCTGGGCACGGACTCGGCGCCGCATCCGCGAAAGAACAAAGAGGCCGCCGGCACCGCCGTCGCCGGCGTGTTCACCGGCACCCCGCTGCTGCTCCCGTACCTCGCATCTGTGTTGGAGGAGTTTGGCGCGCTGGAGAGGCTGGAGGGCTTCGTGAGCGGGTTTGGGAGACGGTTTTATAAGTTGGAAGAGAGGCATCCGGCGCCTGTTGCGACGCGCGCGGTGATTCGGCTGAAGAGGAGCGAGGTGGTCGTACCGCAAGAGTATGGGTTTGTGGATGACGAGGGGGAGAAGAGCTCGGTGGTGCCGTTTTTGGCGGGGAAGACGTTGCGGTGGTCGTTGGCTTGAGGCGCGCGATGGAAATACAGTACTACTCTGTGCGTCGTCCTCTCAAATGCATCTTAATGACCCACCACCTGAGGCCGCTGCGAAGCGAGTGCGATGTGGGAGTTGGTTCATTCCCGGTATGGGATGGGACGGGTCAGAGTCCTCCACCGCCACGCCTGCTACACACGATTATGTGCAATAAGTGCTATATAAGCAAAAGCTGAAGGGATGGAGTGCAGGAAAGAAAGAAGCGCCCATGGGAAATCGCATGCCGTCAATGAGTCACACCCCATCCTGTCAATGGGGTTCTGCTGAGCTTTCTCTCCCGGCCATTTCGGGGCCAGCATTGAAGTTCAAAGTCGAACTCGAAAGCCATTCCCACAAACATCACTGCAGCTATCACACAGAAGTACCATACCCTGACGGGCGAGAATGAACGGGGAGGACCCGCAGTCCCTCCTGAGGGAGGCCGACAGGTTAGGAAGAGCCGGGCCACTGTAGACACCGCGGCAGGATCATCACTCCCTTGGAGATGGGAGGAAAGCCATAAAACGTGGCCCTAACAATTCGCCTCCCTCCCACCAACCCACCCAGACTCCTGCACGAGTACACCCACCTGCGAGTCGGGTCCCGGTCGCACCGCAGCCTGCAATCCCATTTCTCACCATCCGACGAAGATGACGCATCCACCCGCCGCCGGATCCTCACCGCCTACAAAGAAGCCTCCGACGCCGGCATCGTCGACGCCGCGCGCAAGACCGCCCTCTGTCTCTGGTCGTGGGGCCGTCGTCGCAACGCCGTGCGCACGATGCGCGAGGTGGCTGCTGTGCACGGGGATGTCGAGGCGGTGAGATTGGCCGCGCAGTGGTTGTGGGAGATGGGCGAGCCGCGGGCGGGGGGGACGGCGAGGGTTAAGATAGAGGGGACGCCGATGAGGGAGGAGGAGGGTAGTGAGGGGAGTGAGGATTCTCGGGACGGGGATGCGGATAGGAGGACACGACGGGCGGTCAGCTCGCGGCGACAGGCGTTTAGGTTGTGGAAGGACGCTGCGGATCGGGTGCGTGATGTGCATTGTATGAGGAAGGTTGCGGAATGCTATTTGAGCGGGGAAGGGTGTCGGCAGGCCAATCAGGCGAAGGCGATGCGGTACCTCGAGAAGGCGGCGGATAAGGGTGACCGCGGCGCTATTATGATGTTGGTGCGGCTGTACCATGAACAGGCGATGGATTCGCTCAACGGGCAGGAGAAGAGGTCGTCGATGAAAATTGAAGAAAGCGCCAGGGGGATAGCGAAAACCGAAAAGATCAAAACGGAAACTCAGCACCGCGAGGAGGATGCAGACGATTCACCCACCTCCGACGAAGACGACGACGAAACCGAGTCGCAACCCGAAACAGCCCACACGCGTCTCTACCGCTACGTCCGCATGGGCGCTTCCGACGGCGACGCGATGTGTATCAGCAAGCTCGCCTACGCGCAACGGCACGGCCTCGACGGGATCGAGAAGAACGTGCCAGCCGCCCTGGAGCTGTACCTGGAGGCGGCGTCGCGCGGGGACGTGGAGAGTCGCGCGGCGGCGGCGGATGTGTTTTATCATGGCGAACAAGGGGTGCCGAGGGACCGGGCGAGGGCGTTTGCGATGTTTGCGCAGTGTGCGAGGGAGGGGTGGGCGCCGTCTTTCAGGGCGTTGGCGGATTGTTATCGGACCGGGGCGGGTGGTGAGCTCTTTGCTCGCTTTTAGACTTTCAGAGGTTCGTAGTGAGTATGGCAACACTGACCGGCTTTCTCTTCCCTCCTCTCTCTATTCTTCCTCCCTTAGCACCAAACGACAAACCCGACCTCCCCCTCGCGCACATGTACTACACCGAAGCCGCCTCGCTCACCCCCGACGCAACCTCCCTCCGCATCCTCGGCGACATGCACACAACCGGCCTCGGGTGCGCCAAAAACCTCCCTCTCGCCTTTGATCTCTACGACCGCGCCTGGTCCATCTGCTCGTCCTCTTCCGACGACGCGGACCTGGAAGCTGGAAGGTGTCTTGCACGATGCTATTGGTTTGGCCGGGGCGTTGAGAAGGATAGGGAGCGGGCGAAGGAGGTGTGGGCGGCGCTTTTGAGTAGAGCGAAAGGAAGCATGGAGAGGGAGGATGTGCGGCGGTTGGAGGGGATGGATGATGCGGGGTTTGAGGAGATTTTGGCGGTCGTGAATGAGTGATGAAGTGGCAGTTGCGTGTATGTAGGCTGTATGGATGTGGAGGGAAGTTGGGACCTATTACTTCGAGGGGGATGTGCTAGCCTCGCTTTAGAGTATCTATCGATTTGCCCCCATTGCGTGCATGCTCTATTTGAAGTACCCTACCCCTTGTGAGCCATGCCTGTTAATGCGCGTATAATCACACACCGTCTCGACGAGCCATATCAACGAGCCATATGCCTATTGCTCACTCCTTGCCTCTCCAGATCTATATACGTAGTCTGACCGTTGATCCGACTCTGGCCTTGGGGCTACCGGTTGTTCGCGCCAGTCCATCCCGCAACGCTTATGAGCCAAAAAACGCGTGGGAACCGACTGCTGTGCGCGCTCGCCACCCCCGCCTCGCTTGGCCCCGCTTGTACCCTGCTGCCATTTCGGGCTTCAACTTCCGGTCGCAGGTGGGAGACGCAGGAAGGACACGGACGAGCGCCAGCATCGCATCGACCCCCCTCGCCGACGGCTAGCGCACCGACAGTTCTCCTCTGTCTTCCGTCACCGCCTTTCCACCAAAAAACACCGCACCTTGCCGTCACCAGGATCACCACCCACCACTGCACCGCCCTGAACAATGTCCCTTCGGCACAGCCTCGCACGGACGTTAACCTCATGTCGGGGCCCCGGGTGGGCGTCTACGAAGCAATACACTTTACCAGCCCACCTCCAATCAGTATCATCGCCACGAATACTCCCATTCTCGCGTCTTTCCCAGCCATCATACACCACCACCACAACACCCACTCCCACCCCATCCACTACCCCACCACAAACCCCCCGCATCCACTACGAATCCTCCACCCCCTTCCTCACCCTCCCGCTCTCTTCAAACCCCGGCAGTCAAACAGTCTTCCGAATCTCGCCCGCGCGGCCGCTATCCTTGCTGCTGGAGCAGATACGGGAGGAGGATGAAGGGGTGCAGAGTGTTGGGGTGTATGATTTGGGGGCGGAAGGGCAGGGCGAGGGCGGTTTTCGGTGGGCTAGGTAGGTTTTCCGGGGGAAATTATCAACCTATAGTATGTTATTGGCCTCACATAGATCATATTCCCCAGATCAACAGCCGCCCGCCACATCCTCCGCACCGCGACCCGCCACGGCGGGTTCGTCCTCTCCATCAACGGACACCCGCACAAAGTCCTCGTCCCGACCGCCGACGAGCGCACGGCGCCGCTGATGAGGGAGCTGGATAAGGTTATGGCGGAGCTTGGGCCGCTGGCGGAGACGAAGAGGATGTTGGATGAGAAGGCGCATAAGACGGGGGTGAGGATGGCGTGGGCTGGGTTGGCGGCGCTCTGTACGCAGTTTGGGTTGATGTGAGTACGGATCGACTTTCGGGAGAGGGCGTTGGAAAACCGCGGCCCCCACGCGAAATCTGCCTGGACGGGATGGGGATCGAGACCTGCTGACTCTGGTTATTCACGCAGGGCAAGATTGACATGGTGGGAATACAGCTGGGACGTCATGGAACCCATCAGCTACTTCCTCGGTGTAAGTCCGCTTTCCTCCCCTTTCACCTCCACCACACCCTTTGACCCGCAACCCCCCGAACCCCAGGCTGGCACAGGAATCCTCGGCTACATGTTCTACGTCCTCACCTCCCGCGAATACACCTACGAGACGCTCACGGAAGTGACCGTCACGCGCCACCAGATGCGCGGGTACAAGCGCGCGAAATTTGATTATGACCGGTATCTGGAGCTCAAGGGGAGGGCGGAGAAGGTTAGGGAGGAGGTGGCGAGGGTTAGGGCGGAGTATGTCGGGGATGAGGGGTTGGAGGTGGGGCATGGGGGGGTGGGAGTGCAGGGCAAAGAAGGGAGCGCGGTTGGGGTAGGTGTGGGTGGGTAAGAAGGTGGGTCAGGGAAGGCGACGTAAACGATGCCTTGTGCTGAACACCTTTACGTCGTGCGACAAGGCATCCCTCCAGGATGGACCTAAATCAGTGCAGGTTTCGTAGGACTTGCAAATGGACAGTCAGAGACTTTACATACACGATCATAGAAGGGAGGAAACATACACGTGTTGTATCGGAGCTGAAAGAGAGTGGGACACGACGACCTGTCCCTATGCATGTTATCATTGGTTTACATCGGTCCTCCCGGATGAAGAGGTCCCGGACTTGTCGCATGTTTTACGCGGCGTGAAGCCGGGAAGGTGAAGTAAGGAATGAACACACTGCCCGTCACATCCCACATATCCCGAAAAGCCCTACCAAATTTCGACCGCAGACTGTGGTGCGGTTTGATATCCATGCAGTTGAACTTGATTCTACTTGCGGTGATGATGTCTTTTTATGCGGCAGTTCCGTTCTCGAAGGACCACAACCGGCCGCACATTCGTGAACGGCGAGGAATTAATCTAGTCGCACATTCGATAATGGAATTTCGAAGCTTTGACAGCTGCCAAACGCCAACAGTTGGGCGTTGGCCCCAGACTCCAGTACGCATGTATTGGTGGCAGCATGCGCCCAGCGTTCGTCCTCCCACTGTCCCACATATCATGAGAGGGATAAGATAAAAGAATGTCCGACTGCCCGTCGCCCTCGCCTTTCCCACCCCACAAATCTCCCGTCAACCATGCTCGCCCTACACATCAAACCTTTCCTCGCAACCATACTGGGTCTATCCCTGACGGCCTCCGCCGCACCCACCCCATCATCGCCCGGAAGCAGTGTCGGCTGTGGCAAAAACCCTCCCCTCGACCCCGGGTCATCCACCAGCTACACCCTGGCCACGCCAGACGGCCGCACCCGCCGGTACACAATCCACCTCCCCTCGAGTTACAAACCCGCCACCCCCGCCCCGCTTATCCTCTCGTTCCATGGGAATACGAAGACCGCGGCGAATCAGGAACAGCTGAGCGGGTTTGATAATGAGGAGTGGAATCCGGATGGGATCGCCATCTATCCCCAGGGTGTGAACGTAAGTTGACCCGTGGAGCCATCTCGACCGGATTGGTTCCTTACCTCTGACTCTCCCCAACTCTCCGAACCCCCATAGAACGCCTGGCAAGGCGCCCCCTACGCGGACGCCTCCATCTCCGACAAAGCCTTCATCACCGCCCTCCTCGACCACCTCGAAGCCCGCTACTGCATCGACCCGCGCCGGATCTACGCTAGCGGTAAATCCCTCGGCGGGGGGTTCACCAACGTGCTGGCCTGCTCTCCATCACTCTCGCAGCGCTTTGCGGCGTTCGCGCCCGTTTCGGGTGCGTTCTATACCGGGAACGCGGACGATGACTGTCACCCGAAGCATACCGTCACGCCGGTCATGGAGTTTCATGGGTTGGCTGATAAGACCATCCCCTATGCGGGCGGCGAGCACAAGGGGGTTGATCTGCCTTCCGTTTTGGATTGGACGGCCCGGTGGGCTGCCAGGGGTGGATGCCATGCCCAGCCTGTCGTTGAAACATTGTTCGACGGCAATGTGAAGCACTACTCGTGGACCTGCCCAGCGGCAAACGGGACCCTGGCCGTGCAGCACTATGCTATCGCGGGCCTTGGACATGCGTGGCCGAGCGTGGCTGCGAACAGCGATAATTCGAAGGGAACGTATTTAGACGCCACGCCGTTGATTATGGATTTTTTCAACCAGCATGTGAATGAGCTTGCTGCCTAATGTAGAGTACAGACATAGATAGACATGTATACAGACCTAGAAGCCATTGTATGTACGGCCGAATGTGACGGTGAAGCTAGTATACAGTACCATCGAAGTGCAAAAACGGAGAATTCTGAAGCTCCTGAGCGTCGCGTCTCCGCAGCTTTCGTTTCCTGACGGGGTTGGGAGATCATCCTGCAGCATTACCCACCAGAGCACTTGGAAGTACAGCACATACAGCTGCCCCTCTCCATTCAGGTACAGCTGTCATACCCCTGTTGCGCCGGAACAAACACCGAAACTAGCAATGTCCGTCCCCGACGTCGCCAAAGGAGGTACTTCGACCGTCCAACGCACTTTTTTCGCGGCCGCAATTGCCTACGCAATGGCGGTGGCTGATGTTGACATCCAACGCTAACCGCTTCACGGAGCGCAGTCCTAGTGGAAGCCACCCCTTCCTTCCTGTCCGAAATCACCAATGACATTGACGTTGAGCTTACCCCCGCGAGCGCCTACACAATCACCCCAACGAACGATTCGACAAAGGCGGTACTGCTGGCGTACCCGTCGGGCGTGTACACGGTTGCCAGGACGGTCCGCGGCAGTGGGGTGCACCAGCTGGACGCGCATCTGAAGCGGATTGTAGAGGGATGCCGGGGGGTTGAGTTCAACAGGGGTGCTGCTGGGGAGACTCACAAGCACGCGATGGGTGAGCCTGCGGAGATTGCAACCGCAATGCAACCCTTCCGTGACCCTCTATTGGGCGCGCGGCTCGTCCGCTCCGCAATGGGTGTCGCACTACGTGAATGGAGACAGGCCTCGCTCTCCCGCCACGATGTCGAGGCCAAAATCGCCGTCTTGGTCACTTACGACAAGCTGGAAAAGCGGGCACGGCTGATCTGCCATGTCGACGCACTATTCCCGCCTGCATCACAACCCGTTGGGGTTATGGTAGACGGCCCGCCCCGCCAGAACGCGGCTGTGAAGGACACACAATGGATCCGCGACCGCACCCACCTCGAACGCCACCTCTCTAGCGAGATCAGCGAAGTCGTCCTCTACGACGCGGTAGCCGGCACGCTCTATGAAGGCCTCACCACCAACCTCTGCGTGCTCACCAGCGACCCCATCGGAGGGCATGCGTACCTCGCCTCCGCGCCGGCAGGCACTGTGCTCGAGGGTACGATGCTGCGGCTTGTGCATCAGGTCTGCGGGGAGATGGGGCTGGAGGTTCGGCGCGAGTGTCTGGCGGTGGAGACGCGGGGATCATGGAAAGCGGCGTTTTTGACGAGTGTTGCTAAGCCCGTGGTGGAGGTCGGGTTGATGAGGTTTGCGGATGGGAGTAGGGAGTGGGTGCTTGAGACGGGGGATGAGGTTGTGCGGGAGATTCGGAGACGGGTGCGCGAGCATTTGACTAAGCTTGAGACTCGAGGGAAGTGAGGAAACGAGCGACGGCTGCAGGTGTTGGCGGAGGCTGGGGAGTTGGGCCACCATCCTTTTTGGGAACGACCATTCCGTTGAGTCGGCTCAGGATAGGTGACCCCGCTTCTATGCCCCTTCTCCGCGACGCAACGCAGCAGAATTCTCAACACTCGGACCGTCCAAACACACACCTACTCACACGCTTCGAAACATCCATCAGCGTATACCCCTCTTGGTCTCTTGGGGATTTGCGTCCCGTGTTGGGATTGGGTGGTGATCATCTGCGTTTCGCTAGTTCGCCGCCCCTCCTGGTGGGGGATAACTACCCCTTTCCGGATGAGGTCGTTCGAAGAGAGTGGGAGTAAGCGCGGTCGTCCATGGATCTGGACCTTTGCGAACGACGGTACATCCCCATCCTCGAATACTGTAGAGCACTTTAGATGATGCTTATAGAGTAAACTGTTTTTGGCGCACTTCTAGGCAGTGATGTGCACTGGACACACAATCATGGTCGGCCACAATGTAGACCAGGGAGATCCGGCGGACGTCGAAAGGGTAGGAGCAGCGTGGTGTTGTACCCACGCATCCCTGCGCGGCCTGTACTGTACATATAAGCACCACGCTGTTCACCGTCTCGTTCTTGTTCACATTCCTGCGGGTTGCCTATGGTGAGGTTCCGGATGGGCGGATGGAACAAATTGCGATTCGGTTCCATTTCTATCATCAAAAGTTCCCCTAGTAAAGCGCACCGGATGCTCCGGCGTTCTATGGAGCATGTGCAAGTGAAGTCGTGGTCGCAAACGAATTGGCTTGCATCGTGGACTGAATTCGAAGGGATAAGCTGGTAACGCTGAGTGACACGGAACCTGTCGAATGTTTCTATGTGCCCGTCAATTAGATCCTGTCAATTTGGAACCCACTTCAACAACTGACAGCTCACTGGGGAGCAGGGTGTACATCTCCCAGAACCTCTCCCTAAATCGTGGATCCATACCACTGATGGTTTTTCATAGCAGCAAAAAGAAGGGGAAAGTCCTTGCGACTTCGGAGAGCGAGGATGAGCAGATCGTTCCAAACAACGAAAGGAAAGGCCGTGCCATGTCCCCCGAGAGTCGTCTTGATTTTTTCCGCGACCCGAGGGAGCTCTAAATCACTAGGGAAAGGAGAAGCAGACGTCTCCTGCCAGGTAATTGTGGACACCGCCGCGATTCAGTTCCAACATCGCTGAAGTTTCTTGAAAATGTCAAATGTCAAATCAGGGATCACAGCGCCATATTCGCAGCTGTCCCCGCCGCGGAAACGGACACAAAGTACATCAAGCTCACAGAAACCCCGAAGAACAGTCCATCGAAAAGTGCTGGGTGGGAGAGGTCGGGATTCTGGAGAAGGTCAACTCTGGCCGACACATGGATATCAGGGTGAAGTAATATCCGGTTAATACTATTAGTTGGCAGGGTAAGAACAACGTTCAGGGAATGTCCAAGTAGGAATACGATGCGGCGTAACATGGGAATATGAAAATACGGATTTGAGGCAAATGCCCCGCAGGCTTGTCATTAGAGCACTTTCAGGACTAGGACAGGCTAGAACTCACGCCGGATACTGTCCCTGTATGTAGAGACGTATCTGGCAACGCGGAAATCATGCCACTATCATGAACGGCTAATCAAACAACTCACTCTCAAAATACAGCGGCATACCAGTCCCGCATGGTTCAACGGCTTCGCTAAATCATTGATATCCTCATTTGTATTATAATCGAGCAGGACAAGTCCCGCTTGCTTGATTCGTTTCAGCTCGTGCACGTCCTTCGTCAAGCGTTATAATACGCAGGAAGATATATCCGCTGTCGAGCTTCCAGATATCCCAGCCGTGGTCGGCTGGCGGTGGGAGAGACTTTCTCGGCGTGTCCGAGGACCCGTCCGCTCTTGCTAGACTTTTCCCGCTTCATTCCCTTCATGTCGGTCTTGTGAGCCGGCTGGCGTCCGTGCCTTCGTCTTCGAAGACCTTCACAGCTTGTCTGCCCCCGGAAGGGACCATCCGCTTCTTCAGCTGTCTTGACACACTCATTCAAGCAAAAGCGTCAGGGACGTCCGTACCAGATCCCTTCCACACTCGTCCCCGTCTGCCCCGGACGCGGCGGGACCGGAATATTCCCGTGCGGGAATAAGGGCGAAAACTTTTGCCACGGCGGCGGACCTTTGGATGTCACGTCAACGATAGTGCAGCCTGGGTACTTTTTGGCAAGAGTGGCAGGTTTTGTGCGGCGATTGGCGACTATCACGTAACCCCCTTCTGGGCAGGGCTTGGATATTGGAGGGTGCCATCGCCGCGGAGAGAGAGGGCGAAGCTGAGCATTTAAGCATAGTGCTATGCGAGAGATCGGATCCCTAATCGTCCAGAAAGTCCAGAAATGCAATTCCGTGCCGTGCGGGGAAGGGTGGAATGCTGAGTGGAATGTTGGAATGGTGACGAGCGAGACGAGCGAGCCCCAAGCCCCGTTCTGCATACGCACCTACGTACAGTACCATACGTACAGTACAGTAGGTTTATAATACCTACCTCCATCAAAGTACAGATAGTAACGCCGCACATACGCACCAGCAAAGTTTACCAGCTACCCTCTCACTTTCAAAACAATCCAGCACATTGTCAACAATGGGTATGCCGTGACACCATATGCAACTACGCGAATATGTCATCCCCAAACTGACCAGTTCTTGCAGCTGCCCAGAACCCAAATCCAGAAGAGGCACCGACGGCCCCCGATACGAAGACAGGAGAGGAATCGGATGTAGACCCCACCGCCGCACCTATAGTTGAAGCGACGCCAGTAGAATGCGAGGCGGTGATCTTGACCCCGGCGGAGCGAAAGGTGGGTTCAAGGAGAGGGAAGCCGCGGCCCATGCTATGTCTCCGAAAGCGACATGAAACTGAACGGGGGATCCATCTGTGTTTCTTCTAGGCTCTCATTGACGATGCGCGGTCACATAAGGCGAAAGGGAACAAACACTTTCAGGGCGGGGAGTATGCCGCGGCGATTGAGAGGTTGGGAACTACCGTCTGGACCGCTTGCGGATGGAGGGACTGACCTCGAGAATTTTTCATAACCATATTTCTCCAACATCACATCACAGATACGAGGAAGCCTTAGCGCTAGCTCCAGAAGACGAAACCGAAGAGCGCGGCATCTTCTTCGCCAACATCGCGGCATGTCATATCCACCTGGTACCCATCGCGCATCCCATCCTGTTCCTGGCCCTCATTCGCATCTTTACAAGCATTTTTTTTCTTATTCATGCAACAGAAAGACTACCCAGAAGCCGCACGGAATTGCACAAACGGTAAGGTTCCAATCCTCAATTTCGATGACCAAACAATCAGTCCTCACCTCAACCCGACTCCATTTGTCTTCCGGGCCACAGCCCTAAAATGCAAACCAGACTACCTAAAAGCCCTAACCCGCCGCGCCCTCGCAAACTCACATATCGGGTCCTGGGCATCCCTCAGTGATGCGTTGAAAGGTAACCCCACTATCCCCCCATCACTGCGGAAGTCAAATCGTTGACTGACTACTGACCGACGTGGATGGAAAGATTACAAACGCATCCTAGAACTAGACCCCCACAACCGCGAAGCCGCGCGGTCAGTCAAACTCCTCCCGGGGCAGATCGAGGTGCAGCAGGAGAAAGAAAAGACGGAGATGCTCGGTAAAAAAATCCCATATCACTCAGACCCGTTTATGTCGAGACGGGTTACTGACATGTGTGTGATTTGGGACTGTGGGGTTGTGTAGGAAAACTGAAAGACCTCGGCAACACCTTCCTGGGCAATTTCGGCCTCTCGCTGGATAGTTTCCAGATGAACAAGGATGAGAAGGGCGGGTTTAGTGTCAATATGAAGAAGTGAGAGGCGGGGAAAGGGAAGGCGTACGGCGCGAGTGGGGAGGTGAAGGAGCGCGGTGTGGGCTGCTGTAACTCGTGTGCGCCGCCAGGCGGCTGGCTCCTGGGGATACAGGTCGGAAGCGGAAAGCGCCAACGACAGGAAAGGCGACCCCACCCCGCGCCGTCGGATAGCCCTAGATCTAGAGTAGCCCCGACGTCGGCTGAGAAACCCGACACGCGCAAAACGAGGCGCAGAGTCGGGTCTCACGGCTTGGACACCCCGCTGGCTTGCGCACACCGGCGGAAATGCGGCGTAGAGTGATATCAGTATTTTTTGGGAAATTCATACAGTTACTGCAACAAAATGCGGGCCCCGGTCCGCTAACATCCACATTTCGACTCGAAGACGTTAAATGCAGCGTGTATCAGTGTCAGTAATAATGATATATGCGTGAAAAATGTGTCCGAGTCCGTTGTGTGGGGAGGAAGGAAGGGGATAGAAGGCGGAGGGGAGGTGGGTATGTTTGTATATGTGTGTGTGTCCTCCCCATCAACCCTCCTGTGCGAATGGTGGTGTTGCGGCGTGGGTGGGTGTGCGCGTGAGTGAGACGACCCACCCACGGGCCCTGGTTCGGGTGCGGTGCGGTGGCATGTCGAAGCGTGTGCGACTCCTCCCGTCCTCTCCAGCTCCCCACACCATACGCGCCCGCTCGGGTCCGTCCCCGGATAGCGTCATTGTGTCGTGTATCGCATACGCCCCCCCCAAAAAAAGTCCGGGCCGCGCATCTCCAGCCGGGCGCTCGTGCGACCGGATATCCGTGCGTCCAATACAACCGGGGTGGGGGTGTCATCGTCATCCCTCCTGAAACCCCCCATCCCATCTACGCCCCAACACCGACCCCCGCGCCAACCCCCGCGCCAAACGCCCCCGCCAGCAACACCTTCGCCCACCCAACCGCATAGAACGTCGCGGCGTTCGTCGGGAACGCCCTTACGGCCGTCGCGGCCCACCCGGAAAACAACACGCTCGGCCCTTCGGCGCGCACGATCGTGCGGAGGCATTGGAATGTGCTTGTGTAGGTTTTTTTGGATTCGTTTTCCGCTGGAGGGGGTAGGCACAATGTGAGTAGTTGTGAAATTGGGGGGGTAAGGGTGGAGGGAGGAGGAGGGGGGGATGTAGAGACATACCGGATTGTAATCGAGTCTTAACAACATCGAACGGATACGTCGACAACCACGCACACACGCCCGCGAGCCCCCCCGCAAGCAAGAGTTTGAGCGAGGGTTCGGACTGCGGCGGGGTGTTGGCGGGGATGAGGGCGCGGGAGAGGAGTTCGTAGGTTGCGAAATATGCTAAATTTCAAAAAAAAAATCAAGAATGGGTGGGGTGTGAGTGTGAGGTTCGAGGCGAAGGGCTACGCGAGAGGGGGATGGGGAACACGTTACCTCCATAACTCGGCGTCTCCCTGATGATCGTACACCCCAATCCGCGGAAGTAGCCTCGTATCCCCGCTTGTCTGTATATCTGCACGAGAAAACCTGTCAATTACATTGCAAACACACCCGCGCCGTCCCCAAATGTCTTACTTACTTGTTGCATGCAATCCACGGGTCCTTTGTACATCGGGATCCCGGGCGCGCCGCTTGCGGTTGGTGGCGCGTCGCGTTGGTTTTGGAGGCGGATTTTTACTGACAGGGAGTGGGAGGGGGGTCAGTGTCGGGTGCGTCGGCTGATGATAAGCGTGAGGGGAACGTACCTAATTCCATCGGACAGCTGGGAGGGGAAAGGATCGAGAGGGGTCAGGCCACTCGGATCGTCAAAGAAAACCCTGGAGCGTATACTTGCCCGCACGCACCTGAAAAACGCATTGATGAACCCGCTCGCCGATCCTGCGGCCGCGATGCTCAAAATCGAGTCTTCCCCGCTTCCAATATGTCGTAAGAAGTAGCCGTATACTCCGAATAACAGACTAGTCGGTTTATCCGAAATGTCAGCATCTTCTCGTCTTGCCTCGTGATGACCTCCTCCCCCCGCGCAATACGATAATTCGTTACCTGTTGATAACGGCTACCCCGACTAACGGCGACGCCATGCCTTTGTAGAGACCTCGAAACTGAGGGATGTCATCCAGGCGATGTTAGATTATCGTCCTTCGCGACCTCTCCGCCTCCCTCGCCCGCCCCTCACGCCTCATATTCCACAACACCGTACCCGCTCTTCCCGCACGATACTCGTCATGCAGTGTACCGTCCCGCGGTACCGTTTTCCTGTTTCGTGTTGGCTCTGGAGTCGGACTCTGTGGGTAATAGGAGGGGTTTTGATTAGGGATGGAGTGTGATGCTGATAATCGAAGGCGGCCCGGCCCGCCGGTGCGACATGCATACTTTATCGTATCCTGCAATTACATGTATCAGCCAGTGGAATGTGGATGAGTTTGGAACGGACTTCTACTCTGTCTGCAACTCACCAGAGGATGTCCTGCTAATACGCCGGCACACCTATGAACAAAGCAACGACAAGTCCACAGGCAACAAAGCGTTAGAGCCTTCGCCACCTATCCAACCGCTCGATATGACCTCCCCACAGCGATCCGCATGAAAACACACGCTCCTTACCCTAGACGAGCGAGAAAACCAAGAAACAACATAAGTGACCCGGATGATTAAGATGATAGACCAAACACGAGAAGGAAGGTTGTAGTCCCGCTGCACAGCAAGAACACGGAACCTCCATACATAGGTGTACACACCTCCAACGATACCGGCGGCAAAGTCTATCCCTAGAGCCGAGTGTCCGTGGACGTCGATGGAGAAGACACTTTCTGCTGGTTCCGCCATATTGGATGCGAGAAGTGGGTGGTGAAGGTGTGGGGAAGACGTTGGGATTGCGGGCAATGCAACGGACGACACGGCCTGAACAGCGAAGGCTACACTGTTGCGACGGGGTTATGCTAAACACATGCACAGCTGTCCTCATAGACTACCCCACTTTTACCGTCGTGTAGAACGGGATAGGAGCCAACAATGCTTCTGCAAAAGTGGACTTACAAGTTCCATCAAACGTTCATATATCGGTGTACAAGCGCCTCCCCAGCTGACCGCGGGCCGTCGAGCGAGTGACCTTCAATTGTTGACAAGATATACAACACCTCGCTGCCAACTTCATAAGAGTACCGGCGCACCAGGCCGTACCAGCGACACGCCGGCCATGCCTGTATCACTGGGCCAATGGCCATATTGTCATTTGGAAAAGAAGAAAAAAAATGGACGGACTGCGCTGCATTGGAGCCGCGGCCTAGTCAGTCACCTCTGGTGTTTTACAATTTGCTCGATCTGGCGTATACGGCGTCATGCTGCTATGAAGCCCCATGATGTCCAATACAAAGTTCCATACAGATATACAGTACCATACATGAGAGGCATGATGCCCGCATGCCATGATACAGCATATCGCATGCCATGATGTTTTACCCTCGCAGTTTGGGTTCTGTTGTTGCAGTGAGTTTCAAACGATGGGATTGAAGGACGGGCGGTCATGCGCGAGCTCTTTCTTGTCGAAATGGGAGGAGGCGGTTTCGACCAACGAGACGCCGGTCACGTGAGGAGTCACTAGTTTCAACGTGTTAATTAGAGCCTTCTTTCCTACCCAGCAACGTCACACTTTCCCTTCCGTTTTCCATTCCGTTTTTTCGCCCTTACGTTACACCTCTTCCCTGTCCTGGGAGTTCCCTAACGGCCGTTCAGGTCTCAGGCAGCAACGGCAATGGCTCCACCATCACAAAAAAAACAACAGCTGCCACAAGCAGGCAAGCCACCACCTGCCACCGACACACCAACTTCGGCATCCCAAGATGAACACCCCAACCCCAACAGCGACGAACCACCAGACAGCGTCAACATCAACCCCAACAACAACACAAACGACGACGACGACAGCGAAACGCAATCACTCCTCTCCTCCCGCCCTACCAATACCACTCCACTAATACCACCACCACTACCACCACACGGCCACGACGACGATGACACACCCACAACATCCCTCTCAACCATCCAGATCATCAACCTCAACGCTTTCTGGTTTGGGTACCAGCTGCTTTGGTTTCTCGTCTTTGTTGTCGTGGTGCCGGCTCAGGTGGCCGAAATTGCGGGTCCGCAAGGGAAGGGACGCGCACTGTCGGCGGTATCGCTTTGTGGTGGGATATTGAATTTAGGGTTGGCGGTTTTGGTAGGGGCTTTTAATGATCGGTCGAGTGGCGGGAAGTTTGGGAAGAGGTGGGTGAACGCGGACGGCGACGAGCGGAGCGAGGCGTGCTTCAAATTGATGCAGGCGAGCCCGAGGCGAGCCTTGGTTCGGTCTGGAAGACCGAGCGAAGCGAGGTCGACCTGAGCGAATGCCGTCGCGAGCGACAGCGGAGCGAGCCACATTGCGCCAAAGGCGCAATACTCCCCTCACGGGTTTTAGCGAGCGCCAGATCTCAACCGAGCGAAGAGGATATCCTTCATTGCACCGCCCGACTGACCGCATCGCCATAACTTTCCGGGCCGACACACTTCGAACCCTACCGGCCGCACATTCTTTTTTTTGTGTGTTTTGTTTTCGTTGAGCGCAAGTTCGAATCCTCACGGGCGTCCACTCTTTTTAGACACCCCTGGATCATCCTCGGCGCCCTCGGCATGTGCCTAACCCTCTTCCTCATGTGGCCCACCACGCCCCTCCCCCTCTACATCCTCTTCTTCACCCTCTTCACCGCCTCCACCGTCCTCTGCTCCGTCCCCTTCAACGGCCTCATCGCCGACGTCACGCCCGCGCACCAAAAGGCGCGCGTGAGCGCCATCATGGGCGGGATGAACCTCGCGGGGTACCTCACTGGCGCCGTGGTCGGGATTGTTGCTGCGGAGGTGTCGTATCTGGTGTTGTATGCCCTGATGACGGTGTTGATGGGAACCGCAACGTATATGACGGTGTGTCTGGGCCCGAGGGAGCCTGCGCATCATTATATTCCGCAAGAGGAGTTGCCGCCGATAGACTGGAAACCGTTCATGGTTGGGCTGGTGAAACCGCTATGGACGCACCGGGATTTTGCACTCGTCTTTGCGTCGCGGTTCCTGTTCCAGTTGGGGATCGGGACGATCCAGCAGTTCATGCAGTAGTAAGTCCCTTCATCACAATCTCACCCCCTTTTCCCAACTCCCATCTGATCTCTGTATTTTTTTTCTTTTACTTTCTCGCAAGCTTCATCCAAGACTGCGTCCCCACAACCCTCCCCCCCACCCGCGCCGTCTCCCTCGCCCTCCTCCCTCTCCTCCTCACCTCCCCGCTCACCGCCCTCCTCACCACCTCCCTCCCGCTCAAAAAACCCACCGTCTACACCTCCGCCCTCCTCTTCACCCTCACCTCCCTCCTCCTCATCTCCACCCGCTCGTTCCCCGTGGCGCTGGTCGCGAGCACGGTGTTTGGCGTCGGGTATGGCCCGTTTGTGTCGGTTGAGTTTGCGATGTTGATGGATGTCTTGCCGGGACGCGGCGACGTCGCGAGGGATATCAGTCTGTGGCATTCGGCCCTCGTGTTGCCACAGATTGTCGCGGTGCCGCTGGCGGGGGTTGTGAGGGATGTGGGACAGAGGTGGGGGGAGAAGGCGGGGGATAACGAGCTGACGGTGGGAGGCGGGATGGGGATGGGAGGTGGGGAGGGAGAGGAGAGGGGGTGTTTGGGATACCAGATGATTTTTGCGATATGTATTGTGTATTTCGCGGCGGGGGTTGTGGCGACGAGGGCTATCCGGGGTGTGCGGTAGGATCTGAACTCTCGGGACGTAGACTTATATATATTCCAGGAAAATGAAAGACAACGGCGTTTTTTCCCTCGAGATGGGGATTCTTCGTTTATGCGCGCTGGATATGCGATATGCAACACGTATGCACACTTCCCAAAAAAGACTGACCGCCAAACCCGCATCGCTCTACGCCGCATATATGTCCCGCCGGGGCGGATCCCGGTGTGTAGGTGGCGGATAAGCCGTGTGACCCAACTCAGCGCTCGCTTGTGCTAGTTGGATTCGCAGAAACCCTCATGGTGCCCCGGCGGATTTCCATCCTGACCGATCTCCCAAACCGAGTTTAATGTCGTCGTACGGCCCGGCTAGCTCGCAACTCCTCCGCCACCGTACGCCCGCACCTCCTTCGCTTGGAAATCCGCCATCTGCACCACCGGCTGTTGCGAAAAATGAAACGTCATTAGCCAAAACCACATCGACACGCACCCAATCTCAACCCCATATACCTTGTTTTGAAAACCCTCCCTCGCAATCGCCGCCAAACTCGCCCTCCTCACAACCTCCTTCAAATCCGCCCCCGTAGCCCCCTTCATCCTCCGCGCAAGTACCGCGAGGTCTACGTCTGGTGCGAGTGTCAGGCGCTTTGTGAGAGTCTGTAGAATGGACAGCCGGTCACGGTGCGTGGGGGGTGGGATTGATATGAGGCGGTCTATGCGGCCTGTGGGTTGTGTCACAAAGTGAGAGTCAGTGGAAACAAGAAAGTGTCGGAGAAAGAAGGCTGAACACATACCAGGCCTCAACAACGCCTTCTCCACCAGCCCGGGGTAATTCGTCGCACATAACAAAACAACACCACTCCCCGCCTCCAGCGCGTCGATCTCAACAACCAGCATCGAGAACAGCTTCTTGCCCGCATCGCCCATGTTCTCGTGCCGGGAGAATAAAGCTTCCAGCTCGTCGATGAAGATGATCGTGGGGCTCGTGCGGCGGGCGAGGGTGAAGGTGCGGGTTATGGCTTTTTCGGATTCGCCCACCTACGGGAGAAGAGGAGAGGGGGATAGAAGGTGTGAGGTGTGAGGTGGGGTGGGGTTGGGTGATGGATGGGGGAGGTGGGTTTACCTCGCCTTTGATAAGCTCCGGGATGGAGATGGGCATGAAATTGGCGCCGGATTCGGTCGCGACGGCTTTGGCGAGGAGGGTTTTGCCTGTTCCTGGTGGGCCATGGCTACGCATGCAATTACGAGGTCAAACACGTCAAGCGAAGTTGAATGGAGGTGGTACTGCGTGATTGGGGACCTACAGCAAGACGCCTTTGGAAGGCGCGATTCCGAGCCGTTTGAAAGCGTCGATGTTTTTGAAGGACCATACCACGCTTTCTTTGAGGAGAGTCTAGAAACCGCGGAAAACTTCGTTAGCACATTCTCGCGGCGGTACGGTTTCCCCCATTTTCACAATACCTTCGCCTTCGCATGGCCCCCAACATCAGCCCACCTCACAACCTCCACCTTCGCCCCCTCATACCGCCCGCCCTCACTCGCCTTGATCTCCACCGCCCCAAACGCCGCATCAAAGTCTTCTTGAACCAGTGTCACCGAACTGCCATATCCATCCCCTTGTCTGCTGAACGCATGCCGGAGGGCGGAGTCGCAGAGCTCGGCGAGGTCTGCTAGGCGGAAGGCTTGGGATCGTTCGGCGATGGGGTGCAGGTTGAGAGGTGTTGGGTGGGATGAGGAGGTGAGGTAGTGGAGGAGGGCGAGGCGGTGTGGGAGGGTGGGTAGTTCGAGGGGGATGTTTTCCTGGCGATGAAAAATTAAGTATGGTGCGGCGGATGCATTGGACACAGCAACGGTTAGTATGACACTAACCTCGAACCGCTTCAACACTTCTGGATGCAGCGAGGATGAATCGGAACATGTAGCCAGCAGCAACACGCCATTATCCGCATCCCGTATCCGTTGTAAACTACTGGTGAAGGCAAGGTACATCTCGTCGGTCGTGTTCCTCGCGGGAAACACGGTTTGCACTTCCTCGATGCATACTGGTTTATCAACGTTAGTTCCCCATCTGTACATTGGAGCATGGAAAGAGATTTCGGTCGCCTCACCTACGCACCTCCGTCGGTCGATGGCTTGTGCGAAGATGTCATCAAAAGCGTACGCTTGTGCTCGTCGACTCAGGGAAAGACTTGCACTGGACACCGTAATCAACTAGTCGATTTCGTCAGGAGTTGGACACTTGGGATTAAAGGAAAGAGGTGACTTTTACGCACCGACAAGTCCAAAGCCTGACAAAGCGCCGCCACTAGCGTTCGCTTTCCTACCAATTGGCCAAGCAGTCCGTAAGATCACCATCATCTTTGGAGCCCTCCGTCGTTCAGTTGACATTCTTGCCCACCTATCCCACTCAATCCCGTAAGGAGCCCACTACATAGCGCCTGTATCCCCGTATCCATGTAAACATCATGGTGTTCGCACTTGGCCGTGACAAGTCGCCTCAGCCTGGGGAAGTCATCCCGGTGAGAAAGGCCTTATCAGTGACTGAAATTCTCGTTCTCCCCTCCGCACAAGTTGCCAAATGACCAACCCAACCTGACATGAGCTTCACCGACGGCCTCGAGGGGAAAGCCACTGCCTTCATTGTTCCCGGTGGAGGGCATTTCGCAGTTTGTACTCGGGGTGTTGTAAAAGCAAGGAAATCGAAACCAGATGTGCCCGCGCCGCCGCGAACCTCAAAACACCCATGTCTCTGCAGTGGGAACACCATGGTTCTGCACAGACTTGGGACCACAATGCAATCGCAGGACATGACCGAACTTGAGAGGACATGTGGGCACAAACAGTGCAAGCTGGTAAGGCCTCTTGACACACACACGCACACACACGCACACACACACTCACCTCTTCTCGCAGATAGGACTTCCTGCCACCGAGATTGCAATTGCGACGGACGAGATTGCAATGACCAACGGGCCCACCGACAGCGACAGTGACACTCGACAGCAAAGCAGGAGGGACAGCAAAAAACCAAAGGCAACGAGGGGGATGGTTGCAAAGAGGGTTCTGTTGGGGGGTGGCTCCGGTGCAAGGGGAAGGATGGTGTTTGCGAACATGGGGGGTGGTTCCACCGACTCTGCTGTATGACGACCGAAGTCAAGAACCCTTGCTGGTGGTGTGAGGACTGTCGCCCCACCCGATATCACCAAAAAAGGATTTGGAAGGAATTGGAGGGAGCGAGGGCAGCGAAGGGGGCAAGCGATGCAGAGGATGCAAAGGGGGCAAAGGAGGGAGAGCTCGTGCGGGGCACGATGGAGCCTGTCACAGTCACCGATGGTGGAAGCGAGACAGAGGAGGATCCGACCTTTGGCACACCAAAGAAGAGGAGGGTGATGCGAGAAGGTGGCACCGACAGACGCAGTTACTTTCGCCCCATTGTGATGACTGTAACCCAACTGCCATAGCCAAAACTCGACGATGGAGCCCTTGCCCTTGGTCTATCACTGCCACCCCGCGTTCAGCAATGGTTCCTAAAGAAACGAACCCACTGCGTCATCGCCCAAATTCGCACTCGCCGGCCAGGATGCTTCCACATCACCCCTGCCGATGGGAACCTTGAGTCTGCAGTTCAGGTTTACGATTCCGACTGCATCATCTATGGCGTGGATGCAGAGGACAAGTTTATCATACTTGTTATGTACATGCCAGATGCCTTCGACAGCAAAACGATGACAAAGATGACTAAACTGTATGAGGATTGGAATGGAGCTGCGAATCCAGACTCACAGCCTTTCACTCGCCCACTTTGCTACATCCACAAGAGAGCTGGAAGGCACCGAGGTTTCGACGAGAGCCATCGTGTATGCCGTTCTGGTGTTTGGGTTGCTCCGGGTGAGAGTGGCATTACCCCTGTTAGCGACGTCACTGGAGACCACGAAAGAGCTGGAAGGCACCGAGGTTTCGACGAGAGCCATCGTGCATGCCGTTCTGGTGTTTGGGTTGCTCCGGGTGAGAGTGGCATTACCCCTGTTAGCGACGTCACTGGAGACCACGAAAGAGCTGGAAGGCACCGAGGTTTCGACGAGAGCCATCGTGCATGCCGTTCTGGTGTTTGGGTTGCTCCGGGTGAGAGTGGCATTACCCCTGTTAGCGACGTCACTGGAGACCACGAAAGAGCTGGAAGGCACCGAGGTTTCGACGAGAGCCATCGTGTATGCCGTTCTGGTGTTTGGGTTGCTCCGGGTGAGAGTGGCATTACCCCTGTTAGCGACGTCACTGGAGACCACGAAAGAGCTGGAAGGCACCGAGGTTTCGACGAGAGCCATTGTGTATGCCGTTCTGGTGTTTGGGTTGCTCCGGGTGAGAGTGGCATTACCCCTGTTAGCGACGTCACTGGAGACCACGAAAGAGCTGGAAGCCACCGAGGTTTCGACGAGAGCCATCGTGCATGCCGTTCTGGTGTTTGGGTTGCTCCGGGTGAGAGTGGCATTATCCCAGTTAGCGACGTCACTGGAGACCACGAAAGAGCTGGAAGGCACCGAGGTTTCGACGAGAGCCATCGTGTATGCCGTTCTGGTGTTTGGGTTGCTCCGGGTGAGAGTGGCATTACCCCTGTTAGCGACGTCACTGGAGACCACGAAAGAGCTGGAAGCCACCGAGGTTTCGACGAGAGCCATCGTGCATGCCGTTCTGGTGTTTGGGTTGCTCCGGGTGAGAGTGGCATTATCCCAGTTAGCGACGTCACTGGAGAGAATGCCTACAGGTATGCATCGAAGTCGCGTCTTGCACAACAGTGACCTTTTACTAAACCATTTGTCAGGGCTCCTGGAGCGACAGCAATACACAAAGCATATGTCAACCTTGGCATAGCAAAGGTTGTGCATGCGATGGCATGGATCGGTGCCCCCAAGGATTACGTTGCCAACCGAAATACTATCAGCAAGCTCAGCCGTATCAACAAAGCTTACCTACCAGCCAACGATTGCTGGTCTTCACACACGCACATCTTCAAATCGCTAGTCGACTGCCACTACGATGTCGAGGACAAAGGGTTCACAGCACAGTATCCGTTCGGCGATTTCGAAGGAGGGGGGGACTTGGAGTTTGTCGACATCGGCATCCGATTGAAGCAGCGACCAGGCACCCTTACCCTGTTCCGTGCCGATCTCCTGCGTCATCAGGTCACAGACTATCTGACTGGCAATCGCTACGTACACTCGGCATTTATGCAAGCAAGGGTCGCCAATGGAGTTGCAAGGGGAATGACGTAGACGGAGGTTTGGGGAGGTCGGAGCAAAAAAGGAAGGGATAAGCATTATAACATATACCCCGTGTACGAAAGTTTCAATCAGTGTCGCAAAGACCGTACCCTCACAACGATAGTTTCTCAGCAGAGTTTCCAAAACCGCAGGGAGATGTGGAACATATCGTGTCCCGATTACAAAGGGCTCTTTGCGTGTCGACCATCCATGGCCTTCTATCCCGGGGAGACTTTGCCTGCAGGAATTGTACCCGACGACCTTCTCATCGGCTTCCTTGGTGAGTTCACGAGAAATTCTGGATCCGATTCTGCCAGATCTCGAGACGGCGTCTCAGGTCGGAACCATTCTCCCTGGAATTCGACAGCGGGTCGTTCCCGTCACTGTCCGTATTCAACAACCACGGGCAGTACCAAATTGATTCTCAGCGAACCGTCTCGTAGCAATTTGACAATGACATCTCAAGAATAAAGACATACAGAACATTATTTACAACGTTGAAGAAGGACCTTCCTATATATGTCGGGAGCTATTTCTGAGGGACACAGACGGCCACTCTTGAGAAAAGAGGTGACTTCGATTTTCCTTCTTGTCTGATTTTTTCTTCTGATGATCAGAACGGCTTGTAGTTACTTTGAGAATGTTAAGGAGCATGCGTGGTCATCAGGACGCACGGTGAAGACGTCGCTTGTTTAAAGAGAAAAAAGGTGCTTCGCCAGTGCGTCCTGCTTGAGGTGCTTCCTCGCTTCTTCGAGTTCCTCTTTGTATTTCGCAATCTCCTCAATCATTTTCTTTCGCTCATCCTCCCAAGCGTCCTCAACGCGTGCTTTAGATTCCATCCCATATTTCTCAGACGGTTTCTGATGGTCCTCACGCACACGCCTGAGCTCGGTCTTGTAAGCGTCGTCCAGGTGTGCTTTGAATTCAAGATCTGCCTTTTCCTCTCCTCGTTGTTCCACCCGCCTCGCTTCCAACGCCTCTAGCAGACATTCCATTTCGGTTTGCCAGTGTTCTTGAGTCATTTCGACGAAGTGGAGGGGGCAGTAGTTCATTCTGCCGTTTTGTCGGTTGACGACGACGGCTTGTCGCCCTGGGTTCTGCGCGTTCGTGGACTGGTAATCGATGGACACGGAATCGATGTTGTCGAGGTTCAGGACCACTTCTTGACAGAAAAGATAGTAGGGAGACACCGCTTCGGTCTTCCCCTCGGTTGCAGAGCCCATCGCGAAGATTGTTCTGGCTTTTTGTGTTTGCTCTGAGACGAGAACGACGATGCCGAACCAAATCCGTGTGCTTGGAAAACTGGAAGGTTTTGAGTGTTCGAGGTTGTCACGAAGTCTCGGGTCAAGCTAACTTTCGCTTTCTCTGCCAAGGGCTTACAAAAGGGTGAACGTCTGAGATCTCGCGTCCGTCTCCACAATGTTTCTGGGGACATTGCCACATTCTCCTGGACGGCTCAAGTGATTCCGGCAGGGAGGTAATGCTTGAAATGGAAATGTCCACTCCTGCATCAATCCATTGCTGATAATGTACTGCAGAAACGAGGCTCCACATCGCATTCATATGATAGAAAGAGGCATTGAGTGATGCGCATCGGATTCATATTCCATGCATTCCCGTACTATAAACGGCTCCCCGTACTATAAAGAACTTCGAACCAATACCGAGAATAATATTCTAAATTCCCTGCCAATGCCCACTTCGAATATATACGACTAACACGGTGGGATAGACATTCAGGGCTTGCCTCTCCGCAAGAACGCGAACTTCCGACGAATGCTGGACAGTCTGTACAAAGCGAGCCAGATGCATTGTTTATGCAAACGTCCTAGCATTGAGCGAAAAGCCAGCAAGATCAATCATGTCAAGTTTGAGAGATCCTCGTCGGCGAAGATGTGATGAGGCCGCAAACTTTTTAGAAAGGACTCTAATCATCGTATGAAAACTCGGGAAAAGGGGCCTGCGCTCGACCCCTCTGCAACTATTGTATGCGTCCGAATATCCAAGTATGAAAGAAGGGCTGAGCAGAGACCGGGAGGACCGCAGAGGACCGCCATTCATTACAAGATGATATATCAATTTCAACACCTCCCCCCGCCGCAAACCGCTGTTCCCTCAGGATTCACAACAATCGCTCCGCCAAGCCGCCGCAACGGTCTGATTCATCGAGTGACAGGAATTCGACAGCGCGCCGCTTGAACACGTCACGCGAATCCCCGCCCTTATCCCTGCTCCCGACTTGGACCTCAACGGGCCAACTCCCAAACAGGAAATGGAAAGGCAAAATCGAACATTCCTTGCACCACATGCTCAGCAGCGTGTGGCAAGAGGGGCAACTTGGCACGGGCGGGGAGCATACGCCGAGAAAAAATGACACGGATTAGGTGGGAGAGTATAAAAGCCAGCGTTGGGGATCCATTTTCTCCGTTTGACCTACGTTCCGACTTACATCAATCTGTTCTTCGTCTGAGATATCTACGAACCATCGATTAGTCTACACAATATAGTAGCACATCACCATGCGCGCAACTGCTCGTCCCCAGTCACTCGGGCAGTCCGTCCTCGCCTTCCTCCTCGTAATCCTGACCCTCACGTCCATCTCGACATCTGCTCGTCCAGCGGCATCCAGAGAGGCATCACCCAGGCAGGAGGTTGCTACTCTGAACCCAGTTGACACTCCGCCAGCCGCTACCCAGGAACCCGTTGAAGATGCCCCAGCGCCCCAGCGAGCTACCGCACGTCCTCAACCGGTCGCGACGCAGGAACCAGTTGACGATACCCCAGCTCCCCAGCGAGCTACCGCACGTCCTCAACCGGTCGCGACGCAGGAACCCTTCGTTGTCGTGGTTCAGGCCTCGACACAGAAACCAGCCCCGGTTGCGACACGCACTAACCGGCCTCATCCCATCTCGACGCACAACACCTTCGCTGCTCATGCGTTACCATCAGTTGTGATCTCGCACACCGTCTCGAGGATCCCGTCGTCAACCCATAAGCCCGTCACGGTGGCTCATTCCACCAAACGCCATCATTCAACGAGGACCCGTAAAACTACTACCGTCGCACCAACCCCTTCTCATTCTACTACGCGCCCTCATGCATCGTGGACCCGCGAGACTACTACCATTGCTACAACACCATCCCGTTCCACCACGCGCCATCATGCATCGTCGACCCGTATAACTACTACTGTTGCCCCAACAACTTCTCACTCTACCACGCGCCATCATACAACATCGACACAGAGAACCACTACCCTTGCCTCAACGTCTTCCCATTCCTCCACAAGCCCTCAGCCATCCTCTACTCAGACGTCCTCCATCACCACCACCTCAACTGGAACGCACGCATCCACTTCGCACGCATCCACCTCTCACGCCCACTCATCCTCCACCCGCAGACACTCCACCGCCGCACCCCACAAAACCACCCGCGGGCACACATCGCCCACCCACAAGCCGATCGCGCCTATCCCTCCTCCCCGCAACCCCTCCACTGGCACCGGTAGTTCAAGCCCCACCTTCAGCAAAATCGTCGTGATAGGCGACTCGGCCTCCGATACCGGCAATCTGTTCAAAGCCGTCGGCGTACCGGTTGCACCGTACTACGAGGGTCGGCTTTCTAACGGGAAGGTGTGGGCCGAGTTTTTGGCGGAGAAGGTTAACGCAGAGCTTGTGGATTTGGCTTTTGCTGGGGTATGTATACTGTTCACATTAACTAAATTTGTGTTACTGAAGCGGACATTTAGCTGATGATTTGATCATTCTTTTTATTCACAGGCGGCAATCGACAGAAAACTCCTCCCTTCAAGCAACCCCAACCATTACATTCCTCTCCCCCCGGACTTCCACGAGCAAGTCACCAACTTCCTCAACTTTACCTATAACGACCACACGCACCATCATCATCACCACATCACCGCAAACTCCACCACAGCTCAGAAAGAGGCCGCCGAGGCCGAAGAAGCGAAGGAAGCCGCCGACCCCGCCGCACAGTACACGCTCAAATACGGGTTCCCCAACGCCTCAACGACGCTGTACGTCGTGTATGGTGGCGGGAACGATTACATTGGCGCGTTGACGGCGGCGATCGCGAGCCCGGTTGATCCTCAGAGCGGGTCAAAGGGCAATCCATTGAATAATCAGATCAATCCCAAGGAAATCGTGCAGTCGTTGGTAGACGTCGTAACCAAGATTCGCAGCGCGCCCGAACTCGCCGCCCAGCACATCCTTGTCGGCACCTTACCCGATCTCGCTCAGACGCCCCTGATGAAAGGCATCGCCGAACTCTCGAAAAATGTAGTCCCGCGCAAGCAGTTCCTCGCAACCGTTTCGAAGTACATCACCGAACACAACAAACTCCTTACCGCCGCGGTCAAAGACCTCACCTCCACCCACCCCAACCCCGGGACGCCCTTCCGTATCGACATCGTCGACGTCGCGGCCCTCACAAAAGCTGAATTTACTGGCTCCGCCGCCAAATCGCACGGATTCACCAACATCAACACGCCGTGCCTGTCGCTGAACCGCCCGAGCAACGTGAGCTTGACGCCGTGGTTAAACACGGATAAAAGCGCGTTCAAGGTTTGCAGGGATCCGGACACGCATGCGTTCTGGGACACGATTCACCGGCCAACCAGGGTGCACAAGCGGTATGCTGATGCGGCTTGGGACGTTTTAAGCAAGACGAACGATGTGTGATTTAGTTTCAGTTATTTTCGATGTTTTGGACTCGTTATCGCCCCCTTCCCAAGTGTTGTTGAGAGCAAGATATGTTTATATGATCTTCGCTCAATCTGTACATGTACAGTGTGTATTGTATGAGACATGTAAAATGGTGTATTGTATTGTGAAAATATGGAAAACATGAAAACATGATTTGAGTTATGAATCCATCTTGTCAACGAATGGTGACGGGGAGTACCTTCAATGTGGTTATCCCTGAAGCATCTCTTGTGGACATGGAATGATCACTCCAGTGAGCGAAGTGACTGGTGTGAATGCCTGCAGGTATGGTGATTGATGTGGTTGATGAAGGCTTCCAACTAATTTTGGACTCCCTGCAGGGCTCCTGGGGCAGCTGCCATTCACCATGCTTACATCAAGCATGGCATCGCCAAACTTATTCATGCGATGGCATGGATCGCCTTCCCCGAAGAATATTATTCCAACCGAGACACGATCAAGGGTTTCACCGATCTTAACAAGGGATATCTCCCAAAAGACGATTGCTGGTCCACCCATACCCACATTTTGGAATTCGACAGTCGATTGCCGCTTCGATGTGGGGCCCCGGGCAAGTGGCGGTGAAGGACACTCCGAAGCTGGCGTGGGTGGAACCTTCTTCTGGGCCGGATGCGTGCTATCGACCACCCGCTCACCATACGATGGCTTCATCAAGAAAAATCATTCAGTCCAACGAACCCTCGAACAGACCCTCGCCTGTGGTTTGTGCAGGTGCGAAAGCCCATCGATCTCACATTCTCGGGCGGTCATGCCGCCTGGGTACATTCCGCATACTGAACAACCCTGGGAATTTTTGGCCGGATCGTGCTATCGACTCCCCGGCGCACCATACTATGGCTCCATCAAGAAAATTATTCAGTTCAACGAACCCTCGAACAGACCCTCGCCTCTGGTTTGTGCAGGTGCGGAAGCCCATTGGAGTCACATCCTCGGGGGGTCGGTGCCGCTTGGGTGAATTCCGCATACTGAAAAAACCTGGGGATGATTCCCGATATCAGTCGTACGGTGTTGTGGGACTGGAAATTGACTGGAAATGCCCGAGTTGCGCGATTTGGGCAGCGCGCGTCACGCGAGAACGAGCAATGATGGTGATTCTGTCGAAGGTGAACACTCCGAACGCCCACGACGGCGATGCCTAGGAGGTCGCCCGGCTTCAGCGGCCCCGCGGACGCTCGAACGTCCTACTGCTCGCCTCGCGCGTGAGACGAGACGACAGATCCATGGCCCTGCGCTTCCGTTTGCGAAGCCATGGATCTGGAGGCTCGTCTCACGCGTGGAGCCTGTGGGTTCTCCGGCAGAGGGGCTGTTCTATACATATAGTACGGTATCAGGACCGCAATCAAGTGAAGCACGCTGGACGCGCTCTGATACATGAAGTTTGCCTGCGTCGACAGCGACTTTATCGCTGTCGTAAACGTGTCTCGGCAGGATCAACGAGACTGATGTACATACAACAACCCCGTCGCCGTCTACCCTCCTACATTACATACGATGTATACACCTCCGCTACATACGCCGGCCAACCCAACCTCGTACATATACCACACGTCTTCCACTTGCCCCCCTTCCCCTCCATCCACCCCCACTATAACTTACAAAACCCTGCTCCCTGCGTCCTCTACTCTATCATGGTACATCCCCGCATGAGATTTTCTATTTCCCCTTCATGAGCGTCAAGAACGCCTCCTGGGGCAACTGCACCCCGCCCGCGACCGTCTTCATGCGCTTCTTGCCCGCTTTTTGCCGGTCGAGGAGTTTCATTTTTCGTGTAATGTCGCCTCCGTACTGTTTTAAATCATGGAGGGGGGATCGGTTAGTGTTTGATGGGGAGGGAGAAGGAGGGGGTGTGCTTACGCATTTGGCTGTGACGTCTTTTCGTACGGGTTTGACGCTATGCCCACCACAGCAGGGTGAGTATCGCCGATTGGGGGGCCCAGGAAAGGGTTGAGGAAACAGCGAATTGAAAGCACTCACGATTCCCGACAAACAATTTTATTATTAACCGCAGCCTGGATGATGATCTCAAACAACTGGCGATTGATGACGGCTTTCAACCTTGCCGCCCAATCCTACATTTCAACCGAAAAGCAGTGAGATCTAACAAAACCCCTTTTCAAGAACCCGGGTGTGGAGTGATAGCAAGGACATACCTTCGCGACCCGATCAGCATGCGACCGATGCACAATGGTCGCCAACGCGTCGACGGGCTTGCTGTTCAGTAAGATGTTGACTTTGACGAGGTCGGCTTCGTCGTAGCCTGTTTCTTCGTAGTCAAAACTGTAGCCAAAACGTGATGTGTTGAGTTCCAGGGTGTGATATGATACACCGGGAGGGGGATTGTAGGGAGGGCTTTGGAGTTTACCTGGCGTATCCAGAAGTCCGCGATTTGAGCTGGTCGTAGAAATCGGTGAGGATTTCGGAGAGTGGGAGGCGGTATTTCATCATTACTCTGTTTCAGCGATTCCGGTGGTTTAGAGGGGGGGCCGTTTACAATGGGAACGCTTCGCCCAGGCTGATTTGAGAGTCTTACCTATTGTCGTCTATGTAGGTGTAGTCTACTTGTTCGCCTCTATGCGCCTGCCAAAAGTACAAGATCAGGAGGGGTTGATGGGGTACAAAACAACCACAGCCAACGTTTCGAGTGTACTTACCCCACACAAATCCATCAACGACCCCAAATGCTCCGCCGGAAAGATCAACGTCCCCATAACCATCGGCTCCAACAACGCCCCCACCTTCGCCAGTTCCTCAATATCCGGAAACTCCGCCGGATTGCGGACGATCTTCTCCTCGCCATTGGTGTATCGGACGATATAGGGTACCGTGGGCGAGGTGTTGATCACGGACGCGTCGTACTCCTCCTCTAGGCGTTCGCGGAACACGTCCATGTGGAGGGTACCGAGGAATCCTAGCCGGAACCCTTGTCCCAATGCGTTGGAGGATTCCCGGGCGACGCTGACGCTGGCGTCGTTGAGAGTGAGTCGGTCGAGTGCTTCCTGCAGTTTCGTGTAGTCGGCCGAATCGACGGGATACAAGCCAGCAAAGACCATGCTTTTGGCGGGTTCGAAGCCCGGGAAGGCTTCAACGGGGTGACCTTCACGGTAGAAAGTGTCACCGATATTCGCGTCGCGGGTGGTTTTCATGCCGAGGACGACGTAGCCAACCTGGCCGGCCTGCAGGGACGGCGTAGAGACTTGGGAAGGGTACATGATTCCTATATCAGTGACTTCGTAGGAGGTGCGGGTGTAGGCGGAGACGATGCGTTGGCCCTTTTTGAGACTGCCTTCGCGGACGGCGATGAGGCAGATGACGCCGACGTATTGGTCGTACCAGGTGTCGAATAGGAGGGCGCGGAAGGGCGCGCTGCGGTCGGCGGTAGGGGCGGGGATGTTTTCGATTACTTTGGGCAGGACTTTGTCGACGCCTAGGCCCGATTTGGCGGACATGGCGATGATGTCTGAGACGTCGAGGTCGAAGGTGGCTTCGATTTGGGATGCAACCTTTTCGACGTCTGCAGCGGGGAGGTCGATTTTGTTGATGGCTGGGATAATGGCGAGGTCTTGCCCGAAGGCGAGATAGAAGTTGGCGACGGTTTGGGCTTGGATGCCTTGGCCGGCGTCGACGAGGAGCAGGGTTCTAGGTACTATGAGTCAGTTATGTGATGACGCAAACGGATCTGAAAAGGGGAAACCTACCCCTGACATGCCGCCAGTGACCGAGACACTTCGTAGCTAAAGTCGACGTGTCCGGGCGTGTCGATCAAATTCAGAAGATAGTCTTCTCCTTTGTATGTGTACACCATCGACGCTGTCTGGGCGAATCGGAAGATGTCAGGTTCTCGATAGCCTATGGTTCATTGCCATCCCGGGATATGAAGTGATATCCTGCTCGCTACGCTCGTAAGATGGTCCTGCTCGCCACTCCTCCCGTTCCTCGCCATTCCTCGCTTTTCGGGTCGGCATTCCTCGTTCAATGGGCACCTTTCTGCATTCCCGCCCGTAGCTTCGCAGTCCACTAACGCCTGCCACCACCACCACCGCCACGCCCCATTCCTCACCTGCGCCTTCACCGTAATCCCCCGTTCCCGTTCCACCTTCAGCTTATCAAGAACCTGCTTATTCTCCGCATCTCGTGCGATCGTTCCTGCAACCACCATACTCCTTTGTTAGCGACCACCACCCTCCTCAATCGTAAACCCACGCATCCATGTCTCTCCGCACCTGTCATCTCAAGCAACCGGTCCGCAAGCGTACTTTTCCCATGATCTTTTCATGTAACTTGATCAGCCGCCATCCTCATGTGTCCCCAACACATGTATCTCGTCCCACAAGCGAGTTCGAACTGTACCTATATGTGCGATGATGCTGCAGACAGGGGGAGAGAGACGCCCAATGGTGAGGACCTCGGCGCCTGGGATACGCATTTGCTTTGCCCGCCCGACGCCTACATACCTGAAATTCCGTACGCGCTCCGGCGGAAACTCGGTCATATCCCATACCCGTTTCTTCTTCTGCGATTTCCCTTCCCATTCGTGAGTCGTCCCAAAACTGCATTTCCCCACGCTCGAAATTCCGCAGGCAACCCACCTTGGAGGCGTTCTCGGCGTAATTCCGCGTCTGTTGCAACTGGGACGTACTCCAAGTACCACGCTGAGTGACTCCCGCTGCCGCTGCTGCCCTCCGCTGCAGAGTGAGTGCGCATGAGGGGCATATGGTTGGTCGCCGTGCATTTGTTACTAGAGGTGGTGTTATCCGTGAGAATGGAGCCGTGGGCGAAAAGCGTGGTGGTGGCGGCATCCTGTCGGGAGTTATGTGGCTGAGTGAGACCGCTCGAGAGTGGCTTCTCTCTCTCTCTGGGAGGGTCTAACTCTAATGGAGCTCAGCGGGGGTTCCAGCCCGCAGTCGTTGAGGTTGTTGAGAGTGTTGAGGTTGTTGAAAGCCCTGTCCTTTTCCTTGACGAGGGGGAGATCGGCGCGTCGCTTATCTATCTGGCCCCATCAACGCTCCCATCCCATCTCCTTCAGCGTACATATACAGAAAGGCTGGGCTGGTCCCCCTACGTACGCAACTCTCGCTCACTACGGTACGATAGAGAAGAAGGACTATACTCTGTAAAACTCAGGACTTTATTCAGCGTCAAAAGGACCCGTCGAAGTAAGAACTCGGTCCATCCGCGCAAACGACATTCACATCCTGCCACCAACGGAATGAGCAACCCACGGTATACCCCAACGTCAGACGGACTGGTAAGTGGGCTTTGCAAGTCCGCTTGAACCTGAGGTCTCCGTCTAACCCCTCAACTCCTCCCCAGTCTCCCGGAACAACCCCGCACTCCACCCGATCACAGCTGACTCCCGCGCTCGACACGACAACAAACACTCCTGTCCTACTAAAACAGCCTCTCGAACAGCAAACGGGTGAACAGGAGGCTGTGATACTCAAGAACTTGAATGCGAGACGAATTCCGAACGTTGTCAATCTCCTTGATTGTTATGTCGATGAGGGAACGAAACGGCCGGTTCTCGTATTTCCGGTGCTCAAGCCGTTGCCGCCGGGGAATTTGAACTTGATCACTATTGCTCAGTTCTTGAGGGCAATGATGGAGGTTAGTCGCGAGCACTGGCGTTGGACCTTTGGCGGGCGGAGCGAGCAGCGAGCGAAATATTATTCAACCATCCATCGCATCACTGATCACACATCCTCAATCTCTTCACGCAGACCCTGGCGGCAATCCACGAATTAAGGATCGCACACCTGAACCTATCGACAGCCTCACTCATGCTGGATCCGGAGCACATCGACTCCCTGACCGTCATATCGTGGGGCCGTGCAACCTTCCACGGACCAAGCCCACCACCTCATCCACATACCCCACCCCCGACCGCACACCCCCAAACCGCCACCGAAGCCCACCTTCTCGCACACCCCCCACCACCCTCCTTCACATCCCCCGACATCTACGCAGCCGGCTGCATCCTCGGCCAATGGCTCGACCCGTACCTCCCCAACTGCTCCCTCACCTACCTCCGTTCCCGCCTCGTGCGCAAATCCACCACAACCTACATCTCCCGCAAGCTGATTGACCACCTCTCCGCGCAACGCATGCAGGCCGAACCGCCCTGGATCCCTATTGTCGCCGACGCCGCGGACTTGCTGAGCCGCATGCTGGATCCGGATGAGGAGATTAGGATTGGGGCGGGGGAGGTGCTGAAACACGCGTTTTTGACAAAGGGGGAGGAACATTTTGCGGGAACGGATTGGAGGAGTTGGAAGAGTGAGATGGATCGGGTGGCGGTTAGGGGGCGTCCGGCGTGGAAGCCGAGTATGGCTGCTGAGCCGATCATTAGGATGCGGGGGTGATGATCGTGGACACATGCTGAATTCCTCGCCGCACTACTGATATCCCTCCCCCGGCGTGGTCCGACCCGGAATTAAACAGTCGTACACAGCACGTTGATGCCTCCTTTCAACACCATTTTTTTTGTTGTAAATATGTACATACATCTTCAGCTCTGGCTTCGTTATACAAAGCTGTCTGCCCCATGGACTCAATGGTATTCTGCCTACTCTGTCACTCTCCCTTGTCTGGATCTATATCGTGGGTCAGAAGCTCCCGGATCCGCCGCTTTTGTTCGGACATCGCGTCTCGAGCACTTCGCTTCGACATTGGGCAGCATTGGGACTGGCATCGGGTAGCCATTGCAGCATCGTATACGAACGCAACACAGAGAGCTCGCCACCCTTCCCTTCAAGACCTGCCAGGATTCATCCCACCATCCCACTCGGGCCATCATGGAGGTAAGGGAGCCAGCCGTCGGGGCAGATATCCCGCCCTATCCTCCCTGTCTCGCCATCACTAACCCCTCCCCCTCCAGCACGCACCCCCCCATCTCCGCCCGCACCTCTCCCGTCTTCCGTCATCCACCTCAACACCCCCGCGCGCCCCTGGGCATCCCCCTGCCTCATCCGTTTCATCATCACCCGACTCGGACCAATTCGAGCGCGACATCCTCACCCCCCTCCGGGTCGCGAACCAGCAGCGGTGGGCGGAATGGCAGCGGGATGAGGAGATGAAGGATCGGGAGTTCGAGGAGCTGGAGAGGGGGGTTGGTTTGTTCGGGGCTGATGAGGGGAGGTCACATGGTTCTGAGGGTGGGGGGGAGGATTCTGGGGGGGATGATCTTGATGGATGGCGGGAAGGGGAAGGGGGTACGAATACGACTGCGAATACGACTACGGGGGGTCATAATGGGATGGGGACTGACGGCGGACAGACACAGACGGGGAGTGGTGGGGTACGGAAATCGGAGAAAGGAGCGGGCGGGATCGCGCCGTTGTGCGTGGATCGGATGCGTGGGGTTGGGTGAGTGCCTTCCCATTCCCCCCGTCGTTGCTGCGTAGGGCGGGCGTGATGTATGGCGAGAGTGGGCTCTATGTCCTCTGGTATACTTACAAGCTATTGGGATTCAGGATCCAACTCGGCGCAGAAGATGGGGAAGGGATCGCGGCTGATGGGGGGTTCGCACCGTACGCGGCAGCGGCAGAAGGGGACAACACGATGGAATCATCGTTTGAACCCGTCGGGTTGTTGCGGGATTTCTTCCCGGATATGCAGCGGAGGAGTGGGGGGAGTTTGAAAGGTGGGGTGTTCACAGGTTGGAGAGAGAGTGGGGATATACGGTCTTCTGATGTCGTGTCTGTCCTCCGATGCAGTACGGCGAGACGACGTTGGGGCCGTGCCTTTGGACGAGAATGCAGATGCGAGGGTGCGAACGGAGGGCGACGTCCGCGCGCTGGTGAGTTACCTTTCTCATCACCCCCACCCGGTCCCGGTTCAATCAGTTTGTTGACAGCTCCTCTGCAATTGGTGTATAGGCAATGGCAAAGGCCGTGCAGCACCAGCATGTGAGTTTTTCCGAAGATACACGAGGGTGTGGTTGAGGTACCATGGTGGTTGAGGTACCATGGACAGGGAGTTCTGATCGCATTCTCGGAAACCTAGGTCGGTGACCTCCACCACGCCAGCCGCGGATCCACGGTTCAAACCGCACCCCCATTACCAGCACCAGCACCACCAGCACCGGTACCGGCGGCGCAACCAGTCCGGACCATAGCGGTGGAGTACGAGCACTTTCAAGCAGAGAAGGCAAGCCTCTTGACAGCCGAAACACAACACTGTCATATCTTATACTCACCCCGTACCGTACACCAAAAAAGGAAGCATTTGAGCGATTCAGACACAACGAGGAGAAACGGCTACGAGAGATATGGGAGCAGAACCAGGTTGCTATGAAGCGGGAACGGCAGGGTTTGGAGAAACAGCGGAAAGCGGCGGAGATTCTGCCGACCAAGAGGTTTGCATCTTCCGATCCGTCATCCCCATTCCCGCTGCGCTGCGTGAGAGAATCCCGCGTATTAACCCGCACACCCACAAACCAGGGAACGCAAAGAAGTCGAACTGCTCAAAACGGCCCACCAGGCCCTCCAAGCCGACTTCAAGGAAAAGGAAACCCGCATGACGCACGCATACGAGCGGCTCAAACGGAAAGCCGACGACCTCAAGAAGGAAAACAGCGAGTTGCGGATCCGCGTGGAGGAGCTTGCGAGGGAGAACGCCGGGCTGGTTAGTCTGGAGCGGGAGAGGGAGAGGGAGAATCGCGTTGGTGTCCGTAAGATGGCTAGTTTCAATAATAAAAGCAGCGGGGTGGCTGTGGTGAGGCATACCCATCCCAAGACGCCGGAAACGGTTGTTGGGGCGCGGCAAAGGGAGGGGAGTGAGGAACCGCCGGTGAGGGTCAAGTCGAACGCGGGGGTGAAGCCCGCCCCCACCTCGGCTGTGACGAAGGTGAGGGTTGGGACGGCGATGACGAGGATGCAGCCTAGGAGTCCGCCGGGGGAGGCGGTGGACGCTTTGGGTGCCAAGGCGAGGGAGTTGGAGTTGCCTGAGATTGTTGAGGTGGGTTTGTATATCGTAGTCACGATCGATGATGAATTGGGAAGCTAATGGGGCGAATGGATCCTGCAGCAATGGGTGGGCGACGGCGGAAAGACCGAACGGCGCTACGCGAACGGGACGTGCCTGACGTGGTACCAAAACGGCACGATCAAGGAGACGCGCGAGAGTGATGGGATCACTAAGATTCATTATGCGATTGGGGATTGGAAGGAGGTGCGTTTTTCCGTCCTTCTTGCCCCCCAACAATACCACCGCCCGCAAGTGAGAATCATGTGCTAACCGGCCCCATCTCCCCCCAGATCCTCCCCGACGGCGACACAAACTACTGGTTCGAAACCAACAAAGCGCTGCAAACCCGCTTCGCCGACGGCCGCACGCGCACTCGATACACCGACGGCCAAGAAGAATGGCAATACACCGACGGCAGTTCGGAGATTGTGTTCGCCGACCGCACCGTCCGAATCACCTACGCCGACAACGGGTCGTTACAGGAAGAGACGCATTTCCCCGACGCGCGCGTGCAGCGGTTGGAGCGGACGACGCGGAGGGCGGTGGTGCATGTGGATGGGACGGTGGAGCTGGTGTATGAGGAGGGCGTGAAGGTGGTGAAACGCGCGAACGGGAGTGTGGTGACGGTGGCGAGGTGTGGGACGCGGGAGACGAGGTATTTGGATGGGAGGGTTAGGGTTAAGGCTGGTGATGTAAGTTTTTGCTTGGTTTGCGGTGTTTTTTTTTTCAAGGAGTGGGTGGATTATGGAATGGGCGGGGAGCTGACGGGGTTTCGATTGTGGCATCCGGTTGCAGGGCCGGCTGATATACGAGACGTATATGGATGACGCCGAGCATGAGCGGCAGTTGCAGGCTCTCAAGGCGTAAAAAGCACACCTGATCCAACTCGCATCCACACCGCCCTGCAAGGGCACCTGTCACTGGGATGAGCTGCCGGATGGTCAGTCCCCCCCCTACGCGGTGCCTCCGGCACCCCTCCGTCAACTGCAGCTCTTGGATCATCGCGCCCATATACCCCGACCCCGCGCATCTCTCCCATGGACCCGGCTGCCATGAAATGCGACAAGACTGCACATGTATTTCCCGTGGTTGTTTACCACGCCCTGCATCACCCATCCCCCATCTTGTCGGCGATGCGTGGGATGTGGAGATGGAAGTGATTGGACCTGTTTGTAGAGCTCCTGTATAGTTATTTGGGTCGGAGCGGCGCAGACAGTTTTGGGGTCGAGGGGGTTTTGTGATTAGAGATACAGTTCTTGGGATTGAGGTTCGAATGAAAGGCGTGAGGATTCTTATCCTGGATACAGCTTTACCGTTGTCAACCGCAGTACCTCCTGGTATTGAGTGCTCATTTGACCTCGAAGCGGGGTAGGCGGAGCTACTGCGTCCAGATGTGAGATACCACCACGACGTTTCAGGCTCGAACGCCGTGAATACAGGTGGCTCCGACTCCAACTCGCGGCCAGCTCTCACATCCTGATCAGAAACCTCAAACCGTCTTCGCGCTTTCTCATCGACGCATACCAACGCCAGCTCCCTGCGCAAAGCAAAATCAGCCCCGATGTCTCGCAGGGCCGAGGATACCCTTTCCTTTTCCTGTTTGAGTCGCACGTCGAGACAACGGGGATCATTTGCGGGTAGCAGCGTGAGCTTCAAAGCTTATGTAACCCAACGCGTCGCCCCTCATCTTCCCTTTCCCGTTCGCACATGGCATCCCGAGTGGGCCTTTCGATACCATCAAAGCAACGCCCCATACGCACACCAACAAGCCAAAAATGGCCACAGCACCGGCACCCGCCTTCTCCACCACCGCCCAACCATCATCATCATCATCATCATCCTCAGACCTACCACGCAGCGGGTGCAAAACGACTTCAACATCACAGCGACGCTCTCCGGCGTACCCGGGAGGGGATGCACGGGCGGGGACCAAAAGAACGACAGCATCACCCAACCTACGAGAAGCGGCAGCTGTCAGTCCTCCCCACGCCAAAGAGCCCAAATCAAATCGCGCACACGGAACGGGAGATGTGCGGATAGAAGGGCACGGCGGAGCGCATTCAGCGGAGGAGGAGGAGGAGGAAGGCGGGTTTGATGAGCGGCCGAAGACGGGCGGGCTGGAACCGAACGTGCTGGAGATGTTGAGGGATATCAGCGCGTATATTTCTTGTGCTAGTAGGTTTTTCCCACCGTGCGTTCACGCCGGAGCGCCGGTGTATTCTGGACTCATAGTTCGATTCCTTTCTCATGTATATGATGCAGACACGGCAACGGTAACGCAATGGGTATCCGAGGAACGTAGCCTCATAAGTAGGTACCAGCCATTCCACATCCGCCCGTATCACTCCCCGGCTAACGTCTGGCCCGGCAGCCCCAAACGCCCAACCCCCCGCGACCCTGTCCGCCGGCTCGCGCTTCACACAGATCCGGGGTCCCCGCGCCGCCTCCACGTCCCCAGACTCCAATGGGAGGAACAATGCAGCTGGGGGTGCCGCCGACAGTGGTGAGCTGATCTGCGGCTTATGAGAGCCGGGTGAATGGGGAATTGATTGGAGATGGTCTGATTTTAGCATGGGCGGAATGGACGCTGGAAGCAGTCTGCAAGTGGCTTGAAGGCAGCGGGTTCGGGGAGGAGGAGGAGAAGGACTTGATACAGCGGTTTGCGGGTGCGTTTTGCTTCCTGCCCTTGCCTTGCCTTGCCTTTCACCACGTATCCCACTCACTCACGCGAAACCACTATTCATGATTATGGCAGACCACGCAATAACAGGGCCCCTCCTCTCAGCCCTCAGCAGCGACAGCCTGCAAGCCATGGGCCTGAAGTCAATCGGGCGGCGGACGAAATTGTTGGAAAGGATTCGTGTGCTTACTTCTGAGGATATACCTAGCGCCACTATCGCGGGTGCTGATGGGACGGGGACGGGTGCGCGGGAGGGGGACGAGAGTTGAGAGCTTGCATACCGTGGCGGGTGGGGAGATGACACTGGCTGCGCACATCATACGAATCGGACAGTGCGGCCCTGTTGATCGGGGTCTTTTCCGATCTCTGTACAGATTTATGAGGGGCTTTGCGGGATGATATATACCCCCACGCTCTTTCTTTCTCCTTTCTTTCCATTATTATTTATCATCATCATCATATTGACCTTTGGCCGTTGCATATGTGCATTCGAGCAAAAAGACGAACGCCAACGGAGGGGCGCAAAACCCGAATCTCTTTTCGAAGAATATTCATGGAGGCACACATAAAATGGGGTATAAAGAGCAAATCTCATTTGATTCAGCCGCCTTGAGCACATCTTCCCATCCACCCTCCACCCCCTATCCACCCACAACCCCCCTCCTCTCAACCAACTCCAACGTGACCCCCGCCAAAAACGCCGGCACGCTATTCCGCTCCTGCAAATAATACGCCATCCCCGCCGCCAATCTCCTCCTCACCTCCTCCCGTTCCAATTCCGCCGTCTCGGGGTTACTTTGATCGTCGACGGACAGAGAGGGCGGGTCGATGAGCTGCAGGGTGCCTTGGTCGCCGTCGCCGGAGGTGAAGAGAAACCCGGGCACGTGCGCGTCGGCGTAGGTGGAAGTGAGGCGGACGCGGCCGTCGGGGTCGATTTCGAGCTTGTAGCCTGCGGGTGGAAGTAAAATCGGATGTCAATTTGATTGTGGCCATCGTGAAAACATGCAATTCAAGAGTATGGAAAAACCCGTACCTAGCAGCGAATAAACAGCCTCCCGATACTCCCTCGCCTTCAACTGAAACTGCTCCTTCAATCTCACCACCCGTTTCTCCTTCTCATCCACCGCCAACTGCAGTTTCGTGCATTCCAGCTGCACGCTCCTCAAACTCTCAATCGGGACGTTCGCACCCCCCTCACCGCCCAATGTTCCGAGCATGTTCGAATTCGAAGTACTCGAAGACGACCCCAACCGCGTAACCTCCTGCACAAGTTTTTGATTCTCCTGCTTGAGCGCATCCAGCGTGCTTTGTCGGATAGCGGCTTCGGCGAGTTCAGGGTTATGAGCGAGTTGGAGGATCCGCGTGGTTTGGGTGTTGTATTCGCCGCGGCCGAGGGATTGCTCCAGTTGCCCGACTTTGAGGTCCAGGGCGGTTGATTCTTTGTGGAGGGCGAGTTTTTCTTGGCGGAGTTGGGACACGATGGATTCGAGTTCGCGGATTTTTTCGAGGAGTTGCGGGTCGGGTGTATTTGAAGAGGCGGTGGTCGGTGGGAATGGTGTGGAGGTTGGTGGAAACGAGCGGGATTCGGAAAGTACGGTTGCCCCACCTGTTGCGAGCTGCTTCTCCAAGAGAGCGACATGTTTCCGGTACTCATCAAGCATCTCATCCGATTTTGCGATCCGCTGCGCCTTTGCGCGGTCATACGTCTCGCTCACCAGATGTTCTTCTTCCACGTCGTAGCTCTTCAGCTGTTCCCGCAGGTATCCAATCTCCTTCTGTGCCAGATTGCGGCTAAGCTCTAATCGTTTCAGAGCTTGGCTTTCACTTAGGCGCTTTCGCTCGGCGGCGGCTGCGGCCTCTTTGGCTTCCTGGAGCTCGACTTCTAGTCTTTGAATGTGGGACTTGTGACCCATGTGATGTGCGTCGTCCGTTCCAGATCGCTCCTTCAGCTCCGCCAACTCCAACCGGACCTGCGCGAGCGTTTTGGCCAGCGCGTATGGAGAGTCGATGCCGACATCATCCCGTTCGCTCAGGTACGCTGTCCACTGGGCCTTCTCGTCCTGGTACCGTTTGATTTCGAGTTCCAGTGTATTGACTTTCGCCTGATACTGCATCAAGCGCGTGATTTGCGTTTCCAAATGCTGCTTTTCGTCTTTCAGGCGTTCGTTGTTTTCTTGCATGCCGCGGAGGTACCGGATCTGCTGAGCTGCTTCGTGCAGTTTCGCCTCCAGAGAGCGGACTTGAGACGTTTGCTCCGTCAGCTGCCGGCGCACGACGGGCAGTTCATCCGAGGCGCTGCCATTCGCCTGTAAGTGGGCGATCGTGGCTTTTGCCTCTGCATATCTCGCATCTGCTAACGCGAACTGTTCTCGTCCCGCTTTGATAAATTCAGATTGCCTCTCCCGCTCCGCATGGCACTCGTGTAACTGTTCCTGAGTGCTCTGTAACATATGTTCGAGCGACTCGTTATCCATGAGGAGTTTCTGCGTCCGCGAGGCTCCCTCTCGCCTGCTGATCGCCAATTGATCCCGCAGCTCAGAGACCTCACGCCGCAGCGCACTGGATGACATATCCGCCTTCTTTCTCAGCTCGATCGCATCTTCCTCCTGCGTCCCCAACCGAGCCAACAGGTTCTTATTGGTGCTCGTCAGAAACTCCCGATCATGTTCCAACTGGTCTATCCGTAACATCGCTTCCTGTAGCCTGCTCTCCTTCTCCTCGCCATTCTTCTCCAGGGTATGAATGGTGCGCTCGAATGTGGCTTTCTCTTCCATCAGCTTCCGTCGCGCATCTCGGAGGTCTCTGATTTCCTTCCGGGCTTTGATGAGCTCCGGATCAGTATAGAGGTCTAGCGAGGCATTCCCATCGCTAGCAGCGCTTCTTCGAAACGAGTCATCCGTCCCTGTACTTCGCAAAAGCATATTTTGCGACTTTGACTGTGAGGCGCCGGCCGTCAGCCACCAACCGCGGGAGAAGAAAGAGGCATGATGGTTCAATTACCTTCCCATTGGTCGAGCGTAAAAGTTCCCTCCGCGTCACGAATTGGTTGAACTCGCCATATATATCTTCAGAGCCACCTGGCCCCGCCGACTGGGAGAGTGATAGGAGCCTGTTTGTTCCATGGGAACGATCAGGAGAGGCCAGGCCGCTCGTCAACGACCCTGAGCTTCTTTGGTAGGGATGAAAGTGGGATTGCCTGTTCGCCGGCATCCAGGTACAATTTGAGGAAGAGTTCCCGGCGGGACACCGTTTGAGTGAGTGGCAGACTGACAGATGTAGTAGTGAGCGTCTCCAGGTCTCGTATATGCAGCGGTTTGGGAGATAGTGCGAGGGAGTTCAGTCCATTATGGCGATTCATAGGGGGTGGAACCCGGCAGTGGCCAATTGACAGCACGTTTACCGTATCAAACATTCGACAGCTTCCAGACTGCTCCCCGTTCCAAGGCTGCTGGAGCTCGACAAGAAAAGACAAGGGGCAACTACATGCAGCAGTATATGCCCAACACATTCCCATACATAAAACTACTTCCCTTCGCAATTGTCCTTCCTCACTAGATATCACCGCTAATCATGATGCTTGTCACACCACTTGGATACCCTCCTACTCCCCGCGGTAAATGAAATACTTCCCACCGGGGCCACCCTCGATTCTAGGTTTGCAGCCCGTGAGACCGAAAATCTCGTCGACGACAGCGTTGTGGAACCGCTGAATGGTGTCAATTGTGGGAGGAATAAGGTCTGTCATGGTACCGTTGGGAAGCTCGTGACCCGAATCTTTCAGGAAAACCTTCAGAATGCTGACAATCAAGACACTGCTGTTGCAAGCGGTCTGATATTTGCCATAGTACTGGAACGCGCCTAACGGGACATTTGCCATGGTAAGTTGCAGCGAGGTCAGCTTGAAGTTCGTCTCTTGCGTTTCCGAAGCAGTGGTGATAGCTTTCTCCAGCTTCTCCAAGCGGTTCATGACTTCGTTGTTTGTTTTGCGTTGCACTTCCTGGTGCACTAGTTCTTTCATGGCGCTCTCCAATTCATCACTTGATCCAGTCAGCATGTTGACGATTTGCTTGAAGGTTTGTATGGTGGATAAGGAGAGAAGCTGTGCTATAGGATGGGATCGGAGACTTGTGTCGGACTGGTTGTGGGTAAGACAGAAAGTGAAAATCGTAGCGAAGCAGAACGAGCAACAGACTATATAGTGCGCTTGACAGCCTCTCTCCACAAACCGTCTGAAACCAATGCAGCTCTCTATCAAGCTCGTGGATGATCTATTCTTGCATAGGGCCGCTTTCGAAGGGTTGGGGATGGGGTTGCCATGTGGACTATTGTACTGGAATGTATGCTTGCTGTCCGACCAATATGACGGGCCTTGGGGCGGAAGCGTGTCCGAAGTGTCCGAACGTGGCTGCATGTGTGCTTTGAACGCTCCCCTCAGAACTCGCCTCCCCATGGACTTTGTTTTCAGGCGTCTGGCCAGCCGAAGCGATATCAATAGGGGCCCCCTTCAGATACCGCACCATCTCTTCCGAGGGACGTCTAGCTAAGGAGAGTGTTTGTACGAGTGCATGCGACGAACACACTCGCGTCCTTGTGAAATATACACAGGGTTCCCGCATGCCCTCCGGAAGAGGAGACGACGACATTGCCCATAGAAGTCCAGGTCAACTCTTCACCTTCCGCCTCACACCCTTCTTCTTCGCCCCCACTTTCCCACCACTGCCACCACCACCCTCCTTCTTCCCCGCCGCCGACGACGGGCGTTTTGCTCTCCCTTTTACGCGTTTTGATATTTCACCACTATCTCCCGGGTCTACAGTCGCGTACCCCAGCAAACCACCAACGTCCGAAGTTCGCCACTGTGATACTACGGCCTCCCACGGGTCTTGATGGACCAGGCTGTGCGATTCGATTTGGAAGTTGGTGTCTATGAGGAGAAAGGAGGGGAATGTGAGGCCCATCCATCCACCGTCCATCGTTTCGCGAGCAGGGTATCGTTCCAACCATCCGCCGAACCGTCGCTTCGCTATCTTCCGGCCATCCGGCCATGCGATCAATCCTGGCTTCCCTCGGTACTCACCACCGAACTGCAGCAGCCTGCCATACGTCGAACGCGCAAAATCGCCGTAGGACGCAGCTGCGTGCACGACCACGCGGAGAAGACGGAGGTTGTGCAACGTCGAGAGGGTTGTTGCGTACGGTTCTGCAAACGGGCATGCGGATCCAATCAGTCATCGATTCATCAACCTTCCGGGCCCACGAGATCCCGGGACTATAGTCTGGCCCACTCACCCTCCTCAGCGAACGGCTTAACAGCTCTCAACAACTGTTCCAGCAACGCGATATTGTATGCCGTTAACGCGTCCATTAGTGCAGGGAGGACATCGCAGTCCACCATTGTTGCGCGATGTCTACGGAATTGATGTCAACGGCCGTGCTAGGAGAAGTTGTAATGTAGTGACAAACGTACTTGTGATGCGCGGCGAGATTCGCGAGCGAGCCGGCTGCTTGCGCTGCGATATGGTCTGCATGCACAGCCAAGGATGGTCAGTGAGATCTCCAAGAAAATAAGAAGGCCCACCCACATGCGACCTAAATAGTCGTACCTTCATCATCCAACAACGCCATCAAAGCCCTCGTCAGCGTCCGAATCATATCCGTCGTGAAGCCGCCAGTGCTCGTCTTTGTCACTGCGGCAAAAGATCAGCCTCGCATTCGAGGAACAGCCTCGCCTCCCATAACAGGATATACCCCTCTGAGCAGTCGTCCTCCTCACCACGCCCACCGCTTCAGCCCGTATATAAAACTCCGGAGCATTCAGCAGCGCCACGAGCCGCCGGATCGCGTCTTCGGAGATTTCGGTTTCCATGCCAAAATCTGTGAAGAGAGGGTCAGTCGGAGATCGATTTGGATGCGAGGAGGGGTCATGGGATGTTGGGAGTACGGGCTTACCGATGACAGGTGCCGGCCGATCCTCTTTCGGCGGGGCTGGCACGGGCTGCGGCGTCAGCGGAGCGTTGGCGACGGGGATCGTGACCGCGGAGGCGAGCTCGCCCGCCCGTTTCTTCTCTTCCGCACCTAGGAGCACACCGATTAATCAATTAATCCCACGCCTCCAATCGCTCGCAGAATCTCTCAACAACCCACCTCTCCCCTCCCACCCCTCCAACGCCCTCCCCGCTTCCCCCCTCACACTCTCCCCAACCTCTCCCATTTTCACAACACCCCTCAACAAAGCCCCTATCCGAGTTTTCAGATGTGGAGGTATCCCAGTTGTGTGCGCGATACTTCCCAACCGACCAATGAGTTTGAGTAACGTGAGTTGTTGAGGGGGGGAGGTTGAGAGGAGGTGGGGTTGCAGGAGGCGTTTGGAGAGGAGTGGGAGGGTATAGAGGCTTTGGTTCGGCGTCAGGATATCGTCTGTGAGGGGTGCCTATTAGCTTCACTACACGGAACAGGAATGGAAAAGCGAGGGTTGCTTGTTTTGAGGCCATACCGGCTGAAAGCAAGAGCATGAGGTCGATGATGGCATGTATGACGGGTTCGGATGGGGTTTGCGACCATAATCGGATAAGTACATCCACGATACTGCATTGCGCAAACTGCTCGGCGGATACATCTATAAACGATGCATATCAGCCATCCGCGGTAGCACATGCGTAGTGCAGCCGGACTCACCACACCGTTGCATATCGGTCAACATCTCGATGACATGGATTTGGAGCGCGTCGGAGGAGGAGCAGCGGATGAACGGGTCGATGAGACGGGTTAGCGGGTGCAAGCTGTGCCGGTCCGCGAAAAGTTTTGCATAGTGTGCTATGAAACAATCCACGGCCGTCAGCGCACAGACCCCGACTCAGAAGGCAAGTGCGACACGAAAGAAGAGATGGAAATGCAAACGTACGTATCGACAACCACTTCCGTATCTCGGGCATGATTTGGAGAAGATGCGGCTCGGGGAAGGTTTCGAGCCAGTGCGCGAAACAGGCTACCAAGCTGATCATCTGCTCTTCAACCAATTCTACCAATAGAATAGATTCCCATCAACCCTGCCCTCCCGCACGAGAACTCAGATGTCATAAAACCACATACCGGACTCGGACAACATATTCAAGATTCCCACGCAATCCCGCGCGAATTCCGCTGTTGATATTGCTTGGTGCGCAATGTGGGGCGTGATTTGGTCCGTGTCGGCGGCTGGGGGGATGTTGGAGGAGGTGGGGTAGGTCCAGCGGGAGAGGAATGAGATTAGGGCTGAGGTTGTTGGGACGTTGGAGAGGGTTTGGGCGGGCGATTTGTCTATATGAGCGTAAGACCGATGCACGATGCCATAAGCTTTCGATGCGCTGTCGTAGTGGGTTGAGGCGCTGACGAGGTTGAGGAGGGTGTCGAGGACGGTGGGGGGGAGCTGTGGGGGAAGGGGATGTTCAAGTTTCTGGGATTATGTGATTGATGGAGCGCCGGGAGGCAAGTTTAAGGGATGTGCATCCTCCTTCCTTGCATCGCCCTACTTTTTCTACGCAAGGCCCGTTTGGCGGACAGGGTGGTAGCGAAGCGTCTGGTTCCTCCGCCCTGCTACTATTGTCGCGGATACCATCAGATCCGGGCCATCTTTTTCCGACCAGAACCGTCCATTCTCCCTTCGGAGTCTCCCTTCCATTATTACCACAACTCACCTCCTTCCCCACCTCCTCCCCATCCCCACTAACACCGTCCCCATCAACAAAAACCCTGGCAAAAATCGACCGCGTGCCCACCCTTCCATCCCCTTCATGTCCAGTCTTTGAAGCCTCGCTCTGCCGCCATTGCTGCAGGAGACCGACTAGCGGTGGGCGGCCGTGTTCTGTAAATGATTGGGGGGAACGGACAATGATCAGACATGGGTCAAGGAGGACAACATGGAAGGACGTGGCACTTATTCACCGGCCCATTTTAGGGAGAGGTTGTGTGTGTATGTTGGCGTGGGGTTCATCTTTATCTTTTGCTTTTTGAGCCACACATAACCAGTATCAAGAGTGTTTTTGGGTGAAGGTGGATCTGGAGGTGGAATATGGAGCAGGATGAGAAAACCGGACACTCGAAATGGGGACTTGTCCGAAAACGCGTCGGTTGGGATTGATTACGTGTTCGTTTCGACGCGACGCAATTGCCCCCGTGGGAAGGCGAGCTTTTCTCCCTGGGACTCGATTGGTACAGGGTTTGCGAGGTATGTGTGGGAGTGGGAGTCCTATGCCAGGAAAGGGCTATCGCTGCAAAAGCAATCTCTGTTCGCTAGGGTGGACGAACGAGTCCTCCAACGGTTTTGTATTTGTTCCCCCACCACTTCCTCCTTGTTCGACGACTGTCGAGAACCACCTCGGTTGTATTCGCTGCGTCTCGTTTTGCGCCGCTCCCATGCCTACGTCAGAGTTCCTCGTGATTATGCTGCTGCGACGGAGACACAAGTAAGCGATTGAAGTGTTGAAAACATCACAAGCTGGCGTCGACCTTAGGCTCGTCCCTCACGTCATCCAAAGGGCTCTGGCCTGTCACCAGTTGTCCATCAAAGCCCGTTTACCAAGACGATACGACCGTCCCGGATGCCCCCCGTGCGAGCAGTCTTCGATAGCAGTACCCGTCCCATCTTTTTTAGGGTCGGGTAATTCGGTACGATCGTTCTTGTGTTTCTTGTCGATGACAACTTGGGAGGCACACAGTTTGTGACACGATGGTGGTCGATGAAGGTGGGAATGGATCCTCCAAGGCAGATGGCGAGACCGCTTGGCACTACCAGTCGCTAGGCTGTTGCATTTTGGAATGGTGGAGAGGCGGAGGTGGGTCCAGGAAGCATCTCAGGCGATTCCGGATGCTGGACTCTTTGGATTTGAAGGTAAAATGGTGGGGAGGGTCAATCCGGTTTCTTGTCCCTTTTTCCCATTTTATGCGTCTCCCACTGTTTCCGATGTCCGAAAGAGGGCAGTAGTGTGGGCGATAGAGTCGCGAGGCCACCCAAGAGGTCGGACTGGTCGAGGGGAAACCAAAATAATATTCCGAATGGCAAGATAGATGAAGACGGAGGTTACACGATGGAGGGGTTGAAATGCATGACCTTGAAAAAATTGTACTACAGATGGGATGAAGAAAAAGAGGGCAACGGGACGTGGTACGCTTAGCGGCGACTAAGCAGATTCGGATGTCGCAACAGGCGTCTCTTCAGTCCCTGCGGTGGTGGTAGTGTAAACATGATACATGACCTCCTTCGCCGTCAAATACGAAAACGAGTTGTTGAACTTCATCACAAACACCTCCTTCACCGCCTTCACAGCGCCCTTGGTGCTCTCAACGCGTTCCTCCGATCCCAGGACGCCGTCAGCAGGGTTCTCGCTCGACACAGGCGCCGCAGCAGCGTCTCCCTCCGTCGGTGATCGAAAACCGTAGGAGAAGTTGATATCGTCTGCGATGGTGGTGAATTCGTAGTGGACAGTTGATCCGGGTTTCACGGAAACGGTGACAACACGGAACTGCCGGGCGGGGATATCGAGCCGCGTGACAGCGTCCAATTCCTGGATATCCGTCCCCGACGACGACGGGGTCGTGAACCCGCCATACTGCGGCAACAATTGCGCCGGCGGGATCTGGTCCAACAACGCCGCGCGGGTGCCTCGTTTCCCGACCATCACAAACTTGCTACTCGTGCGCTTCGACACCAGGCTTCCAAACACGTTAAACAAAAACTCGAGGTACACCGGCACGCCGAGGAAGAACTTCTTCTCGAGGAACTCCGGGTAGTACTCCTGGAAGATATTGATGATGTCCTTACTCGTCGCTTTCAGCCGCCTGTCAAGTGACATCCCCGTCGTGGAGTAGTCGTGCACCTGCGTGATGGTCTCGACAGTGGTGCTCGGGTTGTTAAAGTCGAGTAAGGCGATGGCTTTTTCGTGGAGTTGGATGCGCCAGCGGAGGAAGTGGGCGGGGTTGTTGGCGACTTCGGGGGAGGAGATGTGCGTGTAGAAGTTCCAGGTGATGGGGGCGTTATGCTTGTCGACGCCGTGGATGGTGCCGAGGTTGGTGAAGATGGGGTCGAAGGTTTCGGTGGGGAGGCTGGTCATGCCAAATTCTTTCCTCCACTGATTAAATGAAGGACCCATGAGTATGGAAGTCGAAACGGCCTAGAGGATTTTCGGCCACGGACGCACCTTCAAAGTCCCAACCAACATCTTAACCGCATCCTCAACCTTGAACTCCCTCGCTCTCAAAAACTTCAACAAGATCACCGTCTGCCCTTTCGTCAGGTCTCCCTCCGCGCCAAGGTTGTCGACCGGAACACTCCATAACTTCAACTACCAAACAATCCAGAAATGCTCAGTCCACAACCCACAGTGAAACATGAAAGATACTCTCAACTCGTTACACACATGCTCAGGCTCGAAACCAAGGGCAGCGATCTGCGTCGCAGCCTCCTTGCGTAAGGCTTGCAGGGCTTCCTGCTGCGTGGGCGTGAGATTGCCGTAGTAGCCTCCGGCTGCCATTGTGTTGTTTGCGTTCGGGGAGAGTGTGCGTGAGAGGTGGAGGGATATGCGGACAGCTTCAGTGTGAGCTGGGGGATGCTGCGGGATGGGGTGCTCGTCGGAAGAGGCTTTCTTCGCATGGCGGAAGGCGCTTCTCAGGGAGCTGTCGACGCGTGCGCATGCGAGTGTGGCTTTCCGGGAATTCGACAGCGCGTATACAAGCCAACACTGTACTGTATAACTTCATACAATATAGGGCTTCGTCTCCCCTACATAGGGTTCAGCTCTCTGTCTGCATTCCTTTGCCAGCTACCGCTAACTCATCTCGAAGCGTTAATCAAATGTCATGGGGACTGATTGAGCAAGGAGAACAAAATGTATCCAGGAGAACAGAATGTACATCACGTCTGTACCACTAGGCGCTACATAGTAGACCGGATGCCCTAGCTACCTAGACCCATCCATTCTCGGGATGTCCGCTCGAACCATCCCTTCAGCATGGGAGAACCTCAACAGAACAGTACGCCCGACCCGTTACAGGCCCCGTCAGTCTTACCAGACTACATTGAGCACCAGACCTTCCTGCAACTCTCGAAGTACAGTCAAGGAAAGATCATCTCACTACTCGTGAACCCCAAGAGTCCTCCAGCAGACCTGGACCCTACGGAGTTGGCAAGGGCTGGGTATCAGGATTGGACGCATTACAGAGTGATGAGGATACTAGACCATTCTCTATACTGAGCTCGGCTGTTTCGTCTGTGGAATCCGACTTGTGATCTCAGCTAGATAAGAAGATACGACAGGCATATGCCGTTGAGTGTATAATTTGCTCTCTTGTTAACTAAAGAATACGTACGCTCAAGTATGGGGATCGACTTTGAATTCCTCTTCCGGGAGCTGCCAGACTGTCAGATCCTTCTAGGCAGACAGTTCGTCATAGTCGCCGCTACAGACGCATACGTGACTGCAACAGATATTACCCGTGCTGACTTGGTAGGTAAGTTCATCTTCGAAATGTTCCCGGAAAACACCGCAATCGATGGGGCTTCCGAGGGTCAGAGTGCGACTTCTAACCTCTGTGCGTTGACCCCAGTCCTAAAGACTGGTGTTAGCGCGAACTTCAACACCATCAGATATGACCTTATAGAACGGAGCACAGGCATGTATCGGCCGAGGTACTGGATGATCACCGCCCTTGCTCTTCCTTACCAGGATCCTTCCTTAGCACCGAAGGACGAGATCGCTGAATACATTGTCTATCGGGTGACGGACGTGACGAAGACCGTACTGCACCAGCAAGACATGGACGAGCGCTTCAAAGTTGTTGGGATCGTCAAGCTCTTGGTGGACAGCGTCAGGGAGCACGCTATCTTCATGCTGGATCCAAAGGGAATCATATGTACCTGGAACAGGGGCGCACACCGGTTGAAGCAGTATGAAGATTTCGAGATCATAGGGAAGAGCTTTTCTGTGTTCTACGTGGAAGAGGGACATCCAGAGGGGCAAACCTGCCAAGGGGTTGAAGTTGGCGCTGGAGTTCGGAACGTACGAGGACGCGTTCTGGAGAGTGCCAAAGGACGGGTCTCAATTCTGCGCCAACATAGTCATCACAGCGGTGCATGATCGGGATAAGAACCTTATCGGGTTCGACAAGGTAACAAGGGACTTGACCGAGAGGAAGAAGGCTGAGCAAAAGATCATCGATGCTTATGAGGACGCTTCTCGATTGAAGTCCGAGTTCCTAGCAAACATGAGCCACGAGATCCGCACGCCCATGAACGGGGTCATGTCGGCTGCCACGTTGCTCAACGGATTGAAGGTAGAAAATGAACAGCGCGAGCTACTTGACATTATCGTTGAGTCAGGGAAGACCTTGTTGAAGATCATCAACGACATCTTAGACTACTCAAAGATTGAAGCGCATGAGTTGAAGCGGACGCTAGTGCCGATGGGAATCCAGCGTGTTGTAGAAAAGATCGTGAGTCTATACCGACTGACGGTACAGAAACCGATTGAGATCCAAGTTTGGCTTGAAGGTGACCTGCGTCCCGTTTTGGGAGATGAGCTCAGGATCCATCAGGTTCTGCTGAATCTCCTAGACAACGCCGTGAAGTTCACCGATCGTGGACGGGTCGATATAACGGTGACCGTACCAACCCGATAAGAGCAAGGCCGATATCCGGGTGAGCGTGACAGATACTGGCATGGGAATGAACGATGTCACATTGGGAAAGCTGTTCAAGCCCTTTTCGCAAGGAGATACGTCGAGTCGCAAACGTTTCAACGGGAACGGTCTAGAATTATCCATTTGTAAGCAGCTTATAGAATTGCTGGACGGAACCTTGGCCGTGAAAAGCAGGGAAGGGAAGGGTTCGACGTTCACTATACATCTGCAGTTGACTTATGTATCAGATACGAGGAACACAAACACGCCGAACGGAGGAATCATCAACACGACTCCGAAGGAGCCTGTCAAAGCTTCACGACCACATGCCAATATCCTAGTGGCAGAAGACAATCCTATCAACCAGACAGTTGTCCTGAGAGTCCTCCGCAAGTTAGGATACGATAATGTAGACATAGCAATTGATGGTTCAGACTGTCTCGATAAGTACAAGCGGAAGCACTATGACCTCATATTGATGGACGTCCAGATGCCTATCATGGACGGGATAGAGACAACGAGGGCCATACGCCAGCTCCAGTCAGACATATCCATCATTGCGATGACGGCCAATGCCCTGAAAGGTGATGATGACGTGTGTATATCAGCGGGAATGGATGACTACATGTCCAAACCTCTAGATATGCGACTGCTAGCCACTAAACTTGAGGAGCATCTGAGCCGAGTGAAGTCCAAACCAGGCTAAACTTGATCAGCGGGGAGGACACCATCCAAATTGTGGCCTCGCCTAATGCTTTATAGACCGTTTGTTATTGATCTCACGTCTGGTAATAGTGCGATACATGATGTCCTACAAATCGGTTCTAAGGTACTCCGAAGAGTGCAGCTTCTTTCAGAAACTCGCCACAGGGGTCAACCTCGTCGCGACGACATTTGGTGAAGTCAATCCCAACATCAATCGTCGGTATGGCGGGGGAGCGGTATGATTCCAGAAATAGTAGACCTTCTGCGATGTCGGCAGGCGTCCAACCTGCATCCTTCCGCTCTATCTGGGTGTGGAACGCTTCCGTATATCCTGCGTTTGCGGCGCTTGCTGTGTCGCCATTGCTACACCCGTTTAGCCACAGCGAAATTCGGCTTGTCACGGGGTCTACACGAGTCCCTCCGTTTCGCTGATCGCTCGATTCAGAATCGTCGGATGGTACCACTGATGGTTGCGTCGTAGAAACTGAGCGTTGCAGTCGCCTGATCAAACCTTGTAGGCGAGCATCTTCTGCCTCAGACAAGCGGGGAACGGGTGTTCGGCAGGCTCGGATAATGCGTACACGTACAACAACGCCCGGGTCCAAACACAGATATGAAGGATTGCTGAACGTACTCGGAAAAGTTTGGAGCGCTCGTTCTGAGTTATGTGACGGAGTGGGGCTTATAGCAAGGAATAGATTCTGCCTTTCCGGATGGTCAAAGAATTGCGTCGTTATGTCCGATCCGTCAAAGCTTGTTACCAAGTGAAGAAGATATTCGTTCGGAGAGGGAAGCTTCTGCGAGACGTAGCATATCCTAGGAGTGTGTTGAGCGTCGGCTGCATTGTTGATGGAAGTTGGGGCTTGTGAAGCCGCTCCTCGTGAGTACGCAGCCGTGGCCACTTCCTCGGGGGTGACGATCAGAGCGGTGCAGAAAGAACCTATCTCAAGGGACATGATATGCAAGTGACAAGTGATGCAAAGAAGGAAGTTTGACGTGGGATCACATGTGGCGCAGTCTGATTTACGCGTACCGACATCCCTGCGCGTTACGACTGCAACGGCCAGTCTTCCAATTTCCGCTGCGAGTCCCGAAAGCACTGAAAGCACTGATATTCTTGGCAATATCCTGAATTACCAATTTTCTGGAAACAACATCCAAGCAACCTTGCAGCCTTATGGTGATGGAAACTTCAAAGGAATTTCCAACGACAGCGGTGGCGCTATTGGCAGCGGTGTGATTGATATTGAGCGGTTCTTGCGGCGTCGCGCGTGTGATATGATATGAGATGATCGGTTCTTGGGTCGTCGCGCTGGTCGGGTGCGTTTATGCTGCTCGTCCCATATGACCAAAGAGTGTGGATGTGCTTTACGCCATCGTTTGTAGGCAGGCGTGTATCGGAGTGTGGCTTCAGGTTCCCATGTAGGGTCAGGATAGCCGGTCCATTTGACTAGAAGATTTCGTACGGCGCGTCGCTCCTCAATGATATCCGGATGAGCGTGACAGATACTGGCATGGGAATGAACCATGGAGGCCTCAGACAGCCTTGACACTTTCCCAAATACTCCCGTATACATGTACATGATGGGCAGGTAGGTTGCCCCGAAGAAGGTAAGCCTCAAAGCCGTCTGCGCTGCCCACTCTCGCTGGTCATGAACTTTATATGTATACCACACCGCACGATCATGCACTCATTCGATACAAATCCAACCGTCGGAATGGGCTGCCCGGATCTTGTCATAAATCACAGGGCCTCCGCAGTCACCCGTATCAGCGCTGTTTAGACGACGGATTTGATACTTATCCTGCATCCGTAGATGACTTGATGCACCGATAGGGTTGCATTGTCCTGAAGTGCGATGACGCCAAGGATCCCCGACTACCATCAGGGAGAAGTCCGATGCTGTCGGACATGCAGATGCACCCCCTCGTTGAGTGTCGTTGACCCCTGGTACTCATTATACTGACCGCCCTAGTCTCGTACAAGTGGCTATTCAGCGAAGCTTCGACGAAAAAGGGAAATTATAAAAGGAGTATGAAACGGGAAATGCAATCATGACCATTTGACTGCGGTTCTGCCTCAGTTGGGCCGTAAACCCAAATTACAAATGGCAGATATACCCGAGTCCCATACTCCCAAGACAATTGGTGGTGCAGCAGCTGGGTATTGTAGAGTTGTTGCAAGATCCTTTTCCCCCGATCGCCTCGGACAAAGTTCAACGCGTAAAAGTAAGGGAAAAGGGGACGCGTCAAAGGAGTCACATCCTGCGCAGTCCCCAGGCCTTAAAACCTTGCCCTTCCATTCCGCAAAAGATATATCTAACCCAAAGGTATCTCGAAGTCCGCCGTCTTTGTGCTTCGTCCTTTTGTCTTTGAGCAAGGCTTCTACTCTATTGATATCTGCCAGCGTTCTGTTCAAAATACAGCAACGAACGGTAAGATGCCGCACCCCAACGACTCCTCAGAAACGGTCATCCTACGCGTCAAAAGCGACGACGACGACGACAACAGCGGGGATAGCGACGACAACGGCGACAGCTCGAATAGTAATCGGCGTCAAAGCGTTGATGCCACGCTCAATCACGATAATGGGGAAAAGGTAGCAGAAGACGAAGACGATGACCGCACGGCCCCAGGCAGCCCCAAATCCTCCTCCAGCTGCTCCTCGCCCGAAACCACGCCCATGCTCGGATTCCCGGAGAAGCAAGGGTTCCATAGTACCCGCATAGGCACTCCAAAGCGATCGAGCCACCCTAAACACCTCCCCGGATCCTCCAGGAAGACCTGCAACCCCCTCCGCACCTTCCTCAGCAACCCGACCCACTCATCCCCAGGTATCCTTTACATCTCCATCGTAGCCGCCTCCCTACTCTCCATCCTCTCCATCCTCGCGGTGCTCAGCACCGCGACGCCGCTGCAGGAATGGCGGCAGACAATTATCCAACATAAGCTGATGTGGTGGGATTCGTGGCTCCTCGGTCGTATCTCGGAACAGGAGTTGAAAACCCTACCCCCGATGTGTCTGAACTACAAGCTGAACGCGATACATAACGAGAAACGGCTCATATTTCCGTTGGCGAATGAGACGTCCTACACCCCCGACCCGCAGCCGCGCGGGACCAGCAGCGCCTCAGGGCACGCGAACCTCAACCTCCTACCGCCACCGCAGATCTTCGCCGACGTGCCGAAAGATATCTTCTTCCTACACTACAACCCAACCTTCACAACCTACCGCTACCTGTGCTCCGTCGAATCCGCCGCAAAGAAGAACCAAGACCACGCAATCACCATCCTCGCCAAAAACGTATCCGACCTCGACCACAAACTCACCCACTGGCGCTCTTTGGTCGGCTCGCAGATCGCCGACCGCATCACCGTCATGCCCATGCGCTACGCCCACCATTTCGCCGATACGCCCCTCCAACAATGGTGGGAATCCGGCGCGTGGAAACAGAGCACATGGGTTGGGCAGAACCTCGGCAACGCGTTACGGTTGGCCGTCGTGTGGAAATACGGTGGAGTGTACATGGACCTGGATATCATCTCGATCAACCCGTTGAGGGGCATGGGGCGGTCGATTGCGAGGGAGGAGATTAATCGGGTGAATAATGCGGCGTTGAGGTTCCCGAGGGAGGATCCGCTTGTCTGGGCGTTGATGGAGGAGTTTGTGGAGGGGTGGAATGGATATATGTGGTGGGTATCGCTGCGTGCGCGTGTTTTTTTTGACCGGGTCATCTTATTAAACGTCTCTTCCCTTCTCATCATTAGGGCGTACAACGGCCCCTGGGCAATGACACGCATGTTCTTCAAACGATGCCAGAAGACGTGTCTTAAGCTCGGCATGATCCCCGCGGAGACGCAGGAGGAGATGGCCAAGAAGGGAGAAGAGAAAAAGGATGAGAAGAAGGATGAAAGCAAGGATAAGGAAGGGAATAAGGATGAGAAGAAAGCAGACGATACCGAAAAGAAGGAAGAGAAGAAGAAAGAAGAAACCGAAGAGAAAGATGCGTCAAAGAAAGACGACGCGAGACCACATGAGGATGCGAAATCTCAAGAGACTGGTGAAAAGACCGAGGACGCGAAAACTGAGCACGGTGACGGCAAGGAGGTGCAGCCGTTGTCGGCTTCGGACGGAGGAACTCAGAAGGATGGTGAGAGGCATGAGGATGATACGGTTCCGCTCGCTGCTTCGGAGAAGAAGGATGATGATGGCAAGAAGGACGAGGGTGATGACAAGAAGGCAGATGATGGTGGTGAAAAGGACAAGGCCGCCGAGCCAAAAGAAGGCGGATCCCCCAACAACAACAACACAGAAGAGAAAGACAAAGCCTCCCGACACCCCCGCCACCTCACCGAAGTCGACCCGGACTACGCCGATCCGCACACGCCCCAACCCCCCTCCTCCCCTTACCCCCAAGAACACCCCCACCCCACCCGCCGCTCCCCCGACACCCCCGCAACCCTCCCCTTCGGCATGTCCCACTCCGACTACACCCCCGCCCACTCCGCCCAACTCCAGGACGCCCCCTTCTGCCAAAATCTCAACATCGTCGCCCCCTCCCGTTTCTACCCGATCCACTTTGGAACACGCGCAATCCTGATCGAGCCCTGGACCGAGCATTGCGATAAGATCCAGAAGTTGGAGATGGAGAGCGTGGGGTTGCATTGGTGGCATAATCTGGTGAATGATGGGGTCGTGTTGGGGAGGGAGAGTTTTTTGGGGAGCGTGTTTGGGATGGCGTGTCCCGCGGTTGTCGAGGCGTTTGGATTGAAGGCTTTGGAGATTGTTTGAGAGGTGGGACGGTTTGAGAAGGCCAATTGCTTTTGTGACTATTTTTTTTCTTGTATTTAGTCTGCGGCTCATTTTGCTGTCTGATTAATGTGTACAGTGGTCTCTATGTATGTGAAACACAACCAACCTATTCATCTATCTGCCGTCCTGTTCGATCTGCGGGCCTGAACATGGATTGTACTCGACGCCGCTCCCCATGCGGATGTTCGGCATCACCCGCACCCAAACCGAACTCTAGTCGTCGCCGCTCATCTCCATCGAGGATCCAGCCCCTCCATCGTTCCCACCCCCTCACAGCTCCATAACCATCCTAACATGCTTAACCCCCTTCTGATCACTCTCACTCCCCTCAACAACGCTCATCCCCCTCTTCTCATAAAACCCAACCTGGTTCACCCTCGCGGTGCACCACACCCCCGTGATCCGCTCGTTACGCTTCGCATCCTCAAAGACATGCGACAGCAACGCACCGCCGTATCCTTTCCCCTGGATTTCCGCCGCCGTTGCGAATTTGCGGAACCGGGCGATTTTGCCCTTTGATTGTTGTTGTGGTGTGAAATCTGAGGCGGGTGGGGACTCGATGAAGAGGGAGATGACGCTCACGGGGGTGGAAGAATCGGAGGCGAGGAAGAGGCCGTAGTGGAGGCCGGTGGGGTCGGCGGCGAGGGGCACTTCGGAGGGATGGTTGGGCCAGAGGATGGCGGTGCGGAGGGGGTAGGTGAGGAGGTAGGGGATGCGCCGGATTTCGAAGTCGGTTGGTTGGGGATGTGGGACGGTCATTGTTGTGGGTGGGGTGTCGGAGTTGGATTGGGGGATTTTTTGGCGTTGAGAGGGCTGTGCTGGCAGGCCTGGTGCCTTTATATGCGAGTACTGTAAGCCTGTGTTGGGGCAATGGGGCTAACTGTCGTGGTCAACCCTAACCCTAAAAACTCCCCAAAATCCTGACTCCCGAAGAAGGCAACTCAATGCAATTTCCAAATGACCGCAATTGCGCAGCCATCTATAACGTTTGTACTGTATACCACGGATGCAAGCGGCCTCTCCCATCTTTGTACCGGGGTCTCACGGGCAACTCATCATTACCGGGGAGCAGCTTCAGCCGTTTATCGTGTGCTGATGGGAGAAGAGGAAGGGCGTCTTGACGCGTAAAACACCATCGACATTCAAACGTTTTGTATTGACCAGACCACCGTTATGTTTACCACTGCCTATGTACATATTCAAAGGGGTTGCCACATTGGGAGCTGAAGAGCTCTCTGGTATAATACCTGGCTCCGTCAACATTCCTCCCTCCGTTCTCCCTCCGCCCGAACTCACCGAATCTGCATACTAGCCCGCTCACTCTCCAATCTCGCATACAGCATATACAACGCCATCTGATTCGCCTCCGGGCTGCCCTCCACAGTAACAAGCGTTTCAGCATGAACCGAGTTATTGTTGCTCATAACTTTAACCCTGCACCCGCTCGCGACCCTGATTTCGTTAATGCTCGCCCCTTGCCTGCCGATGACGGCGCCGACCATGTCGTTCGGGATGTACATTTGCACCACTTGGTAGGTCCCGTCGGCGGGTGGGCCGGGTGGCGCGCCGGGGTAACCACCGTAGCCAGCGGCCGGGTGCATTGCTTGTTGGTTTGATGGGTGATGGTGGCCGCCGGGCTGCGGGTGGGGCGAGCTGGAATGGGGAGCTGGGTAGCCGCCCCGCGGGTCGCCTCCGATGTAGTCTGAGTTCCTGAGGGGAGCAGGGATGTATGGTGTAAAGTTGCGGATCTCTTCGCGATGGCCGTGAAGGGCGGTTCCAATGTGGTAAGCAGCTAGATGGATCGCGTCGACATGACCATACACGCTGACGACGCGTTCGGTGCTGTTGGGCAGTGATCCATTCTCTGCGTAGATCTGTGCCGCGGACTGTTTCATGATATCCTTAATGTTTTCGCATTGTCGGCCCATCAGCATACCCATCAGCTGGGTCGGAACGAGGAGCCGGAGTTCAGTGGAGCCGTCTGTTGCTGGCGCGCCGTTGTTTGGTGTTTCCGAGACTATCTTGGCAGCGATCAGCGCAAAGGCTTTGGCGACGCTGTTCATCACGCCAGTAACCACAAGGACGCGATCTGAAGCCCTGGGGATCGAGTCTGATATCTGCACTCTCGCTCCGGATTGAAGGCGGATGCCACTGATGCTCCTTCCCTGCTTCCCGATGACGATCCCAGCGTCCCTTGTCCTAATCAAGCCGCGCATGCGGAACTCCTTTTCACCCAAGGGAGCGAACTTAGTCTCAGCGCTACGTGATGACCGCCTCTCTCTTTCCGCTCTGACTTCCGAGCCCGAAAGTGAGGCGTCGGTGACGATAAGCATCTCCCTGGGCGCAGGGCTTGAATGTTCGCGCGCGTCCTCCATCTTCGTATTGGTGGCGACTGAATCAGATAGGGCTATGTATTCATCATTCGTGCGTACGCCATCGCCTACCGCCTGTCGCTTATTGCTGCGGCCTCTTTCGTGTTCGTCATCCGAAAAGCCCTCAAACTCGAAGGATCGTTTGCGATCAGGGTCGCGCGCATCTGCAGAGGTCTTTGTCATTATGTGAAAATGTTGGTTGTTCTTTCGGTTAGGTATAATTTTGAGGGTTGGGGTTGGGGTTGGGAGGAGGATCAAGACGTTGATGGCGGGTTGTTCAAGTGGGAAGAATTCCACCCAACGACGGTCAAAGGGGGCCAGCACCAAACGAGGAACGTGATAGGACAAAGTTCAGGTGACGGGACGGGAGTGATATACAAAGTTCTGCGTACCGTTTGTATAGCATAATATGGGAGGAATTCACCGCAAAACGTTCATACAACACGGATTTTCTCGCCGATGCTCACAGTTTGCCTTCTCTGGAAGTGGTTGCAGAGAAAGGGTAGGACTCGGTTGAGACAATTTTCCCACGCTATCAGTCACGCGATCTCGAGCAGTTCCTATTCCACCCTAGGCCAGACAAGTCTCGCGTACCTTTGAGAAAGACCAACACCACTGGATTGAGTAATACAAGCGTCGTTGGAACACAGTCGTGGTGCAAGATGATGGCGTGGGAACCAACTTCAACCAAGGCCTTTTGTAAGGTACGTACAGTAGTGTGAGAGATCCCCATCCCCATGACGTCCACGTGACACTACCGTAGTTTATTGTTTTCTTCCCTACTTGTCGGAGTACGCTGTACCTCCCTTTTCGGATATGTCTCTCCTTTTTGCTTCACTACAAACCACCATCTTAGTCCCGAGCGGAACCTTTCAAGGCGGAAGCATCTTGCGGCGCTCTCCTCTGGTGGAGGCAGCACTGTGGTTTTGGGTACCATAAACAATGCGCCCGCCATTTTGAAGATCATGCCGCCGACAGATCCTCTATCGGAACGGGAAGGAGATATTCTTACCAGGCTGAAGAGCCAGGTATTACATACTGAACGACAACGGGTTCAGGGAACAACTGGCTCGAATTGCCACCGGCAGTCAAATGCCGCAACAATCACCAATCGCCCACGACAATGGACTGAAGTGCTCCCTGACTGGAGTCGGCGGGGCCTGGACGAAGGAAGCGTTTTTTTGTCATTTGATCGCCTCTCTGACAGTAACGACTACGTGTACGCATACAAGACCGGTAAAATCCCCGCCAAAGTGCATCCTGCACATTTCGCCGACAATCTCCGTGTCGTACTCAGAGGAGTGAATCAGTATCTTGGTTTCCAACGTAGCGGTAACGTCAGCAATTCCTCTCAGTGCCAAATGGTGCAAAGATGGATAGCACACATAAGGACCCACGCGTACCGCAGCGCGTATCACTGGCAGACTCCCCAGCACTGTTTACCGCTGTCCACAATATTGAACCGCCCTGCCATGTCGACGGTACCGGCCTGGTTAGAGGAGATAGAAGATGTCGACCCCGAGGAAAATGACTCTGATGTCGAGGAGGATAGTTCCAACATTCCGCGTCCTGCGTTGATGGAGCTTGATTTGGGCCGGATCGCCAACACCAACTGCGACGGGATCACCAACACTAAATGCGACGGGATTGCCAACGAGACACTGCCCGATCGTACTCGCTGGTGAGACTCTATGTGAGAGCATGCTAATTGTGAACAAGGAACTACCCACGTCTCTTTCTCTATATCCAGGCAGGTTTATGAAGCCTTCTCGGTTCAGGCAATGAGGAACGAGTGTAAGGCAAAGAAGCTCCAATCGGTGGGCAATCGCGCTCAACTGTTGAAGCGATTGAACGACAAGCAAGTTTTCAACTGCCGGCCAGCCAATTTCGCGACCTTCTCGTCCCCGCGGTTAACGGCCAGCGGGCCAGAGCGGATATCCCGGCATCGGCTATCGCCGACTTATTCCGCACCCTTTTACTAGCTTCATGGCACCGGCGCGTCGAATTCTAATGCGCAGCTTTTACTTCGCCTGTACCTCGTGTTGTCGGCTTATATGCGTACTATGGGAGCATTAGGGTCAGCGCCAAACGGGACATTTCAATAGAAAGGCTGCTTTTCCCTCTGACGTGTGAAAAGAAAAACCAAGCATCTGTATGGAACGAAATTGAGAAACGGTTGAACAATCTTTATTAAACGAGTGAAATAGCCCACATGTGGGTCCTAATTGTACTTTGAAATCAACGCCAGCCGGAGGTTTTCCCGCAGACGGGCTGCATCTTCATACTCCCCTGTGGGTCAGGAAGTCTTTGACTTCATCGGGATGTTCGAGACAGGTTCTACATGTACTCTAATCATTTTCTCCACATTCCGCCATAACGACGTCGCACTGATGATAGTCCTTGCAGATGTTCAGGTAACCCTTCAGCTCGATGTCTCCTGCCGTAGCGAGTCTCCCAATTCCTCTACTTCTGCAAAATCTCCAATGATGAGTGGGCAAAGCTCGTCTTCATTCTCTTTCGTCACCCAAGTGTCTTCAAATGTCTCCAAGATCTCGTTATTGTTGCTGTTGAGCGTCAGAGGCTGCGGAAGTCTTCTTAGAGTTCGGTGTCGAGGGTGTCTTCATCATATATCTGTGACGGATGAACAGGAAGCGGAAGAGAGCTCATTTTTTTATTGCACGGTCGGATATCCTCATACAGAAAGGCGAAAAAAGCTGAATTCATAGACCATGCCGGATATAAAATCTGAGGTAATATTAGCATTCGATGCCGCCAATCTGACCTAATCTTGGATGCATTCTGTGAAACCCGGGTTCGCCGAAAGCGCCGCTTGCTCACCAAGAAAGCGTCCCAAAGACTCGGCGAGGGGGCCTGACGGGCTTCGTGGAGCATCGTAAACGCTTGAACATCTTGACCCTATCTGTTCAGTTGTAAGCAAGGCAGCATAACGACAGCATAACGACATGACCGAAATTCAACAAGCCACCCTTTCAACGTACATTCCGAGAGTTTTGCCATATCGAAACACTGTCTACCGGCTATTGATGCCAGGAAGAAGATGCACATATATGATGCGTACCTTGCACCGCAAGCACATTTGCCGATTTGACAGGACGTCGCGCTGTCGGATTTAGTTTACCGTCCGCTTACGCCGCTTTACGCTTACATTTTGTTTGCTGCACGGAAACAAGCGTAACCTGCTTAAGCTTATCCTAGTCCCAGAGGCGCATGGACCCTTCGACAAAATGTGGGGAGCCCGTGTGACGGCCAGTGACATTGTAATGCAGCACCTGCAAAACAGGATAAAAACAGTCGTCACGTCCTGGAACCGGGATTTACTTCGAAAGGCTCGGCCACCAGAAGCTTATCAACATACACATCTTCAGAGGCGGCCCAACTGGGTGAGGAGTCGTCTTGGCTTTCTTTCCTCGAATGGTGAGCGAGGGTTATTGGGGTTCGCGTTTGGGCTTAATCTATGCCCGTTTGACCGAGGCTTCTCAAATGACCGCCAACGCCCTGTGTTGCTTTTATAATACTGTACAAGAACGGAACAGAGGGTCGAAATCGCTGTTACAATGTAGTAGTCACCTCCCTCCACCCCCCGCCATAACAGGTGCTCTTCTTGCTTTCACTCGGGGTGCTTGTCCGCTTTATGGGATGTTGAAGCGCATAATGACGGGCCTTATCGCTGAGACTCGGCATGCATATGCGTCATCAACGTTAGAGGGAGGAGTGTCACGTGATTATAAAACGCGCGATGGAATGTTCGACAGAGAGAACGAAAGAAGGAGGGAAGGAACCGCAGATGGAAGAGGGATGGATGACGTAATGTGGGTAGTACCGATTCCATTCCGATTCGATCGAGGCTGGCGTCTCTGTCTGAGTGCGACTGCGACTGCGAGTGGCAAGTGGGAGCCCCCGCCGCAATGATCGGTTATAACTTACTTATGATGGGTAAGGAGCACTGACTCCCTTCTCAGTATACGTACTGTCCATATTTATACAGAACCCACCACGCTGCAAACACTGCAACGACTTGCACGCACCCACCGTCCGTTCGTTGTCAAAAAAACATTCTCAACCCGTCGGATCTCTCCCCCAGGAAGAACGACTTTCAAACACCGTCTCTCCCAATATGTCTTCTTTAGAGGAGCTGGTAACGGCAAGGGCGGCTCCGGGAGATTCATCAGGCCCCGTGGAAAACATCAGGTTGAGGCCATACAATCAGACGTTGTACGAGCGGCGCAAAAGCTCCGCTTCACAACAACAGCAACAGCAACAGCAATCGAATTGGGAAGCCCATTGGGCACTCCGCCGTCAGCAGTATCTTCGTCCATTGCTGCAACCTGTCCCATGGATTCTGCCGCGTTTCGGGATCCGCACCTCATACGGTGAAGCTGGATTCTGGACCCTCTATACAATTGTCTGCATCGCTATTCTTGTTGCTATGCTGCCCGCGGCCATCACCTTTCTCCCGGATGCAAATTCCACTCGTCACCACAATGATGACAACCCGGTCAACGATCCTGCCAGTTCACTAGGAACCCTCGGAACCCTTCTGATGACATTGGCACTATTGCCCGTCAGCCGCAACGGAATCCTCACCCTCTTGCTCAACCTATCATTCGAACGTGGAATCAGATTTCACCGCTGGCTAGCGTACGTCGCTATCGGCTTCATCATCGCGCATGGAGCCGCCTACATCGGCTTTTACGGTCGGACCAACGTCTCTCCTGACGGCATAGGGAGCCTGCTCTGGGACGGCGTATTCAGCGTCAACTTAAGCGGGTTCATTTCGTTGTGCTGTGCCGTTGCCCTCGCTCTAACCTCGCTACCATGGATCCGTCGCCACATGTTCGAATTCTTCTACCGCGTCCACATCCCGCTGTTCCTAGGCTTCGTAGTGTTTGCGGCCATCCACCGTGGGACAGCAATCGGCATCCTCGCCGTGCCCATCCTCAACTGGGCTCTCGGCGTCGCCTTCCAAATCCGCAGCGTCCGCAAAAAAGCAAAAATGCTCTCCCTCAAACTCCTGAAAGACGGCGTCACCCGCCTCGAATTCGACAAGGAGAAATTCAACTATCATGCCGGACAGTACGTCTTTATCTGCATACCCAAACTCAGCTGGTTCGAATGGCACCCTTTCTCCATCAGCACCTCCCCGCACGACCAGCACGTCTCCCTACACGTCCGCACCCTTGGTCCCTGGACAGCCTCGCTCGCCAAACTCGCCGTATCTCTCGAACAACAGCCCGCCGGCGAACCCCTCCCTATCCTCCTCGTCGACGGCCCCTACGGCACCAGCACGATCCCTCTCAACGAATACAAGAACTTCCTCCTCATCAGCGGCGGCATCGGCGTCACCCCCATGCAATCCATCTACAACGACCTCGTCCGCGACTGGCGCGCCGCACACCGTGAGTTGCGTCACTGCCGGTTCATCTGGTCCGTCCGCGCGACCGGGGCGTACGATTACCTCCTCGACGAAGAGACCCAGCGGTCGCATAGCAAGCACAACGGGCTGGGCGTGCTGCCCCCGTTCCATACACCGATGCTGTTGGATGAGTATCATGCGAACCGCGCCGCGAGAGGTGAAACACAACCCACCAACGAAGCCCCCGTTCTCGCAACAGAATTCTACCTCACCAGAGGCGATGTCGCAGCAGTGCAGGAACAAGCCACGGAGGAAGGGAGGCAACTGTGGGTTCGGCCAGGCCGACCGGATTTGAATGCGGCGTTTGAGTTGATGAGAACCCAGCATGGCGGGGAACGGAGGTGTGCGGTTTTGGTGTGTGGACCGAGGGGGTTGGTGAGGGAGGTGAGGAGGAAATGTTTGGAGTTTGGGAATGCGGGGATGGAGTTTGATTTGCATGTGGAGACTTTTGAACTGTGAGCAGTGGGACTCTGCATGTGGATACTGTATATAGGCCGAGTGACTTTCATCCCCCTAATTCTTTGTATATACTCCTTTGTACATCCCCTCCTTGTCTTACCATATCGTCTGCCCCTTTCAACTTTTCGGACTGTTTACCCAGCTGGTGTCGTCACGGTAAGATTTGCAAACCGTCCTATGGTGGTTCTTCCCTCCCGCTGCCTCCAAGCTTGAACGACGCTGGGAGAAGGCTACGAGTAAAGTCTCGGGCGGCAGCGACCGCCGTATTTCCAAATCGAACAACATCGAACCGGCGTCGCCCAGTCGGCTTTATTGTCCACCATTTGGCATGGACGGCGGTCCCGTGAACCTTCTTGTAACAATCGTGGTGCCAAAAGTGAAGTAATCCGTCGTCCAGGGGTTTTCCAGCTCGGATGTTCCTGACAAGCCAACACCGGCGCGTCTCACAATGCTTACCGTCCTACTAACGTCGTCATAAACGACCGAGTCCAACGAAAGCTTGTGAGTTCCTGTACGTGCAGGTGGCATGCCTGAGCAAAACCGCCCGTCCCGTCATAGCCTGCAACGTGCAGCCCCCACACGGCTTGCGCAGCTTTGCACCTGTCCGTCAATGTGTATGGAATACCGAGGCGCTCGTCACGGTCGAGGCACGCATGGACAATGAGAGCAGCGAGGTGGAGGAAGGTCAAGAGGCAACGTCGGGAAAGGTCGGCGGAGGAAGCGACTGGGCCAGTGTCTCGCAACGCTACAAACTCGGTGGCGTTCTGCCAGCCATTGGCTGTGTGGTCAAACTGGGGCGAGAAGGGCAATGCGTCCCGTTCTCTGCTTGACTGGAGTGCTGCCACTCGTTCCACAAATGGAAGTGCGGCGGCTTGCGACACTCGAGAACAATTATGATCATCCTTCCATCGAGCAGCAGGTATTCCGTGGTATCTACACCTCGCAAAACTCTGTACCCCCCCTCTAATTGAAATCAATATTGGTCACTCACGTGAATTTGGCGTCGCGGCAGTCGCTGATTTATTTCAGCGGGGGGTACAGAGTTTTGCGAGGTGACTGTACATACTCCATATATACAGTACAGTACAGTACACTTAGTATACCCCACGCGACAGAATCAACCGATTATATGGAACGAGCAACTGGACGGCCCGCATAAGCCTAATAGCCTATGCGAACATCGACGGAGACCCTGTCCGATAGATTCCGGACTTCGACGAGTATTGTGCGCGTGCGCGCTCGTTCGGACACTATCAGCCCTGGGAAGAAGCGCAAAATGGAATGTCCAATCGATACGATCACCAATTTGCGTACCCGCATCTAAGTGCCTGCTTCCCTTTGGTCATGTCCAGCGTTACGCTCGCTGAGGCAATGTCTTTGCGGCATGTGTGTAGCTGTGCAACAGCTTTTCCATGTCGTCCGGGTTCTCTGATGGTAACGTTGTCCATCCCGAAATATGGATGGTTCATAGATGAAATAGAAGGCCGACATACCCGACCCAGTATATGGGACATGGGACATCTTCACCGTCGATGAAATAGCGGTGATGTCCCCCTATTTCATCGAAGCTGACGTTCAACTGCAGGAGTTGAATGATGCGGACTGCGATCTGATTTTTCGAGTAGTTGACGACGTTGGCAGCGGCTGTGTTAGTGCTGTGTTAATGCGCAAAGTTAGTGTCGGACGCGAATATGGGTCCCGATGTTTTGGCAACTAAGTTCGAGGAACTAAAAGGGACTGAGCAGCATAACCGTATGACGGCTGGCGGACGTTGTTGACAAGTCGATGTGTGTATATGATGATATGGCCAGAGTGGAGCCGTCACATAGGAGAAATATCCAGAATTATGCGATTAAAGTGATGACTAAAGGAAGACATGCACCGCTCAATTTCATCAGGGAACAAATAAGGCAGTTTTCGAAGGCCGGACAGGCAAGGATTGAACCCAGTGCGCAAAGCTCACACCATTGATATTCCGCCATAAAGAGGAGAGGGCAAGTCTCTTACAATTGCCTTGTGGTTTTCGGTTTCTTCACTGCGGGGGTTTTGGGAGGCAGAAACGACGGACGCCTAGCGGGATCTGCCCTTGGCTGGTAGCGATCCATCTGAACTCTAATCTCCGTCAGCCGACTCATGATTGCTGACCCGGTGGCAATTGCCGTCGCCACTTCCGCGTCTCGCCCAGAGGTGAGGCACAGGGGGATGGTCCAAGTGCCTACTTCCACCGCCAAGAAGACTCCGCAATGTAGGTACAGCTCAAAGATCGTGCCCTCATTGCCGGAGAAGGGGATGCATACCTTCACAGGAGTGCTCTGTGGAGAGTATAGATGCATATCGATTTTGAGGTGTTCCATGCTGTGGAAGATTGATCGTCCCACGTCCTTTTTCTTAGCTGCAGAACCTGCCCACTGAGTTTTGACTTCCCAGCAGGCCATCCCCCTGTTATTGGCGTCGTGGACAAAGAAATCGGGCCGGTTGTTGTCGTAGTTGGTGGCATTGTCGTACTTCCAGTTCAACGCTGGATCTGTGAGGAGATGAAAGTATGGCAGCAGCAACTTTGCGCACCAAGTTGGCTCATTAGTGGTGCGGTCCGGCTTCTCCGCTTTCAAATTGTGGAACAGGGTGTCCAACACCACCCCAACAGCACCCTGTTCGAGATTGGTGTCATCTTCAACACGAGCACGGAAGCCGACACCCGCCTTCTTCGCCGCGATCATCCTCTTGGCTTCGATCCGCGCTCGGCTCCACAACGTATCATCCTGCTGAAGGACACGGTTTTCAAAGAAGCTTCGCAGCGAGGCCCACTCCTTGTTGCTGAAGGCTTTGTCCCACAATTCGGCCTTTGCCTCAGTCAGAACCAGACAGCTGCAACTGAGCAAGTGTTCCTCGCTGTGCACCTCTACGGTCGCTTGTGAATCGGTGATCTTTCTGAGGAGAGCTTTTTGCATCTTGCGGATTGCTGCAACGAGGTCAACGCCGTTAAGCACCCACTCCTTCCCCTTCTGAGCTTTTATGGCACTTCTCAGACGGGCAACCACCTCACCCTCTGGCTCAGTCTGGGACACATTGCTGGTCTCGGACACATCGCTCATCTCAGACTTGGACGGACTGAGCTGGCAAACTCCGAAACCAAATTTCAATGCAGGAGTCCCGCATTGGCGAGAAGGGGCCAAAGTAGAATTGTTTTGGCGGGAGCTGTTCCCAACGGTCCCATGGGCTTTGGAGGGGGTGGTGTTCGCGGGATGCTCAATTCCTGCTTTCCGGTAATGATGTCGGTCTTCCGCATGCTTCTGGTTTTCCTTATCGTCCTTTGCCGCGTCCTCGTCGTCCTCGTCTGATTCCTTATCGTCGTCCTCGTCATCATCGTCATTCTCTTCTTCTTCCTCGTCATCGTGACTCTCATCCTCCTCCAACTCCTCCGCCTTCCGCTTTCGACCAACAACTCCGCCGACCAACACCTCGTGGCTTCTGGCGAGAGCCGAGTGCGCATCCACAACCTTGGCTACACGACTGTCCCCCTTCTCGGCAACGAATTGATTCTTGCTCTACAAATGCGAACAAATTGATAAACCTGTCTCATTCTTCGTTTGTTGAAGGGTCTGGTCTCACGTACGTGTAGGAGTTTGTGGAGTTTTCTGAGCTGTCTCTGCTTCTTAGTTTGAGAGGATTTTTTGTCATCCTTCCACCTCGCGACCTTCTTTACGTTGCTCCTGATGACGGCGGTAAAGTCCTCCCAGGTCCCTGACGGCGTCCGCTCGAAGAATTCCTCTATCGTATCCGGCCACATTGTTGCTATTGTTTCGGGAAGTGTTCGCTGGTACGATGTGGGTACGATGTGGGTACGATGGACAGAGATGGACAGGGTCCATTCGCGTAAGAAGGGAGTTCGGACACCAAACGCGTTCGGACAATAATATCACGTGACCTCTCGATATTGTAATGCGTAATGGCCCCGTCCGAGCTTTCACCTTCGTCCTTATCGGCAATCCCAGATTCCACCCATCACCCATATAATACGCTGCTCTAGCGTTCTGCACCGCAACAACCCTCCGCCTTCCGCCTAACCCTGAAGCTAAAGCGACCGCAACGAACACTAGGACAGTGCCCCAGCTCTCGTTTGCGTGTACAGAAGATAAGTGTGTAGATGAACGCGTGCAAAGCCAGGAGGCTTCGTGGAAGCTGCTTGTAGCAGAATGGGATTGTTCGTCATGGGCCTCGTGCAGGTCGGGTCGGGTAACCCTGGCAAGGTTTCGTGGATGCGTAGCACTTGTCCGAAAGAGAGGTCCCTAGATAGTCGGAAGCGACTTTGTCTAGCATAAGATCGACTCTTTCCGAGTCTTCTGGAATGGCTCCCCTGAAGAAAGCAGACTTGAGCGTGAAGCGCTGCCTCTGAGCAGAACGGGATTGCTCGTCATGGGTCTCGTGCAGGTCGGGTCGGGCAACCCTGGCAAGGTTTCGTGGATGCGTAGCACTTGTCCGAAAGAGGGGTCCCTAGATAGTCGGAAACGACTTTGTCTAGCATAAGATCGACTCTTTCCCGCTCATGTTCTGTGGGGGAACGCTAGCTTTTTCTTGATCTGGCATAAGCGATCCTCAACTTACCTCCCGCATTGGCATCATCAACAGACAAGTCGTAGTCGTCGTCTCCCTATAAGTCCGCTCATTTCGCTTCCGCAAAACGAACGCATCCCACTCCCCTCTTCGTTCGCGACATCTGAGGTCCTTGCGAGCTGCAGCTGTTGATTGATGGAATACCCGTAGGCCTGGCGGAGAAACTCGGTAGGGATGGTCTTCGTTTCCGAATGCACGTTGACAGAACAGGGAATAACCATTTCTCTCTGTCTCCCTCCCTCTCCTGGGTCACTATCAACAGCGTCATGGGGGTTTCGATCTGCTGGACTGCGTTACACGATGGTATCCTACAGTAATCACACGTACATGTACCTGTACATGCAGCAGCTCATAGGCAACTATCGAAAGCTTCTCAGAGAGAGAGAAAGGGGCAGTGCAGGGAGTGCGCCATGATGTGCTGGGTGTCGGTAAGTCATACCGCCCGTCCATTCGCACCATCGAAGGGCTCATCGCAAACATCATATACTCTTCCTACAGACGCCCAATCAAAACCTCTATAGATACCTGTACGTCCGCTTCTCGCACCAATGGATGGAACGAAGGAGACCTAGGAACGTGCCAAATAGAAGGGGGGAGTGATTCGTTCATATGAGCTGGGTGGATCTTCCATCCTGAGGTTCGGGCGTAGCTAGGAATGCATAACTCGCGGAAATCCAACTTGCCTGCCTCTATTTCGTCCATCGGCCGGGTTCAAACTCCTTTGTCTGAGCGCATTGCATGAGTTCTTTAATTCCCTTTGGCTATTGCCACACCCAAATTGGATCACTTCCAGGCTGAGTTCCAGGTACTTTGTCGGTGCTTTTCCTGGCATGCGTTGGAACCAATCACCAAAGAACCTCCTGAGCGCGTCGTCACCGAATTTCAAGGTGACTCTGTTGTAGAACTCGTTACTCTATTCTTCCTCACACACATCGCCAGAACAAACCACCCCAATGATGGCAACTACCGTCCTCCCAAAGCCGGAGGTCAAGGTCCCGTCCTTCAACGAAGTTAGTCGCCATAATATTATAGGTCTGCAAACTCAGATACGCAGTACGCTCGACAAGGCCCACCACGTCGCCATAGACTGTGAATTCACAGGGCTGGGAAGTACTAAGAACACTAGAGCTACGTGAGTATTGAGAAGGAGCGAGGCGGTGAGAGAGCGAAGATGCGGGTGTTGCAGAGAGAACGCAAGAGCCTCCGCGGACTTGTTGGAAGGGCGCAGGAGTTCGGGCGCAGGAGTCCGAGCGAAGCGAGGGATGCTTGAGGATGGCGAGCAGTAGCGAGCCGCAGGTGCGGGCAAGGCCCGCTAATTGCACCGTAAGGTGCAAGGATTACTTGAAGAACTGCGCCGCCGGCGCAAGGGATGCTTGAGGAGCCTCGACACAAGCGACTCTCGAGACTTCCTGTCGCAAGCGAAGCGAGCGGGATGCCGTTCGCTGTGTGGTGTTGGTATGGCTGGCTAACTCACAACGCTCCTCGATTCAGAAACATAGAAGAGCGATATGCGGCACTCGTGGACGTGGCATCCAACCATGCAATGGTATCCTTTGGACTGTCCGTCTTTGAGGCAACCGACCCTGCGCCGCGGATACCCGACTCCCAAAAAACGAGCGTAGAATATGCATACAAAGTGCATAACTTCAATTTCTTAATGTTGAAGAGCACGATGTTTAGCGTCTCGCCGGATAGCGCCATCTTTCTTGTCGACAATGGATTTGACTTCAACAAACAATATCGCGACGGCATCTTCTTTACTGCTGGGAATGATCCCATTGTCGAGGTAAGTATTTGAAAGCGTTCACGCCCATTGGACACACATTCTAACCAGAAGTCTCCATCGTTCCTAGGAAAACGGGCATCCCCCAGCACATGCAGACACAAACCAGATCATGCGCAACATCTTTCTCCACATCATAACGCGCAACGTGCCCATCGTGGTCCACAACGGCTTGCTGGACTTGCTTTTCATATACCACTCGTTGTACGCAGAATTACCCAAAACACTGGAGGTCTTCGTCGCCGACCTCTCGGATATGTTTCCAGCTGGCATCTACGACACCAAGTACGTGTCGGACTATGTGACAAAGGAGAAGGCCAGTTTCCTCGCGTATCTGTTTCGGAAGTAGTGAGTTCGGAAGACTGCCATGTGTTCTACACGATCGAACTTTGTCGCTGATCAAATAGACATCTTCTAGCGAGCGCGAACAAGCAGCTGCGAAGATCGAGGGCAAAAGCGCACATGTAACCTGTGCAATAGAAGACAGGATGTCGGTGGTTGAGGAGAAGTGGCGGCCGCCTCCATCCGGCAAGCGAAAGAAGAAGATGTATCCCGAGACGGGGAAGCCATTCTGCGAGCAATACGCGGTATGTCCAGTCCAGTCCTTCCTTCCTTGCGATGCTTTTCTTGGATGGCAGCTCATGTGTTTCTTGATGTTCAGGCGCATGGATATTGTAACCGCGGCCGGTACTGCACAAAAAGCCACGACCTAGATCTCATCCTGGACTACGAGCTGGGAGTGATCTCGCCAACCAGCAAGAAACGCCGGCACTCGGATAGCCCCGGCCTTGGCCCAGACGCCGAGGCTCCGTCCCAGAACGGCATAACCGATTCAGCGCCAAAGACTCCAGCAGCTATCACAGGGGCAAAGTCAATGACTGCCTGCAAAAACCAACAAGTCGCCTTCACCTCCAGCGACACCAATACACCCACATCCGCCCCAACTCCTACCTCCTTCCCCTCCAGCACACCTCAACCACCCGCCGTCACACCCGACGGCACCCTCTTCGAAAAGTACCACTCGGCCTGCTTCGACGCCTACATGACGGGCTTCATATTCGCGCGGCAGATCCTCACACACACGCCCCCGCCCGCGAACAAGATGGAACTCGCAAACAAGCTGTACCTTATGGGCAAGTCGATGCCTCTGCTCGTGCAGAAGAGCGCGTTTGCGAAATTGAGCCCTGCGCATTTGGCGAAGAAGGATAAGGTGCTGTTGGCGCAGTGTGAGCCTAGGGGGCGGGCGGTCGTTGAGGGTGGCGTAGCCGGCGCTTTGTAGGATGTGAAGGTAAATAGAACGCTCTAATTGTAAAATTAATGTCAAATTTACTTTTGGATGGCGAGCGTTTCACAAATGGTCTTCTTGTAGGTGAAATAACAATGTTGTCCTTGAATTTGAAAGGCCATCGCAATGCAAGTCAAAAACGTGAAAGATATTCACTGTCCGAGCAGACGCGTGCGAAGCGACCAGACGCGGGAGGGAAATCATGTGTGCTGGCGGATTGGCTTCAGGTTTGGCTTGGCGCGCGGGGGTGACAGGGGCGGGTGCGGATGAATATCGTTGTTCGTTAGGCTCGTGAGGTCGGGATGAAAGAGGGCTTCTTGGCTTCTGCGGAAGGGCTCAAGATGCTGCAGGAAACTCAAGGCCGTAACCAGTGAAGTGATATGATCCCATCAGGACCTCACGAAACTCCGACTCCAACACCGACTAACAAAAAGGAAACAAAGGGCAACGGAGCAAGACAGCAATCGTTCAAACACACCAAAACGCAAGGGAGATGGGGTGGCGGGCGGGGGGTTCCTTTCGCTGTTCATGACAGGTTTCACTTTGTTATGTCGGGGATGTACATAGCTCAAGTATATCTGGAATGCAACCACTGCCGCAAAGAACGCGTGCCCAAATGTCCGGTAAACGTAGTGCGGTGCCGACTAGTTTTTGACATTTCCTATAATCGTTAGTTGACCGTAGACTATAGATGAATTTGTTGATGCAGACTGATGATGTACGTCCGAGGAGGAGCAGGTGATATGCATGTGTGTGGAGGTCGGGATGTATCGGAGCACTGTAAACTGTAAAAGTCAAACCTGGATTGCGTTCTCTTGTCCTCCACACACTGTGAATGCCGTTATGACTGAGGCTAGATTGATATGGTGGCTTGCAAACGAGGCCCATCAACCAAAATATGATTTCGTTTGCACATAACCGTCGAGTGCGAGTTCTATAGCCATCTCTCCAGTCAGTGAAGTGAGTCCCCCGATGTGACAGCTCGTCGCTTGCATTTCACAAAAACCGCCTCACCACCTCATTTCTTGAGAAACCACACCAAATCCGTCTGATACGGAAAATCATGCACGCGGCGTACTCCATCCCTTTCTCTCACCTCCCTCCACACCACATCGGGCCCTCTCAAAATCTCCCTCACCCTCCTCTCCAACTCCGTCTGCGTCCCTTCATCCAGACACGAAATATAACTCTTGCTCAAAATCCTCAACCACGACTCCTCCTCCGTATACTGCACGATCCGCTCAAACGACACCTCCCTCTTCTCCGTAAACAAAGCTTTCACGCTCGTATCCTCAAACACCTTCCGCCACAAACCGAGACGATACTGCGGCGTGCCCATCTCGTACTGCTCATACAACTCCCGGAGCTGCCCCGACAACCCTGAAGGCGACTCCAGGTTCCAGATCAACGCACACCCCCCACCCGGTTTGAGCACGCGATGGATCTCGCGGAGAGCTGCGGGGGTCGCGAACCAGTGGAATGCCTGTGCGATGCAGACCGCGTCGAACGATGCATCTGGAAATGGGATACCCTCCGCCGTCCCCTCCACAATCGTCACATCAGGCACCACCTCCCTGAACTGCGCCCGCATAGCTTCCACAGGTTCTACCGCCACCAAGCGTTTGAATCTGAACGGTGTAAGCAGGCGGGTGAGTTTACCCGTCCCCGCGGCGAGGTCCAGGACATGGCATTCTGAAGGCTGCGTGGACAGACGCGGGAGGGCGTGTTGGGTAAGGTGGGTGACGACGGTGGGGGGGTAGGAGGGGCGGGCGCGTTCGTAGGCGGTGGATTGGAGGTTGAAGCCTTGTGAGGCGATTGTGTGCATTGGGTGATGAGGGGTGGGTTTGAAAGGTGTGAGATGCAGAGGGGCGGTGTATTGTGAATGGCGTTTGCTGTAGGTTGCGAGGGAAGACGAGGCTAAGCGAGTCCAGCGCATGACGGGGTCCATCAAGCGGGCCCCCTGAGTACTAATACACACGTGCTCAGAACGATGGTGGGTGACGCTCGGCCGGTTGGGATTCCCTGTCAGATGGCAGGATGGGCAGGGATGCAGAGGGAGACGGCTGGAGACGTGGGGATCACGCGTCGAGATGCCAATAGGTCATCGACAGAACTGAATGTGATGCCGACCGATATGCAGGGCCCCTTTCTCGTAGACTACCCTCGCAAACTTGATCTCTGTACAATTACGACGATAAAGAGCTAGATCCAGATCCACCTAAGAATGGTCTATGATTCTACGTCTGCTTCCCTCTACGTCTAACAATGATGAGGCAAATGAACATCAACGCCGCTAAGTCCTCCGCACCCCGCTCCCAAAATCCACATACACCGACCCCGAATTCCCATTGAACTCCAACCGCTGCTTGCCCAATCCATCCCCCACATGGCCAACCCTAACCACGGGATACCCCGGAAAATGTGGCAACGGAAACCCCTTCTCCAAATGCACATCCTCCCCGCTGACCTCCGCCTCGCCGCCCGAGACCATAAACGTGCCCAAGAACGCGTCACGGAACTGCAGCTTTGCGTCCCCATAGATGAAGAAGCCGTCGATATTGGACGGCTTGGGCTTGTCACGGATCCAGCCAATGGACAAGTCGATGTCACCAAGGTACAGCGCCATGCTGAACCTGTGCGCGGAGACAGAGACTTGGCCCGTGATCCCGCCGTAGTTGGCGCTAGAGCCCGCGACGAGACTGATGTTTTGTGCGATCATGTTCCCAGCAACAGTAAGATTGCCGCCGACCATACCGAGCCCTCCAATCGTGCAGTCGATAGACCCGGTGGCTTGGATGCCCTTTGCGAGGTGGATGTTGCCGCCAAAGTTGGTCAAGTCGACCGATGATTCGGCTTGCAGGTTCTGTACAGGGAATGGTCAGCGGAGGGATCCATTGAGAGTGGGCGAAGGGGAACACGCCCACATACCTCCAAGACAGTAATGTCCCCGCTAAAAGTGAAGACGTCGGCATAGTCCAGATGCACCGGCCGTCCATTCACGCCGATCCGCACGTCCATATAGTTCGTAGCGAGAACATAAAGACCTAACCGCTTACTCGCCCCGGCGGGAATGTCGAGGTAGATATCGGCCGTGACACAGTCTGCGGGGCTCTGAGACGCCTGAACGAGGAGAGTGAACATGCCGTTGGTGCGCTCGATTGTCCCACTGATGTCGATGTCGGACGGTATGGTGTTGTGGACTTGGAATCGGGTGGAGAGGGTGACAGAGCGCGCGTCGGATTCGGTGATGAAGAGGTGTCCGAGTGCAACCCCGTGGACCGTTATGTTTACTCCGGAAATAGATGCAGGATCAACACTCCAGTGGTCCGGAGACGGAAAGTAAGGGATGAGGTTTGCGGGATCGCAAAGGTTGTCGTCGGGACCGTATGGCTTTGCTGGGACCGTCTGCTGAGCGATGCTTGGTGGGAAGGCATGGTGGTCGCGCTTGAAGATAAAGACGGGTTGTGCGATGAAAAGAACCGTCAGACCATCAAGAACGATCAACCCATCATCCCACAGAGGTCAACCATCAACCACCCATCAACCAAACAATACCGTGCTCGCTCCGCTCGCGATAAGATGTTGGGCGAGAGATGCAAGAACGAACTGGGGTCACTGACGCTCGCCTTCTCCCCGCTTCGCTCGGCCCTCAAGCATTCTCCTCGCTATCGCTCCGCAATCATCGCTCACTTCGTTCCACGCACGCGTACTCACCAAATTCGACCCCAACAGCACAAACAACAGCACGCACAACGCCACTACCATCACCACCCACGTCCGTTTGGTGAGTCCAGCGGGCGCAACAGTAGATCGCCTGCGGTTGTCCGGAGTCGGGGTGATGAGCGGCGTGTGTTTCTCGCCTCCTAAGAGCGGGGAAAGGTCGTCGGACATCTTGGAGTCTGCCAGCCCGAGCAAGGAGAGATGAGGTACTGGTTGGAAGCTGCTGGGCTCGGAAGAAGGGGCCTATGTACTGTAGGTATGCGAGGCCCTTGAGAGCTCTGCACGCAGTCCACACGTCGCCAAGCCCATGTCACCATGGTCCATGTCCAAGTGCGAGAAAAGTGCACACCTCCTCCAGATAGATCCAAGTGATGATGAGGCTCACGGAACACGAACGTCAACGCGCAACTACGTACAGTACACACACTCATGTTCAACTTCTTGGCCCACGGCAACTTGAACTCATGTCCATGTCATAACCCCCTTTCTGATGGGTCTCTGCTGAGGTTGTTATTAGCTGGTGGGGTGACAGGTCCAGATCACAGGAACGGACGCCCGCAAACGCCGCCAAGCTTCCCCCAGCGACCCATCCCCCCCCTACATGAGAAATCCGCCTCAAATCCTTCGCAAATTGCCCGCCTAACCCGTCAAAGGGAGCCACTGATGGCACGACCTTACCGCCAAAGGCCAAGACGGAGTTTTCGTGGACACGAAAATGGGTGGGCACGGAGCATGTTGCCATTGATGAGAAGGATGGACAAGAGGACCGAGCTTGATCTATCGATTGCAAGCAAAGGCAGCGATATCGAACGGGGGCCGAATTTGAAATGACACGATGGAACAACACCACCTACGTAATGTAAACTTACTGTATGCAATATGTTGTTCCCTTGCTCGCCGCGCGTTGCGATGGGCGCCCCGATATGGATAGTGGTGTCCAGGAGAGGAGGGCGGTCGGGCTTGCACATGCTTGGAATTTGCTGGAGAGACGCGACAGACCGCATTCCAAGAACAATATTCTATCTTGCGGCACGTTGTACAGAACTTGATGGAGAGAACGCAAGGCGCAATCGATGGTTTGTCATCCAACATGAACGTCAACACTTCCCTCTGCCCGCTAACCGTGTATAGTAGGCCTATCACTTCGCCTCTGTCCATGTTTCGTAATTCGAATGAATCCCGTTGTGTGATGTGCGTCCCTCCAAATGTCTTCAGAATCTCAGATTAGATCTCTCAGAAGTGTATATGTACAGTATACAGCCCTCATCGATGATGTGCGGTCATCGGCGCACTGCTAATCGTTCTACATACTGTCATACCCACGGCGCTGCCTCAGCTTTGCTTAATATGTCGTCTTGCACATTTCTCCATGTTCTCAGTTCTGGTAGCTCGACCTCGGCGAACATAAAAGACTGAGACTCGTCCATCCTTCCCTTGCGCTCCACTGCTCTACTACTACCGAAATCGTAAATCACGATACACCATCCCATTAGCGACATCTTCCCTGACTTCACAAGATGACCGTGGCCATCCTCAAGAATAACGCCGTACAGATCGCGGCCAATGGCGGGCCTGAAGTGCTCGAGTTCAAGCAGCTGGATGTACCGTCCGGGCTTGCCCCGGGGGAGATCTTGGTGAAGAACTTTGTTGCAGGTGTTAACTTTATTGGTAAGACTTGAGCAAAAAGAAGTCCTTTGATCCGCCCCCCGCTCTTTGGGCGAGTGAATCGTTGACTGACGCCGCCGCGCGGGTTCGCAGACACAAATGTCCGCAAAGGCGCAATGCCCGCCAAGCTTCCACTCACCGTCGGAATGGAAGGCGCCGGTGTCGTCGAAAAGGTCGGTGAGGGCGTCACTGACTTTGTGCCTGGGGACAAGGCCGCGTAAGTGTAAAGATATCCATGGTCCATTTCAAAGGTTCTTCTCTTAATCAGTTGTGTTCCCCCAGCTACGTCGGCGTGAACCTCCACTCCTATGCCCAATACACCATCATCTCCGCCACAAAAGCCGTCAAGATCCCCGCCTCCGTCTCCTTCGACGCCGCCGCCGCCTCGATGATGCAAGGCCTCACCGCACACTACCTCCTCACGGACTGCTATCCGGTCAAGAAAGGCGACACGATCCTCGTCCACGCCGGCGCCGGCGGTGTGGGCCAGCTTCTGACGCAGGTTGCAGCCGCGAAGGGTGCGACGGTTATTACGACCGTGGGATCGGATGCGAAGGCGGAAATCTCGAGGGCGAGGGGAGCGAAGCATGTGGTGAACTATGAGAAGGAGGGGTGGGAAAAGGAGATCGAGGAGATTACGGGTGGGAGGGGGGTGAATGTGAGTATACTATCTTTCATTCTGATCCTGAATATCAACACCTGACGGCCTGCTAATGTCGCTTCCTTCCTCCTCTCCCCTTCCCCTCCCAAACCAGGCCGTCTACGACTCCATCGGCAAAAACACCTTCCCCTCCTCCCTCCACCTCCTCCGCACGCGCGGCCACCTCGTCCTATTCGGCGCTGCCTCAGGTGCCCCAGACGCCATCCCTCCCCTCTCTCTCGGGCCCAAATCAATCACCCTCATCCGCCCCATGCTCTTCCACTACATTGAGGACACCCAGGAGTATCGAAACCGCGCACGCGAGGTGTTTGAGTGGGTGGAGCAGGGCGTCGTGGCGTTTGAGTATGTGAGGTTCCCGCTGTCGAAGGCGCGAGAGGCGCATGAGGCGCTGGAGGGACGGAAGACTGTGGGGAAGATTTTGCTGGAGGTTGAGCATGATGCTTGATTTCTTTGTGTATCATATCAATTACTCGTTTACATTGGAATCCAGAAATCTGCAATATATTGGTTTGTGAACGGACGTTTGCGGGAAGTCCACTGTTCATGGGAACTGACAGGATTGGACTCTTATCATAGAGCCACACCTTTGTGCGTGGATACTGTCAATGTGCGGGCGCCCGCTGTCAGTCCGTTGCTTGCGGCGCCTCCCTCCGAATCTCGAATTTTCATTTCAACCCTCTATAAGCGAACGCCTTCGTGGGGCAACGGCATAAAAAGAGGCAGGGCAACCAACACCCCCCCCCCCCCCCGAGATTGACATCTATCTCGTGCAGAACAACTAAATAGCAATGGGTGCTAAAGCATCCCGACCCAAACCCGCCAAAGCCCTATCTTCGACAGCATCACATCCCAGCGCTTCACAACCACCCGTCCTCGCCATGCCCAACCCAACCCCATCTCTTTCAGACTTCCACGGCCTCCCCGTGCAAGACCTCGAACCCTTCCTCGTCCCCAAGCACCTCAAAATAAACCAACTCTCGTTCGGAACCAGCTTCGCCCTCCTTTCCAACGACGAGAGGAGGTATATCCACCACTTGTCGAGGGCGATGCAGTATGGGTTAAGGATTTCGAAGAGACAGATGTGTAGGGAGTTTGAGCAGGTTGAGAGGCTTGTCAGGGCTGTATTTAGGCCTATGGAGGGGGAAGCGGAGGTGGATTTCAAGGGGGTGCGGGAGAGGGCGGGGGTTTCGGAGGAGGAGTGGGAGTATTTTACGAGGTGGGGTGCGCGCGCCGCATGCTTCTTGCTTGTTTTGATCCCGTATTCCTCCCCTGCTCATGTGCTTTTCCTCGTTCCCACAGCTTTGTCGTATACACCATCAGCAACCGCAGTCTCTTCTCCTTCTGGACAAAAACCAAAAACGTCCCCCGTCTCACCCCTTCTCAATTCGAGCGCATCGTCGCGGCATCCCACAACGCCAAGGAAGCACTCGCGCTGTTCGAGCAGGCCTCGCCTTACCTCTTCTCCGTAAAACCCATATCTCAGAACCGCACCGGGTTTCCAGGGGAAGGCGGCCATTGTGACCTCTACGAAGGCCCTGTCACCGAAGACGATGCCGAGCGTGTGAAGAAGGCATGGCAGGAGTTGGGCAAATCTGCTGATGGGCTGGCCAACACGTACCTTGTCAAGCACGCCGATGGGAGTTATGAGGTTAAGATTGCCTGCATCGAGGTGAAGGAAAAGGAGACCCAACAACTGGATGATTTGAAACTGGTCGTTTCGTACGGAGCGGATAGGGAAGAGCTCCAGCTCATGGTCGACGAAATCAAGCAGGCTATCCCATTCGCGCCGGGCGAGCTCCAACCTCAGATTCTGCGCAAGTACATTGAATATTTCACCACTGGCGACTTCCGCATCAAACGGGAAATCGGGAGATTGTTCATTAATGATAAGGAAGCAATCATCGACTTGAATATCGGCTACGATTGGACCTACGGCGACCCTGACGGAAGCAGGGGTGTTTTTGATGGTTTCGTTGGCGCCGTCAACAAGGAACATGGCATCAAGTACCACAATCTGGTCCTCAAAGGCCCCGAGATCCTCCGCGAGCTGCCGTACCCCGACCAATACCACGGCGAATTCATCGCACCGTCCTTCAAAGCCATCGACTTGTTAACCACCCGCGGCTTCATGTACGGCATCGCGATCGAAGCCACCGACGACATTGGAAACATATGTGGGATGAAGCAGTTTGAAATGTCGAATATTGCAAACGCGATGAAATCTCAGGAGAACTTGTACCTCTCCGACGAAGATCATGCGTTGGTTGTGAAAGCCGGAAACGGGATCATGTGTTTGATGTTGGGGTTGCATGAGTTGTTGGGACATGGGGCCGGGAAGGATTTCAGGGAGGATGAGAATGGGAAGTTGAACTTCGATCAGGAAGCGACGAGGGACCCGTTCAGCGGAGAGTTTGTAAAATCTTGGTACAAGCCGGGTCAATGTGAGTTCTGATTTGAAAGGGCAGGGTTTGCTTAACCATGCGTCTATCGTTCGTGGCTCATATCCTGCGGCGTCTGTCCTCCTTCATCGTCTAGCCTTCAACAACGTCTTCAGCAGCATCGCGTCCGCCTACGAAGAATGCCGCGCCGAACTCGCAACCCTAGTCCTCGCCCACAACCCCACCGCCCTTCGCGTCTTCGGCTACGAAAAAGAGACCCAAGCCGCGCACGACGCAACTTACATCGTCTACATCAACATGTGCCTGCAAGGCCTGGCCGCCGTCGGGTCCTACGACCTCGAATCCCAAAGAGTCCCCCAAGCGCATGCAATGGCCCGTTTCGTCATCCTCCGCGCCATGCTCGAGTGCGGGTTCGCGACCGTCACCAAAGAAACAGACGGGAAAGTATCCCTCCGTTTCCGCCGAGACCTCCTCGACACCGCCGCCCGCGACGCCGCGAGGGATCTGTTGGCGAAGATGCAGGTCGCAAAGTCCACGGGCGATCTCCACGCCGTCGGCGCGAGGGAATATGTGAGGCTTATGGGCTTGACGGAGGAGTTGAGGGGGGTTCGGGAGGTTGTTGCGGGTAACGCCGCGAAGAAGGTGGTTCCGGTTTTTGTGCAGGGGAATACGGTGCTGCGGGAGGACGGGGAGGTTGAGTTGAGGGAGTATGAGGCGAATTGGGAGGGGGCTGTCAAGGCGTTGTTTGAGAGGGTGGGGTGAAAGGATGTTTGGTGTAATGGTGGAGCTCGTAGACTCGTAGCGTGGACTGAATTTCGTACCTTTACCCGGCGTAATATGGAGATCTCTAGAAATGTTATGGCGACGCACTGGAATGTTCGGATATTAGCCCTGCTGAGAGAGGGGATGGTGGAGAAGGCGGTGGACAACTTGAGTGCGAGCGGCTGTTGTCTTCATTGAGTCCAAAAATGGTTACCATCCAAAACGGACGGGTGGTGTTGGGGAGGTGGCTGCAGTAGTAGGCGGACTTCCCATCTCAAGTCCCGGTGTAATGCGATTCATGGGTGCGTGGAATATGATTTTGAGCATTTGCATTCGGAAAGAGGTATACATTTACGGGTACATCGTGCGCCATCCAATGGGAACAATATTCAAGAACGGTAAACAGGGAGTAGATGCTTACATCTACGTAGGAGCGGGAATGATCAAACCCAATATTCATGCAGCAGCGGCCCGGGTGGCAACCCTGGGCGCTCGCTGTCTGGTCAACGGGCCGAGCTCCACATCATTGTACTCGAACTGGTTTCCAGCATCCGTCTTGAATTGGTTAACGTAAGGCGAGTAAGTGGTTACCGAGATCTTCCGCGCGGCGGCGTCGAACGTCAGCAGCCGGAGGAAACCGTTTCCACCCTTGACACCGTCCTGGTAGTCGGCCAGCATCTGGAACACCTTGTTTCCGGCGTCGCCGGTGCCCGTGAGGCGACCGTAACCGCCGTCCACGCCATTGTGCATGTGGCCGTTGAGAACCATCAGGATGTTGGGATGCTTTCGGATCAGCTTGTCCCACACTTTCTGACCGTTGTTGGCGCCACTGCCGATACCGTAGCTCTCCGGGTTGGAGACGTGCGACGACTTGCTGCCCTGCAGGGTGTTGTCAAAGTAGGTGTGGGCGTGCGACGTGACGATCACCCTACGCGTCGGGTTGGCGGCAATGATGCGGCTCGCCCACTGCAGTACGGCATCGCGGGGCCCGAATTCGAGGAAGAGAAGGAGGTAGTCCGTGCCCTCGGCGGAGAAGGTAAAGTAGTTGTTGTCGATGCGGTTGGCTTCAAACACCCCGCCGAACCCGGGCTGCTTGGACAGTTTGGACACGGGGAAGTGCTTGTTGAGCCCGCTGGTGTCGCGGCTGCCGGTGAGCCCGAGGAAACCGATGTCGTGATTGCCTGGAAGCACCGAGTACGGGACCTTGCCGTCAAGGACTGACATGGACTTCAAGCCACGCTTCCATTGCGAGTCGGTGTTCCGGTTGGTGACGTCGCCTTGTTTGTTTTCGTAAGCATTCGGAGAACAATAAGCACAAGACCCATATGAGAGCAGGTTGATAGTCCAAAACTGCATACCTTCGTGAATAACAAACAAGATGTTCTGCTTGGCTAGGTTGTCAACGATCCATTGGGTCTGGCTGGTGAAGATCTCCGGGTAGGACTCGCTGTAGTGCTGCGTGTCCGGGAGAATCGCCAAGACTGCACGCAAACCCGAAAGACCAGTTAGCGTCGTTGGGTGAATTCCTCCTACGAAACTCCGACTGCGGGCATAAGGCCCGAGAACTTACCAAACGGCTTCGGGGCCGCGGCAACGGGCGCCGATCGGACGCCCGCGACGACAACCAGCAGCAGGGCGGCGGTGATTTCCAAGACGCTCCTCATGATGCGGTGTACGGATGTTTGACGACCTTACTACCTTGCGAGAGAAGAGCCCCCCCCCCCCCCCGAAGAAGGCCGGCTTTTATATCCCAAGGACTCATTATCTGCGCTATGTTGCCACTCTCAACAAACGGCGCTTCCGGTCAAAGAGTTCGCGACACACGACGGGAGCACGTTTTTTCCCCTGCGCTCGTCGTGCCGGCCATCCAGCCTGGACGTTCTCCGGGCGAGTATGTGTGAATGACATCCCTTTCTAATGCCGTCCTCCGTGGTTGGGGGAACGTGGCCGAGCTTTGATGCCGGTTACGGAAGTCAAAGTGATACCGTTGATCGCATTGTGCAACATCTGGCTCTACCCTCCCGACGAGACTGACACTGCGAACGGATGCACTGCATATCAATCGGAAACCTTAAAAGCTTGGAGGGGCTCACGAATTGATAAGGGAAACCTTGAAAAGGGACGAGGTCACGTAGCCTGTGGTTCTCCGATCGAACAAACGTTGACGATCAAAAAAAACCTTCACAATGAGAGCACTAGGATGACACCGGTCAAAACGTGCTGACACTATTCAACAGTGTGTACGCGTTTGGCGCCGCCCTGACAGACCGTCCGTAAAGAAACGTGGTGTTCTTCTTTTTTCCCGAGCACTGCAACGGTCATAAATGACATGCCCTGACAATCATCGGCAAAAGCTGGCTGATCTTCGAGGATCCTTCATACCAGCCGTTGTACATACTCTAGCAACGCCCACACCCACAATGACCGAAGGCCAAACTATCCAGCGGCTGAAGGAATTCCCTGATGTTTTGCGGTACAGTAGGTGGTGGCATGCCTTGGATCCATCCCCGCAGGTCGGTTGCGTTGGCTGAGGCGGAAGGAGTAGGTGAAGAGCCTCTTGAGGCGTCAGACTTGGATTCTTCGTTCTTCTTCTTATGTGGTTGAGCGGAAGTAACGTGGACAGCTTTTATCATGCGGGGGGGTAGGTGATGGTTCACTTCGTTGTTGGACGTGACGGGGTACGCCTTGAATAGGTGGAGTACGTGAGTCAATGCCAGAGTGCCAATTAGAAGATTCGGAGCTCTTAACAGCGGTTTGAACTTTCCTCCTCCTCTAGTAGCGGGCGGCAGTGGATCCAGGAGAGCTCTCCCTTGGGAGAATGGACAGCAGTAACCGAAACGGGGCGAGCAGCGGGAAGACGGAGAAAGACGAGGCACTGCCGAGCGAATGCTGACATTGCGATATACTACACACGGCAGACAGCATAGTGGCACGTAATGGACGTAATGGGCACGTTAGGAAAGCCCAGGAAGATCATCACCAGCAAGCTCCTCCATCATTCAGGCCGATGCAAACCCCCTTCCCCCGTCCAACTCCGTCTGTCCAATCACCCTGATGAGCAACGTTGGAACCGCGACACGTCAGTTTCGGTGTTTGATACGTACTTGTTTTAGCATTCTGGTCAAATGGTTCCATAGTCAATAGACAGACAGAAGTGTAGCTTATACCTACCTAGGTCGCGTAATGCTATGGAGAGGCGAAGGATTTCCTCACTCGAGTATTAACGAATGCCATGGTTATTCCCAACGACAGCTAACTTTCATTTATGTACAGCGCATACACATGGGTTCATATCATACTACATCTGATTTTCGGGGATAGGCTGATAGCCGACGGTCGCTACTTAAGCTCGGAAAGTGGGTGTTCTTTCACATCCAGGAAGCTGGAGACCAGCAATCTGCAGGAGACCTCATCAAACTTCTTGCTTGCCCTGGCTAGGTCCGCAACAATCTCAGCTTTACTCGTATCCCGCGTCTTAGCCCAGATCTCCAATACGCCGCCTCCGTTGTACTTCGACAGTGCCTCCTGCCACTCCGTCTGCCATTCTTCGTTCCAGAAGAGGAGGACATATCTAAGCAACCGCTTCGGCATCAGATTCGACCATCGCGGAAGCGTCAACTGGCTCCCACAGAATGCCACATCAAGGAAGCGGATGCATTTGGAGAGATACAAGAGGACCACATGAACAGAAGGGCCATATAATTTCAGTCGGACGTACACGACAGGCGGGCGCTGCCACCAACGAGATCTGCTGCTTGGAAGAAGTTCCCTAGAGGTCCCTGCCGCCATCCGCAAACAAGGAAAGTTGGGCTTCCGGTTGAAGAATTGCCAGCCCAGGCCAAGAACGTGAGTGGTCTTCAACGCGTATTGCCAACATAAGGTGTCGACAACGGCTGAGAGGCCCCCCTCTAGATCGTCACGCACTACGTTGAGGAGCAGGCGTCCGTTGTCCCAGCCAAAGTGGGATTCGTCTCCGGGTTCGGTGGATGCGAACATCACGCGTTCAGGGCGGCACACGGTGAGGATGGTGTGAATCTGTCCCAAAGCTCTGGGATTCCAGTTTATTATGTCGAAATCGACTTCCTTCACCCATGCGAAGCGTTCAGGACGAATGATAAGAGTTGTGAGGAGTATATCCAGCTGACCGCCGTTCGAGATGTGCATGCGAGCGTAGAGGTTTTTGATAAGCAGATCGTGCCATGTCCGAGACACAAGGGCCATCCTCGCCTGAGCCGTCTTGTCGGCGCGGTTTAAGATGAGGGGTATAAGCTCCAAAGGAAGGCGCGGAGTGTCGCTGCCGGTCATGATGGTGCTCGCTCCTTCCGTTGCACGTTGGGGCCCGCGGATGTTCTATGCGGCAAGTGAACAGGCCAAATGTTCCCAGAGATGTTCCCTTATAATCGTCCAAAAACGGGTACAGTGGGAACAGGCGGCCGAAAAGGCCGAAAGCGCCCTCATCTGACTCATTGACAGCACGCTGTCAGTCGCAACGTTCAGCTTTCCCCAAGCATAATTATGACCCAACGCCCCGGCGTCTTTTAACCAGTTGCCATGAAGGCCGTCATGTATTCAACCGATCTATACCTGCTAAGGAGCTTTGAATGCGGAATGCATCGCATTCGTGTATCAAAAGAAGGGTGTAGCTTGCGGGCCCATTCAATTTCCTTGGCGGCCTGCCTATGCGCCGAGCCAACCCCGATCCTCATCGCGTGCACGTAATATAGATACGTAAAATAAGAGGCACCCGATAGATATACATAAAACAACGAAAAGAAAAGGAACAAGAAGAAAAGTGGGATAGTTGTGTGCTCAAAGCGTCCTGTCTAGCCTGAATAAAGTTGTATGCATGCGTGGTGAAATAAGGCGGTATGCATGCGTGGTGGTACTGAATAATGCCTGAATCTTCTCCCCATCCACGTGTCCGTTGAGACGACACGCAGGGTATATATAATGTCCCCGGACTCTCACAGCATTCAAGGCCTAGCCATAATCGGCCGATAAGCAATCCGCAAACACTGGATTCCCAAATGGCTACAGAACCGGTCAATCACCGCGGTCGCCCAGTGGAGGTACGAGGTTGCTGCGTAGGCGAGGAATAGGTACAGGTAGGCGATTTCTAGGGCGGGTGGCAGGATCGCAGTGCTGGGGAAAGAGATGGGAGGTGAGTGGGTGAGCGGGTGATGGGGGAGAGATGGGGATGGGAAGGGAAGGGGCTTACCTGTTGAGGAGGTAAGGCAAGTTGGTCAACCCGGCGCCGATGAAGACAGGGATCATGAGTTTCCAGAAGGTTGGGTAGGAGGAGTGGGTTACGTGGGCGAGGATAATTGCCGTCTACAAAAAGTCCACCATCAAAGCCATTGAGTATTACAGCCACGAGCACCCCAAATGTCGAAGAAGCCCCTACTCACCGCGATCCTCCCAAAAACCAACCCAGTAGCAATCACAAACGCCACGGTATGCGTGCCGTTGATAGTCGAGAACGCCGAGTTGAACCACAGGCACATGGCGAGCACGAAGGCGGTGTACGGAACGAGTTGGCCCATGGCTTTGCTGGTGGAAGTGTTTTTCTCTTTGCAGACTTGGGCAACGCGCCAGACGCTGAGCAAGAATCCGGGTTAAATGAGGTGAGCGGCAAGAGGCGACAGGGATATGGGAGGTGATGTTACTTACCTAACAGGCAACTGCGTGAAAAGCATCATAGCCAACATGCCCGCAAGACAAACCTCACCTAACGGCCAATCACTTGGCGCAAACCACGTCAAGATCGGTGCAGATGTTCCAATCTCCTGCCACCAGATCCCCGGTCCCCAGATCCCGCTCGCGACCAACAACCCGCAGGCGATGATGAGACCTTCGGTGGGGCCGTTGATGTAGCCGAGATAGAGGGAGCCAGTGTGGTAGTTTTCCCAGGTGGAGAAGTAAAAGGTTGTGATTGCTGTTGTGGGGGGAAGGGGCAAGGTCATAAACGATGGAACTTCGAAATGACGGGCTTTGAAACCGGACACATACCCATCAGCTGCATGATCATGCATCGCCAGCCTAAGCCCATTCCGAGACCTGCGGCTTGCACGATGGCACCGAACTGTTTGAATGAGAATGAGTGAGTCACATCAAGATGCGGCTATGAGAATCGATGTGGTAGCACAAAACGACACTTACGGAGCAGTTCAAAGAGTCAACACCACTAAAAAAACAAGAAAAGAGGTGTCAGTCAACCATCCACCATTCCAACGCAATGCGACGGAAAACATACTGGTCAAAGAGCTCCCCCAAAGGCGAACTGCTTCCCGTCCGCCTCGCCTGCTTTCCATCCACATTGTCGAAGGTGGAGTATAACCACATTCCAGCGGCGAAACTGAAGTAAATCCAGGACGGCCCAGCGGAAGATAGATCGGGGGTGTATATCAGCGCGATGCCGACGTTGGCGAGGACGAAGAAGAATCCGAGGAGGGTGATCAGGTTGGGTCTGTCACGAGAATTGGGTTAGCTCCCAGCAGTTTTTTCTGTGCGTGAATCACGAGCGGAACGTACGCAAGCCACATAGGGAACAGAGTTGTGCAGAATTCCCAGTACGGTTTCAGGATGTACTTTGAAACCGGCGACTAAAGAGAAAAAAGAAACACGGATGAGCCTCGGCACGAAATCAAGAAATCATTGACTTCCCAGGCGCATACCATGTCAATAGAAGAGTACTTGTAGAACCGAAGGTTCCTGAGCGCCTCGTCCGAAACGTAGGACTCTGGCGTGGGGAATAGCATTGAGGCGACCATTTCTCTGCGAGAGCGAAAGATGGTTAAGGATACACTGGCGAAAAGAAAACCCCCAGGAGCAGACTGCGGTGTGGTTGTCGGGGAGGCACACACGACAGAACTCTTCCGACAGTGAGCTAGACAACCATCTACTCAATCACCATCAGGATATCATCCACCATCATTAGCGATCATAACCACGATGCGAAGCGGGTCAGTTGGATGGTTTAACTACTTAGGTGAGGAGAGTATTGCGCCTTGGGCGCAAGGTGGGCTCCCTTCGGTCGCAGAAGATCTGACGCTCGTTGAGGCATGCTAAGAAGTGCGTTGAGAGGAGTATTGCGCCTTTGACGCAATGTGTCTCGCTCCCCTCGCACTTCGCTATCGCTCGCGAAGGCGTTCGTTCTGGGCGAACTCGTGGCCGCTCGGTCTTTTAGACCGAACCACCCGCTTCCCACCACCATTCTGATCATCCACAGCCCTCCATTCAAAGTCCCATTCCCACTCCCACTCCCATTCCCTCCCATACCATACCTCTTCCGCCTCCTCCGAACCTTCTCCGCGGTATTCTTATTCGCCTTCCCCAACGAACTGCTCAAAACAACCTCCTTCCTCCCACTTCGATTCTGACGGGCCGGTCTCTTTCTCGCTGTCGCTGCGTCAGCAGCCTTAACAGCTTTCGGTGATTCGGATTTGGCTTTGGCAGCAGAGGCGCGGGTCTCTGCCTCGCTGGCGGGTTTTTTGGTGTGGGCGGCCAGGGTGGCGATTTCGGCGGGGGATTGAGGGGAGCTGTGCTTTGGAAGGGTGTGAGATTTTTGTTTCTCACGGGGCGAGAAAAGGGTGATCTGCTCTGGGAAGGTCAGAGGAGGAGAGGAAGACGGACCTGCTTTGTGTCGCAGAACTGGTTGCTTCTACTACGGGCGCTACGCTTGCAGCAGTGAGTGCTACGGCGGTGAGCGGGATGCGGGCAGCTTGGCAACTCTCAACACCCTCTTGGACCCAAAACGGCGAGAGAATACTTACCACTTATTCATGTGGGACATAACGCATGCAAGGCCTCAATATAATAATGGTTAAGTGGATCCAAAGCTGCGGCAGCACCCGCGACTTCACAGAAACAACCGCAGACCAACACGCCAATTTTACAACAATCCCATCGTGACCCAATTGGTGACCGGGTGGAATCCAGTAAAGGATTAATAGGGAACATAAGCTTCCCGAGGTCCAACGGTCCGGTACTGTCCAGCCTGGGTTTAGGGTTATCGTTAAGAGTGCAATGGAATGACGGTAAAGTGTGCTGTCAACCCAATCCGTCCGTGTACTGTATGCGACATGTGATATCCGAATACATGCGATATGCGACATGCGATGTCCACCTTTGGATTTCCCATACCACTTATATATACAATCTATGTAGTCTCTACTCTGCGAAGAATAGTCCCTCGTTCATCCTCTCGCCATAACATACCCCACCACAATCCCCACAACCCCCAATGCATACCACCCCCAACCCGTCCTCACCGTCTCATGCCGTCTCGTCCGGTGCACATGTCTAGGCGCAGGTGCTTCCACCTCGCTCTTCCCTTCCTCCCCACCCGCCCTCCGTCCCCTCAAACTTCCCACAACCTCCCTCGCAACCCTCTCCCCACTTCCCACCGCCCCCTCCATATACCCACACCACTCCGTAGCAGTCTCCGTCCCCGCAAAATGCACATTCCCATGCACGGCGCGGATCTCGGTACCGTACTGTGTTAACAGTCCGCATCCCATTGAGGCAACGGGGCAGCCGCCGCTGTACTCTTCCGCACTCCAGTCTTGTTCGATGTATTCGATCGGGTGCAGGGCCAGGTCCGAGGATGTTAATGTCCGTAGGTGGTGGAGAATCACGCTTTTGCGTTGTGAGGGAGGTTGAGCAGACCACTCCCTCCCCGCCCCACTCAACAAAAACGCCGTCAAACACGCAACACCCGCATCCCCACTACACGTATCAAACACCAAGCTGACAGGTCCGCAATGGCTCACCATCTCCCCGCTTAAACCGTTATCGCGCCAGAAGGCGGTGGAGTAGCGGAGGACGACTTTTGTGTAGTAGCCCATTGCTGTGCTGCGTTGCGTGAAGTGTTTTTTGAGAGCGGGGAGTTCGGGGGACCATTTGACGCGCGTGTACTGGGGGGGTGGTGCGGTGAAGATGACTGTGCGGGCGCGGTAGGGGATGTTTGTTGCTACAATCAAAGGAGGTTGGTGAGGTTGAGAGCTGACGATTGGGATGTGTGCGGATTACACGCTTACAGTTGGTAAAGACGGTGACGGACCCGTCGGGTGATAACTGCTCAATGCTCTGCACAGCAGCCGACAATATAATCCGTGACTGCGGAAGCAACGCCGCAAGTCGTTTCGATATCGTCGCAGCTCCCTCCTCCAACCGCATCTTCTGCGCCCCTTCCACCTCAATCAACGACAACAACCCTTTCCCGGAATGACAATAGAACAAAAACCACAGAAACGAAATCTCCTCTGGGTCAACGCCGATGATCGACCGGCATGCAATGTCAAACATCTGTTTGGATTCGCGAGTCCAAAGGTTGCGGCGCATCCATTCGGCGAGGGTTATTGAGTCGTGCGCAAAGGCGTCTTTTGCCTGCATTCGGTGTTAGAGAGCCGTTAGGCGGGTTCCCAGAGGCTTGCTGGTTGTAAATGGGTCTACCTTCGTGGGATCATCCAGCGGCACCTTGCGACACATACTCTCCAACCTCGTGATCCCCTGCTGCACATCAATCAACGACGGGATCGATATGCTGGGAATATCGCCCGTATATGTCCGGAGTTTGCCGGGTTCGAGTTCTAGGACCGAAGAGCCTGTCCGGTATTGCGGGAAGAGGTTGAGATCGAATTCTTTGACAAGGGCGCCGACAAGGGGTTGCGTGTCGGGGTTGATCCTATGCGACGTCGCGTATGATGATGAATAATCGGTCCATTGATCGAGGGAGGGGGATTGACACTAACCACATCCCGCCTAGATCGTAGACTACGCCGTTGATCTGTCTGGTCATCGTGCGGCCGCCTACCCTGTCGCGAGCCTCGAGCACGAGGACGTCCAGCCCTGTGGGAATTGGGTGTGAGAAATTCACATTATCTTTCAGCACACTGCGTGGTACGCCGCCCGGGGTGACCACACCAGACGCTGCTAGTGTATTGACGAACGACGTCCTCCATGGTGTCTATATCCATATCCACCACCGTTTCCCACGCGCGGCGTGCTCCAGGATGAAGCCACGTTTTGACATGGAAACGGACGACACTATATACAGTACTCACCAGCTTCTAGACATCTTCGGGCGGCGGTGAGGCCTGCCAGCCCCGCGCCGACCACGATGACGTCGTAAGTCTTCTGCACCATCCTATAAGCTGTTTGGGGGGTGGTGGTGCTGTCCGTCGGCGTTACCGTGGGCCTTGCCAAGTGCCCCTCGAGTTAAGGAAGGCTTCTAATGCATGAGTTGTGTCATGCAATTAATCTGCATATATCACGTGCCCCCACCTGACACCCGATCTTGTCTCCTCCGCCTGTTTTCCCTCACGCTCTTTCTTCAAACTAGGCCTAACACACAAAGGACGACCAGGCATTCGCCAACAACACCGACACCCTCGCTTGGGCTTCAACACAGCATACGTAGTCGACATGGCAAAGAAAGGCTCAACGAAGCCTCGCCCCGCAGCCGTCGAGCAGCGACCCACCAAAAAAGCAAAAGTCGTCCAGGAAGAACCTGCCGAGGAACCCGAACATGACACCCCCGTCGACGAAGACGCCTTTGCAATGCAAGGCGCTACCGCTGACGACGTCGAGAGCGGTGAAGAGGAGTTCGACAGCGACGACGACGAGGAGGAAGCGGACGAGCAGGACGAAGAGGAGGACGAGGAGCCTGTGAAAGTCGGTTCCAAACGGTCTCGGTCTGACTCAGACGACGGCGAGACGAAGGAGAAGAAAGAGTCGAATATCGTGGACCACTATAAGGGCGAGGGTGTTATCGAGCTTGATCGTGAGTTACCCAGTTCTCATAGTGAACGACCCACAATACAGTTCACGCGGTCCAACCTCTTTCAATCCCCCCACCAGGCTCAACATCCATAACAGCAGAAGTGAACAGGGACTTTTCCTCTCTAAAAGTAACCGAACAGACCGCAAAAGCGATCGCGGAAATGGGGTTCACGAAAATGACCGAGGTGCAGGCGAGGAGTATTCCGGCGTCGTTGACAGGGAGGGATATTTTGGGTGCGGCCAAGACGGGGAGTGGGAAGACGCTTGCGTTTTTGATTCCGGCTATTGAGATGTTGGTTAGATTGAAGTTCAAGCCTAGGAATGGTGAGTACCCGAGCGGAGCGAGAGTGACCGACCAACCGAAGGAGCCCGAGCGATAGCGTGCGCGACCATCGCAAACGCCTCCACCCGCGACAGCGAGTTCTGCGCCGCAGGCGCAATCCTAGGCGACCGTAGCGAGCCCCTGTCTGTGAAAGAAAGCGAACAATCGTTCTTTCAAGGCGAGCGAAGTGAGCCCCTGTCTTCAGCTGTGAGCGATAACGAACAATCGTTTTTATTGCACATCGCCGACCAACATCCTCGTCACGAGCGGAGCGAGCAATTGACCGTCCATCATCTATACCCACCACTTTCACAAAGCGATGTACTCATCCAGCCCATCTATTCTATTTCCATAGGCACAGGAATCGTCGTCATCTCACCCACGCGCGAGCTCGCCCTACAAATCTTCGGCGTCGCAAAAGAGCTCATGAAGCACCACCACCAGACCTACGGGATCGTGATGGGCGGTGCGAACCGCAAAGCCGAGGCGGACAAGCTGGGCAAGGGTGTCAATTTGTTGATTGCGACCCCCGGACGGTTGTTGGACCATTTGCAGAACACCAAGGGGTTTGTGGTCAAGAACTTGAAGTGTTTGGTTATTGATGAGGCGGATCGGATCTTGGAGGTTGGGTTTGAGGAGGAGATGCATCAGATTGTCAAACTGCTTCCCAACGGTACGTGTTATGCAGCTCCAGACCCGCTTTGCAAATGACGCTCACGTTTGTTTCTTTCTCCCTCTTCTTTCCTGCAGAACGCCAAACTATGCTCTTCTCCGCCACCCAAACCACAAAAGTCGAAGACCTCGCCCGCGTCTCCCTCAAAAAAGCGCCGCTCTACATTAATGTCGACGAACACAAAGACATGGCAACCGCCGAAGGCCTCGAGCAAGGCTACGTCGTCTGCCCCTCCGAAAACCGGTTCCTCCTTCTCTTTACCTTCCTCAAGAAAAACCTCAAAAAGAAGAAAATCATCGTCTTCTTCTCGTCTTGCAACAGCGTCAAGTACCATGCGGAATTGTTGAATTATATCGATATACCGGTGTTGGATTTGCATGGCAAACAGAAGCAGCAGAAACGGACGAATACGTTCTTTGAATTTGTCAATGCTGAGAGTGGGATATTACTTTGTACCGATGTCGCCGCACGTGGGTTGGATATCCCCGCTGTCGACTGGATCATCCAGTTCGACCCGCCAGATGATCCCAGGGTACGTGGCTTTCCCCCCTCCCCTCCCCTCGCTCCGGGGACTCTATAACTCACACCTCCTACCTACCTTCCAGGAATACATCCACCGAGTAGGCCGAACCGCCCGCGCCTCCGCCAAAGGCCGCGCCCTCCTCTTCCTCCTCCCCCAAGAACTCGGCTTCCTCCGTTTCCTCAAACACGCACGCGTCCCCCTCAACGAGTACCAATTCCCCCCTACGAAAATCGCCAATGTCCAATCACAGCTCGAGAAACTGGTCGACAAGAATTACTACCTGAACCGCAGCGCCAAGGATGGGTATCGGTCGTACCTCCAAGCCTACGCATCCCACTCGCTCAAGAAGATATTCGATGTCGCGGAATTGGATCTACAGAAAGTCGCACGGGCCTACGGGTTTACCGTACCACCGTCTGTGAATCTGGTGGTCGGCGCGAGTGGGAAGACGGATCGGAAGGCGAGGAGACAGGGGGGTGGACAGGCGGGGTACCAGGGGAAAGGTGCGGGGAAGGAGTTTTTCAAGAAGAGGGAGCAGGGGGCGCCGGTTGGCGAGAGGAGGGATGGGAGGCAGTGGACTCGGTAGAGGGGCGAGTAGGGTAGGGTAGGCTTTAGGGTAGGGTTTAGGGTAAGGGTGAATTCAGAAGGAGACCCGCACACACACACACACACACACACACAACGAGATATGCAACCCATCTCACACGCACACACACACACGTTTATCATTATCACAAGCTCATTTTGTCTAACGAAATTGTAGATCGTATTTAAGACTCTTTCTTTTCCTTTCGCATGAGTGCTCAATGAGAATGGTGCGAGGAAACATGTGAACAATATGCGGGTATACGACGTGCGGAAGAATAGGTACAGGAGACGAGGGTTCCCAGAGTGGAGGATCATATAAGGATATAGTTTGATCAGTGCGTGCGAATATCGGCTCTCATAATGATATAAGGGAAATAGGGTCCTTACCGCCATGGATTAGATGGATTGTTGCCAAGCGTGAAATTGTCGGCGACGCAAAAGACGCAAATCGGACACTTCCCCGATCACAACTCCCGCTCCCATCTGGATTTCGCACAAGTATCCCAGGAGTGTTCAACCACCCGTCTCTAATGCAACAGAAGTATCCACTCAGCAGGAAGCCTTAGTTCATCATGTACGGCTCCTCGCCCCACCCATTTCAAATCAATCAGCCCGCATATGCCTACGGCGCCAATGCGACCCCCGGATCGTTAAACCCCCAGCGCCAGACTTTCCCACAGCAGCAACTGCAGGCCCAACAGCAGCAGCAACAAAACCTGCAGCAATCCATATACCAACGGCAATCACAGTTCCCTCAACAGAATCTGGGTGGGGCCGGGTACTTCAATAGCCCTGCCCTAGGCGCTCAGAATGCGCCCTCGCCAGCGTACCACACGCCGTATGAGTCTTTGTCCCCAAGGCAATCAACCTACCTCGGCGCCATCCCGCCGTACCGCCCGGACAACGGAATCCCAGCGCAGTCCCCGTACCAGCAACAACAACAACAACAGCAGCAAAACGGTACACGTCCAACCAGTGCGCAGGGGTTCACGCCCGGATCGCCGACACAGAGACACGCGAGTATGTTTATGAACGGGCTCCAGAACGGGGGTGGTGGTGGTAACAGCGGCGGTAGTGGGGGTGGAGGAGCATCAGCCGCCACGTCTCCTCAGAAGGAGGGGCAGCCAACAGAAGACCAGTTCGTGCCCTCGTTCTTAACCGATGCGTTACTGGGCGGCCGCCGGAACGCCGGCCGCTCGTCACCGAAACAGAGCCCGGGGGCGATACCGCATTCTCCGACGTCGCCGCATTCGCCGTCCGCGCGAAGGAGGAGGTCTACGTCGTCGATGAATTCTTCGGGGTCGGGCGTGAAACGGGGCTCGTCGCTGTATGGGGATGAGTATAGTGGGTATGGGTCTAGCCCGTCGTCCGTGCGGTCGCATCGGAACGGTGGGTCAGTGGACGATGATCTGCCGCCGGTCATGTCGCTGTTTGCTGATGGGGACCATTTTGAACTTGGCCCGGGGGATTTTGGGAGTTATGGGTACGGTGCGGGTGGAGGGGATGGGTATGGGAGTTATGGGGCGGAGTCAGCGGGTCGATCGCCTTCACACAGACGGACGTCTGTCACGTCTGTGAATTCGGAGACGGGCAGTGTAGGTACAGCGGCTGGAGGACGATCTCCCTTGCGTCATTCCCCAGCCTCAGTCAACACCGCCAACGGCAGCACAACCACGGCAAGCAGCGCACCCGAAACGCCCTCCCCTTCCCCACCCAACCTAACAGTAACCATCTCCGGCCCCGACGAAACCGCCCGCGACCGCCTCATCGACGACATCAGCAAAAAAGCCAAAATCACTTACCAGAAAAAGGGCAAGAACTGGGTCGTGCTCCGGTTTGCGGAACTCCAGTCTGTCCGCGAGGCCCTGATACTCGACGGACGGCTGTGGCAGGGGTACTTGCTCACCGTCAAGAGCGGGGACACGACCTTGGCGCCTGCTGCCCATGTCGCGACGCCCTCCGCGCCCTCGACGCCGACGAGGGCGCCTATCTCGCCGATCGATATACCGCGCCGAGGCCGGCAGCTGTCGGGTCTGGGCCTGACGTCCTCGCCTAGCCCGAGCGGTCGGTCGAGCGAGACGGGCGGGTATTTCCCGGCGAACGGGGCTGGTAAAAATTCGGAGGAGTCGAGAACAGCGGAAGGAGGAAAGGCGGAAACGAAACCCACCAACCCGGCGTCTAACCCGTTCGCTCCTCCATCGTCGTCGTCAGCCAAACCAACCAATGGCGAGGCGTCTGCGTCATCATCGTCTGCCACCGCGCACCGTAACGGCGAGAATAAGAACACCACCAAAAATGAGAAAAACGCCCCGTCACCGCCCGCAACCAACAAACGTCCCCGCACCGACCCCGACGACGACGACGACGCGGGTAGCGGGACACTTTTCCCTCCCACCCACGCGCGGCGCACAGATACGGCGGATCTTGGAACGATGAAGGGTGCAAAGACGTTGTGGACCAAGAGCGGGGGTGCGAAGAAGGCGAGGCGTGCGGGTGGTGGTGACGGGAGGGGTGGCAAGGGAAAGGGGGCCCAGAGCGATAGCGAGGAGGAGGATGAGGTTAGAGTGGGTAGGGGTGGAGGGGTGCTTGCAAGGGTTGGGGAGTGGATATTTGGGTGGTGATGATGAAGCGGCTGGGAAGTGGCTCGGGATGGGGGTTGGAGAGAAGGGACCGCTCTCATTCGGCAGCGGTTTTGGAGGCGGCTGGTGGCGGATCGAGAACGGTGGAGGTTCACGGAGGATTGCACAATCGTCAAGCCCGGGATATGGAGGGTCGCTCTGAATCGTTACGTGGAGGGAAAATGCTCTTCTCTCTTTATTTAAAATATTACTGGAAATGCTCACATTTACATCGCGCAAGGGATATCACAAACGGTGGAGGAATATATCTACGTGTCGTATCGTCCCCACATGCATTCTTTATCCTCCCGCCCAGAGAGACAATGACGGTACAAAAAGTTTACGCAAGCGGAGGCCCGAACCTCTCTCGCCTCTACTAATCACTGACGCTGACACTGACGCTGGCTGCTACGTGGACTGAATGAAGTGAATGAAGTAGGTGTGGTGTATCAGAAGAAGAGATCGTCTAGGATGTCGTCGATGTTTTTGCGGGGTTGTGAGAGTGAGGATGATGATGATGGGAATGTGGGTGTAGAGACGGATGGCGCAATCGCCGTGGCTGTGAGGGGTGGTGTCGAAGCTGCCGGGCGGATAGTCGTTGCAGGTATTGGAGGTTGTGGTGCGCGATGGATGTGCGCCGTACTCGTCCTCGAGGCCCCGAATTGCGTCGTCGGTGCCGGCGGCTGTAATTCCCCCGCTCCTAACCGCCCACTCGTCCCGGCCCGTATCCCCACCGGTGCCGCCCCCTTAGCCCCTCCCCGACCATCATCTTCATCTTCATCTTCATCCTCCGTCCCGCTCTCGTCATCCCCCAAAAGCATCGATCGCTGCGTCTGCGTCCGTGGTTGGCTTTCACTATAGCTTTGACTATAGCTTTGGGTGGCGTGAGTAGGTCGTTGTGCTTGTGATTGTGAGCCTGATAAGGATACGGATGCGATGGGTTGGTGGGACGCTGTGCGGGGACGAGGATGGGAATGCGGAGGTGGTAGGGCTTCGTCGTCGGTGGTTGCGTCGGAGTCGGACGACGGTTGGATTGGAAGAACGGGAGTTAAGCGAGATTGGGAAGACGTCCTGGTATACGCGGAAACAGCAGGTCGAGTATCGACATCATTGCCCGTCTCCGATATAGAGGCATCCACAACCTTCCCCACCCCCTCATTAAACCCGCGCAAACCACCCCAAAACTCCGCATCCATACCCAACCTCACATCCCCCTCATCCTCCTCCACCACGCGTCCCCTCCCTCCTCCTCGCCGGGGCTTCACCCTCGCCCGTCGCCTCCCCCTCTGTGGCTGGTCTCTCTCGCCATCACTTGGATGAGGTTGAGACTCGGCTAAAGCGGCAGCGGCAGCCGCAGCCTCCTCGATGAAAGGCTGGAGGTACTTCCGAGCGGCTTCGAGGCATTCGTCGTCAGTTTGGTGGTACAGTATGGGGAGCGCCGGGCGCGGTTGTTGTTGTGCAGCGAGACCAGGTGGAGGGGCGGGGTCATCGAAGTGGAGGATGTGTTCCCAGAAGTTTGGGTCGGGTGCGGGTTTGAGTTCGGTTTTCACTTCCGGTTTGACCCATGCGTCTAATGACCGCTGCCCATTCTTTATGAGCTCGTGCTTGATGAAGAATTCTTCGTGCTTTATATCCACGTCCATAGGGTCCAACCCCGACTCTGCTTTGACTCTCGGAATCTCATCAGGCTCGTGGAAAACGGATGCCTCCGCTGGCTCAGCTTTGACTTTCTTGGCACCCTCCAATGTAGAGAGTGACCAGGGGAGTTTCCGTTTGGAGCGTTTGCCTGGCGTGGGTGGGGCTGCCGTGGTGGTGTCGGTGGGGGGTTTGCGAGAGAGGGTTTCGGTATCGGTTTCGGTTGCCGTGCGCTGTATGCATACGGTACGAGTCATGCCGTTCACAGGCAGTTCAATCTGTCGCACCTCCTTGCATGTCATTGCAACACAGATGGCGACGCTATTGGGCGACGGATTGTTTGCCGTGTCAACTTCCCGCAAATAAATTGGGACGCAAGGTTCCTCCACACCACAATCGTCAACAATTCTTTGCCGCAGAATAACCCCGCCCAATGCAACTCGTTTGTTTCATCGTTTTGGGTGATGGTGAGGTGACTAAGTTTGGGCTGCGCTGAGCCCAAGAAGTTGTTTGTCGATGGTTGATGAACCGATGATCCCCTCGATTGTCATCGTGGAGAGATTCTCGAAGTTGGGAAAGCACCGGGAGTCCCGCCCTCCAGGCCCTCCTTGGACGCTTGGAACAATGTGACAGCAACCCGTCATTTTCGACATTTTACCGCACAAGGGCAAACGCTTTCAACATCCAACTCCGCCTCGACAAGCTTGAACTTCTTGTCTGTCTTGCGCCGAGAACAAAACCCGCCAGCGCTGTTCCTCGTCTCTTTCTCTCCCCAAACCGCTCTACGAGGAATCTGTGCTCGTCCTCTTCCGGGTTGTCATTGGCTGTCGGCTCTAGCGGACAACGCCGAGCACATCGGCAGTCAGTGCAATTTTCAGGTAACGTCGGTGGAGGGAAGTCGGCATGTGATCGTGCTCGGGCTATACCAAGCTGCCAAAGCTGGTGGTCTCCGCCGCATGTATGTGGGGCATTTAGGTGTCTCTGCTTTCCCTTATGACCATGCGCCTTTGGGATTTCTTTTGGTTGTTAGGATTGGATGCTACACACATCTTCCGCATTCTTCATTGGCGTGCACATTTGTTAAGAATGGCGCCCTTCCGCTCGCCTTTCCTCGGAAAGGTCCGGTTGTGGACCCGGGGTCTTTGAAAAGATCCTTCTGGAAATACTTTTGCGTTCCGCAGATGTTGCAAAGATAATATTGAATATATATGCTCTTGAAAACGGTATACATTCCGTTCCTCTCAAATGTCAATGGGACTGTTCTGAGACAGCGGTGGAAACTCGCTGCTAGCGGTTTGCACGATGATGAATATTCAAAGCTTATATCCGGCAATGACTTCTTGCGTTTCGATGCATCCGCAGAAGCCGATGCATCCAAATGAGGTTGTGGATTGTCCTTGTGATGTTCCAAATCGCACTTGCAAGAGACGGTATCCACGTCCTCCATACGAATGTCTCAGGAGACGGAGTAATGGATAAAGCTCCTGGCGCCTACAGGGATGATGGAGCCAAATCACTCCAGGTGGATTGCAGTCGGCTTGCCGTCTGCGCTCGCGCATTTCTGCTCTCGACGCCGCCAAAGGAGAAATATGACCATACTACCCGTTCACAATGCCACTACCAATTTTGGGTCGGGGCTGGAGGTACCTGGACGGAGGGATGATCTCTTGTGGAAGGGACGATATCTCTTCACGATCGTCCGCACTCCGCTTCATGACCGTAGCCTTGGCGTACTACCCGGCACAGGATGGGAGATTTCTCTTCGGAGCGGCGACATATCATTTGGACAGCTTGTGACTCGCAAATATTATACGCTTCCTTTCATGCGCACGATCGCGCATCTCAAACGTGCTAGTGTGCAAACCGTCATGCGGCAGAAACAGTGTCCACCAGGAGCTGCAAATCCCTCTTCCTGAGCTTGGATTCACTCTGAATAAGCGCTCGTGGAAGACTAGTACCCCGCAACATGGTCTCGCCGCACCCGTCAGCAACGCCATCGAGTGCATATGCAGCATCAAGATTAGATTTTAGGTCAAAAGGAGGAGGTGCTGAATCCACCCGTCTTGACGCTCTTGACGCGTCCCCATCCGACGCGTCTTCCAGTAGAAAGGACAAACACCTTTCGGCATTCGCATTTTTCGCATGACAGACGGCGATGCACATGGGGCGCCCAAGTCAGTACAGAGAACTATCCACAGTGTGGGTATACATTGCCCCATGTGTGACATGTATGCGAACCATAACCTGTGCCAAGATTCCTCTGCTTTGGCCGCGTTGTAGGACGTGGCGTTCGCATTGTCAAGGATCCAAATGGAGGCATCAACGGGTGAGGATACAGACGCAATCAAAGGACGATAGCAAGTCATGAGAGATGAAGCTATTGAAGATGGGGAGACTATGAAACGTGGATGTGGAGTTGGGAGTGGGAGAAGGAGGAGCAACGCCCAAGTCCGCCGGGCGAGGAACAACAATCAACACGTCCCAACGCGCAAGAAGCGCACCTTCACATGCGTCCGCCGTCCAGCCGCAAACTTCACACTAAACAGAGCGCCCATCTTGCAACCACCCCCCGAAGCCCTCCCTCATCCTCTTGCCATCCCCCTCACTCCCCACTGTTACTCGCTTCCCTAATTCCCTCCAACAAACATGCCCTGGTTGAAAGCACTCGCGGGGAACGACTTTGACTCCCTCAATGAGGTCGCCCAGGTCAACAGATACCCGGTCGTCATCAACAACGACCTCTTTGTAAGTTCAGAACTCCCAGAACACTCCCAGGAGGTGTGACCTTCCCCTTTCCCACTTCCACAACAACTCACTCCCACTCCTGTATTCCTTCAGGAAGGACTCCTCATCATCCGCATAAACAACTTTGACGAGTCTAAACTCCCTGAACCGCCTGCAACGCTGCCCTCGGAGACTTTCCTTGACGCCGCTAGTTATTTTGGAACAAGATCGAGGCAGTTTAGTTTTCAGGTTGAAGGGAGGTTCAAGAATAGCGTCAACGGGGATGACCTTTATTGGGATATCTCGTTTCCGTATCCTTTGACGGGGTTGCCTTTTTTTACTCCCATGGTCGTGAAATTCCTGCAGGTATGCGTGTGCGAGCAAAGTTAGGAGAATGCTTGAGGTTCGAGCGCTAGCGAGGAAAGAATGCCCGAGTTTCGGGAGCGAAGCGAGTGTTGTACTGCAACGAGCGAAGCGAGGTGCAGGGTTGGTTCGGTCTGGGAGACCGACAGGTCGATCAGAGTGAACGCGTTCTGGTTTGCAATGGGAGCACGAGCAATAGCGAGCGGAGCGAGCTCACATTGCGCCAAAGGCCCAATGCATTCCTAACCACGGCTCTTAGCGAGCCTCCGCCTCTTCGCAAATCGATGGTGGTGCCTCGATCTCGATGGGCGTTCGTTGATGGCGATTCATGCGCGGTCGACCCCACTTTCGAGTCTCACCAGGATTTTTCTTCTTGTCTTTAGTACCTGGACCCAGCGACGGAGATTGATTTCTATGCAAAGGAGCAATATGTGCGGTCATCAGTGTTGACCATGATGAATGCGATTTCAGCATGGAAACCGTTGAACCTGGACAAGGACGACCAGGATGCGATCGCGGAACCTATCGTGGCGCCGCCCCACTCACCCAAACCGTTGTCCAAAACGGCCGGTCCTGTAACCTCCTCGTCCTCTTCGTTGAAAGGAAAAGCGAAATCCGTGACAAAACTGACATCCAAACTGTCGATGCACTTCAAACAAAAGTCATCCGACAGTTCCAAAAGCGACAAAAGCAGCAAAGGTAGCGCCGATCTGAACCCCACCTCCCCCAAACAAGCCGACTCGGACGACGAAAACTTCGACACCCAATCCGTCGACTCGCTCAACAGCATCCCCGAACCCCCGGCCACAGTCACCCGCAACGGCTCCACCGAGCGCGTGCTGCAGCCTGATACCCTCCGCTCCGGCGTCCACGAAGACCTCGCGCTCATCATCTCCTCCCTCCGGCGCGCATCCCACGCCGCTGCCCTCACCCCCACATCCCCAACAGCGTCGACCGGATCCCTCCCCGCCGACGCCCCGCCGACGTCCCCAACCTCCCCCACCGGCAGCGCAACCAGCCTAAACCCAGCCGAACCCCCCCGCAGCGACGTCAACAAACGGCGCAAATTCTACCTCTCAAAAGAGAACCGCGAGCGCGTGACGTTCTCGCCCGAGTACGTGTACGCGTTTGAGAGCTTCAACCCGCATATGTGCTGGACGGATTTCACGGCCAAGATTCCCGGGTTCAATATTGATGTCAAGAAGTACTTTCCGATTAAGAGGATGGTGAGGGTGCGGATGTGCTCGAAGGATGGAAAGAAGACGTATTTGGCGATGCATTTTGAGCTGGTTGATGAGGAGTAGATGGATGGAAGGGGGAGGTGTCTGAATGACGAGATACTTATGGGCCGGACTATGGGGAGGACATATGAGCGGGCTGAGGATATCATGACTTGACGGCCCGGCAACTGTAACTTTGTTTAACATGCCCTCTCGTTTTTGGACCTTTTCACTGTTTACTTTACACCCGTTTTCCGCGTGCATCTTTTTCCTGTAAGTAATGGTTCATCCAAACACTATGAGATCTTTCTCTACGATTGATCGATGCGTCTGTTTCTGTGGGGTGTGGGTGTGGTGGGGACAAGTGCATGACTTTCCACGGCGGAGTTCAAATCGCACAGCCAAAACCTGCCCTCTCCACCACGTTTCCCATCAGCCATCCGCCACCCTAGCGTCGGACCCCTTGACTAAGTTAGCTCAAGACTTTTCGTTCCCTTTCTGAGAACAAGATGAAGAGTAGACTCTTTGTGAATATTGCAGTCGGAGATTGTATGATCCGACCCTAAGTTGCTTGAGACCATGCTTCGCCAACGTGAACACCAAGATTGCCGGGGTGCGACATAGAGTTAATAAATCTCGATCTCACACGGAAGGCGACGTCACTTATCGGTTACAAAATGGCATCACTAACCGATAAGTGACGTCGCTTTCCGTGTGATATCGAGAGAAGAATTGAGTTTCTGCCATTCTGATACACTTCGCAAGGGACTCGAATACCAATTGTAAATCGGCTAACACGCTTGCGTCCTCCGTCTGAAGGCAAAATGCGATTGCCTTATCCCAATCAGCGGCTGCAGGAGATTGAGGTCTGGCGCCTGTAAACCATTCGTGCACTCGGTCCAGCCCATTCTTGACTTGGAACAACGACAGTGCTTGCAATGCCGGAGAAGCGAGGCTGACGAGTACGCTGATCAGGGCAAATGGTCCATCATCCAGAGATGCCAGTGAACGGACTTGAGCCACATTGACGTCCATTAACCTCTGTACATCGAGCGGACCTTTCAGAGGTATGACGTTCGGGAGCACGTCGATTCTATCCTGCTCAAGCATCAGAACCCGCCATGACGCAGGACTACGATATTTTAGCATTATTTCGACTCAAATGGAGTTCTTTACTTACTGGAGGAACGGGTCTGGTCCTTGTTTCGCACGCTCGATGATGTAAATGATGCTTGTTCCAACACCTGACTCAACCTCATCTAAGCTCAAGTGCTCCTGCAACAGATGCTGCTGCTCTGCAAGTTCGTCGTCTGCACGGAATGAGACTGGTCCTTGTTTCACACACTCATCTTTCGTTTTGCCTGATTCGTCTGTGTGATAAGCCGGCGGTCGGTCCTTGTAGATTGCCGAGTACTAGTTGCAACACGATTTAATCATTAGCGCGGTAGTGCGGGTGGAAATATTCATTGACTGACTCACCTGGAGGCTTAAGATCCATCCTCGTCATTGCAAGAACCGACGCAGTTGGCGGTAAAATGTCGCTATATGAAGATGTTATACATTATTGTCAAGGAATTGTCATGTAGCCCTGGGTTTTCTCTGCCCACTCACAGTTTGCCCTGACGTTCTCATCCGGATGCCCGGCCGGAAGTCGTTGGACAATGTCCACAAACAAATCGTATATTATTGTATCACGGTTAATCCCGTTTACAGGCGGCGGGAGGGGAGGAGGGAACACTACTCCAACCCTTCCATGTTTGGTTTTTTGACCCATCAGAACCCATCAAATGGCCGCCTCTACGCCATTCAACGGGAACGCGTCGAAGCTCTGAATTTTGAAGGCGAGACTCATCGAGTCGCATGGAGGATCGCCACTCAGCAGCAACCGGCAGGCCACCGGCGCAAGTAACGGGACAAAGGTGCGGGCTGTGCGAACAGCTTGCTGGGCCGCCGCTCAATCGCATATTGGCGACTCCCGCTTTTGCTAGATGCGCTTCCTCCACTCTTGCTTCCCATTCGCCTTCCCCAACACGCACCTTCCGTCCACAGCCACCGTCTCTCCACTTAAGCCACCCTCAGAACCCGTTCCAATCACAAAAACAGCAGTAATGTCAACCACCGCTTCCTCCCGTCCAGTCGACATGCTCATCCTCGGCATGGGCTGGTCCGGCACCTACGTGGCGACCCTCCTCACCTCTCTCGACATTTCGTTTGAGGCTACTACGACAACGGGACGCGATGGGACGCTAAAATTTGAATATGACCCGGACTCAACTGACCCGACGCCGTTTGAACAGCTGCCGGATGCGAAGACTGTGCTTGTTACGTTTCCGTTGAGGTGAGGGTTCGGGCGAGGCCGAGCGGAGCGATGGCGAGATTGCTTGAGGACTGCGGCGTAGGCCGAGAAATGATTGAGGGTTCCGAGCGAAGCAAGGAAAACGCTTGAGGAGCGGGCCGGGAATGATTAAGGGTTCAGAGCAAAGCAAAGGAAGTCCTTGAGGAGTGGGCGGCAGGCGGAAGGCTGCTTTTTACACCCGAGCCCGACATGCTCGTCGCAAGTGGAGCGAGCAGCATGTCGTTTTATCCTTGATCAAACAGGTTGATGGGTTGATGATCATTTAGGGGGAAGCAGTCCGCTCTCAATCTGGCAGATCTGTATGAGCAGACCCATGCAAGTACCGCAGTGACGCAGCAATATATCCTGCTAGGCTCGACGAGGCCTTACAGCACGACCGCAGGCGACGCAGGCGACGTCTGGGTAGATCGCAACAGCAACCCGGACCTGACTATCGACGCCCCGCGGCAGGAGGCCGAGGCCGCTCTCCTTGCTCGTGGAGGCCGCGGCGGGCGTGGGAGTGGGTGCGTCCTAAACCTCGCGGGTCTATATGGCGGCACCCGGGACCCGCGCAACTGGGTCCCCCGCGTTGCCCCCGATCTCCCCGCCTTACGTGGAAAGGGCTCCCTGCATGTGATCCACGGGGAAGACGTGGCGCAAGCGGTGCTGGCAGTGTCTCGCGATTTTACGCCGGGAGAAAGGTGGTTGGTGACGGATACGAGGGTGTATTGCTGGTGGGATTTGGCCGCGGCGTGGGGTGACCGCGATGAAGCCCGTTGGGTGTTGCGGTTGATGGAGGAGGCGGGTGTACGGGGGCTGCCGAGGCCGGTTGAGATGCTTGGTCGCGCTGTCGATTCCACTGCTTTCTGGAGGAGGTTCGGAGTGGTCCCGCTCAGGCCGTCGCTGAAACCGTAAGGAAGTATCACTGGGCGTAGTTAAGGATGTGGCGTATGGGTCTGGTCGAACTGCCTTTTGAAGCACACATTCTTTTTGGCGAATTGAATTCTTCGCATGAACAAATCATTATGCCCTCCGCACCTCTAAACAATGGGCGTCGATAACTTACGACCTCGGAGCGACCAAAACTGTTCACCAAGTCAGACTCAGAGTTAACCGATCGCAACCTTGCGGCGTGCTACATCTTCGCGCATCGGCGCGCACCTCGGGCTGCGAACCCAGTCCCAAACACAAAGATGTCCACGTTGATGGCGAAGAGGATGCCAGAGAAAGAGTGTCCACCAGGACAAGCCTGGTCGGACAAACACGGTATCTCCGTCGGCTCCTCATCCTTAACGCACGCAGGGACGTCCACAGTCAACGTGCACACACACCCAGCAGGACAAGGTCCAGGAACAAACACGTCCGGGGAGCAGAAGCAACGAGTACGGGTCCTCGCTTGCCGGCCCGCAGCTATATCGCGTGCCGAGTCGAAGTCCCACAACATTCGATCTATTTCGCATCTAACGGTACCCTAACTGCATCTAACGGTTGTAACCAGCGTGTGGGAAACGCGTTCATGCTCACGTGATCTGAGCGGGTCGCCTGCGGGTCCTGTCAAATCGCGGCGAATGAGGGCGGCGGGTTCACAAACTTAAACGGCGTGCCGCTGGATCTGGGAGCCGCTGGGCCGCTGGTGCCGCCGGTCATATATATATCAATATATGGAGCTTGGCGAGATCCCTTCCCTGCTTTGCAGCCAAGGCAAGAACGGAGGAGCCCCACCGCCCATGGACCCCACACTCTCTCTCGAGGTCATATGCGACATCGCAGCTTACTTGCAGCAACCCGACCTCATCAAGCTCGCCCGCGCATGTAGAAAATGGCACGACGCGCTCATCAAGCGAGCATATCGCAACGTGGTGCTTAATTCGACCCGATCCCGTCAGCACAAAAACATTAAAGCATTCCACCGAACACTTCGTGCCCATCCAGACCGAGCCCAGTGGGTGGAACGCTTGGAACTGCACGCCTTGTGGGATTGGAACCGTAACGGCATCTTCGTGACTTCTCCGTTGTGCAAGGTTTTGAACCTGTGCTTGTCGGCGAAAGAGATAGACTTCTCCTTGACGGTGGACGACTTTGTCAACACCTTCGCTCTCAAGAATCACACTCTTCGCCTTGGGGCGTCCCGCGTTTTCGAAGAAGGGACACAGCACTACCGGGAGCAAGTCCTCCGCGCCGTTCTGCCAGAACTCCCAAAACACCATCCCGAGATAACCGAACTGAGACTCGCGAATATGGGCCTAAGCTTCGGCGACGTGAGCGACAAAGCTACCCACTTTCCGAACGTGACGGACCTCTGGCTGGCCAATGCGACGTTGAACCTGACCGCCCTCTGGCTGACCAATGGGACGTTGTCCATGAGCGGAGCGGGGCGAGGCTACTATCACGCCTTCCCAAATTTGAAGCAAGTGATGGAGAGCGACAAGAGAGACAATGGAAACACCAATGAGCCGCCGAAAACCTTCCGAGTGTACGGAATCGACCAATGGATATCTATTCATGAATGAATTCGCGCGCACCTCGGAGTAACGGATTAAAGTAGCGTCGACTGCATCCAAGATCAGTAGGGAGAGTGGGCGATCGGCTCCCACAATTCACGTCCGAAACGCATTCCTAACAACTGCTCAGGAGGAACGCATCTACCGAGTCCGTACAGACCGAACAGCATCTCTCACGAAATGCTCATAGACTAGATAGATGCGAACAATGCAGCGGACTTAGCATATGTAGAGACACCGCTTCATTGCGGGAAGAAATCGTTGAAGGGTCGACTATGGGCAAAGACGAAATGGCAGTGCTACTCGGCGTATAGTATAGTTTGGCCGTATTCTGGGCGCCAAAACACTAGCGGCGTTTGGCTCCCACAGATGCAGATAGCCCTTTTCGCAACGCCCTAGACTAATCTGAACTACAGTAGTCATCTTATCTATCTCCACTATTCAATTCATCTACCTCCCCTTTCGTTCGTCAGAGCTCCGAGATACCACGGGAGGTAATCTGCTTCATTGGCCAACGCGGCGCAAAGAGGAAGAGAAATTTGGAGAAGCCTAACATCGTCGCACACTGATGTTGACCAGAAGGAATGGCCGCAGGAAAGACATACGAAGGAGTTTTTTTTGTTTGATTTTGCCTCCTGTCCTTCGGTGTGTGACATAGAATGACGCTATTCTTGTCGTAATACCAAGTTCTCTACGTATCCTCCATGTTTTGGCAGAAGAGCGACAGGAGTCTCTGTTCCTGCAGGAGAGCGACAGGGGAGTAGCAAGGGTACCGATCTCGTGAGTGTTGAATGGACCGCTTTTCCGCAGGAGAGCGACAGGGATGGATATTCTATCTCCTGCAGGAGAGGGCAAGGAGGACAAGCTACCCTTTCCCGAATACTTTTCGGACGATAACGCGTCGGAGAAACTGACGGCAAGGGCTTATGTCAGCGCGACGCGTATTCGAACGCGACGCTCAGCTTCACTGGAATGGCGTTGGGAAAACTTGCGGGGATTGCAACCGCTTCCCGCTGCTGCTGAACAGGCTGCTGTGTATTGAATTTCAGACCTGCGCAGGTACATATGCAGTATAATTGTCCGGTGAAGCGTTATGGAAACATGTTCGGGATAGAACTCGTGAGGCTAATTTTCCTAGGGGATCCTGATGGGTTATCAAGTCAGGTTCTTGCGCAAGTCCGAAGGTATATTTACGGTGCCGGAGTCTAAAGCTTGATGGACAGGATGCTCATTTTTCTATAGCGTGGTGTTCGTTTCCTAGCACTACATATTGCCGGATGAATCGCATAATATCGGACGAGTAGAGTCTGTTGATATGAAACTTCATTATTGCGGCACTATGCATAACACGCACATTATATCCATCATCCCCTTCTCAAGCTGAAGTCGAAGCTCCGCTTCTCTCTCAAGCTGAACAAGCTGAAGATGATTCCCCCCTCCCCTCCCCCCCGAGAAAAAGAAGCAGGCCCGAAACAACTGTCAACATAGGATCGAAATCAACGATTAGCTCATTATCTTCGCATCCGGGAAGTGATTTCCGCCTCTCAGTTCAAGAAGATCACCAGAGGACGGGCATCCTTGCGAAGGGGTTACGGGACGCTAAAGGCGATAGACCTGGGGTGGTTCCGGGAGACCAAACATACGTACGGTGTCCCGCAAACACCTCAGGTCTAGCACTCTTCGGGACGATCTTGTGCATTGACCTCTCACCACCGCATACGGGTTGTCATTTATGTTCAGCAACGGCCCCACGACAGTCCCCGACACATCCAATATGAAGAGACTCCATCCCAAGTTGCAAAGTTGCAAACGCGTCCCCGTCGCGTTCATGCTCACGTAGCGATTAGTCTCGTTGGGCAGTCACGTGACTCTCGATTAGTCTCGCTGGGGGACGCCGGTGGTCCCTCACATTGGGAACAGCCTCGCGTTCCCCGGCTTTCTCACCCTTTCCGTCGAACAGTATAGCAAAGATGGTACGTATTCGGACGACGACACAATACACCCGCCAGGCGCAGAGGGAACGTATGCTCGACACGGGACGAAACGAACGACATGCTGCGATCGGAACGGATGGATGGATGGATGGATGGATGGATGGTGCGAGCGGTGGATTGATGGACGAAGTGGGTTGGAATGGAAGCAGACGATTTTCCGGCACAGCACGTAACGGCGACGAGGGGGATTTAGGGAGCATCGGCGAGACTCGGCAGACAGTGCTAAGAGCGTCTTGGAAGCACTATCACCACAATTCGAAGTTGCGATTTTATTCCACATTCCGACCGGGGCTAGGAATAGAGAAGTGTGGCATACGAAGCGGATCGGTCATAGAGGGAACTAGACGTTGAGGCGGTGGCGACGGAAGCGGACTTGTGGACTCCGAGGAACGTGGGAATGCATGGACGAGATTCTGATCCGAGTTACCCTCTTTGTGCCAATTAGGCCGACGAATTTGACCAGGAGTCTGCTGCGGACATCAAGAAGAAGAGGACTTTCCGCAAGTTCACCTTCAGGGGCGTTGACCTCGACCAGCTTCTCGACCTCTCCAGCGAGCAGGTACGTTACGAATTGCCAATTTCAGAAAGTTTCGGGATGGCAGGGGAGATTTCGCAGAAGCTGAAGTGCTAATGTTCTATCGTTTCGCATAGCTTATGGACATCGTCCATGCCCGTGCTCGCAGAAGGTTCCAGCGCGGTCTTAAGCGCAAGCCTATGGGCTTGATCAAGAAGCTCCGCAAGGCCAAGAAGGAAGCCCCCGCCGGCGAGAAGCCCGACGTTGTCAAGACCCACCTCCGTGACATGATCATTGTCCCCGAGATGATTGGCTCCGTCGTTGGTGTCTACAACGGAAAGACCTTCAACCAGGTTGAGATCAAGCCCGAGATGATTGGACACTACCTCGGCGAGTTCTCTATCTCATACAAGCCCGTCAAGCACGGTCGTCCTGGTATTGGTGCTACCCACAGTTCTCGGTATGTATTTTTTTATTCCAGATGCCACTTCTAATACTTGATACTCATCTCGTTCCCTTCCTTCTTTCTTTCAACCAGTTTCGTTCCCCTCAAGTAAAAACTGGGAAAACGGACGAGCGACTTGCCCTTATTGTATATGTTACTTTTTGTGCGGTAGTAATCAACAAACACACACGAATCCATCATCTCCAATTTTGCCCACGAGGGGCGATCTAGGTAATCTGCCCACGAGGGACGCTCTGGGTAATCTGCAGCCGCGCTGGATATACAGATCATTTGTCTTTGGAGCCCGGAAGGGATATGGCGGATGGTATTGACCTTGCATTCGGAGGGAAAGCGGTTATTGAAGCAAGCGACGGCACGGACAGCTTTGGAAGGGACACTTGAGCTTTGACCAAAATGATGGACATCTTGGAAAACGTGTCGTTTTCTGTGTCATCCGGGGGGTAACCATTCTATCACTGCTAGCGGGCCCTCTTGCCCGACGCGGATGGAAGCTCCGTCGTCCTTCTAGAGTGTCGCCCTCCGTGTATCCCTAACCCCCATTCTGCATGCATCGTTCCGTAAAGGTGTTACCGGACAGAATTGGGGATAGGTAGGCCCGGCATGAATTTTCCCATCTGGGGGTGCAAGCTTCAGACTTCAACGTAAGGCCTCATCAGAGTGGTCGAGCAGGGGGATGGCTAGAAGTGGGTAACTCGTGCTAAATGTGAGTAACTCGGGTTAGGGTCAGACTAGTTAGACAGTTACCGGGCGGAGCGTGGTAGTAAGGCCGACTCACCGAAGGCAAAGGGGTTAGGTTTGTTAATCAAATGGTTCACTTTGGCTGTAAAAAGTCTTATTCTTGAGGTGGGCTTACCACATTTAGCACGAGTTACCCATTCCGGTCCAGCAGTGAGTACTACTTACGTCATGTCCAGTCCACTTCCAATCCGCGTCGCTCAAGTATAAAAACCCAGCAAACGTCAAAACGACGCACTCCAACTCCACCCAACGCAGAGCCAATCTAGTCTCACCTTACATACACATTCGTCCCCATAGAACCCACCACCACCCCACACTCCATCCACCCTTACCATGTCCCGCCTTCTCCTCCGCCCCGTTACAATCCCCCTCCGCCATCTCTCCACCACGCGCCCCCTGCTCGCCGCCGTAACGCCCACCCCACCCAAACCGACCCCCCCACCCCCCGCCGACAAACCACAAGACGAGTCCTGGATCTACAGCAAGGAGAAGGACCCGATGGCGAACATGTCTGAGGAGGAGAAGGATGAGATTCGGCGGGATGTGAGGAGGGAGAGTGCGAGGGCTTTCAGTGTGGGGTATGCGATTTTGGGTGGAGGGGTTTTGGCTGTGGTAGGTTTTTCTGAGCGCGGGTTTGTAGGGAGGGTGTGGGATGGTGTGCCGTATGAGGGCAGGAGGAGTATTTACTTACAATTCCGTTTTGTTTCCTTTCAACTACAGGGCGCGGCAACGTGGTTCAGCCTCGCCGACAAGAGACGCTAGACGTATGCATCGCGAACCATACGGCGCAATTGCACCCAAAACCCACATTCATCACCATCGGCGAAGAACAAAAGGGTGGATCTCACAAAGCGGTCCCCTACAACTTCCGTGATGGAGTATTTCGGATGAGAACGAATCTTAACCGTAGCGTCCCTTCGGTCGCTTTCCCCACCATGTAAATAGCTGAGGCGATTTGAAGGATTTATCAGATGTACATGTCTCTTGACGCACCATTGTGGGCGAACTTGAATGGTTTTCGGGCTGTGATCGCCTTTGCAAGAGGGAGGGACGGAGAGTGATCCTGGATTGTCCACCGGGACACGTAGATGTGGAAGAAGCGGCAGCAATTCCGGCACCCCCAATCCCCATGCCAATCTGGCAAGCATCCTTGGCTACACGCGACCACGACAACGATGTCGAATGCGGTTGACTCCCTTTCCAGGCTTTCCCAAAACGACCACGACCGACAGTCCGCTGCATCCCAATCACGACCAGCAGTCCCTCCCCTCCCCATCCCCACTCCACACCAAATGCCACAATCCCCGCATCGCCTCACACAGCAATGTGTCAAATAATAATTTGATGGAAAGAAACTGTGTACAAGGAAAAAAGGGCGACCATCCCGTTTGTTGAATTGATGCGTCGTGCGCTCACGATGGAAAGAAGAGCAGATGCCGAGACCGAGGTCCTCCATCCATCGAAACCACCACCACCACCCCACACCGAGCGTTCTTTCCGGAGCCCTCCCACCGTGACATGACAGGTATTGAAGTTGAGGACCAAGTGAATAGCTGTGAAGGAGAGGGAAGTGAGTAAGGAAAGACAAGTGACCTCTAGGGGAAATCAGAGGTCAAGAAGTGGGTTGGATATCGAGACGTACCTTACTTGGAGGCCGCAACCTTGGCCTTCTTGGTTCCACGGAACTTCTTTGCCCTGTTCTTGCGCTCCTTCCTTTGCTTGCGAGCAGTCTTCTGCGTCTCGGCAAGACCGTCCTACAATGACCCCACCAAAAACCGTCAGCAGCCAATCTCGTCTGCAAATCCCCACTCTCGCCCCGTCTATCGTGCCGCTGGCCATTCCGAAAGCGGGTGGTACATACCCGCGCAAGCCTGTGCTTGGGCTCGAACTTCTTGGCGGCGTCCAAGGAGTTGTAGATGAGGGCGAAACCAGTCGACTTGCCTCCACCGAACTGGGTGCGGAAACCGAAGACGAAGATGCTCTACAAGAGAAATAATCATCATAGTCAACACCCCCAATCCTCGAGTTATGCAATTCCATTTCCAAAATGCTAACCTCCTGCTCAGCCTTGTACAGCTTGGCAAGCTTCTCGCGAAGCTCCTTCTTGCTGACGTTAGCGCGGCCCGGGTGGAGGACGTCCACGAGCATCTGCTTACGCTGCAGGAGCGGGTTCGTCAAGAACTTGCGGGTACGGATCGTGACGCTGTCGGCCTGCAATTTGGTGGGAAATGGGAGTCAGCGAATTTGTCCTGCATGGGTTGCGCTCTGCCCAAGCCCAGTACGGCTGTTGCTGCTGCTCCGCTGGGGTGTCCCTCAGGCCTGCCCTAGTTATCCAAGCCGAAGGTACCGCCATGCCGATAAACCGTCCTCCCAGTGTGGACGAAATGCCGATTCCATTCCCCAAACACAGCCCACCAAAACGAGCCGTAGCGCAGTGTCGTCCCTCTGCCGGTCCCCTTCGTCCCTCCCCTTCGTCGTTTGTCATCGAGCATGGTCATCCCCCCCTCCTTCTCACATTCCCACACCCTCCCTCCCTTCAATCCATCCATCCATCCACCCCATCCATCCGTCCCCTCTGCCGTCGTCCCATCCATAACCCCTCACTCCTCGACGCTGTTCTCGGTGTACCGTCGTTTTGTTCGTACCATCTTGTCTATAGATGCTGATTATGCCGCGGTTTTGCGAGAGGGCTTTCTAAGACGTTATGCCGGGCGTATTGTGGTGATGGAGGCCGGGCAGCGCGCGCGGTTCACCACTAAGCCACATGCGTTATTGTGAGTCACCCCATGTTATGTGGCTGTTAGGAACAGCGACGAGCAGTGCCTAGACTGGGTCAAGCGGTGCGGGAACTCGCCCTCTTCCCTTGTTTCCGCTCTTCGCCGGAGAAGAAACGGCCCCACTCATACACTACACAATATGCAACACATGGATGAGAGATATAGACGGTCGTAACTTCGTATGTAAAGTGTACACAAAAAATGAGAGACCATCTCCATCCCTCCCCTACGCAAAACAGCTCTGCCACAGCTGTTCCATGCAAGGCAAACTTTACATCTCTTCAGACTATAGAGGTTCAGCGCTCCACTCGTTCTGCGTCCGCCACGTCATCGTGGGAAGCAAAGTTCCTCTCCTTGTCACATGAAGCGTGCGGTACAGAACAGCCAACAGAAGAACCCTTTGCTCTTCACTAACCTCTCTCTGCCTTTGATGCCCACTCTTTCTTCCCGATTCATTCCATTCATGTTTTTAACGTGTGGCGCGTTCAATGTAACAACGCGCAGAGCACACACGGGTTTTGTTTCCTCAGCTGTTTTGTTGCTTCTCTTGTTCTACGTCCATTCCACCAACCTGCTCCTCGTCATGCAATGCCCTACCACTACGCCCACACCCCTCAATCAAGGCGCCACGTACAGCGACTTGTCAATGACGGGCGGTATGGGTGCAATCTCCGTTCCAAGCTCCTGTTCAATTCGGTACAAGTTGAATCGATCCTCGTAAGTGATCAGGTTGATAGCGAGCCCGAGGTGTCCGAACCGTCCCGAACGACCGATACGGTGCAAGTACGTCTCAGCTGTCTTTGGGAAGTCAAAGTTGATGACGACGTTCACGGCCTGGATGTCGATACCGCGAGTGAGCAGGTCGGAGCAGACCAGGTGACGGGTCTTACCGTTGCGGAAGTCGTGGAAGACTCGGTTACGGTGGGATTGCAGCATTTTGGCGTGGATGTAGAAGCAGGAGTAGCCGAGTTCGGTGATCTTCTTGGCTAGTAGCTCGACTCGGCTGGTCGAGTTGCAGAAGATGATGGATTGATTGATTTGTAGCTGTTTTGCAGGGTGTGAGTATCAAACGATGCAACTCTTAGACATCAACATATTCGGATGTACCTTGGAGAAGAGGGTGTTGAGACAGTGGACCTTCTGTCGCTCCTCAACATACGCATAGTACTGCGTAACACCCCGGAGGGTCAGGTCGTCCATAAGATTGATCTCGTACGGCTTGTTCAAGAACTTGTCCTTGAAGGCCTTGACGATCATTGGGAATGTTGCGGAATAGAGGAGGATCTGACGGCCAGGTTTGCAGAAGCCGATAAGTTGCTCGATGATGGGCTGGAATTCCGGGGACAAAAGCTTGTCGGCTTCGTCCATGATAAAAAGGGTACAGTCGCTCAGGTCTGCGACACCTTTGCTCGCGAGGTCGAGAACACGTCCTGGCGTCGCGACAAGGATGTGGACTGGAGAATAAATGAGGAATGCTGGATCAGTATCATTCATGCACAACGGCGACATGCATATGTGGGACACGAACCTTGCTGGCCCAGACGTAGAATGTCATCTTTGAGAGTTGTGCCTCCGGTTGTCACCATGACCTGGACACCAAGGTGCTTGCCGAGAGTGCGACACACTTGTGATGTTTGCAGAGCCAACTCTCTGGTGGGGGTGAGGACAAGGGCTGTTTCAAGAATAGGGTTGGTCATCGGATGTCAACGCGTGCTGCAACAAGCACCAAACGCAATAGCGAACCAGTCTCTTACCTTGGATGCGATTCTTGGAAACATTGATCTTCTCGAGCATAGGGATGGTAAAAGCAGCGGTTTTCCCCGTGCCGTTCTTCGCTCTGGCAAGAATGTCTCGTCCAGCGAGAGCAATTGGAATCGACTCTTCTTGGATGGGAGATGGCTTTTCAAAACCGGCCTCGAAGATTCCCATCAACAACTCTCGCTTGAGGAAGTAGTCCTCAAAGTCGTTTCCTTTGGTGGCGGTGACATCTTCCGTTTGCGGCCGGGTGTCCTTGGGAGGTGCCTTCAGGTTCTTTTTCCACTCGTTGTTGTTGTTTGAGCTGGGAGTGAAGCATTTAGACACAGACTCAAATCCCTACTCCTAGCAACCGCTGCTCATGTAGTACCTAATATGCGTATTTTGCAATTGCATGGCAAGTCCATTAGCAGACATTGTGATGATGATGGATGCGATTTGAGGTCGGGTGACGGAGAGATATTTGCCTCGTGCGAGATGTTAAGGGACAAGAGGAGGAAGATTGACTTGTAGCTGCGTCAATCGTCTTCTACAGAAAGCGATGTGACTTCGTTTCCAAAAGTGTAGGATGCAGCGATGTTGGTGACAACTGCCGGGGTGGGACACGCGAGGTTGGGTATCCGTTTTTTCGAAGACAAACGACTACGAGTATAGGTGTGCGCGACGTAAGGCGCTCTCCTTTACCAAAAACTTAGCCAGTCTAATATGACCAGACAGATAGGGTGAGGTTGGCGACTGAGGTATTCTTGACGCGGGTGATATATATTTACACCAGGTTCAATTGGAACGGAATTTACAAGCCCACTGAGATTCGCGGCGAGTCGGAAGTGATCGCCGGATACTGGAACGTGTGGTTGCTGCTGTGTATTGACGTGGCTTCAGCGCCAGACTCGAGGCAGTATGGTAGAGTAGGTGTTTGTGGATGCCCACGGCGCGAGTGATCTGCACGTAAGATGTGTTGGTGAGCGAGATGCCGGCTTGCGTTTGTTGAGGATAGGGTTGCTAATAGTGAGCAATCTAAAGACCGGATGGTGAACGTTCGTAAAGAGTTAGCGACGGTGAGTTGTGGTGGGCGGAGCGAGCGTTTGACCACGGCAGTATTGTTGTTGTTTTGTTGTTGTGCGTGGGGAACCAATCTGGCGAAGAAAAGAAAGGGTGTTGGTTGGGGCACCTTGCCTGCGAGAGGCGGTTTCTCGCTACATAGGAGACGTATAAGAGCCAAGCCACCAGGCACTCACAGCTGGGTGGAAGCCACGTGATATGCATTTGATTCAACTCGGTTTAAAAAACCCTCGTATGTCTTTTCCTCCCTCCCTGATGTGAAAGAACTTTGGGTGGCTGTGCACTCCATTCATTTAGCAGTTGCGTCGCGCCGCCATCATAAGGCGACTCATTGTCCGAAGCTCGTCAGAAAGCTCAGCAGAAACAGCTCCTCAGAATTAAGCAACCCCACACGTACTGCACAGATCGGAAAAAACGGGCCGGCACGCACTATTCGGTATCCTCTAGTTGCCCGCAATGCCCAGGAAGGCCGCAGTGGTAAAGAACCGTATTGAGTCCAGCTCGACCGTCGAGTCGGACGCTACGCATGAACCTTCACTGGACGCTCAGGTGGACAATGGACACGAAGAGATTACACCGACTGGCCCCAGGCGGTCTGTGAGAGCTCGCGTGAGTAAGAGCTTATCGTCAGGCGCCTCACTCGGGAGCCCGGCTCCAAAACCAGCAGTTAAAGGTGTGTGTGTAAAGCTGCTTCTGGCGATCGGTACCCGCTTGAAAACCTCAATGGAGTGTTTTGTAGCTGCAGTTCCGAAGAAGGTTACAAACGCAGAAAACGGAGGCTCCTCTCTATCACTCTCTGGAAGCGATTCAGGCCTCTCCGAAGTGGAAGTTTCCGAAGACGATATTGTAGACTCGAGTGACGATGAGGTCGCAAAGCCAACATCCAAGTCTCGCAACACCAAAAGCAATGCAGCCACCCGTGCAAACACGCCAAAGCCTAAGAAACCTAGAGTGTCCAAAAAGAAAACAACGGCCGTTCCACCCGAGGGCTCGCTTTTCGACATTGTCTCGAATCATGAGGATGCCATTGAGGCGCAGATATCAGATTGGATCGCTGACTACAACGAGAATAAAGTAACGGCAATGGTTGAATTGATCAATTTCTTGATCGAGGTAAGTGTGATGAAGGTTCGCTTTAGCTACTGTTGAGCGATTGCTAAATACGTGTCCGTTTGCAGTCATGTGGATGCTCTGGACGCGTAGATGCATCGGTTTTCGAGGACCAGGATAGCATTACCGAGCGGCTTACGGAGTTGCAGGAGCAAATCGAGGCTGTGAGTTATTGTGAGCGAGCGGCTTTCAGGCGTATGCTGTCTCTCACTCAACGTGAATCACTTCACAGCAACCACATTCCGAATATCCGATTGTGGCGAAAGGACGTGGACGGGGAGGGAACAAGTTCCGCAAGCATTTTGGCGACTTCTGGTCCAAATGGATAAGCCGGCTGAAGCACAACTTTTTGTTTGGAGACGATGGATGGTGCTTCGAGACGGTCGTCGTATGGCTAGTTGCCATGAGCTCGTCGGTGTTCAGACCATTCCGACACACGGCGACTGCCACCGCCTTAGTGTTACTGACGGGCTTGTGCGACATCGGGAAGCAGATACTGGACGAGTTGACGGTAGCGAAAAGACAGTTGGCTGCGGAGACAAAGACCGCGAAATCGAGGGTTACCCCGAAGCAACAGCAATTGGATGGCAGGGTGCAGACGCTGCACGACAAGAAAGTGAAGGTGGAGACCTTCATGGACGATCTTTTCGACAGGTGCGAGGGAGCTGTCAAGAACGGAAGTTTGAAAATCACTCAAGTTCACATTCATATCCTTCGTCCTGTAGTGTGTTTGTGCACAGATATAGGGACAGCGAAGCGATTATTCGGATGGAATGCATCCGAGAACTTGGCTCCTGGATATTGCACTTGCCAGAAACGTATCTGAGCCCTCAGTACCTCCGTTATCTTGGCTGGATGTTGTCAGACAAGGTGGGTAAAATAGTGGCATATGGTGGAAATGGCAATGCCTGACCAAGAGACGGCTGTAGAATGGGCAAGTACGCCTCGAGGCGCTGAGCTCCCTATCCCGACTCTACGCAGTGGAATCCATGGTCTCGGGTCTCCGCGAGTTCACCGAACGCTTCAAGCCCAGAATCATGCAAATGGCCATCCGCGAAGCCGATCTACAAGTGCGCTCTCAAGCGGTGCATTGCGTCACGTTCATCTCCCAGTCCGGATTCTTGGAAGACGACGACACCCGTTCCCTGATGCCCTTGATATTCGACGAAGATGCCAAGATCCGCGTTGGATTGTCAAAGCTGGTTCAAGAGATTTACACTGAGGAGTACTTGCAGGCCAAGAAAGATGAGCTGCGGACTCTGGGGGACAATGCCGTGCCTATCGGCGCGCAGGACAAATGGGTCGAGATCAAAGCGCTTTGCAGCATGTTTGTCGAGTTTGGGGAGATGCTGGCGGAAAATGAGAAGGAAGTCCAAAAACAGCAATCGCCGGGTGCCGCTTCAGCAACGCAGACCCAGTCACAGAGCTTAGTTTATGCCACGGAATCCCAGCAGCTAATGAGCCAGGAGGGCGACGACGATGACTTGACTGAGGAGGAATTGGAAGAGCGAGCCCAGCGGCTAGCAGACCTGAAAGGGTTCCTTCAATGGGTCTGCAAGGACGACACCGGCAGCGCCGCTGGACCCGACGCTATCGGGTATAAGAAAGTGGAAGCGGCCGTTGCGGCTCTGTGGAACCATATTGACGTGGTGCAGGATTGGCAGGGGATGTGCGAATACCTTTCTCACGATCTCACCAAAGGCACTGGCGATACGCAATCACAGAACTTGGATTCAACGCAACACCCATTGCAGCTCACCGATAACGAGGAGACGTGTCTCGTGTACCTCATCAACGCCGTCATTTCGCGATTCCTCCAAATCCATGCCGACGAAGCCGCTACCGGGACGAAGAAGAAGGCAGCCGGGGACAAAGAGGACTCGAGGAGTGAAGTCAGCCGCGGGTTAATCAAGCATTTGCCCAATATGATAAACAAGTATGGGTTTGATTACACGAGTGGCGGGCAGAAGCGGGCTGCTGAGATTGCGATCCTGGTGCGACATGTGGATGTGGGATTGTACCTTGAGATGCGGATGCTAAAGGTATGTTGACCCGCAAGTCGGCTGGCTTGGTTAGGCGGAGTGGCTGACACGTGCGTTTTGGTTCTGTAGGCGTACGACAGCATGTTTGATAGCGTCAAGAAGTTGTTCATGAAGCAGTTCAGCAGGGAAGTCCTGACCGAATGCGCGCAGACCCTCCGACATCTTTCCGGTGAAGGTAGCGGGGATGGACTGGACACGAACGGCAGCAGCGTCCTGCAAAACGGAACCGATGACGCGGCTGCCGCTAGCGTCCGCAACTCTGCTACACAGAAGGTCGAAGAGCTGGCAGAAGACGTCATCAACAACCAACTCGCCGAGGCCCTCCGGACCCTTGAAACCGCCATGAGCGACCAGGTCGAGGTCGGCATGGACACTCTCTACTCCCTCCGCAACTCCCTCCGCCGCGCTTCCCAGCTCTCGAAAGTGATGGGGCTAGGCGGCATGACGAAGTTGTTTGAAGCCAAGAACGATTCGGAATGGCGGGGTCTGTTTGACTTGCTGCATGCTGTGCTCAACGTCTGCCTGGCTGCTGCGACCAAGCAGCCGATGGTGGATAAGACCGCGGAGGATGGGGAGAATCTTAACCTGGTTTTGGACGATATCCTTGAAACCGCTCTCAATGTCATGTGCTACGATGTTGGGTGGGAGTTGCGGGAGGCGTTCAGCAAAGCTGTCGCTGCCACGGATGAGGATGGAGACCAGGAGGAAACGGATAAAGCTATTCCACCCGTCGAGCCCGGCCTGGCAAAGGATCTCCTCTGCGGCCACGAAGAGAAAAGCAGCAAACTCCTCCCGCTCGCGGAAGCCATCGTCGCCGGCAGTGAGGAAATGATCAACTTCAGCATCGGCGTCCGCTTAACCGCGTTCCAGGTCCTCACCTACATGTACCGCATGGTGAACGGCGACGCCGCGTTTGCCTTCCCGCAGATCCGTAAACTACCCCCGGACGACGTTCAAGCCGCTTCGGTCGCGTTGATTGGCGGTGTTGCGGATGCGTTGTGCAGGGATGCGCGTGCTTTGTACCTCAACGACGTGAACGCAAAGGAGGCAGGGTTTCCGGTCCTCAACGAGGTGCAGAAGGAAACCGCCCGTTTTGAAATGTCCCGATTCGCCGCTGCGTTGTCGGAGCTGCTGTTGATGGGCTCGTATGACCCGCAGCATGCAGTGGTGCTCTGCAAGTACTATGGCCTGGAAGATTCGGACGCGCAGTTGGCGGCCATGCAGCCGTTTGGGACGCTTTGGAATGGGGTGACTGATGTGTGCTTGAAGCATTTGTTGGTGGATCAGATGGCAGATGCTGTGGGGGAGGTTTTGGAGAAGGGGGAGGAGTCGAAGCAGGGGAGGTTGAAGAAGTTTAGGGCGACTGTTAGGGGTATGGCTGATGTTGTTTTCGACGGGCTTGTTCAGGTACGTTTTTGCTTCGTTCAAGAAGTGGTTGAACAGTGTGCTGATCCAATCTCTCGCCGCATAGGCGACGGATCTCTACCTCCGCTCGATCGTCGCTACACCCGACAACGCCCTCACCCTCGCCAAAGTCCTCATCACGCACCTCAAAACCTGGCTCTCCACCGTCAAAAGCACCGCCGATCTCAAAACCACCCATGGCATCGTAGTCGAGACCCTCCTGGGCCTTCTCAAACGCGGCGGCGACGAAATGATTCTCCGCGTGCAGGAATGGGGTGTTGTCCATGAAGGCGTCGAAAGGGACGACATGGACTTTGTGAGGCCAAGGGATGTTAGGGCAGAGTTGGGAAAGGTTAATGAGGCGTGGAAGGTTTGGGGCGCCATTGGGGGGGCTGTGCAGCAGATTGTGCTCGAGTTGGGGATGTTGAAGCGGCCGAAGGCGGATAAGGATGAGGAGACTATTGATAATGTTGAGGATGTGTAAGTTGATCTTTTCCGTTTCCATTTGTTTCCCTCTTCTGTGTCGGTTACTAATGAGCATGGTTTTGAACTTTCACAGCGTCGGTCATATCTCGTCCAGCCTCCTGGAGAAAGGGTTCAAACCTGTTGAGACGGATAAGGAATGGGCTGGGTACTGGACGTTTGTGAAGGCCTTGGAAAAAGGTGACTCCACTGTGCGCCGGCGAGGTCGCAAAGCCAAGGTTGTTGCGAGTAGAGGTGAGTTCTCGTTTGCAAAGGCCTTTGGCGCCGAGTGGAAGGCTGATTTTCGCCTGGTCCGCTATAGACAACTCCCCAGCGCGAAAGGCAAAAGGCAAACGTGGCCGACCCGCCGCGAAGAAGAAAACTGTCAAGCAAGCTGCGCAGGACGATGAAGACACCGAAACAGGCACACGCCCAAATAAGAAGGCCAAACGTGGCCGACCCTCCGCCAAGAAACTGACCAAACAAAAAGACAATGAAGAAGACGACGAAGACGACGCGGGTACACCGGCAAGAGCTCCACAACGTCGTTCTGCACGGGCCTCTGTGAGTGCCAAGAAGAACTACAGGGAAGCGGAGGACGAGGAAGCGGAGGAGGAAGAAGTGCTCGAGGCCTCCGGGTCCGAGCCTGCAGATGGAGGCGGCGCGTTGGCGGGAGGGTTGGATGTAACGTTGGACACATCGGATATTTTCAAAGGGATGCCGAACGCCATGTCAACGCCTTTGTCGACGTATAAGCATCGACACAATCCCAACTCTGCCCGGTCGGTCGGAAGCCGTCTCTCGTCGGTACACGTTCAGGATGATATCGACGATGAGGAGGAGGAGGATGATGAGCCGACGCCGAAAGCCAAGCCTGTGAAGACTGGAAAGGCCGCCGGACCGAAAGCGAAAAAACCTCCACCCCCACCACCATCCGATGACGACATCTCAGACGAAGATTCCGCAGACCCCACCACCGACGGGAAGCAGACCGAGAACCGCGCATTCCGTCCAGTCGCTGCAGCACGCGTACCCGCCAAACGGACACGCAGCGACACGCAAACACCTCCACCGCGGAACCGTCGCGGCGCGGCAGGCGTGGATACGGGAAGTTCAGGCGATAAGGAGAACACGAATGGGGACGAGTCGGAAACCGGGTTCGTTAGCTCGCCGGAGATCAGGGGGCCCAAGAAGAGGATCCGCATTTGAAACTTGCAAGCGAGGATGGGGTTCCATATTGTGTATCGTATGGTGGCTTTACGCTACCCTTGCTGCTTTTGTGAATATTGTGTTTTGAACACAGTATGGTATCCTTTTTTCTTCGCTGGTTTTGGCCTCGTTGGGGCTTTGCTCTACGTACCACTTTGTATCATATCATTTTTCGAGTTTGCTCTGGCAAACTCAATCCAATAGACTGCTTTTCCGTTTGCCTTTCAATGGGGGTCATCCAGAACGCGCTCGGAACGTCAGAGGACTCAGAACTTAGAAGCTAGAAACATTGTGCTTTGGCAAATCGCAAGTTTCTGACGCCATCGCCATAGGATGCAAGTGGAAGCATTATGCGGAGTCGACAACTCCTTCGAGAACGACGAATATTCTCGTACTCGCTTTCCTATGACACGGGGAATATACATAACAACACATTTTGTGCTGTCCTCTACTGACATCCGAGGCATTATGACTGTCTGACGCCTCTTGTTCGGTGTCCAGCGGTGCCTTAAGCTGTTAGTAGGGACCCTTTCCAGCGTGAACCTACCACTTCTAACGCTGACACTTTCTACTAGTCCGACGATGTCCGACGATGCCACAGACACTGCACTTGGAGGGGACCCTTCTTGGTTTCTTAGCTACGGGTTCCCCTCCGAAGGGTCTTTGCAAGTAAGCAGTTGAGAGCGGCGGAGCAAGCGGTGCAACCGTTGGACCGGTAGCGATGCTCGTTAGCCCCATGGTGTACATCTCACTCATACTTACAGGCGATCCGTGCACGGGGCTACCACCAAGCAGAACGTTTTGTCGGTACATCTGAACAGAAGGAGTACAAACGGAAGGTGAGAAAGGAAAGACCAAAAAAAACTAAACATACTGGTCTGGTGCTCAGAAGGGGGTTCTGCGTGGGAAGGCAATGTTCGTGACATGCACTTACAATTCTTGTAACGTCTTCACCGGAGCGTAATTCTTATGCAGGCAGATCACCGCCGCTAGGGGGCTGCCAGGGAGTGTCTCATCACATCGGTTCACATTCCAGGAAAGGAACGTCCCTTCCTTACTCCCGCATCTGCCCAGTAGTTGTTCGGTGGGCTCGCTTGCGTTTCCTGAACAGCGTACAAATGCGATGCCTTCTCCCGTCGGACACCGGGATCGTAGCCGCCCACCCATCTCCTAGAGGTTGCGTTCCAAGTGTGAGGTGGAGGTAGAGAATTCGAAGTCATGTGCCACCTCCAGTCCTTTGCTGCCGAGTAGTATATCAGGCCACTTCGTTCCTTCTAGACGTCGATGTATGAGGGCTGAATGTTCCTCCAGATAATTGCCCATGGACTTGGTCGCCTCGAAACGCCAGAGGCTGAACGGCATACAAAGAGTAACACAGCTCATCGATGAGCAAAACCACCCACCGTCTTTGAGCATGGAGAACACCGAAGTCCTTGCCGAGCAAGTTCTGCATTCCAGATGTCCCGTGTTAGATGTCGAATAACCGTGTCTAACCCAAGCATAAAATGAGGGCAGCAACAGGCGCGCTGGTGTTACGTTACAATCGGTCTCAGGCTTGCTTGTTGTTGAGTGAAGGGTTTGTTCGCTTTTTACCAATGTTTATCGGTCTCTTCTGGATGTAAAACCACTGTGTTCTAACCCTAACAATCGAATTGGCAAAACGCGGACGCCTCTAATCCGTCGCTTGTTGCGGTTCTCCTTCCTGTCCTGCAACCTTTCCATACCAAAGTCATTTTGGTCGAAACAGCAAAGCCAAAATGTCTAAGCGAGGTCAGTAAGCCGCACCACGACGACGACACACAGGACTGCAGGGACGACGTACGAGCCATCAGAGTGGATGGATGGATGGATGGTTCGGGTGGCTGGATGGATGGATTTTTGGTGGATGGACAAGTGAGACCGACATGTCGACACTTCAATTCGGAGGAACTATGTCGAGACGACTATGACTGTGCATACGAAGGACGACGACGGGGGTTGCGTTGCGGAGAAGGAGACTGGCGCCATGGTGGAGGGTCTAGCAACACTCTGCGGCGGAATGAATGTCGGAGCGGACCTCAACGACTTTCTCCGAAGTGCAACTGCTAACCAGAACTATCGCACTCCTTTTTCCTTTATCGCTACTTGGAATGAACAGGACGTTCGGGAGGTGAGGACGACTGTGCAGTTTTTTTTTCGTGATGGGAATGAATTCGATTCTAAATGGGTGTATATAGCTTCCGGTAACAAGTTCAGGATGACCCTTGGTCTCCCTGTCGGAGCAGTCATGAACTGCGCCGACAACAGTGGAGCCAAGAACCTGTACATCATTTCCGTCAAGGGAATCAAGGGACGTCTCAACCGTCTTCCCGCCGCCGGTGTCGGAGACATGGTTTTGGCCACCGTGAAGAAGGGAAAGCCTGACTTGAGGAAGAAGGGTACGCAGACGTGGAACTAGTTGGGCGGTTGGGAACGTAGGATGTGGAAGGCTAACATTTTGGAATTGTAGTTATGCCCGCCGTCGTCATCCGTCAAAGGAAGCCCTGGCGCCGTCGTGACGGTATCTACCTTTACTTCGAGGGTATGTATTTCAGTTTTCACCGCGGCATGGATATGGATGCGAGGCTAACGACGATCATTCCCACAGACAACGCTGGTGTCATTGTCAACCCCAAGGGAGAGATGAAGGGATCCGCCATCACCGGTCCCGTCGGAAAGGAGTGCGCTGACTTGTGGCCCAAGATCGCCTCCAGCTCCGGTACCGTCGTATAGAGGCCCTGGGGTTACACGCATGTATCATAGGAGTAATATACGCTCATGGGCAAAAGTTTTGAAATGGCGGATGCAGTTTGGGGTTGGACCTGGGCTTGAGCTCGTTGGAGGAACGCAGAATGTAGGAGGGGGACCGCTGAAGCAGTGCAATGTGGACGTTGTGGGAACTGGAAAATAACTGGACGCCGGTGTCGGCATATATTGTGGTTTTTTGGTCGATGTCGGGAGTCGGGCTCACATCCATGTTGACTGTGACCTGGGTGTTTCCGCCGTCTTCCAGTCCCGTCCGGATGCCTGTTAGTCGCCGATTCTCGGACACACATCAAATGCGTGTTTCGATTGGTTTGTTGTTTCGGCAAGATCACCTCCCCAGGCAAATGCTATAGCGTAGTCTTTTACCCTTCCCAGGTACCCCGCTCAGCAAACAAACACAAATCTCCGTACACTGCCAGCAGCAACCCGCCAGCGTCACTCTTGCACTTTCTGCTACTCCTATGCAATTGTGAATTTCATCAGCGACGCGTTAGCTCGCAAGCAGGATTCTCATAGGTTCCGAGGAAGTAGGGAACAGCCATGGAGGACCCCAAGGAAGAGCCCTTCGCCCAGAATGCTGTGGTGGTAGACCCACAGCTGCTTCTTCGCCACATCGAGAAACTACTTCCTTTAGTCATAGATTACGACGGTTCGGAAGCATTCAGTACTGCCGACGCTATTGAGAAGGCAGGCCGGTTTTGCGCCGACTCGCAGACGCAAGTTCTGTACATCGTAAAGGAGAAAGGGGATACCACCGAGGGCGCCGATGAGGGTACATTGCCCAGATGCTCTATCATTTTGCAGTTCCGCTCCCGATGAACTAACGTGTGCTTTTCCAGGAGAGAACGAGAAACCGGCAAACCCGCTTTCGTTGGGGTTTGATTTGACATATAGCCCGAAACAGATCGCAGCAGTAGCTGTCATCAAGCGATACCCATATCTCGATGCGACACGTTCGCTGCAGCAACAGCTGCAGATCACAAACCTGCCCGGCCCTGGGGAAGGGGGGAATCCGTACGAGATATTACACTCGTACATTCATAATGCCATATCGCCATTCTTCGATGCATTCGCCGTTTCTAAGAACGCCGCCACTTCGTCGGAGAGGTCGACCCGGGATGAGAAGGAAGGGAGAACAGGTGGGAACATGTTGAGCTTTGTAGGGTGGCAAATGCGGCATCCCGTGGGACTGAACTTATGCCTGCAGGAATACCGATGGCGAAGAAGAAGATTGCAGAACTGGAACTCTCATTGCTACAGCTTCAGCAGAATGTGGAGATCCCGGATGTGGTGCTGAACTACAATCCCATTGTGCAGCGCACCGTCGACCATTGTCATGAAAGTGGGAAGCGAGTCAATGCGGATGCTGTGGGGGACCTGGTGGACGATTCTGCATTCCTTAACAGACTGCAAGCGGATGTGAATGGCTGGATCAAGGAGATACAAAAGGTGACGAAGCTGAATCGTGACCCGTCGTCTGGCACGGCGAATCAGGAAATCAGCTTCTGGCTGAATCTGGAGCGGAGTCTCAACTCCATCGAAGAGCAGCTCCGGAGCGATCAAGTGGTGTTGACCCTTGACATTTTGAAACATGCGAAGCGTTTCCACGCGACCGTTAGTTTCTTGGCGGACACGGGTTTGAAGGAGGCGATGGAGCGCGTGCAGAAGTACAACATCTTGATGAAGGATTTCCCGCTGAACGAGCTGCTAGCCGCTACCGACCTGAGGAAGATTCAAACATCATTGGGAATGATATTTGGACACCTTACGAAGAAGCTCAAGCTCTCTCCATACCCTATTCGACGTGCTCTCCCGCTCGTGGAGGGGATATCCCAAGACCTGAACGATCAGCTACTTCGTGTTCTCAACAGCCGTCGATTGATGTACATGGACTACGCGGAGTTTGAGAGGATTGCGTTGGGTTGCGACGAACTGTTCCGCACCTGGGATGAGCAAGTGAAAGAGTTCACGAATGTCGCGAGAGACCTTACTCGGAAACGGTCCGAGAAGTTCTTACCGATTAAGCTCACGCCGATGCATGTCAAGCTGCAGGAGCGAATAAAGTTCATTCATGCGTTTAGGAAGCAGCATGAGCAGCTTTATGAGACTATAGTGAAGGTCATGCGTACGGAGAAAGGCGCGAAGGCGAAAGATGGGATGGGCGGGAGATCGGCTAGCTTATCGGATGGCAATGCGCTGGATGACGTGCGGCTGGCGTATGATACCATGAAGACTGTCGATGTGCTTGACCTCACACCTGGTATGGTACTTTTCGCCAAGTTTTCTAACCAGCGCCGAATTTGACATATCTTGTACAGATGGAACGGAGCTCTGGGTATCTGCGGAATCATCGTACAATGACAAAGTCGCACGGGTGGAGAACCAGATCATTGCACGATTACGAGACAGACTGGGCACAGCGAAAAATGCCAATGAGATGTTTCGCGTGTTCTCCAAATTCAACGCGCTTTTCGTGCGGCCAAAGATTCGGGGTGCGATCCAGGAGTATCAGACGCAGCTGATTGACAGCGTCAAGGAAGATATCAAGAAGTTGCATGACAAGTTCAAAATGCACTACAGCAACTCGGAGGCTCACAAAATGAGTCAGCTACGAGATCTGCCGCCAGTCGCGGGTGCTATTGTGTGGGCTCGGCAGATCGAGCGGCAACTCGGACACTACATGAAACGCGTTGAGGATGTTCTTGGAAGGGGCTGGGAGCTATATGCGGAAGGGCAGAAGCTTCAGATGGAAAGCACTTCTTTCAAGAAGAAGCTGGAAACCCGCCCAATATACGATGCGTGGCTCGCAGACATCCTCAAACGTGATGTCTCCGTCACAGGCCGCATTTTCACCATCACGAAGAATCGGGCGCAGGGAAACGCATTACAGCTCGCGATCAACTTCGACGGTCAGGCAGTCGATCTCTTCAAGGAGGTTCGAAACTTGATCTGGTTGAACTTCCAGGTTCCGCATACCATCACTAGCATTGCGAAGGACGCAAAACGTGTACATCCTTTCGCGGTCTCACTCACTGAAACCGTGCGCACTTATCTGCAAACGCTGCAGAAGGTTGATCGCATGAAGGATATCCCGCAGCTGGTCGTTGTGTATAGGCGGGACATACACGCGTTGATCTCGAAGGGGATTCAGCTACGATGGGATTTTTTCGTCAACGTGGTACGAGCCATGCTACGATTTCCCTGGGTAACTTTGCAATGGCCACTTACCAAGCTTGCGGTCGTAGTACGATGTTCGCGCGATGACCGCAAACAACATTGAGATCAAGGAGAACCGACACGTCGTTTTCGTCCGAGACTTTGCGAGCACGGTGTCGCTCTTCCATGACAAGGCTAACGCTGCTGTGCTGGTGTCCGAGGACGTCCAACAATTGATCAAGCAGTTGGAAGTATGTCCGTTCGAGCTGGCTGCGTTCCAAGAGCTCCTTGGCAAAGTCCAGAAGCTGGTAAGCGACAGGGTTGAGGGCTGAGTATGACTCGACCAAAGAGGGATCTGACATTTTCTCCAAGATCGATCAACTGAATATTGAGGGATACTCGAACCTTCGAACATGGACGCAACAACTCAATGACCGGATCGAGAGCGTGCTTTCCGTTCGCTTGGACGCAGCCATGCAGGTACCGGTTGATGGTCACGTATGTTTGGAAACCATGGCCCGATTGTAATATTCGTCTCCAACGTTTAGGCGTGGATATCTGCGTTCGTCGGCCAAAAGCAAGATGCCGCGATGGATACCAAACGGCGAAAGCTGCCCGGGGCTGGAAAAGATTCCAAAAATGTTCAGGAGACGGACAATGAAGCCAAGACGCGGTCCACGTATGCCCCGAACCTCGAGACCTTGGTGCATGAGATCATCCTCAAGGATCAAGTCATGTCCGTGTCTCCGCCCATTGAGGAAGCAAGGAAGAACTGGATACAACAGCTACATTCCTGGTTAGGTACGTGCCGGCCATATACTTTGCTGATTGTACGATCGGATCCCCTGTATCGCGGGATCGTTGACTGATGTCGCGTCTCTACAGCAAACGTTTGCTCGCTGACCTTCATCCAAAGCTCAACCTACGACATGGCCGTTGCTACAAAGACGAACGAGCCGTCGTCATTCGCAAAACTGGTGAGTTCCTCCCGTTCATTATTTGCTGACCGAAATCGTTACTTATCTGCCGTCAGTTACACCGAGTTTCCTCAAAAGTTGAACAATGTTACGATGCCATTGAGCTCAAGACGAAGGAATTGCGGGACTACTGCGATATCTGGCTCCAATACCAGTCCTTATGGGATTTGGAATCATTCTATGTCTTTGAATTCCTGGGGGATAATCTTCGGAACTGGCAACAGCTCGTGCTGGAGGTCAAGCGAGCTCGGTCAACGTTCGACACCTCCGAAACCTCAAAGTCCTTCGGATGGGCAGTTGTCGATTACGAGCAGGTCCAGTCGAAGGTCAACACGAAATATGATCAATGGCAACGTGAGATCCTCAGCAGATTCGGAGCAAAATTAGGCACGAGCATGAGAAGCTTGTTTGACTCTGTGGCACATGCCCGAACAGAGCTTGAGCAGCACGCCATTGACGGGAGCTCCACGTCGGAGGCCGTTACGTTCATAACCTTCTTGCAGTCAGTTCGCAAAAACGTCGAAGACTGGGCGGACTCGGTATCCATCTTCAAATCTAGTCAACGGATTTTGGAGCGTCAACGCTTCCAATTTCCGAATGATTGGCTATACTACGACAACATTGAAGGAGAATGGGGAGCTTTCAATGAAATTCTTCGTCGGAAGAATGATGCTATCAGGCAGCAGATAGGTACGTGGAGGAAGTGGTCACTCCTTGCGCAAAAGCTCCCCCTGACGAGTCGCTATCGTTGATGTAGGATCACTGCAGCAAAAGATCATAGCGGAAGACAAATCCGTCACCAAAAAGATCAAGGAACTTGCTGCAGATTGGGAAGAGCGCAAACCTGTGCAAGGTCAACTCAAACCGGCCGAGGCGTTGGCTCTGCTGAACCTGATGGAAGTTCGTGTCACGCGAATCAAAGACGAGTACGATCAGGTGTATCGAGCGAAGGACGCTTTGGACCTCGATCGCAAGAAGGACCCTCGCCTGGAAATTGTTCTGGAAGAGCTTCGCGATCTCAAAGAAGTGTGGACTTCACTTTCCACGCTGTGGTCCGGAATCGGCGAAATCCGTGAAACTCACTGGAACGCTGTTGCTCCTCGCAAAATACGTCAGCAGCTCGACCGGTTACTTCTGTCCATGAAGGAGATGGGCAATCGCGTTCGGCAATATGCTGCATTTGACTATGCGAGGAACATCCTTCAGCGCTACCTAGATGTAAATTCGCAAATCACGGAATTGAGATCTGACGCTGTCAAGGAGCGCCATTGGAAGCAATTGTTCCGTGACCTTGGGTTGGAGAGCCAAGTCACCCTTACTGACCTGACCATCGGGCATCTGTGGGATATCGACCTCCGCAAAAACGAACTAAAAGTACGAGATGTCTTGACAGTGGCACAGGGCGAAATGGCCCTCGAGGTGTTCCTCAACCAAGTCAAGGAAACGTGGTCCGCATTTGAGTTGGAACTGGTGGCCTATCAGAACAAGTACCGGTTGATCAAAGGATGGGATGATCTGTTCGCAAAATGCTCAGAAAACCTCAATTCTCTCGTCGCTATGCGGCATTCGCCTTATTTCCGAGTTTTCGAAGAAGAAGCTTTGGGTTGGCAGGATAAGCTGACACGCGTGCAAACGTTATTCGACGTCTGGATCGATGTGCAGCGACAATGGGTGTACCTGGATGGTATCTTCTCGAACAATGTGGACATCAAGCATTTGCTACCCGTTGAAAGTGCAAGGTTTCAAAGCATCAACACTGAGTTTATGACTTTGATGAAGAAAGTTTACAAGTCACCTTTCGTGTTGGACGTCCTTAATATTCCTGGAGTTCAGAAGGCGATGGACCGACTGGCGGATTTGCTTGTGAAGATCCAGAAAGCCCTTGGAGAATATCTGGAACGAGAGCGATCGGCCTTCCCCCGGTTCTACTTCGTCGGGGATGAGGACCTTCTCGAATTGCTCGGCAACAGCAAGGATATTATCAGGCTGCAAAAGCATCTGAAGATGATGTTCGCTGGGATTTCAAGTCTGATTCTCTCTGAAGACACGCTGACCGTGGAAGGAATCAAATCCAAAGAAGGCGAAAGCTTAAGCCTTGTTCACCCCATCTCGATCAAGGACAACCCTCGCATCATCGATTGGTTGAAGATGCTTGAGCACGAGATGCAAGTGTCGCTTGCAACGCATCTGTCGGAAGCGGTTGCAGCTCAAGCCACCTATTGCGATGGCACAAAGCTGGATGGACCTGCATTTTTGAAATGGATTCAGGCCTATCCGGACCAGTTGGTCGTTCTTGGAATGCAGATTTTGTGGACGAAGTTAGTGGAGGACGTCCTGCGAAGTTCCGGATCTCTCGCGCATACAGCTGGAATAATCGAGTCGGCTCTGAACATCCTCGCGGACTTGGTGCTTGAAGATTTAGAGTTGACCTACCGGCGCAAATGTGAGCATTTGATCACGGAGCTGGTGCATCAAAGGGATGTCATCCGGACCCTACTCAAGCGCAAAGTCACAAGCCATTTCGACTTCCAATGGCTCTACCATATGCGATTCTACTTCGACCCCAAAGTTGTAGAGCCGATGGCCCGCCTATCGGTGAGGATGGCAAATGCTAAGTTTTCTTATGGTTTCGAGTATCTGGGGATCACCGATCGCCTCGTGCAAACCCCTTTGACAGACCGGTGTTATCTGACACTCACACAAGCTTTGGCCGCACGTCTGGGAGGAAGTCCCTTCGGACCAGCTGGAACGGGAAAGACCGAGAGTGTGAAGGCGCTGGGTACTCAGCTTGGTCGGTTCGTTTTGGTCTTCTGTTGTGACGAAAACTTCGACTTCCAAGCGATGGGTCGCATCTTCATCGGCTTGTGTCGAGTTGGAGCCTGGGGATGCTTTGACGAATTCAACAGGTTGGAGGAACGCATCCTATCAGCTGTATCTCAGCAGGTCCAAACCATACAACTGGGCCTTAAGAGCGGCGCCAGCGTCGAGCTGGTTAGCAAGTTAGTCACCGTGGATCCGAACACGGGAATCTTCATCACCATGAATCCCGGGTATGCAGGACGATCGAACCTACCCGATAACCTGAAGAAGTTGTTCAGAAGTGTCGCGATGACCAAGCCGGATAGAGAGCTCATCGCTCAAGTCATGCTATTCTCTCAAGGCTTCCGATCGGCCGAGCTTCTCGCGTCGAAGGTGGTACCACTTTTTGTCCTCTGTGCGGAGCAGCTATCTGCTCAAAGTCACTACGATTTCGGGTTGCGTTCTTTGAAAAGTGTACTCATCAGCGCCGGTAATTTGAAACGAGAGGCGTTGCAAGGTGCTGCACGTGGAGGGAAGACGATCGGAGCGTCTGGCGACGTATCCGACGCCGCTGGAGAGCAGTACCTGCTTATTCGAAGTATTCGGGAGACGATGGTTCCAAAGCTTGTAGCCGAAGATATCACGTTACTGCACAGGTGAGTGAGAGCTTCAAACGTCTCTCATGTGGTTCCCTAGCAACTGAAAGTGTTACTCGTTAGTCTACTCGAAGATGTATTCCCAGGAATCAACTACAGCCCATTCGCGTTGGACGAGCTACAGCTAGCGATCAAAGGAGCCTGTGCGAAACGCCAACTGGTTGCCGAGGGACCTTGGCTGGACAAGGTCATCCAGCTCTACCAAATACACAATATACATCACGGGTTGATGATGGTGGGTCCATCCGGTTCGGGGAAGAGTACCGCCCATCAAGTTTTGCTGGAGGCGTTGCAGAAAATCGATGGAATCGAAGGTGTCTCGTATGTTATCGATCCGAAGGCGATGTCTAAAGAGTCGCTGTATGGAAATATGGACTCGACCACCCGCGAATGGCACGATGGTCTTTTCACGCAGATTTTGAGGAGGATCGTTGACAACGTGCGTGGAGAAGCCGCGAAGCGCCACTGGATCATCTTCGATGGCGACGTCGATCCGGAATGGGTCGAAAACCTCAATGCTGTCCTTGACGATAACAAAATGCTGACGCTGCCCAACGGTGAGCGTCTGAACCTGCCACCCAATGTCCGCATAATGTTCGAGGTCGAGAATCTGAAGCAAGCAACTCTTGCCACCGTCAGTCGATGCGGGATGGTGTGGTTCAGTGACTCCACTGTGGATATGGAATTGTCCATCGCCCACTACATGGAAACGCTTCGCACGGTGTCGGTCACAGACGCAGATGATACAGTCGCATTCGCTTCTACCCAAGTGGATACGCAAGCTCCGGCGCTGGAAGTGCAGCGCATAGTGGCCGATATTCTATCGGCTCACATGCAGAAGGACGGTCTTGTTCACCGTGCTTTACGGAAAGCCGAAGCTATGGAACACATCATGGATTTCACAAGAATTCGGGCCCTCAAAGCGCTGTTTGGATTGATCAATAGTTCGTTGCGGAACATTTCGGACTACAACCTGTCCCATCCGGACTTTCCCCTGACCGTGCAGCTTCTCGAAGATTACATCACCAAGCGCTTGCTGTTGGCTATCCTCTGGAGTTTCACAGGAGATTCGAAGCTGGAGACTAAGATTGAAATGGCGACGTACCTGCGGACTCTGACCGCAATAGATCTTCCCGGAGGAGGTTCTTCTTTAATCGACTTCGACGTAGATGTGGCCACAGGGGAATGGATTGCTTGGCAATCCAGAGTGCCTACGGTGGAAATCGAAACCCATAACGTTTCCGGTGCAGATGTCGTTATCCCTACCGTCGACACAGTTCGACATGAGGAGACGCTTTACTCTTGGTTGTCTGAGCATAAGCCACTGATTCTCTGTGGACCTCCGGGGTCCGGAAAGGTAATTCTTTCAAATTTCGGTTTTCACTCAACGTTTCGGTCAATGACCTTCCGTCTTCCCATAGACTATGACTTTATTTTCAGCATTGCGAAAGTTACCGGAGATGGAAGTGGTTGGTCTCAACTTTTCCAGTGCCACTACTCCCGAGTTGATCATGCGCACTTTCGAGCAACATTGTGAATATCGCAAGACCCCTTCTGGCACAGTGTTGGCACCCTTAGCTGTGGGCCGCTGGCTTGTTTTCTTCTGCGATGAAATCAATCTTCCGGCCGCGGACAAATATGGAACGCAACGGGTGATATCTTTCATTCGGCAGCTCGTTGAGCACGGAGGCTTCTGGCGACGTTCAGACCATTCCTGGGTTCGCTTGGAGAGGATCCAGTTTGTCGGAGCATGCAATCCGCCAACTGATCCAGGCCGAGTTCCCCTATCTCATCGATTCCTCAGACACGCGCCAGTACTTATGGTCGACTATCCAGGCGAGGCGTCGCTGCTACAAATTTACGGCACGTTCAACAGGGCCATGCTTAGAGTTGTTCCAAGCCTTCGCGGCTATTCAAACCCCTTGACTGCCGCAATGGTCGAGTTCTACTTGACATCGCAGAAGCGGTTCACGCCAGACATGCAAGCACATTATATGTATTCGCCCCGCGAACTTACTCGATGGGTCCGAGGGATCTTCGAGGCCATTAAACCGCTGGAAAGCATGAATGTGGAAGGGTTGGTGAGAATCTGGGCTCACGAGGGACTTCGACTATTTCAAGATCGGCTAGTCGAGCAAAAGGAGCGAGAATGGACAGACAAGCTCATTGATACCGTCGCTGGACAGCACTTCCCCGGGATAAATTCCGAGGACGCCCTATCGCGTCCCATCCTTTTCTCTAATTGGCTATCGAAGGACTACGTTCCAGTGGCCGCTCAAGATCTTCGAGTTTTCGTACAAGCTCGGCTCAAAGTCTTCTACGAAGAAGAGCTCGATGTCCCACTTGTCTTATTTGACGATGTTCTGGAGCACGTCCTGAGGATTGACCGGGTGTACCGGCAAATGCAGGGTCATTTGCTACTTATCGGCATTAGTGGTGCTGGAAAGACAACTCTAGCGCGTTTCGTCGCATGGATGAATGGTCTCAGCGTCTTCCAGATCAAAGTTCACAACAAATACTCTGACCTTGATTTTGACGAGGACCTCAGAACCATTTTGCGCCGAGCAGGCTGCAAGGGAGAGAAAGTGTGCTTCATCATGGATGAGTCGAATGTTCTCGAATCGGGCTTCCTGGAGAAAATGAACACCTTGTTGGCGAATGCAGAGATTCCTGGCTTGTTTGAGGGAGACGAGCTTGCGTCGGTTCTCTCAATATGCAAGGAAACGGCGCATAGAGAGGGAACGACATTGACAACCGCGGAAGAAACCTACAAATGGTTCACAACACAGATCATGAAAAACCTTCACGTCGTTTTCACCATGAACCCGCCACAAGATGGCTTAGCCTCTCGAGCAGCTACATCTCCTGCGCTATTCAATCGTTGTGTTCTCGATTGGTTTGGCGATTGGTCCAACCAGGCTCTTTACCAGGTTGGGCAGGAGTTCACGCATTTATTGGATATTGAGCATCGACGCTACGAAGCCCCGCTCCCGTTTCCTATCGTTTACGAGGATCTTGCGATGCCGCCAATTTATCGCGACGCAGTCATCAATGCCTTCGTGTTCGTCCATAGGTCACTGCGTGACGTGAATGAGAGGCTTCTCAAACGGCAGGGCCGAGTTAATTTTGTGACGCCTCGACATTATCTGGATTTCATCAACCACTACGTCGAACTCTTCCGCGAGAAGCGTGAGGACCTGGAAGATCGACAGCGCCATCTCAATGTCGGACTTGACAAACTCAAGGAAACTGTTACCAAGGTGGAAGAACTGAGGATAAGTTTGGCTTCGAAAAGACGAGAACTCGAAGTGAAGAACAAAGAAGCGAATGAAAAGTTACAACGAATGGTAGCTGGGCAGCAGGAGGCGGAGCAGAAAAAACAGGCCTCTCTGGAAATCCGGGCTGAACTCGAGCGACAAAATTGTGAGATTGACCAACGCAGAGACATTGTTCTGGCTGACCTCGCCGAAGCGGAGCCAGCCGTGCTCGAAGCACAAAACAGCGTCAGCGGCATCAAGAAACAACATTTGCAGGAGGTCAGAACCATGAGTAACCCGCCGGAAGCAGTCAAGATGGCTATGGAGTCCGTATGTATCCTTCTGGGCAACAAAATCGATTCATGGAAAGCTGTGCAACAGGTCATCAGAAAAGACGATTTCATCCCGAGCATCGTCAACTTTGATACTGACAAGATGAACACGAGGCTTCGAGAAGAGATTGAACAAAACTACCTAACGAATCCGAAATTCAACTTCGAAACGGTAAACCGTGCTTCGCAAGCTTGCGGGCCTCTAGTCCAATGGGCTATCGCGCAAGTGAAATACTCTGGCATTTTGGAGCGAGTTGGACCATTGCGGAGAGAAGTCCAGCAGTTGGAGGCGAAAGCAGAGGTCGCCCAGCAGAGAGCGACTGCCATCGAGGCTATGATTCACCAGCTTGAGGAGAGCATTGGGAAGTACAAGGAGGAATACGCCGTTCTGATCAGCGAGACGCAATCTATCAAGACAGAGATGGAGACCGTCCGCACCAGAGTGGACAGAAGTTTGCGCTTACTAGACGACCTCTCTTCCGAACGGGAGCGTTGGGAGTCGGGAAGTCAAACTTTTGGGGAACAGATGGCGACCATCGTGGGAGACGTCCTAATCTCAGCAGCCTTCATCGCGTATGCCGGATTCTTCAGTCAAGAGTACCGATCCTTACTGGTAAACAGATGGACGCAGCATTTGAAGCTGGCTGGGATCAACTTCAGAGAGGAGCTTTTCCTTCCGGAATACTTGTCAACTGTGGACGAGAGGATCGATTGGCAGACGAAGTCGCTTCCGGCCGATGGTCTTTGCACTGAAAATGCCATTATGCTGAAGCGGTTCAATCGATACCCTCTGCTCATCGATCCATCGGGACAAGCGACCACTTTCCTCACAAATCATTACAAAGAGCGGCGTTTGACCATCACCAGTTTCCTGGACGACTCGTTCCTGAAGGTGCTAGAGTCGGCCCTTCGATTTGGCAATCCGCTACTTGTCCAAGATGTCGAGTACTTGGATCCTATTTTGAACGCAGTGTTGAACAAAGAGCTGCGTAGAACTGGGGGACGAGTTCTCATCCGACTTGGGGGCCATGATATCGACTTCTCACCATCATTCACTCTATTCCTATCCACTCGTGACGCATCCGCCAACTTTTCTCCCGACTTGTGCAGTCGCGTAACGTTTGTGAACTTCACCGTGACGCGTGAGAGCTTGCAGAGTCAATGCCTGCATGAGGTCCTGAAGGCGGAGCGTCCAGATACGGACCAGAAGCGCACCGATCTCATCAAGCTGCAAGGAGAGTTCCAGCTGAAGCTCCGTCATCTGGAAAAATCCTTGCTCAAAGCTCTCAATGACTCCGAAGGCAACATTCTGGAAGACGATCACGTCATAACGACGTTGGAGACCCTGAAGTTGGAGGCGGCGGAAGTCACATGCAAAGTTCGGGAGACGGAGACAATTGCGCAGGAAGTGGAGCACGTCACGAACATGTACACGCCGTTAGCTCAAGCCTGCAGTGCGATATTCTTCATCATGGAACGCATGAGCACTTTGAACAGGTGCTATCAATTCTCGCTGGAATTCTTTCTGGAGATCTTTCGGAGTGCATTGTATAACAATTCCGCACTGAAAGACGTGCGAGCCCCTACTCAGCGCCTGCCCATACTGACGGATGACCTGTTCACCATCGCTTTCCGGAGGGTTTCCCGCGCTCTTGTCAATGACGATCGACTGGTCTTGGCCATATTGCTTGCACGGCTCAAAAGCCTTGGAGTGTCGAGCGCCTTGAGACCCGATGATTTCACAGAACTGTATGGAAGCATTCACCAGGGTGGGAATGGAGCGATAGTTTCGGACAAGATATCTCACACTTTCGGGGATGATATGGGGAGAAAGATTGCGGCACTGTGCGCATCGCCTCGGTTTGTGGGCGTACGATCTCAAATTGAGGGCAACATCTCCGAATGGACAACTTTCCTACAAGACGACAATCCGGAAGTGGCAAGCTTGAAGATAGGAGATCGGAGCACCTCACAGCGTAAGCGTTTTGTGAAAGCCTTTCGAGTCTGGATGGTCACTGATAATTTCTGCGATTGACTAACAGTATCGGAGAAACTCGATCGACTCCTGATTGTCAAGCATTTGCGACCGGACCGTCTGATACCGGCAGCCGCCGAGTTTGTCCAAGCGATTTTCGGTGGAACCCTAGAGCTGACGGCAGAGCACGACGTCGAAGCGGTCATTGCGGAAACCGACTCCTCGGTTCCCGTAGTTCTATGCTCAGCCGCCGGATACGATGCAAGTGATCGCGTCGAAGCTCTTGCAGCTAAACTATCTCATCGCCTAAGCTCCATCGCTATGGGGTCTAGCGAAGGGGCCGCTCTTGCTGAAGCGGCACTGTCGTCGGCCAGCAGATCTGGGCATTGGGTACTATTGAAAAATGTGCATCTTGCCATCGCTTGGCTCTGCCAGCTGGAGAAACGGCTTCAGAGTCTCAAGTCCCACACAAACTTCAAGCTCTTTCTGACCATGGAGCCGCATCCGAAGGTGCCTACAAACTTGCTGCGCATGTCCAGAGTGCTCATGTTTGAGTCCCTTGCCGGCATCAAGGCGAACGTCTCCGAGTCATTTTCTTCCATCGCATCATCCACCATCAAAGCACCAAGCGAGCGGTTGCGCCTGCACTTTCTTCTCTCGTGGTTGGACGCCGTCGTCAAAGAACGGATGCGATATGTCCCACTTGGTTGGTCCAAGACGTATGATTTCAACGACGCAGATCAGTCGATGGCGTTGAATGTTATCGATGACTGGGTAGATTCGATATCCCAAGGTCGCGCCAATATCGCCCCGGAGAATATCCCATGGGAAGCTATTCGAACAATCTTGAAGGAGACAGTGTATGGAGGCAAGATCGATAACGATTTCGATCAAAGACTGCTGGACACATTCGTCGACCGGTTGTTTACCCCATCGAGCTACAACGTCAATTTCGCCCTGGTCGATGCGGGCGAAAACCAAGCGGCGGTGCCAATACCGGATGGGATTCGCAAGGAGCAGTTCACATCTTGGATCAAAAGCTTACCGACGCAACAGCCTCCTTCTTGGTTGGGATTGCCGAACAATGCCGAGATGGTGGTTATGGCAGCCAAAGGTACGGGACGATTTGGCAGAAAGACTTCGTCCTTCTCCCAAAACTGACGCCTTGCATTCTAGGAGCGGATTTGCTGTCAAATGTTCGAAAGCTGGCGACAATCGAGGAAGACGAAAGCGGAGGTGCGCCGACACCTGGAACTCAAGCTGTCTTACACGAACAAGCCGCTTGGTCGAAGAGCTTGCGTAAATTGGTCGATGAATGGTTGAGCATCCTCCCGTCGGTAAGAACCGGAAGACCTGTGAACTCTGGTATACTGCAATGGCTAACATTTCGCGCAATCCAGACTCCGCCGGACCTTACGTACAGCAAAGCATCTGCGGCTGATCCACTTTTCCGCTTTTTTCATCGGGAAATCACCATCGGGAAGGAATTATGGCGTATCATTCGCGATGACCTCTCGGAGTTGCGTAAATTATGCGAAGGACAGCGGAAACAAACCAATCATTTGCGTTCTCTGACAGCTTGTCTGTTACAAGGTACAACGAGAGTTACTTGAGTGTGCTGACTTGATTTTGCACGTGTTGGAATTCACCGATTATATTACTCCAACTTAGGCTCTGTACCTCAGCACTGGCAAAAGCACAAGTTTCCAAAGCGGTTGTCCTCCACTCAGTGGATCCATGACTTCGTCAAACGTCTGGAACATCTTAATCATGCTTCGAAATCAAGCCGGTACCATGAATTGGATATCTGGATCGGCGGTTTCTTCATGCCCGAAGCTTTCATCACCGCAACGCGTCAGTCGCTTGCGCATGTGCACAAATGTTCATTGGAAGAGCTGCAGCTGGATGTTGGAATAGTGAGACAAGGTCAAGCTACGTCAGCAATCAAGGACGAAACCAGATTCGTCCTAACAGGTACGCGTCAAGTGTTCATCGATGGCGGCCCTACATGTAGTAACCTTCCCGTTGCTTTTACATAGGGCTCGGAATTGATGGTGCAGATTGGGCACCAGAAGGCCTCGTTCTTTCTTCCAAGCCACAAACGCGGCCTGTTGCCATTCAAATCCAGTGGATCAAGAAGGGCTCCAAGGTACCTGCGACGGGTAGTGTCGTCTTACCGGTATATGTAGATGAAGACAGGAGCGCCACACTCTTCACAGCCTCTTTACCATGCAAGGCCCCATCCGACGCGCTGAACATGATTCAGCGCTCTGTAGCTATCCTAGCCAACATATATTGATCACCCTCTCATTGTATGTATATATACACACCGGCCGAATCTGTAACTTATGGTAAATCATGGTAACTTATGGTATCGGCCTGGATTTCCAATTCCTCGAATTCGACCTTGCGACACAATGGACAACTTTGTGACGCTGCAAACTTTTTGATGCCGGCAAGACAGCGGGCATGGTACACGTGCCCGCAGCTCGTGATGGAAAGCGTTTTGGCTTTGGTCGTTGCTTGGGAGGTGCCGAGTAACGGCATGATGCAGATGGCGCAATCGTCCGATTTCACGGTTGCGCCGGCTCGAGTAAGGATTTGCTTCCAGTCCGTTTCGTGATGTGGGTCGGTGGGTGCGAGCTTGAGGCTTTCCAGCAGTGCACCGGTTCTGCAAGGGAGGGATTTCAGTGGGAGAACCGAGGCGTACCAACTTCCTGACATTTCATACATATCCATGGAGTTCCTGTTCTGCGACAGCTGCCGATCGACATTCGTAATCAAGTTATGCACTTCCCGGTTCTCGGCCGCAAATCGAGCCTGCAGCTTATCGGAGTAGCGAGCCAATTTGTCCATGTGCCATTTCGCCAGCAATGCCGGATGTTCTGGCGGATGTGTTTCACAGTAGCGCAAGTACTTCTTCCGTTCGATGTAGCCTCGATAGGTTTTCTGGATGAGCGTGGCGCTTACGTGCTTGTGCTGTGGGCAAGAATCGTATCGGTTAGTACTAGAGTTTATGGAAAGGAGGAGGAGACATCGAAGGCACTTACATGCTTTTTCCCTTCGAAGATGAGTCGTTTCTCGTACGAATCGTCTCGACAGATGGGACAAGATGTCCGCTTGGCGTACCTCTCGAAGGAGTCGAGACATGCCCTATGAAAGGTATGACTGCAGGAGAGGAGGACCTATAAAACGTGAGGAAAGTTTCGTACTGCATCCTCCTATACATTCCAAACACACCTGATCCTCGCAACCAAACGGCTCCTGACATATGGGACATCCACTCTCCATCTCGCCTCTTTCCACCGCCCTTTCCTTTACAACCTTCCAATCTTCCTCGCTTATGCGATCCTTCGGCTTTCCCACCAGTCCCATCTTCTGAGCCAACGTCAACGGCGGCCGGGGTGGATCCAAGCTGCGTTCCTTCTCAATCGGGTCTAATGCGATGTCCGATCGAGCGAGTTGCGGTTTGGTATCGACGTTGGTAGACCCCGCGGCGGGTGCGATGAGCTTTGAGTGGGCGGTGAGGCAGTGTGCGTGGGCGGTGAGTGCCAGCTGTCGTTCGCGCTGCCATTTCTGGAGCTGGCGTTTGTGTGGGTTGAGCGGAATCTGTGGAAGTGGAGCTTTGCGGAGTTGAAGGTGTGGTAAACTTGCTGAAGGGTCAGACGGCTCCGCTGTGGATGATGCATGGCGTAGCGGATGAGATGGTAGCAGCGCTGGGATGGACGCCGACGAACGCAGCAGTGTATTCAGGTTCAGGGTTCGAACGAAGTGATCTTGCAGAGCTGCGCTCTTGTAGCAGTGTTCGGATGTTGAGACGGCATGCTTGCGATGTTTATGATTGGGCATGGCTTTTCTTCGTTTTCTCGCAGAATATCGAGCTCAGAATCGTTGGCAGATCGTGCGGCAATGCGAAATGACAGCATCGGATGGAACTGACAGTTGGCCGAAACACGTCCGTCACAGCCTGTCAAAACCTCTTCCTCTGTTTTCCTGAGCGTTTCGCCATGTCCATCTTGTTCCTCCGTCAAGGCGTCTTATCCAGACTCCGAACTCGATGACAGTCGACGGCAAAGCCCGCTTCGGTACAGGCGCCATTGTCTTCCAGCAACGGGCTTCCGAGCTCGGTGATCCTTGGGCATTGGTATACCATTCCTTGTACTTAAGCTGTTGTCCAACCGTTTGGCATGCTGAACCTCAATTACCCAGCGCTACGCAGGCCAGGATGTTTATTTGACCAAGAGGGTAGATATGCTTGTTCCGGGAAAGGAAGGAACGTCACAAGAGGAAGGTCGAACGGATTTGGAAAGTCAGTTCAGCAAGAAGTGACCCTGAGAACTCGAGCTGACATATATTCGCACAACTGCAGTGTACGAGCCAAAAGAGACGGCTATATCCGATCCAGCGGAAGCCTCCGGCAAATATACCAGCACTTATCTCAGCATAGAGTTCCACGTGCTATTCTCCACAACATGGCAATGTCCAACCCTCTACTTCAACGCCTGGGACGAGTCCGGGAATATGCTTTTCCTATCCGATATGCAAACGGCGCTGCAGGGGAATGTTCCGATAGCGCTTGATGAGAACCATCAGCGAACGTCGTATGACATGCCGGCGGTTACTCAGCAGGTAAAGCGGGCGTGTGGTCTAAATAGTTCTCTACATCCCAGCTGACAGAATGGCGGTTTGCGTACGACAGGAACATCCATATCTCGGCCTGCCATTCTTCTACCTGCATCCATGCCAGACCTCGACGATCATGAAGGAGATACAGGATGGTTTGCGAAGCAATGATCTGGGGCTGCTGACCTCGTGGATGAGTTGGATGAATGCGATGATTTACCCGTTGCCGTTGTTGCCGTGCGTTAGCGACGATGAGGGCCGAGTGAGCCTAATGGGGCCTGGTGCAGGCCTTGGCGAGTGACACCCATGCATGGCGGTGGGCCCATCGTTAGACATCCTCTGTCTCGAGGGATGGTGGTCGGATTCTGTGCCATCTAGTATCGTGCATTGTCGCGCCTGCGATCGGATCCGTTCGCCCTCTCCTTCGGGCCTTGGAGAGACGGCTCGACTTGGAGTTCGCTCGAAACAACATGTCAGCCGTCTTCAACTCGCAGGCTTCTTCTTTGCTTCCTTCGCGACTTCGTTCCGTTTCGGCTTCGCAACCGGATCGGGTGTCTCCGCGGCACCTTTCCCGGGTAACGCAGTATCGGTGCCAAGCGCCTCCTCATTCCCTTTCCGGCTTTCTTCCGTTTCGACTTTGGTGCCGTCTCCGGTGCCTCTATACCAATAGGATCGGCGCACCATCCGCCGCTTTCTTCCTTTTCGACGTGGACTTCGTCGCTGGGGCATTCGGCGCATTTGCTGCATCCGTTATCGACACTGCTTCTGCATCGACAAGTTTGTCTGACTTTCGCGCCTTCTTTTTCCCCTTGGGCGCTGGGGATCCCGCGTCCGCAGATTGAGGTTCCGATGCCGATATCCCCCCCTTCTTGAGCTTTTGCGATGCCTTCTTGCGAGAGGGTCTCTCTTTCAAAGCCCCAACAACGCCCCCGCCTCCCTCCTTGCTCGCATCCGCCTCCGGATCAAAATCCACCCGTTCCCCCATATAAGTAGCAAACCTCGGCACCCCACCCTGCGTCAACCCCATGTATCGGAACGTCACGATAGTCCCCTTCTCCGGCGGATTCTCCCTGACATGATCGTCCAACCCACTGCCGAGAACCACGAGCCTCCCGTCCCTCATCAAACACACCAACGCCCCGACTCTGCCTGCATGCTTCCCTTTGCCCGCTGTGTAATCTAGCACCATGCATTCGTCGTCCATGAAGGTTTTGACTTTGAGGAGCGTTTTGGATCGTTTGCCTTCGTAGACGCTTTCCGCTTGTCGGAGCATGAGGCCTTCGCCGCTATTCTTTTCGACTTTTTTTAATTCGGACATCAGATGTTCTCGCGACGTGCATAATCGTTGCGGGACGAGACGTAGCGTCTTCTGATCCGGTGGGAGTTCCGCCATGAAATCTTGCAGAATGGCCATGCGCTTCTCGAAAGGTTCAGACGCATGGCTGGGCGTGTCGAAGATCTGGTACGTCAGCGCTCGCCAGGAATCGTCGGAAACGGGCTTGATGGTCCGTCGGGCGATGTTGTCCAGCTCGGTTTTGACGATACCGGATGTGGTTTGGAAGCTACCGTGGCCGCCCCAGAGTTCGCCATCGAGGGTCATGTTTAATGGAAGGTCTTTTTGAAAAGGAGAGGGTGGGGTCAGTGGTTGGGGTGGGTGGTGAGGTGGAAGGGAGGTGTCGCACCTTTGGTGAACCAGGCCGGCGCCTGGAAACGGTTTCCTAGCCGCGATACGAACGTTCGCTGGCTATGATCCCACAGCGCTCTTACTCCATCAAACTTTTCGGACATGTAATAGCCTGTGGGGTCTGCTTGAGAGAAAACACAATGGAAAGTCAATCATGGTCAGAAGGTGCCCTCGACAACAAGACGTTAGTCCTTGTGCCTTCCAACTCTCCCCCTATACATATACACGAACCCACCTACTTTATCCGTCCACGTATGCGCCAGCAGAACCGCAGGTTTCTCTTTGGGCATGCCTGCATCGTCATCTAGCGGTGATTGCTTGGCGGCTAGTGACGCAGCGGAGCGGAATAGGAGTTCGGACAGCGAATTGATATTCTTCGTCCGAGGTATGTGTGAGTGGCGGAGGCATAGCATTACTGAGGTCGTGAAGCAACGAACGAGAGAGATGGGTCTGCGCATACCCTCACCCTTATCTCTGGTAATTTGAGCTCGCAGTTTCCAATGCTGCAGTGCCTGCCAGAGTGCCTGCTGTGCACTTCTTCCCACCGTCAAACGCGTCGAGGGTTTCCTCTGCTCTTCCTCATCCCTTTTTTCCCCCCCATTTCCCGGCGACCCAGACAAGTCAAGGCATCGCTGCCAGCTACCCGACGAGGACGCCCGAGCAAACCTCCGACTACAATATCCGCCGACTGCCAACCTCCACACCATGCCCAACAAACCACCCCCACACAAACAACCCACCCCACCACGCCTCCCCAAATCCGGCTCCCTCCCATCCCTCCGCACCCATCGCCAACCCACACCCTACTCCTCCTCTCTCACAACCCTCGCCTCACCCTCCTCCTCTACCACACCACTCTCCTCCCTCCCCGCCCTCCCCACAATCCAGACCTCCCTCTCCGCCGCCCCGCACCGCCGCACCCGCCGCCCCTCCCTCGTCTACATCCTCCCACCTTCGCCGCGCCGCCGGTCTGCTCCGCCGCTGTTTTTGGTTGATGGGAGGGGCCTGGGGGGCAGGGGTAAGGGGTGGATGTTGTTGGGGGTGACGGCGTGCTGGTTTGTAGGGGGGATGTGGGCTCTGGTGTGGCCGGGGGTTGGGAATGGAGGGGATGGGAAGGAGGGTGTGAGGATGGAGATACCGGTACCGATGAGCACGAAGATGTATTATGCGATGCTGGTGCCGCTGTTGCCGCCCGTGACGATCTTTTTTGTGTTTTTCAATTGGTTGGGGTTGAAGTTCTTCAGGCATAATGCTTGATGATAGGGGGGAAAGCAAAGCCGGTGCAATTTTGGGATGCAATGTTATGGTTTTTGGATGAGAGATCATAACCAACACATGTATACAGTTAGAACTATTAGAGGGTATAGGGGATCGCAGTATTTGCGTGATGAAAGCTGTACAAATGCCAAACTTCAGGGCTAGGAGTCTGCGGGGGATGTTCGTGGGCCGTGCGATATTTTGGAACGAGGATTCTTCACGCTGGGGTGAAGATGCGCTCGACTTGAACTGCGGGTGTGAAATACAGGAAAATCGAATCCGTTGTGAGGGTGCGCAGAGGAATGCCAGGAGTCATCCATCGTCAATTCAGCACCTGACATCCGCTCGCTCAGAAGCAGTGGCCGAGATGCCTTCCCCAGCTCCTCAATCATGCGTCATGAAACCGTACCGACCGCACCGAATCTTGAGGTTTAGCGAAACGTCATGTCCTCTTCCTGCCCCCACTTAAAGACGCAGCCGATGGCGCATTGTGGTACTGTTAAAGCTAAGCAGCAGGTGTCGAGCGCATGGGATGGAAGGCATGGTATTCCAGGTTTGGGCGCATGTGCTACCTAAATGTGTGTGTTGAGCCCTTTTGCTGCCTCAAGCATCCATCGGAGTTGGATACAGATGCGTCGGCGTCGAGGAGCATGAGACATATCGGGGCACGGGACGACATCATACCGCGACCACCGTTTCCTTTGCCCCTTCCTTTTCCGGCTTCGTCTCCTCCACTGGCGCCGTCGATCTCCTCTTCCGCAGCCTATCTCGTTCTGTAACGTACTTCCGCTTGCGTACTTTCCCCGCCAATAGGTCATACCGAAGTTCACATTCGTGCGGGTTTCTCTTCGGAAACGCCTTCCTCAACTTTTCATAGCCCACTCCTTCGTTCTGAACAAGATCCAGCAACCGCTTATCAGCCTCCGTCGTCCACGGATTCGGGTTCTCGATGTTATGGGCCAGGAACTGCCTTATCCGAAGACGAACCGCTTCTGTGGCTCTGTGCGGGAAGTACTGGCGATGGATGAGGCGTGATTTGTCGCCGTACTCTCTCATAGCGGCCTTCAAGGTTCGTTCCTCGGCCCTACTCCATTTGCCTTTCCTTAGCTCCGGGTTGTGAAGGGCCCACTGCTCCGCGAGCTGCTTGGGTGTGCGGTCCACCATCGTTTCGGCGATCTTGACCCATTTTTTGCCTGTTGCCGAGTACTTCTTGACCCCGCTCTGGACCAGTTGCATCTCTTCCTTCGTGAGCGAGCCGGGCTTGCCAAAATTTTTGTTGAGACGGTGGTAGAAATGGTACGAAATTTGCCATTTGGTCCGACCGGGGAACTCGCTCGTGAAGAGGGACCACTGCGGGCCCATTTGGTCATGGTAGGAGATGAGTTTCTGGTCCTCTTCAGGTGTCCATTCCGATTTGGGCACCTTTCGGAGCCATGTCCGCTTCTCATTCCGTAACTCTTGCGCGATTTCCCCAGCGATCTTTCTGAACGCCATGTTGCGGAACACTTCGGTCGATACGGCGCGGGGGTCCGTCTTTCCCAGCTGCTCCAGCCGTTCTACCAGCTCGGCCCTCCACCGCCGCGCGAACCGACCCGAGACCGAGCCGATGAATCTGTTCAAGCGCCTAGCCGCCCGCGCGAACGGGCTGTCCAGTTTTTTGGCCAACTCTTCAAGCAAAACCTGGTCTTCGCGGGGCGACCAGTACCCGGTCACAAGCCCCGGCACGATCTGGGTGTATCGTTGGTTTAGATCTGACCTTTTTCGGCCGGGAAAGTGTATGGCTATGGCTTGCCAGTCAATGGTTCTCCTTTTCTTGTCTTCCTCTTTTTCTTTCATAAGTTCCTGCTGCGCTGCTACGAGCTTGAGCAGCTTTTTGTCTTGTTCCAGTGTAAAGTTGGATCTGGGACGACGTCCAAATCTATCGGCGACTGAGTCCGGTGTTGTTGCGGAGAAAGGGTTTTCGACTGCATGGTGCTGGTTGGCGGTTTGTCGTTCGCGCAACAGTGGGCTTTCGACTGCGTCGGGCAGGATGGGGGTTTGTTGTTCGCGCGATAGTTCTTTTTCGACTGCATCGGGTTGAGACGTGGTTTGTTGTTCGCGCACCAGTGGAATGTCGCCTGCATCGGTCTGGGTGGGGTTTTGTTGTTCAAGCAACGGGAAAGTGGTGCATATCGTCCGAATGACAGCTATGTGTGAGAGAAAGGTTAGTTTGGCTGTTTTTCAACAGAAACCCAAATGTTTCCTGGCAACGGCCTTACTCTATGAAGTCTCCAACCCATACGCTACTTGCAGCAACGGAGACTTACCACAAGGGCGAGGTGCAAAGAACGCCGAACATGGTGAACGCCGCGGTAGCTGAACCCCAGCCCAGAGCACTCTTGAGTTCCGCAATACCATGCCACCTATTCCCACGGAGGTGTCCGGAGTGACTGCGAGAGGAGGACGTTGTTATGAATATATATAGAGGAGGGTCTGTCTGGGAAGCAACAGGATGCCGTTTTGGAAAGTCGCAAAAGTCACCAATGCAGTTCGGACGCGGAAGTCAGGATTCTTACGCAACGCCCCTGTTGAATGTGTTGAACTTGTTGAATGTTTGGCCCTGATAGCGGCCGCCCTTCCACACTCCCTTGCCACACGGCGTCCTCCACAAAACACACACAGCGCTCAGTCAACCTGAGCATACAAGGTCGCTCGCCACTCGTCCACTCTCGCTCGCCACTACTCGGGAAACAACACACGTATAGAGGTGAGTAAGAGGGCCGGCAGCTTTGCTGGCAGCGTTGGGTAGCAACACTCCGCCCGTGAAGATTGCTTTTTCGCGTTTGGGGGAACAAGTGGAGAAGCATCAGGCACACGAGCGGAAGGGTCGGTCGGGATACACTATAGGTGGCAAAAGTCACAGACTGTTAGGATTGCACGTATATCAGTAGCGACTGGAAGGGGAAGGGGAGACCCGGCTTTCACCTCGCCCTGAATCTCCGCTAGCCACCCATCAACTTCTCAAGTTCCTACGCTCGCAATCACTCACATCCAGCCACTATTCCCACAGCCATACCACAATCCCAAGGACCGCGTTGATCGCCCTCGTCCTCCCACCAACACCCGCCTACCATGTCAGACCGGAAAGCCGTCATCAAGAATGCGGACATGAGCGAAGAGATGCAGCAAGACGCTGTAGACTGCGCAACGCAGGCCATGGAGAAATACAACATCGAAAAGGACATCGCGGCCTTCATCAAGAGGGAGTTTGACAAAAAGTACAACCCTACATGGCACGCTATCGTCGGCAGGAATTTCGGGTCTTATGTTACCCACGAGACGAAGGTGTGTTTTGGAGTTCGGTCTCATGTAGTTGATATGACGCGTTTGTCTCATCCCTTCTTCTGCGTTTTCAGCACTTTATCTACTTCTACCTCGGTCAAATCGCTATCCTTCTGTTCAAGGTAGGCTACAGAATGCGCTCTTATTATTCTCAGTTTGGTACCCTCGCCTAACCACCCCTCTCCTTGTCTAGTCCGGATGATACATCCCTGAGACATCCCGATGTTCCGACGGAAGACACTGAAAGAATTCGATTTGCGAAAACAGAATCAGTTGTACTATAAAATAATTTATGTTTCCTCTTTTCTCTTGGCTGCTGGTGTATCGTTTCGTGTTGTGGAAATCACTTAGCGAGTGGATCTGGAGGACTCCGGGATTTCTCCCGGTGCTGGGCTATGTTTGAATCCCTCCCGCCTGTGAAGCTTCATTCCAACCACACCAGCTTCGTCTCAATCCAATGATGTACATGATTAAAAAGAGTAAATGAACATGACAAAATAAAAACAAGTAAGGAACAAAGATGAATGCGCACATCTAATCGTGAGAACGGGATATCGCAAGGAGTCGAGGGAAGAGGGGTATCAAAAGCGTGGAACCAAAGATGCTACCTAAACCCAGCAGCAACCCCCGCCGGCGCAGCCGCAGTCCCATTCCCGCTAACAACATTCGCCGCCTCCATCCGCATATCATCCGCAACCAACTTCCACACCTTCCCCTTATCCTTCCACCGCATCCGTTTCGCGTCCCGTTTCGCCACTCGGGCAAGTGCGAGCAGATCACCCGCCGGTGGTGCGGGTGGTGGTGCATGTCCCGCAGACAAGGCAGGCACGCTCCGCCGCCTCAGTTTCCACAACACGGGGCTAGAGGCCTTGAGCAGGGACGCAATCCCGGGGAAGATGTAGTGTTCCCCGGCCCAGGAGAGGGCCCAGTCGAGCATGGCCACGGTGAAGATGGTCATGCGGGCGGGGAAAGGGATGGGAATGAGGTCGAGGATTTTGGCGATCGGGGCGGGTGGGGAGAGGGTGATGAAGGTGGCGAAGGAGAAGAGGGTTATGACCGTTGTTAGGAAGGGGACTGATGGGATGGGAGAGGAAGATATGATTCAGTTTACGGCGGAAAATAATAAGAATAACAAACCAAATACCCAACTATCCCGAAACTCACCATTCTTCCACATACTAGCCCGATAAGGCGGCCCGACACAAAACGCGACCGCGACCGCAATATACTGAAAACAACTCAACAAGAACACCGTCGTATTCTCATAACTCTGATACTGGCGGTCATCCACATCCCCCTTCGGCTTCTCATAAAAAGGCTGTCGTCGGATCCACATAAACATCGCCAGTTGGAACCCGGCTTGGATGACGACCTGGCAAATCAGCGACGTGAGGACTTTGCGCGACACGAGGCTGGCGGTGGGGCGTTTGCGGAAGATCCGCGGGTGGGCGCCCGAGCGGCCCATGAAGACCGCGATGGGGATGATGAGGGCTAGGTCGATGAAGAGGAACTGGAAGTCGCCGAGGTTGCCCGCGAGTGAGTAGAGGAGGGAGACTGAGGTGAATTGGATAAGCGAGTAGAGGGCCATGTACTTGAAGCAGCTGAAGGAGGTGACCAGGGCCGCGCGGCCTTCGCGGATCACCCGGAGGACGCAGTCGAGGTCGGTTGAGCGCGAAGTGAAGGGCGCTGCGACGGAGGCTTCGGCTTCGGAGAGGGAGAGCCCGACGTCGGCGGCTTTGAGGGCTCCGCAGTCGTTGGCGCCGTCGCCACAGAAACCGACGCAGTAGCCTAGTTCTTGGAAGTTCTCGACTAGGAAGTGCTTTTGGTCGGGGGACATTCGCGCGTAAATCTGACCCTTGACGAGCATCTACAACGAGGCGGCTCGTCAGTTTTACAAGTCAAGTTGTGAAGACCGTAGTGCACATACCCTGTTGAAACTGTCATCCGAGCCACACTCCAACATCCACTGGAACACGTCTCCCGTAACAGCGAGATTGTACTCTCCAACCTTCGCAGCCACAGAATTGATATCCACTCTGAACTCATCAGTCTCGCTCCGGTTGGAACTACGGTCATCCACGTCGTTGTACGGCACGACGAGGGAGTCGTTGTTGGCTTGCCCCGGCTCCGACGGGGGTCGCGTTAGGCGTGTCGGTGGTAAGACAGGCTGGTAGACGGGCAGAAAGAATTATCATCAGTGCTTGTAAGAAGTTGACATTGACTCCATACCCATTTAACAGTAAACTTGTAAGGTCCCTTACCAAAAGCGTCTCAGGGTCAAGTGTAGCACCACTCCCATCAACATCTTCCCACACCAGCTTCGCATCCTCAGACGACGGTGGTATGCCAGGTAAAAAATGGGGCACAAATGTCTTTTCCGAAGGGTCCACTAGCCCACACTCTCGCGACACCGAGATGGCCGTCAGAACATTGTCACCTTTTCGAGCAAGCCACAGAGTTAACACTACTCCTTCACCATTCATCAGGTATCTCCAGACATCATACCTGTGCACATGACCTCCCTAATCCTCGCCCTCCTCAATGCATTCACAACCGGCGCAGTCCCCGGCTTAAGCTTATTCTCAAACACAATAAACCCAAGGAACTGCAATTCACACTCCACAAGCTCGCGTTTCATCCGCAACACTTTCGCATTTGTCAGTCCATCGATGCGGCGCCACGCACAGGCAATCACGCGATAGCCGTGGTGCGCGTAATCGTTCAGTTGCTGGTCATAATCGCCCGGTAGGGATTCGGGGGTGCAGATGGAGCGCATGATTTCGGGTGCGCCCTTGACAAAAACCTCGAATTCCTTGTCGGCGGTCGGGCTGTGGGCCGTGCTACGGCCGTTGGCGGTAGCGGTGGGCGCTTCATCGTAGCGGAGACGGCGGACAATGACGGACATGCGGCGGAGGGTGGACACGAACTCGAAAGATTTGATGACTTCGAGTTCCGTGTAGGTCTTTTTTGTGGGTTTGTGCGATCCCGTGCCGTTGACGTCCCATTCGGCGCGTTGGAATTCGACCGAGTCCGGCGGACGGACGATCACCCCGCCTTTTTGTTTGGCGGAGAGCGGCCGGCCACTGTTCAGTACTTCGACATTGCCGCCCTCGTCTATGTTCCAGCCCGTAAACTCAAACATTTTCAGGTCCATCGGGTCTCCAATCAGTTCGTCGTTCACTACCTTGATGGAGTGGCAGGTGGCCATGACGCAGACAATCAGTGGGTATGGGAAGTCCGGCTCGGAGCCGTTGGGATGGCCCGACGTCACACCCAGAGCGACGGACATGCCCGACATCGATCGGTCGAGGAGATCTGGCCGACTGCGTGTGAACGTGTCGTACGATGTCTCCACTTTGCGTCCGTGAAGGGCACCAGAGGGTATCACGTCAACTACGGCGCGGTACAGGGTTGAGAACCGCAGCGGGACTTTGACGGCAGCGTCTCCCCCCGTCGTGTTGGGGACAGTGAAACGGAAACCGAGGACATCGAGTCCTTCCTCCGTTAGAGTGCCAGTCTTGTCGAACGCGATAAGGTCTAGTTTCCCGCACATATTGACGCGCGGTGGGCTAGTGCAGTAAATATCGCCCTTCCGGAGGCGACCGATGGCGAAACTGGTTCCAATAGCCATGGTAGCTGGCAATGCCGGCGGCACAACGATGGTAATCAGATCCAACGCACGAATGATGATCATGGCGGGGGCGACGTGGAGCAGGATGAAATTGTAGAACGAGCCGAGGAATCCGAACCCAGCGATCAGTCCCATGACGCCGATGAACCGGAAGGAATCTCGATAGAACTTGAACGTGTTGGGTTTGGGAAACATCATGGATCGGACGAGACTGCCTTTGGTGGTGTTGAACCCGGTGCGGACAGCAAGCGCGAGCGCGCCTGGCTCGGCTTGTGTCGCCGTACGTTGGAGGTTCTGGTCACTACCATTGGGTGTGGTAGTTCCCGACCGATTGTTGCCCGCGCGGACACGGATGATCTTTGTTCCCGCAAAGACGAAGAACCGAGACATTCGGCTGCTGCTCGCTGGATCTTCTTCCCAGATGTCCATCGTGCGCAGTTCCGAGTCCTTGATAGGGGTCTTTGAGACTGGAACGCTTTCGCCCGTCAACATACTTTCGTTGACGATGCAGTCTCCCTGAAGTAAGACGCCGTCGCACGGGAAGACCGGCAGCATGCCGGGTGTAACTTCGTATATGTCACCAGGCACGATATCGTCTGACTTCATGACGCGCCATTGGCCAGCACGGAACACTTTGACGTCGCAACTAAATCGCGACAGTTCGCGCAATCGCCGCATCGTTTCCCTCGTCTCGATCAAGGTCGCGATAGCAGACGTGGTGGATATCAAAGCGATACACGCCGCGTAATAGTAGTAATCATCCAAGCACCACAGGATGATACTGGCGACTTGAAACACGTAGAAGGGGTTGAGCACTTCGTCCATGAGCAGACGGAAGACCGGCTTCTCGGCGATAACGACGGCATTATCCCCAAACACCTGGTGCCGTTGTGAGGCAGTAGGAACGTCTATGCCTCGGAGAGTCTTCTCCACTGATGTCCACCTGTGATCTCTCCAGTAAGAGTTTTGCGCAAATTGTCCAAGAATGGGGTTATAAATAAAGCGCATGTATCGGTAGTGGAACGAGATCAGTTGATGAAGAGGGCTAGCGCGCAAATCAACGTCGTTCGTGAGAGTGGTGGCTTGGCCCTCCCTGGAAACAGGCCCTTGTTGGAACACATCGGCGATCGAGCCATCGAAGTCCACGCATGCAACGGGGAGAACTTCCATCTGGTTCCATTGGTTTGTCACGGCGACGTGACTAGCCTCCACAAGTGGGCACTTGCGCATGGTGAAGGCCAGCTCCCATTTCGGTATCCAGCGACACAGCAGCCACAGTATTCCGGCAGTGAAGAAGCACAGCACTTTGTAAAGAATCCTTCCATAGCCAGAGACGCGATAGCCTTTGATGAAGATCCGAACATCCTCATCCACTTCGTATTCCTGCTCACAGAGATGGGCAGCCGCGCCATCATTGACCTCTGATCCAGACAAGATCGCGTATCCATTTCCGGCGGCCTGGCCTCGCGAAGGGGTATCCGCTCGAGCGGTGCGACTGGCCATGGCGGCTGCTCGCTGTGGTAGACGTGCGGCCGCTTTTCCTTTGAGCATCTGCACTTTCGACTTTTGCTGCCGAACCAAATCCTCCTCGTCGTCATCGTCGTCGTCGCCTTCTCCATCATCTTCTACGTCCTCGGCAATGATAGGTGGGATATCGATAGGCGCTTCGTCGTCTTTGCCGTTTTCGTGACCTACACCATTCTCTTCAACACCAAGGGCGGCATCCAAGGTTGATTGGGGTGCGAAGCTGCCATACAGCAAGGTGTCAGGGTCCGGAGGAAACTCGTTTGAACGCGACGGAGTTATAGCCAGGTCCTCGAGGTACTCTAGTCGTTCCCCGTAGGACTCTGACCGAGACGACCGCCTGACTTGCGGAACCGGGCCCATTCGAAGGGCCTCTGTCGGACTGACTGCCGTTGTGATGGAACTGGGATGTTACAAGAGTTGGAGGTCCTTGCAAACTCACGCACAGTACCAATGCACGAAATAGAAGGTGTGCGGTACTTGAAGCTGATACTCGTCCTATAATGAGCGATAGTTGTAGGTATGGGTCAGTGTCAGTCGAAAATTCACAATCGAGGATCTAGACAAGAAAAAAGCGACCCCCGGGCTGCTCATCCACCCGGTCCACCAAGGAGGTCTCTGCGCGTCACACACAAGTCTAAACTCACGGCCATACCTGAATAAAAGACAAAAGGCCTAGGAAATGGGCGGCCCAGTTGTCGACGAGGATAGTTGAGCAAGTGTAAGTGTGTAGTCACCGCATTTGTGTATGCGACGAGGATGATCCAAGGGACTTGGAGAGTGAAAAAACACAGGTTTCGAGAAGCCGAAAACTTCGGGAAAGCGCTTCTTCAGATTCCTCTCCTGAGTCTCCTCAGCGTGTGCACTGTGCATGATAACGGATGACTCACTATGACTATATACACGGACCCGCTGCGCATGACATCGACAGGTGGAACCAATCGACTGACAGTTTCTGCGTTGAAGATCAATCGAGATGGACGCAATACCCTCAGTGTATACAGTACGCTCGCTCGGTCTTCAGCGACCTTGCAATGCTAAATACGGCAACTCTTTCTAGCCTTGCGTCGCAAGGGATTTTAGCATCTGAGCCCGCCCGTCCGTGTGACTCCAGATATGAGGTTGCTCAAGACGAGTTGAAGCGGCGCTGGTGAGGCAGCGAAAAGACAGGCCCAAATCCCCATGCATCCGGCGAAATGTTCGAGATAAGTGACATTGGATCGCTCGACTATACTACCAATCATATTTTCAAAACATCACTACGCTTTTCTCATCACAGCCCGCTATAGCGCCTGGTAGCCTTGCGTGTCCCCGATCGGATTGTCTAATAACGCCTGAAGATAAAATCAAATTGGTAAGCGATCCATACACTTGCCTCATCTTCTAGTTTGACCCGAGAGTCCCTCAAGATCCAGTTCCTGGTAGAGCGTTCGACCATCTAGCATCTCCATTCAATGATGGCCGACAGCTCATCAAGCCCGGGTAGCTCCAGAGATGGGTCCACTGCCAGCTTCAGCTTAAGCTCCAGCGTTCCTAGCTGAGCTCTTTCCCAGGTCCGAGGTCCCAAGCCCAGAATCCCCGTGTCGAGTCCCAAGTTCCCCAGAAACGACTCCAGTCCGGATGCCAGACTCTCTTCCGAGCGACCACAGAAGACCATCATGCTATTGCGTACCTGGGGGATGCGGGACGACGAGAGTCGTATCCGTCTCGAGGTCCATCGCGTGGACCATCGCGTCCTCGAGGGCCGTCATCAAAGCGGCGCGGAGGAGAACGACCACCGTCCCTGTAGCCGCCTCCACCCCTAGGAGGCGAGTAATCACGGCGGCTACCAGATCGGGGTTCGCCACCGCGGTAGCCTCTAGGGGATGGAGAACGACGACGGGGCGGGGCACCACCAGGCGATCGAGACCTTGAGCGGCCGTAACGAGGAGGGGGGGAACGGTCCCTGTAACCACCACCACCACCGCCACCACCACCACTTTTGTGCAATAAGTTTTGAAAATGTTAGTCAATGCTATGAGCCAACACATCGGAATATGTGCCCTTACCGGCAGTATTTGGCCAAATGACCAACGTTTCCACACTTGAAGCAACGACCAGAACGGACATCCAAGCCTTTATCCTGGTTCTCAGGGCATTCCCGCACCCAGTGGCCAGTGCCACCACAGATGAAGCAGCTAGAGTTGTTGGCAGATGACCTCCTTGAAAACTCTACGATGAGCCTCCTGCCTTCGAAAGGATGATCATGCAGATGCTTGACGGCGTCTTCGGCATCCCGCGGGTCGTCGTATTCCACGAAGCCAAAACCGGCCGGCTTGATCTCCACGTTCAGGATTCTTCCGTAGCGGGCGAACAGATCTTCGAGATCGCGAAGACTTCCGTGAGGGGAAATTTGGCCGACGTACAGCTTGACTGGACCAGGGCCCGTAGGGGCAGCGGGCGGCTCATCTGAGCGTGGACGAGACATAATTGCTTTGGGATTTGACGATGATCTGCTGGGGTCGTCACGGAATTAGCAAACCGTACTGAAGCTAGTGATGCGCAGTGCCGTTGTGATGTCAACGAGTGCCCCGTCCAAACTACCCCAAACTGAAAAATAAGACTAACCGTGAGTGACAGTGACAAGAGCAAGGTTCCCCAGGGATTTATCGTTGGGAGGAGTGTGTTGTCCAAGTGTTGGGGAGAGCAAAAAGAGACTCGCAGGCAATTCCCTGGTCAGGTCGCGGAGGCACGTCTGGAAACTTGGAACGCTTGGAATTTGCCAGGGAATTTGCACTTCTTCAAGGCTTCAGACTGGCTTCAGACAGCTTCAGAAGGCTTCAGACCTCAAAGATTAGTTCTCTTTCCCACATTACAGCACGGGCATAACACCTAGAATTTTGCAACTGCCAGCGAAGACTACGGGCATATTCCTTTGATATCCGCAACTACCTATAACCGGTACAGCTTTCCCACTAAAATAACAACCAATGGACGTCGACAATTCCTCAGGGACGACCGCCAACGGGGCCGTCGCCTCCTCCAGCTCCGCAGGCGGATTCTCCTTGGACGCAGACACGTTCAAAAAGATCCACCCTACGGAATATCACAGAAGATTTCTTTCGCAAGGGGTTCGGGCTGACGGCAGGGAGCTACTGAGATTCCGGAAGGCAATAGTCACTGTAGGTGCGTACAGTAGCGTGTATGTGCGAGGACTAGGCGATGGAAAGGGGAGAGGCAGCAACTGGGCGTCAACATGGGAAGGAGGCTGGAATGATATGGAGGGCGTTTGGAAGGCGGCGAAACCCGCCGAAATATCGCCCTACTTCGCGTGTTGACATTTTCCTGACTCATGGTCGTTTCGTAGGAGTAATCAGTACAGCGCATGGATCTGCAATGGTTCGCTTGGGTGATACTACGGTCATATGTGGTGTGAAAGCTGAAGTCACGGAGCCGAAACCCGCTGCCCCAAAGCATGGATTTTTGGGTATGTTGCAGGTTCCTTCTGTCAGTTCCCGCTTCGGTTCCCTAACTTACTTGATTCCACAGTGCCTAATGTCGACCTCCCACCGATCTGCTCCCCAAATTCCCGACCAGGACCTCCTAGCGAGCTTGCGCAAACCGTTAGCGAGTACATCGATCAAGTCGTGAAGGGCAGCGAGCTTCTCAATGCCCAAGATCTGTGCATCGAACCCGGGCACGCCGTCTGGGTGTTGTACGCCGACATTGTGTGTCTGAATCATGATGGGAACATTTTGGATGCTGCGTTGATAGCATTGGGAGCCGCATTGCGGCATGGTACGTGGAATGCGTTCTTGGTGTGCTTTGCGATATCCAACTCACTTCCTTCTTTTGCAGTACGACTACCGAAAGCAACCTATAACGATGAGTTGGGAGGGACAGTTCGTGTCGCCGAGGAGAAGACGATCGCATTGAAGATTAGGAGGTCACTGGTACCCGTCACGTTTGGCGTATTTGATAGGTATGACTCCTTCAGCAGGGCTTCACACGTGGTTGGCGAGAATGTGGCGAGAAGGTTGGCGATAAGGTTGCCAAGGGAGATTCGCGCGGGAAGACGCCGAACTGGAGGAAGGAGGCGAGGCCATGGCAGCCATGGCCAGAGGCCAGCTCAGAATAAGACCGAGGAGACGTCGAAGACTTCCATCTTTGTCGCAAACTTGCCGGAAAGCCTCGAGGAAGAAGAGCTAGCCTCCATCTTCGAAGACTACAGCGTCACCTCGGTCAACATAGTCCAGGTCCACATCGGCCGCTCCAGAGGGTTCGGGTTCGTCGACCTGGCGAATTAGGGAGCAACAGAAAGAGTTGCAGGAGCTGGTCATTAAGGTCGATATGGCTTGCCAGACCCCGCCCGCGAAGGATGGGGACGCTACATCTGCTGAAGATCGGGAGCGACGGTCTGGAGAGGAGGATGAGCCGGAGTCTTTGTTAAGATCAGGAGCAGCCTTCTGGGAAGGAGGAGGAGCCGAAATTTGCTGAAGATCAGGAGCCGTAGGCAGAAACCCTTTTATCAAGATGACTTACAAATCCTTACTTCTTGTTTTCCGTTTCGCACAGCATAACGCCGTTAGCCGACCCGACCTTCGATGAAGAACCGCACCTGTCCTCGCGCATCAGCTACATCCTCTCCCACCTATCTACCTCCACACCGTCAGACGCCATACAACTTGCTGGCTTGTACAACCCAGGCGGGGCACCCGTTACGCGAGCAACAATGACTACTTGCTTGGCGCAAGCGAAGAAGCGGGCAAAGGAAATCCTGGCGCTCGTTGATGAGGCGTTTACGGATGTCATTGGCGTATAGATGTCGTAGTTATGGAGCTGTATGTAGGGTGACTGCAGGGTCTCGCTGCCATGTCTTCCGTGTGAACGCTTTCACACTTATATCCTTTGCCTTTGACGACCAGCGCGTAATTTATGGATTGTTTAGAGGGACTTACCTTGTGTCGCCTACCGACTGAAAGCAGAGGGTGCTCAGGGAGCAAAGATTTGGAGACGCCGACCGACGATGGACATCATTTCCAACGTCGGATCCAACGTCTGGCAGACGTTCGTTCGCTTTTTGATGGGCAACTTGATCATTAAAACTGTGTCGGGTGCCTCACTGAAAGTCCATCCTCTCAATTTGCGACAGAGCGGAAATAGGATCTAGGGAATGTTCTGTGCTTACGTCACGGTCGCGGCGAGTCGTGGACTGGCGGCCTGCGATCGAACCGTGAAGGCAGAAACCACACCGCAATTGCTGTCCAACGTTTCAAAGAGTTCATCAGGTTGTAAAGGCTCACGAGACGCATCCACAGTGGTAGGTTCAGACGCTTAGTTGTTCACCTTCATCGAAGCTTCCTGCTAATGCGGTTGGTCTGCTCCGTTTTAGCACTGAGATCACTGAAGCGGAGTGGGAAATCCGTCGAAGCGGAGTCGATCTTGCGGAACAGACGAAGGATGGGCGTTGTAACTAATTTAACGTTATTCGCGGAGATCGGGGTGGCCGCTGTAGCGGCAGTAGTGTCGCTGATATTAGCACTACGACTGGTATCGCCATCACCGAGGAGCGCAACAGAGGAGGAACTGCATTATGCAGACGTCGTCACCAACGAACGGCGGCGATTCCCCAACCTTCTCGAAAAGCAACCATTCAACGACGCAGCAGGCGCCACATCACCCAACCGGCGGGCATCCCTCGACATCACACTTTCCGTCATCGTTCCCGCATACAACGAGACCGTTCGGCTGCCGACCATGCTCGAAGAGACGTTAACGTATCTGGATAAGCGGGCCACAGGGGATGCAACTTTCAATTACGAGATCGTGGTGGTGGACGATGGGAGTAAAGACGCGACTTCGGAGACTGCGAGGAAAGTCGCAAAGGCACATTCACAAAATTCTGGTGTGAAGGCACCGTGGGAGCGTCGGGAGTTGCGGGTGTTGACGTTACGGAAGAACAGGGGAAAGGGCGGGGCGGTGACGCAGGGGATGCTGGCGGCTAGAGGGAGGCTCCTGCTCTTTGCAGACGCGGATGGTGCGACGAAGTTTGCGGATATTGAGAAGTTGGAGGGTGCTTTGGAGAAGGTTTCTGAGAACGGGTTGGGAGTGGCTGTCGGTTCGAGAGCGCACATGGTTTCCGCTGCGGCTGTTGTGCAGGTGCGTAACCCTGTACTTTTTGCAAGTAGTCCGAAAGCGAGCAGTTTCATTGACGCCTTGTCCCTCCAGCGATCCTTCATCCGCAACTTCCTGATGCACGGCTTCCACACCATCCTCCTTGTCCTCGGCATCTCCAGCATCAAAGACACCCAATGCGGCTTCAAGCTCCTCACCCGCCCCGCCGCGCAACACGTCTTTCCTAACATGCACGCCGAGGGCTGGATCTTCGACATTGAGCTACTGCTCATCGCGCTCAGCTTGCGGATACCCGTCGTGGAAGTGCCTGTCAATTGGCATGAAGTGGAAGGCACGAAGATGTCGTTGATGAGGGATTCGGTTGTAATGTTGATTGATTTGTTGGTTATTCGCGCCAACTATGTTCTTGGGTTTTGGAGGGTTAAGAGGCATAAAGTGAAGGATTCATAGAGTGGGGTGGGATTGGAGAATTGCGGGCCCATAGAGGATAGACAAAACAAGAGTTGGAGACAAACGATAGATGGAAAAGCATTTTAGACTCTGCTGGATACCACTTTGTACATCACTTCACATTAGCACATCGATTGCTCGTCTCATACTCGAAGGATACACCAAATCCGATTGATTGACGTTGGAAAAAAATCTATGTGACGATTCTGCCCCAAAGGCAAAGTATACAAAGGATAAAACATACCCCGAACAGGACGAAAGCTAGCCGTCCAGCGTACGCAGTCCCGGGGTCAACCACGACGACCTCAGCCAATGGGATCCACCCATGGACATGGACGTGGACATCAAACCTGGAAACTCAGCCGATTTTCTCGTCGCTTGTGTCGTGGCCGATATAGTGTGTAGCAACCGGTCAGGAAAGCGAAGCCGAGGAGGATGAAGATGAAGGCATCGTAACCGTATTGGATTCCGCGGAGGTTTTGCATTTGGACGCCGAATATTGCTGTGGGAGGGAATTGGGGTTTTATCAGCCGCAATCTTCGAGACAGCGTTAGAGGAGACCCCGGCCGTCTCCTTACATTGATTGGAAGTATATCGCGCAAACTTTGCGAACGCCAACGTGCAGAATTGTGCCACCGACATAGAGCAAATGAGCACCACTCCCGTGTTGAAGACGATAGAGTTCATCAACGACTCGCCCACCCTGAAACGCACACAGAAGTCAACATCACCCATCCTCTCCACCACGCAACATCAGCAATCAGTCATACCTCAGAGGGTGAATCGGCAAAAAGAACACCTTCATCCCCAACGTCGCCACGCCCTTCAGCACGCACGCAAGAAGGTAGAACGAGAATAGGGCGTAAAACACCGTTCCGACAAAGGGAACGTCGTTGACGGCGTTTAGGAAGTTGTTGAGGAAGGGGTGGTACGGGTTTTGGTGGAGTGCCCAGGGGATTAGATAGAGGATGATGTGGATGAACCAGACGAGGGAGAGGATAGAGCTGGGGGCAAGCCATCGTCAGTATGGAGGCGAGGGGTTTTCAGGGGCCCAAATGAAATAGCGGTCTCATCGAACTTACCCGATGATCCCCGCAATGAACAGTCCCAGCTGGAGCAAGAAATTCCCCCCCTGGTTCCTATAACAATCTTCTAACGTCCGATAATGCAGCTCCAAAATAATAACATCCTTCCTGAACTCATTCTCCCTATTCTTCAGCCTCCTCCAGCTCCGCCCACTCAACCCACTCCGATTTGCCGCCCTCAACTCCTCATTTAGCGTTTTCCCAGCCTCCATGAGCAGTACGGAGTTTCGGCCGATTTCCTTTTTTGTCTCTTTGTACTCGTTCGCTGTGATGGGTTTTGGGCGGTGCAGGAACTGGGAGACCCAGTCGTGGGGCAGGGCGACGAGCCCGACGCCGCCGAAGATGGAGAAGAGCACCCAGCCGACGAAGGAGACGATGGCGACGATGTAGACTAGGACTGAGACGCTGGCGTGGATTGTGCCTGGTTGGCGATAACACTATAAAATACACATCGAAGGTGAGTGAAACTATATTAATTCCCACTGAAGGCTCTCGGAGCGCACCTGAGTAAAGCCCGTCAGCGCCACATTCGTGGTTCTCCCACAATACGCGACTGAAGCCGCAAAGCTCATGTCGGACCCGGGAGTCAGCACCCCAGTCAATCTCGTCGCTTTTACGTCCGCGTATCCCGAAAACCAGTAAAGAGCTGCGATAACTCCAGCAGAAAAGACAAGAATTGGTACGAGCCATTTGAGTGCGTATCCGAAGGCGGATGGCGTGGATCTGCATTAAGAGGCGTTTGTAAGCCGTTCAACTCCCGGCTATAATGAAAGGGCAGTCATGCGAAGACAACACATACTTCTGATCCCCATCATCCTCGTCAGATCCCTCGTAGAAGAACACCGTGAACGGTACGATGACAAGACACCATATAACGGTGACGATGTAGAATGCTATACTTATTTGCGTCATCGGTATTTTCCCTGGTGCGTCTAATTGTCCCTTTTGATTCGCGACGTCCAGTGGTAACAGGAAGATATTATAACATGCTATTGACAGTCCGAGGACCTGTGATTCGAAGGATGCAATCAATCGCTCGTTCACAGCGCCGATCACCCGAGGCAAGCTGGGCAGCTCAAGAAAAGCGCATCAGAACGTACCACTATGACTTTTGGGAACCAGGCCACCCATTTGTCGTCCGGATGTTGAAAGTATACCAAGAAGTAGATCGACGCTATGATCACCAGTATGGCAAAAACCACCGTCGTCAGGACGAGGACGACGTCAACGTGGACCATTTTTGCTGAGGCCTGCCGTGTAGAGGCCTGTGGGCCTCAATGCTAGGGGATGTTCCTCAAACCGACGGATTTGGTTTGGTCTAAGCACACGCCCAGAATACTGGGTGAAGCGTTCTAGTGAGAATTATAATAGCCGAGAAATCATCGAATGCGCTGTTGGTTCAATAATCTGCCACCCGTCCCAAAGTCTAATAGTATCTGATCTCGAGGATTGGGGGCACTGTCAAACCCAGTCCGCTCGCTTACCAAATATATTCGGCGCGATACTTTAAACTTAGTCCAAAACTCGTGGTCTCACGGGACTCTTGTGGCTTGTGACAAGGGCCTACCCCCGAGGAGATCGTCTGTCGGCGTATCTCTCTGTGCGGCGTCTCAGAAGAGGATGATTTAAGATGCGTCATCACCATGTAATCGCGCTATCTCCCATTGGCATGCGCGAGTCCCCCGTTCAGTTCCCAGCACCACCACACGTTTTCTCTGTCTTTTTCTCGAGGGAGTTTCTCCGACCTTCATCAACCAAAAAGAAGGGAAATCCCTACTCTGTATATTTTAGCGCATCCCGTTCTCCGTCGGGCCTCTTGTCACACCGATCTCCTTCTGCCTCTTATTACGCTCTTTCGCTGCTGCGACTGACGTTTTGCGACTGACGTTTTGCTTCCGTCGCCTTTTACTTCCTTTTCCCAGCGTTCTTTCCCACCCGGCTGAACGCTCCTCAACTTACTTCAACTCAGCCCACCTTGCTTTGCGGTTCGCCATATCGAATGTACTCCCACTCTGCCGAAAAGGTTTCAAGCGACTATATCAGCGACCAGGTATGTGCACCGCGACGACGGGGAGAGTGGGAGCTTTCACGCGTATTGTGACCTTGTCGGCCCACGCAATGACAACTATTCCAGCCTCCTCTAACGCCATTTGCTTTTCTTCACCTCCCTTTTTCCGTCATGCCAGGTTTACAAGACTGCCGAATACCAGTGAACTCCTTTGCTCAGCCAGTCATATATCTTTTTGAGATATAACGTTGGCCACATTGAAAATCGTCTAGCAACACCTACGAAACCAAAAATTCGCACTGGTTATTCTGTCAGAAATGCAAACCGTAGTCAAAAAGGTTGCTCCCTCGACCCTCTTCGGGGTGTCCCGAGCCCTGATGCGTCGCAGCTGCACTCCTCTGGCTGTGACAGCGTCCCCGGTCGCCCTGAGCGGGACGCGTCTCCTTGCTTCCGTATCAGGAGGAAACCCTCGCCTCAAGGCCCAACTCGACAAGACGGAAAAGGCCAAGAAACACCAGCAATACGTCGCCCAGTCTGTGCCAGAACCACCTCGCTTGCCTGCTACTTTGCGGTTACAGACGGGCCAAACTTTCGCTGCTACTTCTTTCGGTGCGCCTCTCAAAGGAAAGGAAAACAAGGTCGGAGGCGAAATCGTCTTCACGACGGCCCTTGTCGGTTATCCCGAGTCCATGACCGACCCATCGTACCGTGGACAAATCCTCGTGTTTACCCAACCTCTCGTCGGCAACTATGGTGTACCTGGCCAAACCCGTGACGAATTTGGCTTACTCAAGCACTTCGAGGCCGATGGGATTCAAGTTCAAGGCATCATCGTCAGTGATTACGCAGCGAAATACTCCCATTGGAATGCCGTCGAGTCGTTGGGCCAGTGGTGCGCTCGTTACGGAGTTCCTGCGTTGACAGGCGTTGACACTCGCGCCGTCGTCACATTGTTGAGGGAACGCGGATCTACATTGGCAGAAATCTGCATTGGTGACAACTCCCCGACAGACCTGCGGGAAAGTGCCCCTATTGAGACGAAAGACCCTAACGCGAAGAATCTCGTAGCTGAGGCGTCAACCAAGACGGTGACATTGTACAATCCGGACGGCGATAGCACAATCCTGCTCATCGACTGTGGCGCCAAGCAGAACATCATTCGCTCGCTCGCCAAGCGCGGAGCCCGCGTCATGGTCGTCCCATGGAACTTTGACATCGTTCGTCACTACAACGCCATTCAAGAGGCAAGCAGCACTTTTGCGAAACCTGGTGCCAACACCTCACACGCATTCGATGGTATCTTCCTCTCGAACGGTCCTGGTAACCCACAAGCGGCCTACCAGACTGCTCGCAACCTCCGTGCCTTCATGCAACTCCCACAAGCCAAGACCTTACCCATGTTTGGCATCTGCATGGGCAACCAACTCATGGGTCTGGCCGCCGGGTTCGGTTCGTACAAGCTCAAGTACGGCAACCGCGGCCACAATCAGCCTGCCATCAACCTCGTGACGGGCAAATGCGTCATCACGTCTCAGAACCACGGTTACGCCCTCGACGATACGAGCGTCGCGACCGGACACCCTGTTCCTGAAGATTGGATCCCCTTCTTCCGCAACGCTAATGATGGTTCAAATGAAGGAATTCGTCACGTCGCCCACCCATGGTCGTCCGTCCAGTTCCACCCCGAGGCCATGGGAGGCCCTCTCGACACGGACTACCTCTTTGACGAGTTCTTGAGCGATGTCAGGGAATACAAGAAGCGCCGCAACCTTAACCGACTCATCCCGGGTCGCGAGGCTGAGATTGGTGCCACTCGCATCGAGGAGGAATCACAGCCGCTGTTGAAGAAGCGCGGAACTGTTGCATGAGACTCCGTGTGTCTCTTCCTGGCCTACGTCAGTCGCCTTACGTCGATATGTAGTGCTCTATCCTCTCCCTCTCTGTCATGTGATCCTTCATCATTCGTTTCTTTTGCATCACTTTCTACTGCTAGTCAGTAGCTTTGTCTTCCTCCTTGTGCATGTTGTCATAAGAAGCTCATGTCTTCACACTTTCTGGTCAAAGTAATAAAGCTTTTCTTGGTCCATATCGATGCTTGTGATCCCACCGGCTGTGTCGCTCAGTTGGACTGCCACGACACCCACCACAGAAGGAAAAAGGAACTCGATGGCACACCAGTCCTTCAAGATTCGACTGAGAATAAATATGACGTCTAGGGTATACTCAAAGAAATGCACAAAAATCCTTGAAAATCCAAAAAAGAAAATGGAAGCAATCGTCCTAAAACCGCCAGCAGTGAACGCCAGCGCTATGAGCCGACGATTGCTAAAGGATTCTCATCCCATACGGGGAGCTATACGGAGGGTTCCCGTAAAAAAAAACCAGTGCGCCACGCCCCGTCGTTGCATCTATAGTGCGCCCGTGAGAAAGACAGGCGCTACGTCTTCCCGTCCTTCATCAGCCATTTGGCCAAAACATGCGCGAGGGCGCTCAGCTTGACCGGCTTTGCCACATGATCGTTCATCCCGCAGTCGAGGCATTTCGCCACATCGGACGCGAGAGCGTTTGCCGAGACTGCTATGACGGTCATGTCGCGCAGGTTTGGATTGTCGGATTGGCGGATGCATCGGGTGGCTTCGTACCCGTCTTTCCTGTTGAATAATGTTCATGAGCATTACGCATATCACAAGAGACGTACAGATAGAGGCCGGGGAACCGTACTGTGGCATATGACAATCCATTAGAACAACGTCGAACCGGGTGTCGCTGTACAGATGCTGTAGGGCTTCGTTTCCATCTGCTGCAATCGTATACTAGAATCACAGAAATGGGGATGTTGGATTATGGGTTGTGATATTATGAATACAGCATGTTCACTCACCCGCATTCCCAGCTTTTGCAGCAATTTCGAGAGGATGATCTGGTTGATTTGATTGTCCTCGGCTACGAGCGCGTGGAAACCCGCCAAACGCTCTGAGTCGGCTCGGGTGAGCTGCGGGCGCAATTGAAGGCTGTGCGATACAATACACTGTCAGCTCGACCGACACACGCACAATGCGAATTTTGTTCAGCGGCATACCCATTGGAAGATTTCCCAGCAATCCGAAATGGGATAATGAAATAAAACGTAGACCCTTTCCCTTCGACACTTTGCACCCATATTTTGCCTTTCATGAGCTCGACGAGGCCCTTGCATATTGACAATCCGAGGCCAGTGCCGCCGAAACGCCGGCTAGTCGAAGCTTTTACCAGCACGAGATCTCGAGATCAGTATCGGGTCACATCAAAACAGTATGAAAGTGAAAGAGCGCCTTGAACCTACCTTCTGCCTGATGGAAAGGCCGAAAGAGGCCCTGTATTGCAGTTTGCGAGATACCTATCCCCGTATCCTCACATTCGAAGTGGTATGTGACGGTTTGCCCATCGGTTGAGACTTCATCCTTTAGCCGTATTGTGACTCGGCCACCCGGTGACGTGAATTTGATTGCGTTGCTGAAATGTAGGCTGTGGGTCAAACCGTCCACATGAGCTGGTTCTAGAGTGGCAAACACCAACCTTACAACGTTGATCAAAATCTGTCGAATCCTTGGTGCATCTCCCAAAGCCATCCTTGCCGAAAGAACCGCAGTCTGCAAATCCAGTTGAATGTTCTTTTTGTTCGCAGATTGCTGGAGAATTGTTTGCACTTCTGAAGCTAAAGCTCTCGCATCGAACGGAGCTGCCTCGATGGACAGTTTGCCAGCCTCCACCCGGCTGAAATCCAGTATGTCCTTGATGATCGTTTCGAGACATTCAGCGGACAGACTGATGTTATCTGTCCACGCGCGCTGCTCTTCGGTAAGATTGGTTTCGCGCAGTAGCTCAGCCATCCCAATCACCCCAGCTATTGGCGTCCTGTTGAGAAAGCTCTTAGACGAGAAGCGCCATGGTTCATAGCCTCATCGAATGGGAGGCTTACCGAATCTCATGACTACAAAAGGGATTAGTTAGTACTCGTTTTCGTATTTTGCTAGCCAAGCATCGAAAACCAACCTCATGGTCGCCAGGAACTGGGACTTCAGCACGGATGCTTCCCTCGCCGCCTGCTCACGGGCTAAAGACTCCTTTTGCTCGTGGACATCCGTGACCGTGCCGATCCAACACTTGATTCTTCCGTCAGCCCTTACGACCGGCATTGACCGGGATATGTGCCATCGATACGAGCCATCCCTGCGCTTGATTCTAACTTCTTGCTCGAAGCTCCTACCCTGCGCGATAGCTGCTCTCCAATTCGCGTTACTACTTTGCAGGTCGTCGGGATGGGCCACCTGCGTCCATCCCGAGCCATCAATCACGGCTTCCATCGTGATGCCCAGATACTTATCCCAATACGTGTTTGCCCATATGCACATTCCTGTGTCATCGGTTTGATAGATCAACCTGGAAGGGGTGAGGGGATGTTATTGCCCGCACTAAGGGAGAAGGTACGAGAAGACAGACTTACTGAGGTATAACGTTTGCCATCTCCTCAAAGTTTAACGCTCGGTGATACCGCGACGATGCCTTTTGGGGGTCCGCATTCTTGAGAATGAATCTTTTGTACGTCTTTTCCACTGTCAATGCGGGGGTTCGAAACTTGCGCTTCGGCAAATGCAGAACCGCTCGCACCCGCCTTTTCCGACAAGCGGCGCATCCTTCAGGCCGGCTGTGCAAAGGTAGTGCTACACGCCTGCCTTGCCAGTTGAATTTGTTTCGTTTCGACGGAGGCCCTAACGACGAGTTTTCCGATACCATAGATCTTGGCCGTGGTTTGCGGGTGCTCTCTACGGCAGTCACCACGCTGTCCGTTCGGCTCGGGCTGGACGACGGTGGTTGCTGACCTCCAATGTAGGAATGGCGGCAGAGGGATAACCTGAAGTATGCTCCGAGAAGCAGACACAAGTCGGAGGCTAATTGCTCCACGACGGAGGTGGAAGGAAGATCCCCAGCACCTCTGGTCGGGTGCAGGCAAATGCGTACGATAGTATTGCTTAGGTCTCGACAGACCACAAGTGCGTCGGACGCTGACGTTGCCTTCTGCCCGCCTCTCTCAGCATGATGCTGCAAATGCTGCAAACACCACCCATCCTCTTTTGCCAGTTGAGATCTTACCTCAACCGGCACCTCCAGAAATGGTGAAATTATACGGACCTCCGTATGAGCGCCCGTCACCAGCTGGATTCCGTGAGCGAGGCAACTTGCCGCGGATTGTACGGTAAAATGGTAGTCTGACGATCCCTCCGCAAAAAGTGTGCCGACGATCTGCGAGTAGACTGAAGTGTACATTGGGGTGGACTGTCGCTGGAATCGGTAGGAAATGGGCATGCCGGGGGAGTTGAGAGCCCTCCCTTCAAGCGCGGCTTGCGCGAGGGCGGGATAGATAAGTACAGCGACGTCTTGGGGGCTGATGGAAGGCTCCAGGCCCAGATGGTCACCGCAGGAGTCGTAAGGTTGAAGGCCAGCGGCGCACAAGAAAGCAACTCGGAGTGACTTGTGCTTACGCGTGCAGATCGGGGGATGCTCTCCTGGCTAAATGTACAGTATGAAGACGGACACTCACAACGTGCACAAATCGATACGCAGGAGGTACAGTACAGTACATATACACATGCGAGCGACTCGGCGACCTGCCACACCACTGCTGCTATATATCGCTTTCATGCGATATTGTGTGCTTCGGGACTCACATCACAACAACTCCGCTGGTTTGCCACTTTCGAGCGTTCGAGGCTTTTGCATTTCACAAGAGCCTCGGAAGATCGGCATGGACTAGGCCCCTTTCATTGTGTAGAAACAAGGTCGAGGAAAGTTAGAGGGCTATTAGGGTGTGCTGTGGGAGCTTCCAAAGATTCTTTTGAACGCTTTTCCAGCGCCCACGGGTCCCCTCAGCCAACGGATGTACGCCCGGAGGACAATGGCACTCCTGCCGAGACTTAAGTTGCACAAGCTATACGCAGAAACAGTACATAGTGTTTAGCCTGGGTTCGAGACCATCGACAAGACTACCAAAAAGATAAAGAACGCGCAGATCCCTGCTGCCCCTGCCCCAGGTCCCAACCCGCACGAGAGGTTTTGAAATGGATGTAGGTTACCCAGCGCCATCAAGGAATGTGGTTCCGACCCTCAAATGACATTTGTTTTAGTCCCACAGGCCGTAACTGCAGGGGACTCAAGGCTACCTAGTGAGTGAGTTCGATGCCACAGATGCGCCAGGAGAAGCGATAAGGAATCCGCTGTTTCTTTGACCGCGACAGTGCTCAAATTCGACCGTTATATTTTTCATATAAGAAATAAGAGAATTTTGTTAATATGCCATGGTTTCGCCGAGCATGCCACGGTTCCAAAATAAATGACAGAATGCCACTCTTCTGCGCCGCAGCTTCCTCCTGCATTGAAGAGGCCGCGTAGGCCGAAAACCAGGCGTGTGGAGAGTGGAAGTCAGGCAAGCCAGGCAAAGGCATTGGCGGGCACAGGTAGCTCCCAGAACCTCTGTTCAACCTGCGGACAAGCTGGTCATAACCGTAGAACCTGCTGAGAAGCACATTCCTGATATGTTCTGTTCACTTGTAAGCTTCCCACTTTCATATTGGTGGTATGATGAACCTTCCTGATCTCAATTTGCCTGCATTCTCCTGGTTTCGGAGCATCCTCCTCTATGTACCGCTTTTGCATCCTACCGTGGGAACCCAAAGAAACCCTTCAAAGTTGGGGTAGTCGGTGGGTGCGGGACCCGCGGACATTGACGGCTGGCTGTTCCGCACATATCTTATACGTATTTCAAGGTCTGTAGAACTGTGTAATTGGGATATGTATCATGCAGAGCGTAACAGAAAGATGGCATGAGAAGCGATCGGAAAGGAACAAATGTACACATGGAATGGATGGGATATCAAACCACGATGAAACGAGGTGCCCAGTGCTCTAGAGCAGCATGGTTAACGGGTTCTCCAGGTAGCTCTTGAAAACACCCAACCATTTGGCGCCAACGGCGCCGTCGACGACACGGTGATCACAGCTGAGCGTCACGTTCATGACCTTAGAGGTCCTGAAACCCTTCTCGGTGGTGTCATCAAGAACCAGTTTGTCCTGGGCACCGCCGACGGCCAGGATAGCGGCATGTGGTGGGTTGATGATCGCGGTGAAGTGCGAGATGCCGTACATGCCCAGGTTGGAGATGGTGAATGTTCCGCCCTGGTATTCGTTGGGCTGCAGTTTGTTGGCGCGTGCCTTCTCGGCCAGGGCCTTCACCTTTGCGGAAATGTGGGATAGCCCGACGCCCTCGGCTCTGTGGACAATAGGCGTGATCAAACCGGTTTCTGAGAAGTAAATCAAACGTGAGCATCCCTGCAAGAACCGCTATGATCTCGAACAGGAGTTTGATGAGAATGCGTACCAGTAGCAACGGCAACAGCAATGTCGGCGTTGGTGAATCTAAGGAATTGCCCGATCAGCTCATGTCGAAAATATACCGAATAGCATTGCAACATGGTGCTTCAGTCCACTCACTGTCGGATAGATGTTCCTTGCCACGAGCTGTTAACTTCTGGGACAGCCTTCAACGCCAAGGCAGAAGCCTTGATGACAAAGTCATTCACGGAAAGCTTGTACTTTCCGTTGGCCTGGCTGTTCAACAGCTCACGAAGCCTTGATTGTGTGCAAAAGGGTTGAGTTCATCCGTCCACTGGCCGTCACGGAACTGCTGATTAAGTCTCACCTCAGAATCTTGTCCACGTTGATTTCTTGTGTCAGGTAGTAGTGGGGGATTTGTTGCTTCGATTCCTGGAGGCGAGAGGCGATGACCTATGCGAACCATCTGGTGAGCTACCGTTTCTCTACAAAGGCTGGGCGAGACGATACCCACCTTGCGAACGTTCGAGAGAGGGATGTCAACGTAGCTGGCCCCGGGAGCAGGAGCAGCAGGGGCGGACGTAGGCGATGCCGCACCAGGCTTCGTTGCAGCGGAAGCTATATCAGGATCAAATCGGTCAGTACCCATCTTTCCAAACCGTCATGCGCATTCTCAAAACCGCATGCTCACGTTTGAAGTTCAGCACGTCATCCTTGACGATGCGTCCGTTAGGTCCGGTTCCCTGGATGCTGCCAAGATCTATCCCCTTCTCGGCTGCCAGTTGTTTTGCGAGTGGACTGGCGAAGATACGATCTGGACACAGAGTCAATTGACGTGTTTTGACATTCACAAGGCATCTCGATGGGTACATACCACCAGAGCTGGCAGGTTTCGAACTTGGAGCAGTCGCGGGAGCGCTCTCCTCCTTCGTTTCCCTCTTCACCTCCTTCTGCTCGTCCTTGGCCTCCTTCTTTGGCGGGCTTTCCACCTTCTTTGGCTCCCCTGGGGCATCAGAGCTCTCCTCAAGCTTGTACTCAGTAAACTTGCCAACATCGTCCTTGTTCTCCACAAGGATAGCGATCGGCTATCAATTCCAAGGACCTGAAGCGTGAGTTCCTTCGCTTCCGCAACATATATGATAACAGAGCCACTCCTGACCTTGTTCACATCGACATCCTTTGTGCCAGCATCGATGAAGATCTTTGCGAGGAAACCCTCGTCTTGACATTCAAAGTCCATGGTGGCCTTGTCGGTCTCGACCTCCACGAGAACATCCCCAGGCTGAATCTCGTCCCCAATCTTCTTGTGCCACTGTCCCAGGTTTCCAGCAGTCATAGTGGGTGAAAGTGCAGGCATGTTCAGAATCGTATGAGGTGGGTATGCTAAATACATCACAGTTAGCATTGCAGACCACAGAAAGTACCATCTACATACACTTACAGTCAGATGCATAGCCTCGGCGGGCATTGCTGAAGTGCAGCTCGGAGGTAACAGCCCTTCGTAGACGACGGGAAGTGGCCACGCTAAACCAGGAGACGAGCAAGTGAGCACTTCTGTCGCAGGAAAGTAATACCGAAATGCCTGAAAGCACTTACGTTGCAATGCTGTATGCTCTGCCATTTGGCGTAGGCACCCGCGAGCTGGAGCGAAGAACAGCGGTAGCACATCTTGTTGCGCTCCTCAAGCTGAGCAGGGGCTTTGCGCCGGCCGCTGACCGACACACAGCACGGCTTATGATAGGTTGCATGTTGTCTCAATACCGGTCTGTCGACTCGCGATGGGTGTGGGAAGCGATGTCGTTGCAAGGAGACCGAAGGCAGATTTATCGCCGACCAGCTAAAGAAAAGCTTCAAAGGTTTGGCCTCGCATTTTAAGGCGCGTCGATCACAATCACATCGATCACATCATCGATTACGCTTGCAAACGTTCAACATGGTAGCGTTCTTCCCACCGTCACCATGCAGACGACTACTGTATATCAAACCGGTGAGGGAATACAGCCTATACAGGGACGATTAGATCAGACCCTAGAGTAGCAGCAAAAACGCCGAACCCGCAATCGCTCCCTTCGTGGAAGTGCTGAGGGAGTAAGCGATCCTGGGCACCAGTATCTCCAGTGTTCAAGTCGCCGAACATATGGGCGACCGCCGACATTGAGATTGATATATATCCGTCGCATACAACGAAAGGACGAAGGATCGCTCTTCGTTGCGAACAACTGGCACCTCGCGAAGGTGGCGATCTTTTGGCCAGTAATTTAAGATTTAAGATGGTCAAGCTCGCAAAGGAGAGGCCACCCGAAATTTCGATCGCTCTGGAGCCACGAACGAGAGGTCACACTAGGCAATCAAGCAAGCCCCACTCTCGTTACGACCCCTACCAACATGCATAGTGGTATGGGTACACCGCAATGTCCATAGTGAGTACTGATAGTCACGGAATACTGCCCGATTGTTGGTCTTGCCGGAATCGAGGGAGAAGTTGGGAGAAAAGTTGCGAGAGGTCCGGGCATTCATCATACATGGAGCCCTGCAGCCGTTTGGGCGCGTTTTTGGCAGCACTCACACTTGCCCTCATCAGCTTGCCAAATGCCCTCCCTAACCTGTCCGATCGTCGATTGTATAAGTATCCAAACCGGGCTGTATGAGGGACGGGAAACTTGAAAGGGTACGAAGAAGCTGCACGCGGAGATGTGTTGAATGATTACATAAGCGCGAATTCTTTCCCACCGACCTTTTCTCGTCAAAGTCCCGTTGCGAGTTCGACCACTTCTTTCATTCACCAGGACGCTCCAGAAACAATGCCACCAAAACGCAAAGCACCCCAACGTTCAAATCCCCGAGACTTCTCCTCCAAGAAGCGGCGGATAAAGCCCAAACACACCCAGGACGACTATGTCTCCCCCAACGAAGACGAGGAAGAAGTGGCCGACCTCCTAGAAGTTAACGACGCGGAATTGTCCAGCGACGACGAGGCTGGTGGGGTTGTTATTGAGGGACTGGAGGCCCTTGACGACGGAGGGGAGGGGGAGGAGAGCGAGGATGATGAGGGGGCTGACGGAGGGGATTTTGGGTTAGGGCATTTGGATGACGGGGAGGAAGAGCCGGTGGTGGAATCGGAGGAGGAGGAGGAGCAGGGCAATGTCAAGTCGAAATCGTCGAAAATGGCTAATGCCATTGGAAAGATTCTGGCGGCGGATTTGGGTGGAAAAGATGCACAGGTAGGGTTTCCTCTTTGCGGTGTGACATGAAGGAGGTTTCTCCTTGGTCTTGCAAAGCCGAGCGGTGGAGCGGTGAAAGAGTGCCGACGCTCACCCCGGTATACTTCCTTTTTTCCCTTCCTTAGCGCCCAATTCTAGCCAAACAAAAACATATCGAACGCCAAATCGATAATGACAAACTAGAAGCAAAAGCCCGCAAAATCATCTCCGCCGAGCGAAAACAGAAAGCCGATGTGGGACACGTTACGCTTGACCATTCGACGACCGATTATGAGAAGCGGTTGAAGAAGGTGGCGACGAGGGGAGGTGCGTGGTGTGGTTTCGATCTAGGGTGTGGGAAAATGGGGAGCAGTGGGTCTGACGTTTTCGATGCGCTCATTGATATAGTCGTGAAGCTTTTCAACGCTATCCGGGTTGCACAAAAAACCGCTGAGGAGACGAAGCTGGAAGGAATCCAGAAGAACAAAGACGCTGGTTAGTGGATGGTTTTGGCGTACTTAGGTTGCGTTGGAGTGTGTTTGGAGAACCGCCGTTGATCGTGACTTGGGCTTTGCAGCACCGGTAATCACAAAAAATACGTTCATGGATATGCTGAAGGCGCAGGAGAAGCCAGCGGCAGGGAAGGGCGCGGAAACAAAAGCTGAGGAGCAGAAGGTAGTTCTCCGCCCTTGCGTCAACAAATAGTGGGAAGTAGATGCTTACCGTGCTGTCCTCACAGAAAACCGCCGCGGTGACCGATGCAGGTCCATCATGGATTAAGCAGGACTTCATGATGAAGGCCCCGAAGCATTGGGACGAAGAAGATGAAGACGAGGGCGACGGCGACGTAGTATAGAATTGTTTTTTTTTGGCTGGAAATTTCCTTTTATCTATTCTCCCCATTCCCACAATTCATTCACACGATATACAACTTCCAAAGGGGTTTCAACCACACTTGACGGAGGTAGCTTTCACAATATAGCACAATATAGCCTATAGTTCGGCCTCGATTAAAGTTCATATATATATGGCCCATGAAGGGTCGGCTCTCCGCTGACTATCCATTCAAGCCTTGGTTGCCGAGTCGCGGAGTCGCACCGTCCGGCGGAGAAGTAGATGTGAGCTTGGATGGAGCCTGCGCGATCCAGTCTGGTCGGCCCGGTGCGATGCCATGCTGCCACTCTAACAGTCTGTACAGGACCGCTTCGTAGCAGAAAGCGAACTGCTCGATCATCTGGACCGCGGCGATGCGGGATTCTCGTAGCTTCTCGACCGTCTTCCTGATGATATCTTCGTCGATATCCGAAGGGGATTTGGTCTTCTCCAGCAGTCGCAGAACACCGTCGATGGCGCAGAATGTGCCGGTTCGTCCACACCCCGCGCTGCAGTGGATAACGACCGGTCCTGTTGCCCCAGCGCTTGCGCCTTGCTTCTGAAGTTCGCGGGACAGGTCGATAACGGAGAGGACGCTTGCGGGATTGCTTGCGCTGTGATCCGGCCAAGCCGTAAAGTGAAGCTGCCACAGCTCTCGAGACTTGCCTCCCGATGAGATCGTTAACCTCCGAAGAATGACTTCGCCGTTGGAGTGTGATTCTTCGCTCTCCATTTTGATCAGGATCTCACCGAGGTTGGCGCAAGTCAAAGTTCCTCCAACAGATTCAGGAACGTATCTGCTACACTTCACCCTTCCCCGCTCTTCTTCCTTTGTCAGCATCACAATCAGACTGCTGTTTTGCTCCCAGACCATCTGCCAAAAGTCGCCGATTGTCTCAGGAAGCGGCCCTTGAGAGAAGATGCAGGGGATCGTTCCTGGCAGTCCGTGTACGTGGCTAGCATTTATATAGTCGGACTCTTCGGGTTCTAAAGGCGTCATCAGGACGACCCGGGTGCTATCGTAGGGAACAATATCTGAGTAGCGATTGCGGGACTCATTTCCGGGTCCCCATGCCGCCGAAAACTCGAAAGCGCCGCCTTCATCCTCCGCGTCGTAGGCCTCTTGTATTCGTGCGGCTTCTACTTCCTGAATGTTTCTGTAGGAGCTTCGCAGATATTCACTTATGCCGGGGCCTAAGTCCACAACACCCCGCAGCCACGTAGGCATGTTGGACCCGAGAATGAGTTTCCCAACGGAAATAATGCCCTCCCCGAGGTGGTTTCCAGCGGTCATTCTATTCGTGGGATATATGCTCGGAGCGCGAGAGAAACCGGTAGATATCAAGCGGAGGTGCTTGTGTGCGGACCGAAGTCGAGTTTCAAGTAGACGCTGAGTTTGAGCTTGAGTTGCAAATGCTGCAAACTCACTAGTTGCGAAAGTGGAGCAGCCGCGACGCAATGCTTCTTTTGCAGTGGAAAGATAATGACCTGCCCGTGGGAAAATGTGGCCCCGGATCTTATGACTTCGCACGTTCGACAAAACGGCTCTCCTTCCAGGCAAGTAGGTCTAAGCGTTTTGACCGGAGGTGCAGATCGGGGCGTTGAGAGTATGCACACGAAGCTGGTGGAAGACAACGAAAGACGCGAAGGGTCCAATCATGTCCAGGATCATGTCTGCCTCTGTCATAGCTGTCTGTCATGTCCGAAGGGCGGCTTCGCGACGGTTTCCAACTCGGCCACTGCATTCCATCCTTCCATCGGGAAACAGCGACAGCAGCGAGTCCTTCACCCTCCCACAGATACCAGGCGAACGCTTGGTGAGTACAGCATTTCACTCTCTAGAGATCGATTTGCGCTCACTGTCCCTTGACCCCGACAGAGTTTGCGAGGATGACAACAATACAAACAGAGGACCAAGTGCGGCAGGACAAAGGCGTTTCCCTCATGGGCACCTATCTACTACAGGGCTGGGTCATGACAGACAGCCCTTGTCCCTCCTCTGGATGCAACCTGCCCGTGATGCGAACAAGAGACCGCACTCGCAGTCTCTGTGTGCTATGCAATGATCCCAAAGACCCTTATCCCCCCGCCTCCGTGGATGTCGCACCCACGGCACCAGTAGTGATTGGACAACTGAACGCTGGTGAACTCTCCGGGCCAGCTCACCACTTTGAGGTGACCCCTGAGGAGGACGCAGAACTGGAGGCTTTCCTCAAGACTGAGAAAGACGCTGAAATTTCAAGCCACGCGCCGACTACCGCTCGCAGCGAACGAGCGCAGAGATCGGACCGTGCAAGCAAGTTGCTTGGTGAAAAGCTGCTGGCCGGGTGGAGCTTACTCGACGTTGTGTGCGACGATTGCGGCGGCGTCCCGCTGATGAGGAATCACCAGAAGAAGAACGTCTGCGTAGGTTGCGGTGCTGGTTCTGGAATCCCGACAACCACTACGCTGCCCTCCGCGAACGTGTCAACCTCGGTTCCTTCCAAAGTAGCCCCATCCCCTACTCATATCGAGAAGACCCCACGTTTGGACGACGCGATCCAGCGGGATCTACCCGAAAGCAAGCGACGCAAGACGGACTCTGCCTCACCATCTGCACGATGCGACTATGAACACATATCTATCCAACTGGCCAAGACATTGACAACCATACGGAAGCGCATGGAGGATTTTAGACAGTCCATAGAGAGCAGTGAGGATGTTGAAGGCATTAGAGCTCTGTGCGAAGGTATCGAGAGCTGCGCGAAAGCTATCAGTGCTCTGGAGAGTGCTAGAAAGGCAACGAACTGAGATTGGCAAAGTCAGGACCTACCTGGTCCATCTAATTTGAATACGTACATACATTGAACGATCAGACCCGCTGCTTTTATCAGCTGCTCTCGTCGATTCACCTCTCCGGGAGGCGGTCGATTATTATGACTATCACGTGACGCCATGTGGACGCGCACTCACTAGATGTGTGTTATTGCGAGGAGACAAGCAACACTCACTACCCGAGCACCGATCAGCGACCGATTATCCCCGCCGAACTCTGTACTTCGCAGCCAGCCTCCCATCTTACGTTCCCACCGCAAAACCGATACGCAGAGTCCCCTCCGTTCTGTTGGATTGAAGATAAATCTGTCCCAAAATGAAACTCGTCAGGTAAGGACCACCTCAATCACACAGACGCTGGCTCGCTTATGAGAATCACGCCGGCACCAACGGCTGTGGACTGTGCGGCCACCTGGACCTCGGCGCGACAATGCTATGCGGCTTGCAGAGGGGAACTTTCTTGATGGAAACTGTGACGCTTGAGGCAAAGTATGGAATCTGACGGTGATCTCCGTGTTCTTCCTTCGTGACTTCCCCAGATTCCTTATGAAGTGCAACAATGAGACGGTAACCATCGAGCTGAAAAACGGCACCATCGTCCACGGCACGATAACAGGGGTAGACATGCAGATGAACACGCATCTGAAGACAGTCAAAATGACCGTCCGGAACAAAGACCCAGTCAACCTCGAAACGCTCTCGATTCGTGGAAACAACATCAGATATTTCATTCTGCCCGATTCGCTGCCACTCGACACCCTGCTGGTCGACGACTCGGTGAAAAGCAAAGGACCGAAGAAGGAAGGAAAGCCGGCTGGAGGACGCGGACGTGGGACTCGAGGACGGGGCGGAAGAGGTGGACGGGGTGGAAGGGGACGAGGAAGGGGTTAAGCGGTTCTTGGGATACCCGGGGAAGTGTCCGAAGGCGGTAATGTTTCCCCAGGGTCTTTTAGTTGTAGGAGAGAACTGTCCGTCCGCGAATCATGCGTCTTCTGGAGAGGGCATATGACAACCGTATGCCATTGGCCCAGCTTAACCCTTTCTTTGGCGGCCGCTATGCCGCAGGAAAGCTGGAGTTCCATATCCTGCGAAGAGCATCCTTGGTTCCGCCTCTTGTGCATGTAGCTCACATTCTAGGTGCAGGATAGCGTCTTTCTCCTCTTGTATATTGTTTATATATTCTCCCTGAGCGTTGATTCGGATGTTCAACACTGTGCGTACCATGGCATACTCGGAACTCCCAGTCAAGCATGATTTGCTTTTGCAGAAGCTTTTGAGAGTTTTCCGACTGAGGATTTACTCCTTTGTCCGTCCAGCTGGGTCGATTTTTTCCTACAACTAATTACGGGCTAATTCTGCAACTATTCTACGAAGTCGAATGGTATGAAAATCTATGCACTGCTATCCGAGATTCTAATCCCAAACTCTTTCCGCAATGCCCGTCGCACATAATTCTTGATCTTGATCGCATCTACCTCACTCTCCCCGCCATGTCCACCTTCCCCACGCAATTTCGACCGTCCCGCGAGCCTGGAGATGCAATCAAGGTCGATGATCTGCTCCAACACCACGTCCAACTCCTCGTCACGATGCAGCTTGGTGCGAAGCATCGCGTCAAGGAACGTCTTTCGCACGCTCAAGACCGCGGCTTTTCCATCGGCAACCCAATCCAATCTGTGCACGTCTCTTCTCCGAGGCCGGGTGTTGGGTGTGATCATATACTGCCAAGATGTGTTGGGCTGCTCAATCTCGATGATCCGCGGAACATAGCGACCTTGCTTCCTAGCCAACTTCGCGATATCCACCAAATGACCGATGGTGGAACTTTTCTTCATCTGGGCCCACGTCTGTGCATCGAATGTCCGTCGCCACACATGAAACCTGTTAAGCGTGTGTTCCGCAGCTTCGAATGCCGCCGGGTTGGTGAGGTCGGAGATGTGGTAGTAGCGACTGCGGGGGCCGAAGCGGGTCCAGACGGCGCTCCAGACTTGGTAAAGAACTGTGAAGATGCGGTACTGGGTAAAGATGCGGAGGGTTTCGGCTGGAATGCTTTGGGACTTTTTGGCAGTCCTGGACGCCGCGATCACTGGCGTTGGTTTCGAGACTTCGGCTGTCTGAGTCTCTTCTGCGCCAGCAAGCGGCAGGGGAGGCTCTTCCATCGGTAGCCTCTCTGAAGTTCCCGTCGCCTTTTGGGGTTCACTTGCCGACTGCATCTTTTTTAGAGCTACTTGGAGGGCTTCCACCTCCAACAGAGCGCTATCGAGTTGCGCAGAGAGAATCTTGTTGTACTTTACATATCTAGCGGGTATCGTCCTTATAACGTGCAGCATTGCTTCTATTCCCATCGTCAGCTCATCGAGAGACTTCTCGACAGTCGGTGTCGGCGTAGTGTAAATTTTCAGGGCAGCGGGGTTCGGTTGTTCATCCGGTTGTTTCCTCGACCTGGGTTCAACATCCTCTTTCTTCTTCGGTGCTTTCCACGAGTCCTGTTTATCTTCCCATTGTACTCCGTCTACACAGTCCAGTTCATACAGGCCCGGCACAAGTTTCTCGTCTAATTGGCCGGTTGCCTCGGAAAAGAGCAGGTTCGTGTCCGTAAGGCCTCGAAGTCTCGGTGACGCTCTTGGCGAGATTTGCAGCGCGGAAAAGATGAGGCGGCAAGAAGTGGGGTGTATTGGGCCGTACGTCGTCCTTTTATGTATTATGCGGATTGACATGGTGCCTCGGTTTCGATATGTATAGTCGACTTGTCTGGATTTCGATAGGAGGTGGGGATATGAAGACGTCTGGATGTTGAAGGTCGTTGGGTTGGAATGCTGGTTTCGATCGGAGTTTTCTCGAGAAGAGGCGCAGCACATTGACAATTCTGACAGCGCGGCGCGGCTTCCGACAAATTGCGCTGGGATAGGTATGGACGTAGAAAACAGTTACATTTCATCTACGAGTACGACAAGGCAATAATGCATACGTCCATTGGCAATGCAACGCAAAAGTACACGATATGTTCAAGAAGTACTATCGCCGCCCAGTAAGTCTGTCCACAAAAACAAAGTCATGCAAGTAGGTAATAACGTCCGAAATCCATGGTGGAAGGACTCTTCGTCCTGTGGCTCCCGTTCGTCCACCTGCTGCGTCGTGCGCCCGCTCGTCTTTGAATACACCCGTTGCTACTTGCAGAGCTGGCAAATTCGCGCTGGCGATGGCTCGCTCCGCTCCCGGGAAGACGATAAGATATGAGGCTGCTATAAGTGGGGTCTGCGGCGATCCTGCGTGCATCTCATGAAGCGCAAGAGGCCGGCGGAAATCCCGGCATCTGAGGCCGGCGGGCCTTGCGGCTGGTTGACGGCCTTCCGTGCCATCGCTTACACGTGCCGAACGAAGGATACGCAGCTCATCCAAGTCCCTCAACTCCACGTCCTCCTTCTTACTGCGGGTGTCTGCACCCCGTCGTGAAGTCTTCTCGGCATCTGATATGACAAGCTCTCGATCGGGAGGGCTCAGCGAGAGCTCTACTTCATACATCTTCGGTGGCTCCTTGGGAAGAACCGCGACCTTTCCTTCCCTCATCAGTCTCACGAGGAATACCCTTTCTCGGCACCGCCTGGCCAAAAACGTCGCGAGGAGGCTCGTCACAATGGCCGAGAGAAACACGATAACGAAGGTAGCGATATCCGACGGTTGTATGCCGTCGGTAATTGCACCTGTGTTTCCGCCAGGTCCGTTCGCAGTAGAGCGAGCTGCTGTAACTTGCACGCTTACTCCTACCGAGGAAGGTGTATCTCGTTTCCGTGCTGTAACCCTCGCAGGGTAGCTAACCCGAAGCACGTAATCCGCGGACATGTGATCATGGCTGTACGTGGAAACTGTTAGGTCACCACCTAGCGTTGAGTAACTGCCCACTGGCTGGATCGACAACAGGGTGAGATTCAGTTTCACGTCTCCGTTGTCTGGCTGCGCGCGGAATGTGATCTCTGCAGCGGCGATAGAGCTCGTGAGTCAATATCGACTGGTGATGCCAGTGTGTGCGCCAGTCTTACCATATCCTGGCATGTCGATGTATACTTTATAGTCCACAAACGCGCCTTGTAACAGGACCGTCGAAATGGGGTCGTGACCCACTACCAAAGGTTGCCCTGTGATGTCACAGCGTGAGTTTCAACGAAAAGGTAAAAACCATCATGGCTGCAGTCCTATTTTCCACTCACTTATTGGACATTTGGAGGCATCTCTCGTGAACGTCGAACTCTGCGGACAAGAATTTGGAGTCCCATTGCCCGACGTTGCATTGGCGAACACGCAGCTGTCCCCGCACCACCCGCAGAACGGGCGCGCTACACAGTCTGTGCAGTCATACCACGATGCACACCACTTCGTTTGTGCGCAGACGTCACGGTCAGCTTGCGATCCGAAGTCCGGCAAACTTGCAATGGGGTATGAGTAGTTGTCGTTCAGGAAGACTCCGTTAGCGCCGGCGTGCATCAGAATGTTGTCGTTGCGTAGGACGCTTGAAGCGCCTTGACGGCGGGCTTTTCCGCGACTCGGACTCCCGGCATAGACAACATTCATGCATGCTTTTGGGTTGCGACGCGCAAGGGAGTATCAGATTGATTGAAGAGCGTGATCAAATCAATAATGGCATTCCCTTACCTACATCCAGCAGCAGGACGTCGCTCGATAGGCATTCTTCATTCACCATATTGGAAGTGAGTAAAGGACGGATGCCCCCGTTTATCGCAATAACATCGTTCCCAATGTAATGACCGGTTGCATCGATAACAAGAGGTAAATTGTCTTGAAGCGGTCCCAGATACCAGTTTCCGGCGTCTATCGAAAAGTAGTACGTCGGTAGCCCATATTGAAGATTTGGTATCCACATGTGGTAGCTGCCCCCGATCAGATGAAGCGAGTTGCTTCTGGGATGGTATACAAGGAGGCCGTCGCTCATTGGCAACGGGATTGGTCGCAAAACCCTCCATTGGTTCGAACCTGCCAAGTCATCGTTAACACGTCCTGCCGTTGAAAAGCAGCGGAGATTCTCCACATACTCGATGTGTATTCGTACAGATTCCTCGAGTAGCTTGGGCCCGGAATAATACCGCCTACTACGTAAATCTTGTAACCGGTCGGCGTCTCCACCAAAGTGGCTGAGAAACCGACAGCAGCGGTTGGAATGTCCCCTCCTGTTCGCACGGGGCTCCAAGTGTTGCGGTCTGAGACAGTGAGTTTGTGAACGTTGTCATCAATAAAGGATGTCCTTCTGACTCGCACGAACCTGGGGAATAGTTCCAGATGTACCTCGTCGTCAATGGTCCACTCTCGGTCACCCCTCCGAACAACACTAGTGTCCCGTTCACCATCCAAGTAAAATGTCCATAGAGCGCCCCAGGCGACGATCCGGTTGTTCTGGAGATGCTCGACCATCGGCTTGACGCTGTCGCTCAGATCGGATGAACTGTCAGAGACGTCAGCGAAAAAGCATTCACTCGGTAGAACGCTCACCAAAATCGTGAACGAGAATATCATTCAGCAAGGTGGGCTCTTCTCCATATCCAAACGTGACGTATAGTTTCTGCAATGAAACGTCCGTATGTCAGCCGATCCTATTGTCAGCAGACAGACTTCCGGAGTACGATACCACTACTTACGTCGCTTGTCCTGTCGTATGCTCCAGAATGGTACGCTCGTGAAGTAAAACCAGGGTATCCTACAGTGTCTGAGCTCGAAGTTTAGAACCCGCACCTGTGGAGAGTCCTCGTGGGATGTACCTTTTTGACAGAGGTCTCCTGCATGATAGAGGTCACATCTGCAGGTACCAGCGACACAGGGAAACCCGGCACATTCTGACGATGTGCTGCAAAGCTGCGATTTATCTAGACATTCTCATCTTGAGTTCGGCGGACGGAAAGGACCCCGGGTATTCTATAGTGGACTCACCCCTAACTCGGAAATGCGCTGTGAACCCCGTAGTGGTGACCGCGGAATCCGAATTGAAGACCACTGTCATCGCATTCCCCGTCGAGACCACTACGGTCTTGTTTCTGACGCCACAGAGCTCGGCGATACGAGGGCCAGACTGATCCGCTCCATCGTAAATCACCACGTAGTCGTACCCGCATTCCGTGTGGAACGATTCAAATGACAGCTGGATGCGAGTAAATCAGTCCCTGGTGTAGGCTTTTCACTGCTTGTGCCACAAGGGGCCTACCACTACAAGTGACTGGTCGCTCCGGGGAGTGATTCTCCATACGCAGTTCATATCGATATCGTAGTTTGACATCGAGTTCCCCGCTGCGGTCGCGATCCATCCTTCATCATCCTGAATATCGGTCAGGGGGGTGCAATATCCGTCGGCGGGGTACTTCGGGATAGTTGTCGTTCCGCGAACTGCTAGTCGGCTATTTCGATCATCTGTGGAAAGTTCCTTGCATTGTACTTTTGCTTGAAGCAGTACGACTACTGCTTCAAGCAGAAAGTACCAACAAAAGTTTCGCATTTGTTTTGATGTTGTGAAAGGCTAAATGCACGAAAGGAGGTTTCGACGCACGATCTGCGCTGCATCGTCGCCAGCTACGACGAGATCTGGCTTGTACTGGCTGGCACGGACGGACAGACGCACGCTAAATTTCCCGCGCCTTGTCCACCGCAGAAACTCTGGAGGAATGACGGTTAGCGGAGGATCTCCGCAAGCTGACGTAAGGCGCGTGCTTTCCACTCTTCTGAATCAGCTTCTGAATCTAGTTTTCAGACGCACAGTTCCGAATGTGGTCTGCCCGAGAGTTCCGACAACTCTGGCACGGTGGCATCTCCCTCTCCCAGCCAGCAAACATTTGCAATCGTCATGGACGGCCAACAACAAGACGCAGGGAGGCTCTACACACGTTGCTACTGCGAAGAGAATGTCTACAACCTCGTTCGCTTCGTAAAAGAGTTACCGCAGACCTCCAGCGCCCCAGATTTCACAGACCCTTACGCAAAAGAAATCGTCACTTTCTTCCGCGCCAATCAGTTGACTCTCAGCGATGTGCACGTTGTGTTCGTGTCGTCTGACCTGGGCTGGGTGGACATAGCAAAGCAGAAAGCGGGGCAACCTCCGAGAGGGGCCGTCATTTGGGATTATCACGTCTTTGCAATCGCTGTGGCGGAAAACCGCAAAGTTGTTTTCGACTTTGACTCTACTTTGGGCTTCCCTGCGGATTTACCGACGTATATCGAGGAGAGTTTTCCGCACACTCGCCTGCCCGTCCCCAGGTGAGTGAGAGCAACGCTGGAGGCTCTAGCTGCTACTACCAATCTGCTGAGTGCTCCGCAACCAGAAAGTTTCGTGTTGTCTCGGGCGAGCAATACTTGGCCTTTTTCTCCAGTGACAGACGACACATGAAGAAAACCGTAGATGGGATGTCGACATGGTCTGCCACCCCTCCAACACACGCCCTCATCAGGTCACATCGATCGGAGTTGATCCATGCACAAGAGCAGGAGTACGACCGCGAATGGTCTAAATGTTGGGGTCCAGCTCACACTGCTCCGGTTGACAGCAGCCACACTCTGCCCTTATACATTCGGATGCCGCCGGATGGAGCCGAAAATGGCGGGATCTGTAGCTCGAACCCCTTGGGAGAAGTAACGGATCTAGAGCAGCTAATCAAATTTTTTGAATAGCGCTACCCATGGTACAGTTCCGGTGGAAAGCTTTCCGCCCGTTGCAGTCTTTGTTTCTGGCCAGGGCGAGGTTCCACAGCCCAAAGTTTCATCCGGACAGACGGTCACGAGATGGGTAAAAAGTGGAGACTTCAAGAGTGCGCAACATGCGAGATACCTCCTGATATTCCGCCCATCTTTGACCGAGACATTCAAGCCGCCGCCAACTTTCGTTTCCTGATTCATCAATATTCACGACACAACGGGCGTCGACCTCCAATGGAATGCCTGACTGGGTACCTAATGTGCCGTTGTGGTGAAGTTTGCCCATATTCCCCTCCTTAGATAAGTATCCCGTATCTAGCTATTCCCACCCGCGATGGCACACGACCTGCGTGCATCGCAAAACATGCGACTTTACTTTTTGTAATTTGTAGATGAGAGTTTTCATGGCACTCTAAATCGAATGCATCTGAAATTTACTGCATCTTCATTTGGGTAAGTGTCTGGTAGATAGTTATTTGAGCCCCGCGCCCCTTCCCCGATGGCCGTCTGATGCGACGGCATCTGAGAAGGCTGAGCGCGAATTTGATTGGCATTCGGTAATATCAAGCTCAAGCTTAACTGCCTCCATGATGAACGCCTCGAAGGGTAGCCAGGCACAAAAGTAAACCATTTTGAAAACCCAGGGTACCGCGAATGACCTGCGTTATGTAAGCAACAAGCGGGAAACTCCGACCTATTTTTGGGATACGCTTTAGCAACCTACTCACCCATATTTAGTTCCTCGCAGTTCACCATTGTCCTTTGGCATCAGAAGGGAGCGACGTAGCAAGAACCACAGTTCCTAATTTTGTCCAGGCATCATTTAGACTTAGCATCGGACCCTGGTACCCGTAATTATAGCTCTTGTATTTCGAACAGCCTTGTTTCTCAAATTTGAGGGATCATCAGGCAGGAAATATAAAGCCGGAGCGCCTGACTCACGGCTGTCAGTTAGCCAAGCGCCATTTCTTTCCAAGCCTACGGCCAAGTCGGACTTTGCAAGTGCGTCATTTCTTATCGTACGGGGCGTAAAAGCAGTCACAAGGCATATACCCAAGGCTGCCAGGGAATTCCTGCTAAGAATCCTCGTTTTGGACGGGCGAGACTTCACGGCCGTTTGTATTTTGCAACTTCGTATATACAACGACTTCCACAGATCCGCAGATCCCACAGCAAGGAGTTCTCCTTCGATTTCTCCAATACCCATCGACTGTTTACCGCCACCGTTCTCTGTTGGACTCCTCCTCGAAGCTCGAATCGAGCCCAAGTAGCTCTCGATAGCACGCTCGCTGCCTCACATCATGACTTCCATAAACGACGATTTCCTGAGAGAAATGTTCTCGTCGTCCCCGTTCCAGGCGCAACAACAAATTTACATGCCCCAAGACTGGCACCAGCCTCGCAGCGTGCCGACGGACAATGTCCTGACCGCCGAAACGGCTGGAATGCTTTCCGGAGGAAACGTCCCGGTTCCTCGCTATACGCATAGCAACAACTACAGGCCGATCAGCACCTTGACGTCTCGACACTATCCGCACTTCAGGCCGGTCCCCGATAGACAACAGCCTCTGGCTGTCCCTCATAGTTTCCATAACCAACAGGCGCAATCGTACAACGACTTGTACACGGCATATCCTCCAAGCCCGTCATCACCGCTATCCGCCACCATGCACTCGATGTATCAAAGCGAGCGCCTCCCAATTATGGCGTTGCAAGCAGCGAACAACAATGTCGGTGCCATCACTCCCACCACCCCGGCATCTTTCGGAAGCCATGGGGAAGACATGTTGCACTCGAGGGGTATTCGTCCTTTTGAGGTGGAATTCCCCAACTTTCAAGGGGACGGCCGTAACAAGCCCCCATACCCCTACGTTGAGTTGATTTCGTACGCCATCAATAGCCATCCGAGCCAGAAGATGGCGCTCTCCGAGATTTACAACTGGTTGCTTGTTCACTTTCCTTGGTTTCAAACGGCCACTAGCAACTGGAGGGTGAGCAGCATCTGCCGTGGTGATGGTCGATTTCAACCGCACATTGACTCACTTTGCCTTCCCCCTTCACAGAACTCCGTAAGGCACAACTTGAGTCTTAACAAGAAGTTCGTTCGAGTTCCACGAGAAGCCGCCGACGGAGTCGGGAAAGGCGACCTATGGACCGTAGAGCCTATGGCGGAGCTCGCGCCGGGTCCGGCACGGAATAGAAGGAAATCAAGCGCAGCGAAAGTGCCCTACGAGCGAAAGAAGTCAAACGCTGTAGCAACCTCCGTGCAAGTCAAGAAAGCCGCCTCAAAACCTACCAGAAGATTGTCGCAGGCAGCTCCGGCGCGACAAGCCCCCGTCACATCCCCGGCGGCAATCGATCTGCCTGAGGTTCCTCCGTTGGAGAATTTTGAAGAAGAAGTGCTCGCTTTCTTCAACAGCCAACCACCAACACCCTACGTCGGACATCCCTTGTCTTGTCCGCTGCCAGCCATGGAGGGCTCCAGCGAGAGCCTTGAAAGCTTGCTGGTGGACCTTGCGTGAGGACCTAGTATAGGAAGAGCCTGATCGTATTGTTGTCAGCTTGATCAATCCTGTATACCCAACCGCAGTTATCGGGTCTCATTCAAGAAATTAGGAAGTATAGGCATAGCCGTTGAGTGAGAGTAAACTTTCTCCGTGAATCCTGCGTACAATTTCCCTATACTGCCAATTGTTTGCTACATACATACTGTACGTCCGCAACGCATACGTGAAGAACTCGGCTATTTCAGTTTGATGCACATTTCAGGATCCGTTGAATCTTATCAGGATAATGATGTCACTGCTGTCCGATCACTTCTTCATTCGAGGTGATGAGCCTATGGCAAAGTGTCGACTTCGTTGGCATGATATGATATATCGCCGGCCGAATTTGCGATCAAAGATGAGAAAGTCGCCACGAACCCTGGGCAACTGTGATCGATATGGATCTCCGCAGTGTCTCTGATCCTTCTCCTGCAATACTTACACATGATCTACATAGCGCGCGTCGAGTGGCATGCATGTACGTGAAGTATTGCGCAACGCAGCCATACTGTAACAAGCCCACCTGCGTCAAGCTTGATATCGCCCAGGCCGAGGGAGGTGCTAGAGGACCAGTGGTGATGGAGGTGTTACCCCTGGCCCGCATGTTTTCTGCCCTGGCCGCTAAACAGCCTACCTGAGGCATATGGACGCGTCGATCACAAACGAGCTTGTTTGCAGCAATATCCGGTGGGACAGTTTCCAAAGGAACTGCGGATCCGAACTTCCGAAGGGGGCACAAAGACGACTAATTCCACGCCGACTCTCCGCGGACCCGGACGGCCATTCAATGGCATACAGTACTTACTGTAGAGGTTTGCCGGCCGCCACGACCATCTCTGTTTTCGCTTCCAACTTAGCAGCTTGAGGACATGTTATTCTATCCTGGTGGCCAAGCGAGAACCAACACGCAGTTTTTTTTGCGTGCGCAGACATCGCCACCACCTACGGTCACAACATGCATAGCCTCGCGAGGTCATACAACACCGCCGAGCGTCCATACAGCGCAGCCAGAGCCACTCCCAACGGGTATAAAGGTCAGGCAGCTACGTGGCCAAGCGAGAACATACCAGTCACTGAACCGCAGCTACCGGGCCCTTGCCCAGTTCGCTCATGAGGCTGGTAATGAGCCAGGTTCCGTCTTTGAAGACGTTGATGATGCGGACGTTGAGGAGTAGATGCCCAGATACCCGTAATACCGTATGATCTCGCTCGGCAACGTATCTTGTTGTATAGCAGACTCGTAGCTAGTGGCTTCCTTACCGTTGTATGTTATAAAAATGAATCGTAGCTTGACGTTGACCTATGACGCATGTAAAAAAATCTGCGTGTTGGTTCTCGCTTGGCCACCAGGATAGATAGATGTGGGATAGCCATCGGTCTCGCCGTATCATGCACACGCCTGCCAGAACCGAGTTCCGGTCAGGTCCAACGCAAAAAAGGTGTCTGTCACCTTCGAACGCGGCCACCAGGCTTCGGAAACGTATTTGTACCACCCGGATCATTAACGTTTCCAGAGTCCGCCGTTGCTTTACGGACTTGTAGACTGTTGGAGATCCGGATGTCGTTCTTCGTTGAAAGTCAGTGCTGCCTGGACAACCGTCGTGCAAAGTTCTCTCGAGTAACCCAACAGAGAATCGTATAAGGATCATGGATCAGCTTCTCCTACTCCCTTCGGTTGATCGAGATCCAGTGCGTTGTACACTTTTTCGTTCGACAACAATCACATACGGTTCTTCTTCGTGGGTGTCAATACAGAGCCATTTTGATCCCACAGTTGAATGTTTTGTGGCCAGATCACCTTCTGATATTTGTGTGCCGCTCCTTTGTGAGACTGGATACTATTCACCTCACGAAACGCAGAACGGAATGGAAGGAAGACCTGGGGAGAGCTGGCTGCGTGTTTATGCACTCATCGTTGACAGTCTGAGACGGAGAAAGCCATAAAAGGGCGAGGAGCGCACCTCACACCCTTTCCGCACATCAGCAAGCTCCTTCATTTCTTCTCACCCCCTTGGTCCTATCCGAAATGTTCGGCTTCGTCAAAATCGCCAGCTTCCTTGTGGTTGCCGCCAACCTGGTGGCTGCCGCTCCCAGTGCCGCCGTCGCCGGAACCGCTGTTCCCGGCGAATACATTGTGGTGTTCAAGAAGAATGCCGCTGCCGCAGCTGGTAAGCTGCGACGCTCCAGTACCCATCCGTTGTATATGATCGCATTAACATCTCTTCGTCTGTAGTTCAGTCTCACGTTAGCGCGCTGAAAGGGGCGAATTGGGCAGGCACCGCTTTCGCTGGCCAAGGATTCGGTCTCAAAGCGGAATACAGTTTCGGTGGGTTCCGTGGCTACCATGCCAAACTTCCTCAGAGTGCCGTCGAAAAGCTCTCGGTAAGGCGATTGTCGCGTGATTTGCGCCTGAGTATTGGAATTCTCGCTAACGTCTATTCACCTTCACTCAACAATCGCAGAACGATCCCAATGTGGAATACTTTGAGCCCAACAAGATCGTGACGGTGCAAGGCACGCAGACCAACGTTCCCTCCTGGGGCATCTCCCGTGTCGATCAACGCGCTGGTCCCGCGGATTCAACCTACGTATACCCTGACTCCGCCGGAGGTAAGACATCTGGATTGCCTTCGTACATCTGATTCGCAACTGGCGCTCATTTATCTGTTGATCCTTTGCTCAGCTGGTGTCGACGCTTATATCATCGACACTGGCATCTACATTAGCCATCCCGACTTCGAGGGACGTGCGAAGGTCGGTGCCTCTTTCGTGACCGGCGACGGCGATGCCGATGGAAACGGACACGGTAATGCTCTCCTTCCGTTTCCACCATGAACCAGAACAAACCGCTTACTGTTGTCATCTTTTAGGTACCCACGTTTCTGGAACCATTGGATCCAAGACTTACGGAATTGCCAAGAAAGTGAACCTGATTGCAGTCAAAGTCCTGAACGCGCAGGGATCTGGAACGAACGCTGGCGTTATCCAAGGCGTTCAATGGGTTGCCACCAACGCTCCAAAGACTGGCAGGAAGTCAGTTGCCAACATGAGCCTCGGCGGCTCGGCCTCCACTGCTCTCGATCAAGCGGTTCAAGCTGCCATTCAAGCCGGCGTGAGTTTCGCGATCGCCGCAGGCAACAGTGCGGGTGACGCCTGCGCCCTTTCTCCGGGTCGCGTCCCAGAAGCTGTGACCGTCGGCGCTTCAGACTCGTCTGACACTTTCGCCAGCTTCTCCGAGGGTGGTTCCTGCGTGGATATTGTCGGACCTGGTGTCTCGATTACGTCCACTTGGAACAACGGCCAGACCAACAGCATCAGCGGCACATCTATGGCCACCCCTCACGTCGCCGGCGTGATTGCGCTCGTCCTCAGCGAGGGCAAGGCGAGCTCCCCAGCCGAAGTTTCCGCCTACCTGAAGTCCGTCGCCACGAAGAACGTGATCAAAAATATCAAGGCAAACACCCCCAATTTGCTTTTGTCCAACGTTTTCGGTGACGTTGTGCCCCCATCTCCCACTGCCACCGCCACCACCGTCCAGCCCACTGCCACCGCCACCCAGAAGCCCACACCCACCCCTACCCCCTCCAAGTGCCGATTCCCGGCTTGCTTGTGGACTCCCAGCTGCTCTACCTGCGATTGGGGACGCTGAGCGCCGGGACTAGATACAGATTGGAGTATATAGATCACAGATCCAGTTTGCCGCTTGTTTACACTTCAGGTATCAATATACACCAGTTTGTTCGATCAAAACGCTTCGCCATGTCTCTGAGAATTTGTATGATTTGTATGACGGGATGTATTTCAAATGATAATATATGCGTCGACCAATTTCGCAGAACAGGTCTTTCCCACCTTACCTACGCGGGCTACGATTCTACGCATTGACCTATCATCATCCCTCACTAGGCTCAGTATGGAGCTCACCTCTCCACCAAGCGGCGTGGACTGAGCTGCTTCAAGAGTACGATTCCGCAACGTACCCGGGGAAACCTATACCTTCGCCACCTATTACTCTCTCAGAGGCCTTTCCATCAGAAGCGCGTCTCGGACCAATATTCACCACTTCCCGACTTCGCGAGTCACGATTCCTCTCCTATCTCTCCTATTCCCTGGTTCGCATCCCGAAAGCACCGATTCTCTGGCCTTCAACAGTATCCCGATGGCAGCGAGCGAGCGACGCGTTAGTGAGGGGTCCGCCGCAAAGCGTCGAGCTGTATTGTATGTATGGTACGTCCCGGACTCGGAACCAGATGCGCCAAACATCGATGGAGGCTGCATTTCGAGGCAAATACTCGAAACTTCCTCTTACATATCCTCTGTGACTGTAGGGAGCGGAAGGGAGGGTCTTTTCCCAGGTCCACCAGCTAGGCAGGAGAAAGCTGCAAGGCTCCAATCGCTCGAACCTGGAGGCTCCAATCGCTCGAACCTGATGGCCAAGGCTGTCGGGGATATCTCATATTCACTTCTATTTCATATTATATTTCTTTACTTCTACACGATCCGACATTTTTCTTCACTCCAATACATAACTTACAGTAGAGAGGGGCCACGCACTCTCGCGCGCGCCTTTGGAGCCCGGGGCCGCCGCGGGAGACCGAGATCCTTCTCACCATCGCGCACGCTTGCACCCTTGCACATCAAGGCAAACTCCCAACCAATCTCTAAAAGCCTTCACCACAGCGCATGTAAGCAGACACACACCGTAGCTTGACATAGCACTCGATAGCTCAAAAGAGTTCTTTGATTTGCATCCACGTCGTGGTGAGGTGCCACCATGCTCACCATGGAACACTGAGAAAAAATGGTTTGCCGTCCACGTTCTCCGTCCACGAGTTGACGTCAGCAATGACAATCCTTCTCTTTGGGATGGGACGAACTTGAATCTCAGGCGTCGGAGATGTGGGATAGGCTTTGGACCAATATAACTCATAGACCGCGGTTGGCCACATCCTGCGGCAAGTTGACGTCCTCATCCACATCCTCATGCTCGTCCAGGTCCTCACCGTCCACGTTCGCCACAGCGACGTGGTCTTCACCACCACATTGATGAAATGGTGTGGTCAGCATCATATGCCATCCACAGGGCTGCCTCCCCAACACCTTTATCCACTACGGCCGCACCACACAGGGTGCCCTCACCACGTCCACAAACGAAAGATATGTGTGCATGTTGTTGCATAGCTATGGTACCCGCATCTTGGGCCCCAGGGATGCTGGTTTCCAGGACGTCCACACACAGATTGGGCATGTGGCCCTCAGGCTAATATATGTGAGCACGGCAACGTTCTTTGATCCACATCCACGTCGTCCACGTAGTTCTCGTCCGCTTGATCCACTTGGGTCACGTCCACATCGTCGCTCCATTGTGGTGGTGGCCGGCAGAAGCGACGGTCTGTCGAATACAGGGTTACGGTCGGGTGTCGGGAAAAATAAGCTGCCGGTCTCTCAATAGCACAAGAAGAGATCTCAAGCAAGAGCGTCGTCTTGCCACCTTAATATCCAGGTGCTTTGAAAGGAGTCCTTCTTCTAATACGGGGTCTTGAATTACGGGTACGGGTACGAAATACGAAATTGGGAATATCTGCGGGGTTGACTACAAAACAAAACAACGGGGTTATCCAATCTCACTCTCAGCTCTTCTTACAAGATTCCTGAACTATCAAGTCCTCGGCGACGTCAGCAAAGTACATGTCGCGACACTCGGGGTCGTCTTGTCTATGCTCTCCGGGTCTATGAGCGCGCCTTGAAAGTCTATCTGAAACTGAAAGAAGTCGTCGGGAGTAGAGAAGTAGAAAGCTCTGTTGTTGATCGGGATCTGAGTTCTGCGTACACGGATCTGAGTTTTGCGTATCATACAAAGGTCTGGGGAAAACAGGCGGGTTTTTATATGGAATTTTCTAGACTACGGGATTTTGTCGAAGTCCAAACTCTCTACTAGTCGTCTCTAGAGGATCTAGCTACGTCGGGGTCTTTTCCTCTTTTCCTGCGGCGGTCTACATAGTTTTCCCTTGTTCCATTCGCAATTTTGGCGCTGATACAGCCTTATCGCTAATCTTTTCTCGGGGTTTTCTGCAACGTTCGGCGTATACGGCCACCGGAAATTGGTTTTCTCGTTTTGCAGTTGATTTCTTCAGCGTTTCGGGCGTCGTGGGAGCTTCTGGTTGGTTAAGAGTCGGGTCGGGGGTACTTTCATGTGTGAAATCCTCTCCTACGCCTACATTTTTCGCATGTCAGTCGTATCCGAGGACAAAACGTCGTTGTGAAGCAAGGTTTCGGTAAAGGTAGTTGTATTTGGTAATCGTCGGAGTGTCGGGAACGCGAGTGTGTCGATTTAATGTAGGAAGTTTTGACGGTATTTTGACGTTGTCATATAAAGGTGATTTCATTTGCTCGTCGAAGATTCTAGGCGTATCATTGGGGTCAGAATATTACCGATTTCATGCGCAGTTCGAAGCGCACTACTACACCGTCCACGTCCACCGTCCAGGAGAGTAGATGACAGAGGGATGTAGGTGGTGGAGGTCAAGCGTTCTGGTATAAGTGGGTGGGGTTTGGACCACGATAACTGATAGACCGCGGTTGGCCATATCCTGCCCCATGTTGACGTCCTTGGCGACGTGGTCTTCACCACAACGTTGATGAAATGGTGTGGTCAGCATTATTTATTTCACCAGTGCAAATGGATGCAGAAAGAGCTTGAATTCTGCGGCCATGTCCTGGGTGAGGATACGATGGCCATTGCATCCTCGAAATTGGACGCCGTGCAAAACTTTGCACATCCTACAAAACAGAAAGAGGTCCAATCTTTCTTAGGGTTGACAAATTACCTAAGTCAGTACATCCATCGTTATGCATACATTGCATATTCATTGACAGAGTTACAGTCGGGCAAAAGGCCTTGGCACTGGGGCGATGTCAAAGATGTGGCTTTTGTTAAGCTGAAGGAAGCTATTATTACAGCTCCTACTCTCCCGTCTTATGACCCAGAGTAAGATTTATACGTGTTCACAGATGCATCGAGTTTTGCGATAGGCGGATGGCTTGCCCAGCCGGCGGATCCATCGGAGCATTACCCATCACCGTTGCATACCTCAGTGAAGGGATATAAGAATCTGCCACCGTTAAAGCCGATAGCTTTCTTTGGGCGGAAGATGCAACCCGCTGAAACACGTTACCCCGTGCACGAACAAGAGCTATTAGCTCTGGTTAGCATATGCAAGGCGAACAGCCATTACTTGCAGGATCGGACGAATGACCGCCCGTTTCGCGCGTTCACCGATCACGCTAGTTTGGTCTGGCTGCAGACACAGCCCTTCCTGAGCCATCGCCAAGCACAATGGGTTGAATACCTGCAACAATTCAAATTTGATATTGAATATCAACCTGGTCGCTGGAACACCGTCGCTCATGTGTTGAGTCGTAATCCTTATTACGCTCCTCGCTGCGCCAAGTGTAACAAGCGAGTGGAAATCGCTGCGGCCATGGGGATGTCTGTTGAGTATATTCCTTTGGGGAATGTTATGCTTGAGGATTGGATACGAACCTTGGAGGCTGATGAGTACTTCGCTTCGCGGAAAGATGCGTTGCTTTGTCACAGCCAAAGGAACGACAGTCTACATTCGATCGATGTTTCTCGATCGATGACTATAGTTGTTTACTGTACCACAATAAGTTCTATGTGCCAGCTGCTTTATGAGGGACTGTATTGCAGGCGTACCACGACTCGTTGCTCTCTGGCTCGCATACGGGGGTTCAAGGTACATTGGGCAAGCTCCTATGAGAGTTTTACTGGCCCGATATGGACGCCAACGTGAGAGGGTCCATCAAGACTTGTGGGTTTTGCCAAAGGTTCAAGTCGCCGAAGAATATGCGTGTTGGCTTACTTCGTTCGCTCCCAGTTCCCGACCGACGTTGGCACACGATGGGTATGGACCCTGTCTCGATGCCAATAACACGGTCGTGGGGGGGGAAGGTGCATAGTGATGCGTTCTACAACAGTATTATTGTCTTCATCGACTCTCTGTCAGGGCACGCATACTTTATACCTGCGGCATCCATGATAACTGCCGAGGAGTTGGCCCAGCTTTACTTCCGTGAGGTATGGCACCATACAGGTACTGTAGCTGTGATCGTCAGAGACCAAGATCCCTGCTACCTGGCAGACTTCTGGAAGGTGTTTCAATCGTTGTTGGGCTCTAAGCAGAGCTTGAGCACGGCACAACACCAACAGACGGACGGAAAGGTCAAACGGTGTATCGCTATCTTGAAGATTAAACCGTACCTTAATGTAACGGGAGACGATTGGGTTGACAAACTGCCATTGTTAGAGTTTGCCTACAACCGTACGCAGAACAGCACTGGATACTGCCGTTTCGAAGTTGATTTGGGTAGAATTCCGCAGGCACCGATGCATTGGCAAGTTGACGCAAAGGTGTTGCAACGTATGGATGATACGACGATCCCATTCTTGCATAAGTCACGATGTGAGCTCATCGTACAGATGGAGAAACGTGCTGAGGCATACCAATCCATTGAACTCATAGTGCAGCAGAAATTGCGGGAAGCTCAGGACAAACAAGCAAAGTATCATGATCGTGGACGTTGTGTACAGAGCTTTAGTCCAGGGGATAAAGTCCTGTTGAACAGCGA